GTAGACAGCTTTTATGAAAAAAACAATCAGTAACCGAGTTAACCGGACAGCTTTTTTTCACAGTATACTGAGGCTTCAGTGAGTTTTGGTGTGAAAAGGAGCTTATGATTAATCAAGTGTTTCGCTAACTTTTCGAAATTAGTGTACGTCTCAAACTTGTCCGTAGACTAACAGTCTTGTTAGAGACTAATATTCATGCAACAACTTTAAGAACGTGAAATAACTTTATATTGCTTGTTCATTCGCTATAATGTTTGTGAAAAGTCCGCTTTGAAGAAATCGCAAACTTAAGCTTCCAGGAAAATGATTCTTCTGACACAAATTGAGGCTTTGCCTGGCACTGGCATCGCTTATTTAAATGACCTTTAATTTTCTTTACATCTGACTGAAAAAGTACCCTGGGTACCAGAGGTTTTTCTCGCGTGCGGTGGGAATTTTCGCGCGGGTCACTATAAAGACTTGACAAAACCGGAAACCGCGCTAGAAAAGTCTCTGGCACCCAGGGTACTGAAAAAGTAGCCTGCGAACAGCAGACGCATTAGAAGCGACGACCAGAAATGCGTCTGCTGTTCGCAGGCTACTGAAAAAGATGCTCCGGCTGACTTAAATTTTACGGTAAAGATTTGCAGTGTTTGTATGGAAGACGCCACCCTGGTCCCAGAGGTTTTTCTTGAAATTTTTCTTCGCGAAAGAGGGAGCGAGCCACGAAGAAAAAGGAGAAGAAAATTTTCAAGAAAAGCCTCTGACACCAGGGTAGGAAAGCGCAGAATGTGGAAAAAAGTACCTCATCTTCTACTATTTCGAAGAAAATAAATATAATAAACTGCCTTTTGTCACATTTTGTTAGCTCGCTTTTGTTTAGGTAATCAGGGCTGGTTTTGCGCGTGTCTTGACGTGCTTAAAGTCTGGTTCCCAGGGAACGAGTTGCATAAATCTTAAGCTGGACCCGGTTGTTCAAAGGCTGTGGAGAGCGGTATGGGGCGGATAAGTATTAGGGAAACCAATTGCGTTATCCAATGGAGCCTGATGTAAGGCTCACCGCGGTCAAACGTCTGAGCATGCGCGAAGAATTCGCGTTCTATTTAGAAAGGCTGCATGTGGCTACGTCTTCTTGGGAGCAAGAACAGAGAAATTTTCTTCGTATTTCAAGGAAGTTCATTGGCGATGAATAGGAGGAATAAGAGGTACGTATAGCATGAAATTAATGTAAGTATGAGTAAACTCCCCTTTGTTTACATTCCCCGACTGCTTGTATCAGGATTTCTGGAATTTGCTCTTGATGATCAATGCCGGGGGAATCGTGGCCGCCGAAAATATAAGCTTAAGTTTAAATAGTCTAAACTTTCTGTAATACTTTTATAGTAACACTGGCTTGAATGCCATTTTATAGATGATATTTTTATTGAATGAAACCATATCTTTTTGGTTCTGGTTCGTTCGGCAAAATACTGAGTCCCTCTTAGGTCCTCTTAGGGGGCAGGAGGGGGAGGGGTGGTCTGTTATCCCTTTTCCCTGTAACTCTTAGAACAGATATCCCTTATCCCTGAAAGTTCCACGAATGTTATCCCTAAAAGTCGGGGAACGCGTAGGGGGAGGCGCTGGGAGGAACTTGCCCTCCCCCCTCACTTTTTGTGCGAAATAATAAAAACAAATGTTTGCCAGTGGTAGAGAATAAAGAAGATATAACTGCGGATGAAAAGATGCAATAATTTTTGCGATTGTTACGACAGAGGCGCACTATCAGGCCTGATGATCCGTTTCCAGAGGTGACAAAAATTGTAACAATATTGCCAACAAAATATGCGCCTTATTAAAATCGCTGCTACATGAGGCTCTAAAACTTTTCTTTAAAATCAAAGCCGCAAAAGTCGCGCAAAATTGCTGTTCACAGAGCCACTTAACTTTGGTTCGCTGAGCAGAGACTACTTTTTCTAGATATTTATTACTTTGTTCGCAGGGTATTTGACAAACGGATCTCTCGCAGAAAATGGGGCTTCTGGAAAATCTGAAAATCAGTAGTGTACGAGCCGAAGCAAATTGTATCATTTTTTTTTCTTTCACTGTAATTGTTCGTTCTTTATCAGTTTTAGTTCAATATGGACATAGTAACCAAGCAGCCATATTCTCGTGGGTTTTGCGAATACGGTAGAAAGGTTTTTTAATGACGGCGTAGATTTTTCCACCTTATAATCCAGCCTGCCTTCCTATAATCAATTAAATTGTTCTAAACTGATGAACAAGGAGTCGGCTATTGGTGACCTCGTGTGGTTTAAGGTAATTCCTCGGGCTTCTCAGTAGACAAGACAAGATGATTTATTAAACTCAGCTCAGTTTTACGTGGCATAAGTTAAATTTACAAAGGCATCTAAACACAGTACAACTAAGGAATACAAGAAAAATGGTAACAACAAAATGGAGAGCGAGTTGGGATCATCCAGATAGGAAAGGCTAATCTAGTGGATGACCCCTGCATTAAAATACAGTTACAGACAGAATACAGAATATATATACATATTTTTTATAAAACGTTTTTCTTCATGCGCTAAGGCAAAAGTAGGCAAAAGTAGTCCCCTGTGCTTATGTGTCTTTACGAAGTAGAGTCTGTAGCTTGAGACTGGCCTAAACTGACTGATAATAATAAGTAAACGAGCGACAACTGAACACAAGTGGCCAGGGGTAAAAAAAAAAAATCTGGAAAAGTGAAAAAGTACGAATCGATTATAATTAATGTAGAACCAGGAACTACTAAAATTTTTTTTTAGTAATGGTAAGAAAAATTTTAATGATGAAACTTTATCCAACTATCAACTGTAACTGACAAAAACCTTACTTTTGAAGTATTTCGCTTATAGAGCATATTTCTGACGATCGTTCAACTATATCTTACCTGACACCGGTTTCTGCAATACAGTGAACCCTTGATATATACATGTATAACGAAGGGCCAAGGGACTATTGCTGGTTTGCACGGTTGGTGGTCAGAACAAAAGCATTTCTCTCTTCTGGGAACTAAACCCTATTTTCATCTGAATTCTTCGAGAAAAATTCTATTGTATTAACCACTAACACAACACCAACATGACCGCCTTGTCACGTGGTTGAAAGCCAATGATTGGGAGGTTTCGTTATATCTACGAAAGCCGAGAAGGGACTTCCGACTTCTGACTTCTGACTTCTGATTTCGGACTTCCGACTTCCAGCTTCGGAGTTTTCATTTCCGACTGTATAATTAACATCACTGTTTCCGGTGTGACTCAAGTGGTGGCCGTGACCCTAGGCTTAGCAGCTTATATCACTATACTACCAGTAGCTGCAGTACCTTCGTGTTAATATGGATGAGGAGGTAAGCTGACTTTTGCGCCTTCCTTATTGTATTTGAGTGTTTAGAACATTGTAATTTTATCTACTGCCAAACATTGGGACTACCAAGTGGGTTTCAAAGCAACATGAAGAGTGAAAAATAATAGCGTGTTTTCATAGCAAACGCGTGTTTTTATAGCACATAAGTAAATTTCTTCGTGGCAAAAATAGGAGATAACCACGGGGGATTTAGTACCGTAAATAAATACTGAGTTGGTTTGTTGAGCCAAAAGGTCCTACATATTGATACAGCGACTGTTTGTTGCGTGATTCTCCCTTTCTTTCGGTAGACTCTATCGAGCCCTGCAAGCTCAGTCGTCCTATTTTTTTTTTTCCTTTTTTATTACTCATGGCGAGAACAACTCAGTCTTCGTTTTCTGTTTTTGTTGCGTTTGATTTAGTCTAGGGCTATGTTCAGGCTATAAGGCCGGATAACTTTTGCGCCGGCACAGAAATCATATAGGATAGCGCTTCTGTTCACACACATGAACGGTTGTGGCAGCGTGATTTCTGCAATTCTGTGACGAAGCGAAGCTGCGCCGTGCCGATTAAAGAGTCACATATCGAGAGTTCACACTATAGCTGATAGCTTATTGTGGCGCCACGGTGGAAATTAAATCTATCCGGTATCAGTGGTGGATCCAGGGGAGGCCCCGTCTTATTTTTAGACCAAACTGAGGCGAAGGGCCGAAATTTTGTCTTTTTTTGAGACCGGACCCCTGCTTGTCCTAAGATCTGGATGACCGCCGCCTCCCCCCACTTATATGGACCCGCCTCTGCCGGTAGTTTGAACATAGCCTAAGGCTCAAGTAGAATATCGAATGGCACCTAAGGAATAATTTTCTGTAATATTTTTTAAGGCTCCATTAAATAGGAAAGGCTTTGTTTTTTGTTTCACTTTCTTTGCGATTTTACAAACGGTTGTCCTCCTAACTGCAGGGATCTTCAGCTTAGGAGGTTCGATTTAACCTCCTGCCGCCCATCAGATGGACCCCGCAATATTCTCATTCAATAAGCTATGTGAAGTTTCAGACCGTGTAAAAACAGTTGTAAATGGAAAAAAGGGTTATATTATTATTTTCGGCGTCGAAGGAGCGGTGGTGAGTCAGTAAGCCCCATCGGGGAACCCTTAGTTGTGATAGCAAGCCTGGTGTTTTAAGCTTCTCGGGAGTGATTGCTTCGCTTACCGGTAACCTAGCTTTAGGTCGAAAAGATTCTGGCGCGGAAACTACCCTCCTACAAACTCTCCTCTAATCCAATTCTTTCAGCACTAAGTCCTCACTTAAGCGAAATGACGGGTTATGGGAAGGGCGGGTGGACAGTTTCCGATGTTCGAGGCTCGCTAACCCGTCAAAACACGGTAACCAAAAACCTTGAAATGGTTAACCCGGATTAACCTTTTAAGACAACGGTCCCCAAGAAAAAGCCCACTAAGATCTGAAACGCTCTTCATCTGCTCGTAGTTTTCATCTTGAAACAACAAACTAGAAAATCCGGATATAATACAAGAGTATTCACCCATCATTTGATCAATTCAAAAAGATACGAGTTCCACCCGTTGCCATAGAAATGTCACGAAATTCTTGCAATGTGGGAACGCGTCTTATTATTATGGTCTGAGCTTGGTCCCAAGGGACCTGGTGCATTGTTATTTCAACTCGTGAACTGAGCAGTGAATATCCGGAGCGATTTTGCTTCCTTCGATGTTTCTTCTCATGTGTGACTGAAAGTGCTACAGAATGGATTGCGAATTTGAAGGGGAACGCAGATTGGTGTGTAGATTTGTTTTGCAAACGTAATTTGGTTTAGGTTTTTGGTGGAATTTCTTGAGGCTGGTAAACATTGAGCAATTTTCACGTTACAACGTGTGCGGAAAGAAATTTTAGAGTAATGTGCGTTACTGTGTTGATTCGCGAAATCTTCTAACTCCTTTTCATTAAAATTTCCGTGTTTATCGCAGAGGAAACAGAACCGCAGGAATTATAACGACGATACAGATGACATTATTGAAGGAAAGCGTACGTTTAGCGTGGAAGAAAAGCTAAACAGTGAGAAATTTGCCGAGGGTGATTTTGTAAAGAGACTCAGTGGAGACGGTTAGTCCAAAGGAATTATTTGGCTGAATAAAAAAATTGCAGTTGAAAACTCGCTTGCTCACATAATGTTTTATTATTGTAGAAATCAACCTAAAGTATATACAGGAGAATGGTTTCACTTCACCAATTCTAATAAAAAACACTGAGGGACTTGATATGCGGTACGTATGCAATCTGTGAATGCACAAAGCCGATAGCATGATCGTAGGTTTCAGAGAGAATGTTTGTTTCAAGTTGTCCAGTTTCTCAATGTTCTCAAGTAAAAGTTCAATTATATTTACTACACTGTTATTTAGGGTTCCTAACAAAGATTTTACAGTCGAAGATGTGAAGAATTTCGTCGGTAAGCCGTTCTAGCTAATTTGAAATTCTCTGATTACATGTAATATTTTTCGTGTATGCCCTCAATTGCGTTTGAGCTTATTAAAACTTGCATCGGTTAAAATTGTTGATGTCGGTTCTCTTGTTAAGGCTGTCTGTTGACATTGGTTATTAGGGGCTCGGAGAATTGTGGATGTAATAGATGTCAACACACAGCAAGCTTTGGAAATGACTCTGCAACAGTGGGTGAAATATTTCACCAGCGAACAGAGAGAGGACATTTACAATGTTATAAGCTTGGAATTTAGCCACACTAAACTGGAGGATCTGGTGGAACCACCTCACTTGGTGAGCAAGTTGTATTTTTTAAGGTTTTTTGTTCATGAAAATGTATATTTTGTCCTTTATTTATGGTAGGTTTTCGGAGTTTTGGGCTTTGTGTGTGACTCGTTTACTCAGTGTAGCACTTACTACTATTGGTTGCGTTTTAAACACTTAAACTTAATTTAATTCAATAATTGTTATTTTCCGTTAACATTTCTTGCTAAAAATCGTCTTCCTTTGGGATTAATAAATATCTTTTTGACTGTAAGTGGTTGGTGATGTTTTGAACACCCCAGCTTCTATTATCACAAAGCTAGCTACATAGGTTGTATTAGTGCCGAATGAAAATTGCAGAGAAACTTCCCCAACCAGGGGCTTTCCACATTGCGCTCCCCGAACTCTACTTTGCTCAGCTCATTATCGTGCTGGGATGATTTTAACCGGAAAAGGACGGAAAGTAAAATCAGGAACTATTCATGCCAAGAACTGCTCCTAAGAGCTGAAAGGTGCCCTGGAGCTCTTTACTATTCACACGCCCTTTAAAAACAAAAACCCGAAAACTATGATAAGGAAACCAGAAGCCAGTTTCGTACCTCTGAAATTTTCGGGTTCAGTTTCTTTAATTTTACAACATTTATCCAATGTAGCTTTGTTTTAGTGTTGTAAAGCTACGGCAGGGACATTTTGGTTGCGAGTGTTGAAAGAATTTTGATGCTCATATTCGCACTTAAAAAACGAAGAATAATGAAAATAATTATAAAACCAAATTTCTTCCATATCATCTCGATAAAGTCCCTTGTGTAATCTTCGTCCGTGTACATGTAATAAAAACATATCTTCTTGCGGCGGTTAAAAACACTGTGGCTTCTTTTTCAAAGTGGTGCGTAAATCTTCGTGCAATTTTGTGCGTCACAGGCCGAACTTCTGTTGTGTACATGATTTAAGCGTGGTTTTCAACTTGGTTAAAATTGTACCCTTGTGTTTACGTTTAAACATAAAAATTTCCTCGCTGTTCTTCCGATGTATGCGAATTTTATTGGAGAACAAAGGCTTATTCAGCTTTTTACAAGCTATATCTTGCCGATAACTGAAAATGGTTTTGAATATCGGCAAAAAACGCCACGCATCCTGCAAAGGGGTTTAGCTATGCAAATATGGCGGCTTGATCATTAGTGCCAATGTTGGTGTGAGCCGCAAAGAATCGGATGAAAACGAAAGGATGAGGTTTTTGGAGGGGACTTTGAAATTATTTAAAATAATCGTGCTGTCGAGGCTTTTACCATGTTTTGGACATTTGATAGCGTGTCAGCGAATAACAGGGACAAGTGACTGAATACCTGCTCTCTGAGACCCGTTCACTTGCCGAGTTCCCGCTAAACTGGTCTACATAGAAATGGATATAATTATACAGATCGAGCAGAGAGACGGTGATGGCTGTTTAGGCAAACGTCTTATACCCATTTGTGCAATGACTGTTGAATTACCACCGTAAAAATTAGAATTTACCACTATTTTGTTTTCACATAGTCCCGCCTCCTGTTGCTTTAATATGGCTGAACTGAAGGGTGGTATCCCTTAATGCATCAACATGACGATCTTCAAACTGAACTTGAACATTCCTCTATCCGCGTATCGTATCAGATAAAATTTTTGCTGTGCCATTTTTTCAAACCTTTCTACTGGTAAATTTACTAGCTGCTTGTTTTGTGAAATACATTTGACCAAAGTTCTACCGGATTATTTAAAGACATTTTTTTCCTACGTGGGCAACATAAGGCTCTTGATGCACATTCTATTTCCAATTCACTCGAAGCGTGAATTTTAACACGTGCTTATTATTGCTGGGTTTAAAGTTAGTGAAAGTTGACACAGTATTCAATTTTTGCGGGTAATGTTTGTTCCTTCCTCCATGTAATTAGCAGAAAAACGAACAACCAATGGTGTTGAAAAAGGCTTAACGCCATTGTTGGTTACAAATTTGTTTCCACAAAAAACGACTTAGTACGGTTTAAATACGAACCAGAAACATTCGAGTATAAAGTCATTTGTCTGAAGTACTAGGAGAGATGTTTAAAGTCTGCCATAAAAATAGAACCTAAAACGTTTGGTTTTTAGAAAGTTCCAAACTTTCGAGTAACATCTACCCTTTTCATAAATAACATCCTGTCAAAGGAATTATCTTTTTTAAAAGTTTGAGAAGGTCGTAATGGAAGGAAATATTCTTGATTTTTGATCCACATGCAATAACCAAATTTAACAGAAAGGTTTTTCCTTGAAACTTACTGAATTTATATTTAAACGTCAAATTAAAATCACCATTCTGTAGTTATTCTCACTTTTTTACGTCACGGAAATGATAATTTACCACTTTAGAAAATCGTGATTTCAGTGGACGACTACTGCACTTTCGCGCAAGATCTGAAGCCGCAGTTAAGACTCGTGTTTGAAATGATCCCTTTTATTTTGCTCTGAAATATCAATCTCCAATGTAAAAATGTCTTGCACAATGTTTACAGCTGGACAAAACGAGGTCATAACAATCTTTTTGTATGACTACTCTTTGTGTCTAAAACTTTTACGTCTGCAAGTAATTGCATTGCTGAAATGTAACAATTGATTCAAAGCTACTTAGTACTCCAAAACTTTGCCTGATGTAGTTTGGCTATTTTCCCCAGTTGAAGAGTTCTGTATTATTTATAAATCTTTATTTTGAAACTCGCATTTAGAGCAATAACACAGACAAAGCTAAGCTGTAATTGACGCAACGAGAGTTATTTTGAAGTATAACTACGTCTTCCACCGTACCTTGTTCATTAATCTCAGCTTAAAGTAAAATCTAGAAGATTCAGGAGCGTTTATCGTGTAACTGGATCATATCCTTGTGTTATTAGGTGCGAGTTATGGACTGGGTAAATGTTGTGTGGCCTCAGGATCTCATTGAGCAACAAAGGGATTCAACGAACTCTCTAGCTGATATGAAGTATCCCAAAGTTAGAAAGTAAGTCGTGATTTACTGACTCTAGCTTGCATTCCCAGAATCAAGTCTGAAGCTAATGTTTAGAGGCTGGGTAAGAAATCTAATGTTGTGACCATTCAATTGAAACTTGTTCAGCACCTCTCTCTCTCTCTCTCTCATTAACCTTACAATCTCTATTCGTTTTAAGAATTTTAAAAGTGAAATTTGTAATTTTTCCGCTCCAATTTTGATTTTAGTGAGCATCCTGCTTAAATAGTAATACTAGAGTTGATCTGTCCGTGCGCAATATTTCTGAGGCCATTAAGTGGACACGCAGCAGACAGCTAGGCTGTGTGTGTAAACTTGCGCAGAACTATGAACTTGATTTGGTTCAGTTTGCACAATTTTATCGCTCACAGATATCTCTTGATACGAAATGGTGAATGCGACATATACAAAATCATGAGTGTGAAGTCGAGATGTTCAGTAGAGCCTGCGCGCTGCGTTTTTTTCATGAAGATAAAACACGGTTTCTCATTTTGAATACATCAACAGTTTAGTTGACAAAGACTGAATTAGAATAAATCGAGATCAAGTTTAGTCTTAGGGACAATTTGAACAAACCGTGAGAAAGGTATTCAGTTGATCACTTGTGCTTCAATTTCATTTTCGAGCGTGATACATGGTTTCCTGTAATCTTTATGTGATACAACTGAGATATAGTGAAGTGTATGTTATCCATGCGCTCCATGATTTTCACTCGATTTTACGGATGAGAAATATGATTACCTTAAACTTAAAAGCTGCTGCAGTGAAGCTAAATGTTTTCAATGTGATACCAACTGAATGAACGTCTAGTAGTTGGTAATTCTAGTACTTGTCAGGTTGGTGTGATTATAAGAAATTCATCCGAATGGTTTCCACTTTTGTTTCATTATTTGGTGTCTACCAACGTACAGCCGTGTATGTTTGTACAATTAAGAGACACGTGTTACGCTAAATTTCTTTATTCTTTCGTCGCTGTTCAAGCAAAATATGAGCTGTCTTTGAAGAGCTAAATTCTTTGTACTATAGTAAATCTACCGTGTATATATTGTGGCATCAACAAAATGCTAAAATCATGTGGAATTCTGTCTGAAGTGTTTGAAAATTTGACACGAATTTGTCTCATTCCGCTTTGGTTCCGGGGGACTAAAGTGGTTTACTTATTATGCTGCTTATATTGTCGCGGTTAGTAGAAGCGGCAAAATTTCGGAGTTTCGTTCAGCGTTTTGTGGTTAACTGCATGTCCTGTTCTATCTAGTGTTCAATAATTTTCAAATATATGTTGCGTGACTTCTCCCTCAATCAACAAACGCTTGCTCATTTCAAACTTGCGATAAATTATTTCCCAAAGTATTCTCCAAAGCCTGCTTCTCTCCCGAGATGTGTCTTTCATTATTAGAATTCAAATTTCCAAGCCTAAATATATAAGTAATGCATTCGTTTCAGCGCGTCGGAAGTTTTAAGGACTGAAACATGACGAAGGCAATGAACTTGGTTATGGTCGACTGAGTAAGCTCGGTTTCTGTTTCGTTTGAAAACTTACTGCTCATTCCTGTCCATTAAGAGAAAGTAACATTGTCGATAAAAAGGTAAAGTTTATTTAATTGTGTACTTCAGCATTGTCACAAATAGAACGTTGAAAACACAACGGACGCATAATTCGACATCGCCTCTCTGAAAGAGTTTGTTCTTTAATTGCGAAGCAGATTTAAACCAGCAGAATTGGAAATTCCTGTGTTGAAGTCCAACAAATATTTCCAAATCGTTTTAGCGTCATTGGAATAAAAGTAGTCCATTAAACAAACTTAAGAGGAAATGACTTCTGACAACGGTTATCAAACGAATTTAATCTTTGAGGAATTCAAGTAAACTTACTAGTAATAATTTGTGCCGTGCCCACTGAGTATATACATTTAGCTTGTCGGTTTGTCGATCTTCCAATGTATGTCGTGTTTAGCGTTTAACTTCTTTTACAGTGCCAAATTTACAAAATTTATGCCCTGAAATTTGCGATTGTCCCGCCAAAAAAACAAAAAACATAGACAACATTCAGGTTATGTAATATTTGGTTTCTCGGCACGTACCCTAGAAGACACCTCTTTGTGACCAACAACAGCTTTAAAAATAAGGCTTCTATTCAAATCTCAGCTCACCCTCCCGTAAGAGTTATTCTTGACTAAGGAAGACTTTCCTCATTAGCGGTTTCCAAATTTTAACTTGAGCGTGAGAGAGGTTTTTTAAACCCAGCGTTTGTTAGGTGAGTCTTGATCATGAACTCTCTAATATGCAAAAGCTGTAGTACGGCCTTGAGGGTAATTTTCAAGTCTCCCTCAGTGGCGCGAGTAGGAAGAAGTCTTTGAGTAAAGTCCTAAATGTTTTATGCTCACGGCTAACCTGTCTTTAAAAACAAGCTGTACTATATCTCCATTAGTTAAAAAAGACGGCCATTTTGATAAAGTGTCTTATGGCGAACATATTTCTAGTCACGTCTGATTATTAAAAGTCAGGACTGCATGAACAATCATATATTTAATCTTGCAAACAATTAGCAAACTGTGGTGCTCGATACCTCTATTTGCATGTGTTTCTTTTGTCTGAAGACTCTTCAGGGGAAAGAACCACTTTTTACCAAATAAAATGTACTTGCATCAGTTTTACACGCGCAGTAAATTTGAATCTCAGAATCAAAACTAGAAAACCCACCGTGCGTTGTTAAAAAAAACCAGTGTTTATATCATTTGGCCTGATGGTAAAAGTTTTAAATTTAGTCTAACCCCAAGTGTATGCAATGTAAAAGACGTGTCTTCATTTGTTAGGATGTCGTTATTTCTTTGTTGCTTTGTTCTGCTCTAAACTCTGAATATCTCAGAAACTACTGTTCGTCGCGAATAACTTTCCTAGACCTTCATACGAATGAGCACATTTTCAGGTTTCACTCACGAACTCAGAAGCTTGTTCCACTGTGTTCGGCATAATAAACAAGACCACAAAAATTGCTGCTCGCCATCTTTCATGTGAGTTATTATGGTTAAGAATTTCATTCACAGACAGAGAAGCTAAAACCACCTTGTTCTTCAATAAACACTACCTGTACCACAAAAAATGTTACTCATCGGCTTTCATTTGAATGATAAATTTAGAAATCACATCGACAACTACAACCATTTCATAGTCTTGCAAGGGAAAAACAAGGCTCAAGGAAAAAACATTGCAGTCAACGATATTCATTTGCAGACTCAAGACTAGTATCAATTTGTACAGTGTGTTCACTATTGAACTGCAGAGGAAAGACGTACCAGTAAGTTGCTTGGGGACATCACCACAGACCCAGAATGTGTAGCTTCAAAGGGCTATGTCACCAGGATAAGCTGTTTTAGATTAATTCTGTGCTGAAGTCACTACTTAGTGAATGCCTTTACCCATACACTAAATGCTCCTGTATTGTTATGAAAAAGATGTCTAACGAATTTCATCACGGACGATTTTTTGCAGGCATAGCTTTAAAACTTGAAAAAGTTGGGCCACAGTTGGGCCAACTTTTTCAAGTTTCAATCCGAACACATCCTTGCTATCCGTTGCAACGGACGACAGAAATTGATTGCGAAAACAATTTTTTAGCTTTCAAAAAGATAGAAAGTAGCGTGACTTAGTCCCTTTATCTGTAAACAAAGCCACTAGAAAGTCAGGAAAGTCCTTCATTAGCTTTCGTAGGTTTATGGTATCATTTTATATATGATACAAACTTAATGGGACAGCAAGAAAGGGCCATGGCGTTCGTTGTTTTCTGGTTGTGGTTTAGACTAAGTAATATAGTTGTGACCGTGTTGAAGTGTTGAACGGAAAAATAAACGACTCAATAGGGAAGCATTCTCAAAACTGACTTCTCGTTTGAATGATCAAATGAAAAAGAATTTCGTCCACAGACTCCTAAGCTAGAGCGTTTTAACATGCGGCGTAATAAACAACATCATGAGAAACTCTTGAAAAGATAAAACTTCTTTTCATGACTGGTGACAATTTAATAATAATAATAATAATAATAATAACTTTATTTCTATAGCGCTCTTATCCTATGTTCAAGGCGCTTTACAGTCATGTAAACAACATTGTTGAAAAATATTTACAAATTTACAACCATATCCTATTATATTTACAATGAGTAAAAAAAGGAAAACATTAAAACTAAAGCAACTTTTAAACCATCTTATTCATAATGATAAAAAAAAGGGAAAAATTAAAATTAACGGAATATATACAAATCTATAAAAACAATGATCCGTTATTACTGAATTTAGTAAACTAGTACGTCTTAAGTGATCTTTTAAAACTCGAGATGGTGTTGGACTTCCGAATTTCATAGGGTATTAAGTTCGATTCTTTTGGTGCATGAACAGCGAATGCTCTATCTCCGTAGGTCTTGGTATACGATCTAGGTTGCATTAAAAGTTCATTACTAACAGACCTCAATGATCTAGTATGAGAACGATAATATAGTTTCTGAGCTAAATAGCTAGGCGATGTCCGATGTGCCCCCCATTAAACCATTGTTTTAAATGCTCCTGGGAGTATTGCATTTTTATTTTAAGACAATAAGTTACAAAATTTGGGGGGCAAAACAGAATCTTGAAAAAATAATACGATTTATACACGAGGAACAGAATCTTGAAAATAATACGATATTGAATCGGTAGCCAGTGAAGCTCACTCAAAACAGGTGTGATATGCTGAAACTTACTTGCAACACAACTCTAGCCGCCGTGTTTTGTACATACTGCAATCTTTGTAACTGATACTTAGGACATAATCCACAGACACAGATGCTGTAGAACTCTCGGGGGGAACTCTCTATAATGTTCTTTACGAGCGGCTTAACCCGAAAAGGGATACCTTATTCAGGCTTCAAGTATATCAAAGGGAAGGGAATTCAGTAGAACCTCCCGGGGGGCACTCTCTATATATCTGCCTATACCGTAGGCGGCTCCATCCGAAAGGGATACATTATTCAGGCTTCAAGTATATCAAAGGGAAGGGAATTCAGTGGAACCTCCCGGGGGGCACTCTCTATATATCTGCCTATACCGTAGGCGGCTCCATCCGAAAGGGATACATTATTCAGGCTTCAAGTATATCAAAGGGAAGGGAATTCAGTAGAACCTCCCGGGGGGGCACTCTCTATATATCTGCCTATACCGTAGGCGGCTCCATCCGAAAGGGATACATTATTCAGGCTTCAAGTATATCAAAGGGAAGGGAATTCAGTGGAACCTCCCGGGGGGCACTCTCTATATATCTGCCTATACCGTAGGCGGCTCCATCCGAAAGGGATACATTATTCAGGCTTCAAGTATATCAAAGGGAAGGGAATTCAGTGGAACCTCCCGGGGGGCACTCTCTATATATCTGCCTATACCGTAGGCGGCTCCATCCGAAAGGGATACATTATTCAGGCTTCAAGTATATAAAAGGGAAGGGAATTCAGTGGACCCCCCCGGGGGCACTCTCTATATATCCGCCTATACCGTAGGCGGCTCCATCCGAAAGGGATACATTATTCAGGCTTCAAGTATATCAAAGGGAAGGGAATTCAGTGGAACCCCCCGGGGGCACTCTCTATATATCCGCCTATACCGTAGGCGGCTCCATCCGAAAGGGATACATTATTCAGGCTTTAAGACGAAAAACGCTCCTTATGGCTATATTATTTCAACTTATTAAACGTTACACGAAAATTGTTTTAAGTGGGTATGTTAAAGGGACACTATTTGTCAATAAAAGATATCTATAATGGGCACCTCTTCTGTCAAAAGTGGTATATAAAAGGGTGAGGGGTTAGACCTCGGGGCGGGGTCTCCCCGAGTAAAGCTTTGTAGATGAGGTCCCCGGGTATGTCACGTAATACAGCAAAGCAAACAGGAATGCAAGAAATTACTGATTTCTCCTTTCCTTCAGGCCCTGGTTGTTCAAACATTGGATAGTGCTATCCACTGGATAATTCACTATCCAGCGGTTAAGTATTAGGAAAATCAAATGCGTCATTTACTGGATAGAGATTTATCCACGTGATAGCGTTGAATATTTTTATCCACAGACCCCAGACATCAAACTAACTTCAAGTTAAACGTCATACTCGACAGTTTCATATGCAAACTTTGCTAAATTGAACGATCACGTTTTGTTATTTTTCTTTAAGAAACACTTTATAGTCTATTGCATGATGAACAGCTGTAAAACAAAGAATTGCCACTTTGTCTAGCATGACAATATAACAGGCAACAATGCTGCCAGCATTATGTCACAGGAAAGTTCTACTCCATAACTTTCGAATGGGCATAGGCGTCTTTTACTGTCTCAAAATTCTTATAACTTCCTCGCACAGTGTAATGAAATACTAATGGGTAGCTCTTCGGACGGCTTATATTTCAGTCGAGTGACTCTGAATTTGATATACCGTGATATGGCACGAGTCAGGGCTTTCTTTTGAGTTTTCGGCACGTGTTAGATGCAGTATAATGTAACAGTATTAAAGCTTCTATTTCAGTGGATTCGTTTTGGAATTTTATCTATTGATTGTAGCTAAAAGCAAGAACTGCGTAGGACCGAATGTTTAGCAGTTAATACGGGGAACTTTAAGAGTGATCGGCATTCATTTGAGTTTTTGGCCCGGGGGGAGGGGGGGGACTCCCATACAGAAGTGACAGGGATGCTCGTCGGTAAATTCAAATTAAACCCCTAATGGAGAGCAATTTTGGTGTGGCTCAAGCTTAAACTGACCCCTAAGGGAGATTTCTCTGTGTGGTCAGTTTCAGGGCATTTTTCGTAAACATCTTTGTGCACAGTACTAAGCGATACCTGAATGGGCAAATATAGTGACTCTCCATCCCAAACACCCTAAGTGAGAGCAAAATCTGCAATTTACACCCCAAAGCGAGACAACAAGCATCCCGTCACTTTAATATGGGAGTTCCCCCCCGGGAGTTTTGGCTGGCGCAATGTATAGCTTAAATCTCTTCTTTTTACTTATATCCGCAGAACTATCTAGAACCACGCATCATGAAATAGTTAGCAGTACAAATACGAGAAATTCCCCACCCTAAGTGATCCACGATTCCAAAAGTTGGAGATAAATCAGTAAATAGTACTACAGCAAAAGATGTTAGGCAGACTGGAATTTCATCCTAGGTCAAAATTTTAGAAATGCATTCGTCGAGTACTATCATTTGATTGCTGATAGTAATCTGATAACTTGGTTTCCTAATTACGTTAATTTGATCTTTACTCGAAAAAATAACAAGCAAAATGATCTTGATAAAGATGTGACGTGTATTATGTCACAAGCGTGTGATGAGTAATAAATCTGATTCCATGACTTCATCTTGAAAGTTTGATCTTCCTGAAGACAGTAGGGCGCCATAGCGACCCTCGCACGGGCCACTTCGTAAAACGGAATCCTGATGTCTCAATCGTTTGGGAATGTATTAGAAAAGACAGTTCCTTTCAACTGTAGACTTCCCATTGGCTCGTTTTTGCCTTTACAAAGAAAAGAAAGGAAATTAAAGGAAAAAAATTAGACAGTAGTGAACCGTTTGTTGGACGTGAAGAATCCGTATGATCTGCAGTCTTGAATTCGATTTTGGACTCTCCAAAAGTATGTTATTTCAGCATTTGATGTCATAAAATTCAACCGCAACATTATGTACAGTCGACACCCGATAACTTGGACCCTCGGTAACTCGAACTCCCCGCTAACTCGAAGTAATTTTTGTTTCCCATCAGATCATTTCTACAATATTTCACCCTCGATAACTCGTACCATGTTTAAAGCGCGTGACAAATTGATTAAAAAAAATTGTTGTGTACTGTAGTCCGAAACAGTGAATTTTTTTTAAATATCAACCGTGTATTCTTTGTCTTTACTTTTTGTCAGTTCAGTGTAAATATTGTCCAGCCCTGTATATTAATCAAGTTTTGTTGTTTAAAATGCTCAATTACTTTTTCAAAAATCATGTCTCTTGCTGCCCTTGAAGTGAAGGGTGCATGGTACTTGCATTGAATTTCTTCCTCATCCACAAGGTTAGCTGTCGCGCTTGTCACCACCACAAATTAATGTGATTGTTTGAAAACCGTATTTTCCTTATTCCCGGTTTTTTGCTACGAAATTCCGATAACTTGAACTTCCGATAGCTCGAAGCCATTTTTTCAATTTCCCTTGAGGGTTCGAGTTATCGGGAGTCGACTGTACGTAATGCAGTACAGTTATGCCAAGATATATAATGCACAGGATGAGGGAAAAAAAAACATTAATCAATAATGTAGTAAGTTGGTAATTTTGCCCTCAAATGCTGCTAGTGTCCACGTTCATAAATCATTCTCCGTGAGGGGACAGCTCCCATTACCCATTACACTTTTTCTTCTTTCCGAGGAGGTCGACTTAAGGTAGTTTTGACCGTTCATTTCGTTGTTAGGTATGTGTTAATGAGTGTGGGCGGCTGCTACACGGACTTTCATATCGATTTTGGTGGAACATCCGTTTGGTACCATATTATGAGGGGCAAGAAGGTGAGGTTTTTTAACTCCTTTAGTGGAAATTCGCCGTCACAGCATTGTCCGAAGAAAGTGATGCCTCTCGTTTGGCTTACATTTGAATAGTCTACCCCCCCCCCCCGTTGTTTACTCATTTTTAATAGCATTACGTTTAGACGGTCCGGGACGAATATTTGAAAACCGGCCTAGGCTCAATTTTCGCCGCACTTCAGAGTCCGGTCTTTGCTCCTTATCGGGAGAGCTTCTTTCAAATGGATGAGTGCGGGTTCTTTTTCCCGAACAGTAGAGCTGAGAGCAAACTCTCCATTTGGGGGATATATACCGTGAAAAGTACATGCGCACGCACGCTCGCGTGGCTCGCGCAGGCTACCCGAACAGCCGCTGGTAATCAATGAAAAGGAGTCGTCATAGATCTGAGAAATGACGTCAAAATGTTCGACTGATTTCACTGCAACGGTTTTTGGACATTCATAAAGTGCAGTAAATGAAGGGTCATGCAATCTTTTCTATGCAGAGAAAGAGACTTTAGATCCATTATTACAAACGAGATGGATTCTACTCTCGTCTTGTTTATTTACCCCCTTCACTTATAAGTACGTTTTCTGGGAGCTCAACACTTTTGTTCGATAACAACAAATCCTTGATAGCAACATGATAAAAAAAAATCGTGTTGAAATATTTGCGGCCATAATATTGGTTTCAATATCATCCGGTTTTGAAGTGGTAGGTTTGTAAAGAAACAAGGTCATATTTCCTTTCCTGGGTCATATTTCCTTTCCCCCATTTTTAGGGGGAAGAAAGTGATTAAGCCCCCCTTCCCCTTCCTCTTATTAAGATGGACCTTATAAATCAATCACGACAATAATTCGTGTGGACTGTACCGGTATAGTTTATTCACGTACTGCCAGTTCGGATTTGCTTTCGATCTTCAGCTACATGACCTCTAACCTCATGTACCTGAGCTTTTCCACTTTACTTTCTAGTTATTTATGGAGAATTGATAACGTCATATTCACTAAATTAGATAAGCCCCCCGCTTTTCTCAAATAACTCCCGGGGAGCTTTATAGAGGATTTACGGTAATACAAATTGTGTTGATGTTAATATTGTGGGTGTTCTGTAGGTTTTTTGGCTTATTCCACCCACGGAAAAGAATCTTCATTTGTACGAGCAGTGGGTGTTATCTGGAAAACAACAAAACGTTTTTTTTGGCGACCAAGTTGAGAAATGTTGTCGCACTTACTTGGAAACAGGAGATACCTTCTTAATTCCCACAGGTAAGAGGCAATATAAGTTTTAACACTCTTCCATGCTGTCAATAAATGAATTATACTTTATAAGCCCTCCATTCATATCAAACTTTTGCGATAACTACAATATATAATCATTTAACGCTTAGGCCAAACGTCGAACCAAACTTAATGAGTTAAGTTCAACGCGTCTTAAGTTCGACGTCTGACCCAACAGACGATCTTAAACTTAATTTAGGTCGACCCAAGTTAGAGTGTTGTTCGTCTCATGAAAAGTTCGACGTTTGGCCTAGGCCTAAGTGAACATGCTTCCATTAAAAAAGAACGTAATTTACGATTCAAACGTTAACCCTTTGTGACCATTTGTATGCTTTTCAACCGCTCGGTTGCAGTTTACAGTTTTTGTAGAAACCAATTCTATTACCGTGTTTTTTTCTCTTTTTTTTTCTTGGGCATTTTTGAGCTGGTCTTTTTGTGTGATGCATTGTTTTGTTTTGTTTTGTTTTGTTTGTCAAGTCTTCTTCTGAAAAAGTAAATTTATTCCAAAAATAGGAAGCGTAAAATTATTGAAAGGCTCGTTCATTCTTGGACAAAGTTGGAGCTAAAAGCTCAGCCATATGTTATCAAACTTACAGATACTCGTTTAACATTACCTCCGTTTTTACTGATTTACTTAAGGAAGTAACTGACTACTCTCTTCCAATTTCAGTTAAGTTTATTATTTTCGTGGCCTTATCCACATTGTAGTTTGTAATATAGTTTTTGTTGTTGTGCGTTTTATGCAGCGTAGTCCCTTAGCCTTCTCTCTTGCCCTGTTGTCCGCGCGAAGCCCGGGAAAGGGTGCAAGTGTCTCTCGGTGACGTCACAACTGACGGTAAAGTCCAGGATCAACCTACGGAGTAGATAACGCCTATTTGCCACTAGCACATCTCCCATAATGCACCTATTTTGCCCTCCAAAATTTTGCATAACCTTTGTTTTTCATTTCTCCTGAGTATTACAGCTGTCCCTAGAGAAATTGAAAACGATGCTTATGCAACATTTTGGGGGACAAATAAGGTGCCTTATGGGAGATGTGCAAGTGGCGAATGGACTAGGCTGTATGTTATGCATTGCAGAGTGAATCCTGTATTTTGCATGTCATGCATTACCATCTTATTGGTTATTCGTGTTGTGCAGGGTGGATCCATGCGGTTTTTACTCCAGAAGACTCGCTGGTATTTGGTGGCAATTTCATTCACAGTTTCAACATCCCAGGACAAATTAAGATCAGCGAGATCGAAGACAGTACGAAGGTAACTTGTGAGGTTGACCACAGAGTTATCTTTTAAATAGTCTATCTTTATTTAATTCTCGCTCGTTTGCGCATTCCATTTCGATGCAGCAAAAGACTTGTTCCACATAATTTACGTATTTTTACGAGACAAAAATAGAATGTACGGCTACCATCTCTCTGGTAAGTGACTGGCGTTAGACTTAGCTCTCCCCTTGGAAAATTGACGTGGAGAATAGAGAAGAGGAGTGATGGCGTCACAGACACTACGTTTGTGAAATTATGGGATCGGTTGGCGTTTCCAGAAAGAACAAGATGAAACATGTTTACTTGCTCAAAATCAGCCTGTTGGTACAAATTGGCGGGGAGATATAGGCAACGTTATGCTCCGGTGACTCCATATAAATCTTTCTAAAATAGGCCTGGATCGTTAACGTTTCTATCCAAGCCAATTTTAGAAGGATTTGTATGGAGTCATCAGAGCAACCCTGTGCTTATATCTCCTCACCGGTTTGTACTAACAGTCTGATTTTAAGCAAGGGGCTATTTTCATCTTATTCTTTCTGGTCGTTTTGGTGGGTTTTCACGAAAAGCCTGGTGGCAAATGTCTCTAATGAGTGAAGTAGAACTGGAAGTCAAACGGCAAAAAAAAAGCATTTAAACCAAGCAACTTTAAGTTAGTTTTGGAAAGCCGAACTTCTAATTCTGAACCATTTTGCTTTTTTCACCAGGTTCCCCTGAAGTTTCGATATCCATTCTTGCCGCAAATTATGTGGTATGCCGCTGACAAGTATGTTCGGCTTTTGGAGCGAGACATAAAAGAACGATGTCTAATCGAGACACCGAAAAAAGACTCAAGAAAACAGGGAGCAGAAAATCCCAAGAAAAAAGAAACACTTGGTGTTAAAAGACCAGTCAAAACTGAGAGCGAAGAAAAGAGCGAAGAAACCAGTTCTCCTGCGAAGAAAGACGCTGCTGGAGAAGACACAGCGGGGACGCCGAGCCGCCGAAGATCAAGCCGAGTCGCGAAGAACGAGGAGATCGCCCGCCAAGCACAGGAGAACAAAGAAAAGGCAGTAGTACAGAAAGAGGAGGAGAGTGAAGGAGATAACCGAAAAAAGAGAACTCCTAAAAAAGCAAAGCATAGCGAAGAAATGAACGGACAACACCACGAAGAAAATGATGAGAATGACAATTCACCTGAAGTGAAAGAGGAAGAGAAGACTCCGTGGTCTGCTGTCTACCTTACCCGGTTTGAAATGGATGGGTTATATAAGCTAATGCAGAAACTAAGAACATGGCCTCTGGCTAAAAAGAACGTTCCTGAAAAGGTGCAAGATCCTGATAAAATATTGGAGAGACTGGAGGTTTGTGTCACGTGAGCCTCCCCCTTTATTAAATTAAGCTTGATTCGATGAGATCGTATACTCTCTTCCCATAACCCTACGGCCCCAATGTAGACAATCGTCAACCCTTTGGCCCAGCACAAAAGAACAATCAGTAGGTGTAAAAGAATGTTCTATTTACTGGCTTTGCTGAAGTATTGGCTGTTTGCTCTTTTTGTCCTCGTGCGAAGGCCCCTCTCCGGCTTAGAGAGAGAGGACGCTCTGGGGACGAGACTGCACCCTTTTGCCACGTTTTCGTGCGTCTTCCATAAATCCGCGTATGACCCGTTTCACTGGCGTTCGATCCCTTCAAACTCAAATTTGTTAGATAAAGAACGTCTGAGTACGAGTCAAGGCTCTTTTTAGTAGCTTTACATGCCAATATTTCTTCACTGTGCTTCAAGAAAACGGACAGTTCATTTTGCTCAAAAATTAAGGCAACGAAAGAATGAATAATAATTCTCATAACAGTATAAAAAAAAATCGACTTGTATTACGAGAGTTAAACGTGGCAGTCTCTCTACTGTGAAACTTCCCGATCGAATCGGTATTTTATAATTCTGGTTTCGGTGGAGGGAGTATTTCCAGGGAGCAAAAACAAGTTCAATTCCCAATAAACCCTGTCTCATCAAGAAATACGTGGCAGGTGTTTGCTAGAGCAAGGAAAAGAGAAAAATTGGCACGATAGAACTCGATGGACTCCCTCGCGCGCCCCATTTTGCCCTTTCCTCGTCCCTTTCGAATGCCTGCAACCAAGGCTAACTCCCACTATAATCCTAGAGATAAGCCATACAGTTCCCCAAGCCAGAAGTCCAGGTTATTATCACTTATATTCATGGTGAAAACCTGGACTACGAGGAGTTCCTTAATTTTCTCGGGGATAGTAGGGTGAGAGAACATACACGAGCGGGTGTGAAAAATAGTTACCTGCGGGAAGGGGGGACCCCTTTCTTCCGCGTGACGTCTCTCCTCGCTGGTGACGATTTCCACGCACGCTAGCGTGTGTTGCTCGTTCTGATAGCCCAGCGGACGTAACGGTCTGACTCGTAGTCTTTTTTCACCAGAAGTCACTAAGCTTCTAACCCCCCCCCCCCCCAAATGGATAACTGCAGAGACAAAAATGTTTTCCGTAACAGGGCGTTAGTCGCTGCTAGTGTATTCTGTGTGTTAACGCCCGGAAAAAAATATGTCCTCTTTCACTGGGATACGGACCTTCTTAAAAATCGGCCTGGAACACTGTGTGCATTTTTACACCAGTTTTGTGTTGTTCACTCAGGAGTTACTTGTCCTCCACCGAGATGACGATCCAGCTCTAGCAGCCTCGGGTATGCAGTATCTGCTACAAATTGACCAACCTCAGGTAACATAATATTCCTCGCAGCTGAACTGTCACGCAATATCTTTATTTGCTATGAACAATTCTATGTACCGAGGGTTGAGCACATAGCGTGAAAACGCTAACAAACCAGCTGGCCTCCTGACATGACCAAAACGATAAAATATATGCAGTGAAAATAACATTACAATATGATTTAAGAAAATGCTAAAAAGTAGAAAAATAACATTGAACATGCATTACAGAATACAACGGTTTAAAAACTGATGACTTCAGTAAGGTACTTTTCCAAGCCTTGTTAGCAAGCTCGAGCAGACTTGCAAGATAAAATTCGAATCCCTACAGTTATCCCACTACAATGAACGAAAGGCAAATCCCTTTCGTAACTGCCCAGCCGAACAGTTCATTTTGAAAAGAAATGTGCTTTTCTCGAAGGTTTTCGCTAAAAACTTATCACCGCTGTGCATACTATTTAGAAATCGAAATTAGAGGTTCTAGAGAGTTGCATACTATCCGATCGACTTATCTGACTTGCTAGTCCAGAGTAATAGTGAAATTCGCAATACGAATGAACTGGTCTGACCGGCTAGTTCTGAGCAATGCAAATGTCCTAAGACTCTTAATAGCTCTCAAAACAAGAGTACAGCAACACAGTCGCGTGTTTCCTTGTGCTTTTATTGGATAACTAAGAAGGGTTCATGGTATTGACTTGCTTTTTTCTCTACAGAAAAAGTCGGTGATGAAAAAGCACGTTTCCAGAGGACCAATGATTGGTACAAAGGTCGGCCCAGGAATAAGACGTCGACGCACTCGATGTGGGCAGTGCGAGAATTGCCAGCGAGAGGACTGTGGCGAGTGCAAAACTTGTAAAGATATGAAGAAGTTTGGAGGACCAGGAAGAATGAAACAATCCTGTCAACTGCGAGTTTGCACTGATGTACGATCAACTGTTATTTGGCTATAATACGGGAGTTAATAGAGATAGGATTGACGCTTCAAAGGAGGCAGATTACCTCTTAGTTTGTTTACACCTTTGTGGCCATTTCAGGTGCCCTGTTCTGGCCCTTTCTCTCTTAAGAATATCAAACATCGGAATTTGGGAAACAATCGAATTTTTGTTTTGTCAAATGTTGTAAACTGACAAATGGCACCATATAAACGGACGGATGAAGAGGTTTTTATTGAATGATCCCTTAAGAGGATTTCCTCCCCAGACTCAAACTTCCTAAACCTGTCTCCATGAGTGGAAGATGAATCATTTTGGACGGTTTATTTCAGAAAGGAATTTGAAAATATTTATCCCTGCTGCCATTATACTCCCGTAGGAGTCTTTCGATTCACTCTCAGTCAATTCGGAGACGGGTAATGTCGATTGAATTTTGAGTCTAGACGGAATCCTCTGGCGTTTTTGGTGGTACAATCAAACGCCGCTAAGACATAGTGTCCGTATTAACGGAGTGTCCTATTATGAAGCGGATTGAATTTAGAGGAAATGTAGGAGATTTCTTTCCCCAGGGACAAATCAAACTGTCCGTGATAATGAGGTGTCCATAAAGCGGGATTCGGCTGTACTTCGAACGGAATCATTTGCAAACAGGAATTTAGGATTTTTGTTTAATTTCAGTTCCCCACTCGTTAAGGGACTTGTCAGAAATTAACAGGGGGGGAGGAGGGTGGGAATTTTAAATTTGGGTTCGGAAATGAGGTGACCCATCCCTGCAATGGAAGTGAAATTTGCTAACCCTCCCCTTGAGCTTGACCTAAAATATCAATATACCCTCCCCCTCTTGTATAAATAATAAAATCTAGTTCTTGCAGTACACTAGGGTGAGTCAGTATTATGAAAGCTCAAAATACATTTCTAATATGTTCTTTGTAATGCCATATACGTACATTTTAGATGACAGCATTAAGAGTCCGACTCTGATTCTAACAGCTTTCACTCGACTCTCCTATTTCTCCCACTTTTTTTTTTTTTTACAAAATAAAGAACTTTTTTCTTTTGTGGGTGAACCTCTACATGATCACGGACACATATTTGTATCACCCTCCCCCTTTCAACGGCCCATTTTTCATAGCCCCTCCCTTTTCTGCAGTCTCAAAAAGTTGTGACCCTCCCTCTGTTTCCACCCCACCTCCCCCCCTGCTAATTTCTGACAAGTCCCTAAGGGTGAAAAGTTTTAGAGTCAGTTATTTGTTATTTCATTACAGCCCAACTTGCCGACCTGTGTGCGCTGTTTGGTATGCAAGGAAGTGAACAAAGAAGAGCACCCCTTAATGGAGTGTAGGCTCTGTGGTGAGATTGTTCATCCAACCTGTCTGGGTGACACTAAGGGGCGCTGTAAAATGGTCACAGAGATTAACAACTGTTGGGAGTGCCCCAAGTGCTGTAAGGACTCATCTGTAAGTGTGTGTTATAATAGTTATCCGCTAAGTTAACATTTGTGGGATCGTCTTATCGACTAGATTTTAGACTATGAAAGGTCGGTTATTTTCCGCGAAAGATAGTAAATAAACAAAACACACGAGAGCGCGGGGTATCCATTCCCCTTCCCCGCCCCACCCCCCGAGCCAGGAGAACTAATGGGGAAGAGAAATGGGTCAGGAAAAGAAGGGCGAGATCCAGTCATGCGTTGTGAATATAGCGATGATTCGGCACTCAAATGAAAACTGATAATTTTTCTCCGTACTGTGTAAAACATTTGTTTTGAACTTCCCTTTTCGTTTTGGAAATAGGGAGGCTTATACTCACGCAAAAGTACTGCTATTTTCAAATCAAAACGAGAAGCATGCAACTTTTTCTGACCTTCCTATACTCTTTTCTCTTTCTAGGCTTCGTCTCTCGGGGATCTACAACTCTCACCTGCGAAGAAACGAAAGGTAATAACAAGCCCACTCCGAAGAGACGCAAGGACAGCTAATCGGGACAAAATATCCAAGGGCGAAATCATTCTCAGCAAAGTTTGCGAGAATAATGTTAGAGCTTCTGGGCCCTTCCTGTCACCAAACCAGTTTCAGAAGCATCTGAATTTCCGGCTTCTGATTGGCTAGGAAATGAATCAGAAGCAGGGGAGGATCCAGTAGCCTGCTAGCAAACGCGTCTCCTTTCGCGTGCTGCTCTTGCGTGAAATCTCGCGACTCTCCTAAATGAAGAGCTTGCTCGTGGGCTAGGGTTCCAAACGCTTAAGTGTCCAGCTGCTCTGCAGTTCCTCCTGCAGCACTTTTCGTCCTTAACAATCCCCTCTTAGTCAGCTGCGCCGGGGTTCCTTGCTTTGTTCGTTTCTCTTGTGTTTTTGCTTTTCTGTTTTTTGTATTTGACTTTACGAGAGTAGTGTTAGGATTTGAAATAACTCAGAAATGCTTTTGTCTCATCAGTTACATTTTCTCTCTTACCATAGGCAAGTCCCTCTAAAGATTCTTCAAAAAAGGTATGTCACTGGTTTTTATTCTTTTCTTAACGGTGAGCTACAGCTAGAAATATACGTCGAATTAACTGAGGAGTTTTCAGAAAAGTTGGAAGGCTGGCAATTATTTAACATCCACTTCATCTCAGAAATTCTTCCGTTCTTTAAGAAATGAACGAAAAGATGACATAACGTGCAGAAACACTGATTTGTAGGTTTGTTTACGGAAGATTGGGAAACAAGCGGGTCCACAGAAAATTCGATGCGCGTGAAATATATGCGTTAGAGGCGATTTTTCGCGCGCCAATTCTATCGCCCATTCTACAGCCTCAGAGCAAGATCTCCTAAGTCTCCTCTCACTTTATTGGTCAGGAGGAGATTTTCATTTCTGTTTGTTTCGTGGCTGTTTTAGATTAAAAGAGTGCATCAAAGTGGAAGTGAGAAACAGTCGGTAAGTGATAAGTAGCATTAACTGGGTCCATAATACAGACTGGCTGCTTTTAAAAAACAAATACTAAATTAATTTATTTTTGACGAGATTTTATGCTTTTCGAAAGACCAGAAGAGTAGTGAAGAGTGCAAAAGGATTGTTGTTTAATCGACTCGAGCGCATCTTACGTGCAATTTAATGATGCGAATGTTGCATAGCCTCGTATACATACTTTTTAAGAGGATCGCAACCTCGTTCCCAGGATCGTATTGTCCACTCTCCCTCCAGGAGAAGGAAAAAAGAGAGACACTGGGAACGAGGTTGATAGGATCGTTACCTGACGACCTAAAAGGACATGCGCGTGACGCTACATGCATAATAAGACCTGTTTCCTAAAGTTCTCATTGATATGTGTATAATTACAGCTACTTGTTAACATCCTCGCAAGTAAGACTGAATTGCGAAAGATTTGCTCGTACTAGTCTCTTTTACGTGGAAACGAGCCTCGATAAAAGCGTTCTGATTGAAATCTTGAATTTGTACGTCGCATTTCAGAAAAACGATGTTAGATATTTCTGACTCATGATAGTATCGAGCAGTCTTGTAAATGTCGCTTATTTTCCTATACTGCTGTGAGACTTACTTCTGGTCATCTGATAACGCAGAAGGGTTTGTGAACCTGTCTTCAAGACTTGAATCACCAATCATCAAGTTAAAAGACAAATGGCTCGCCGAACCATTACATAGTCCACGTCTGATTAAAAGAATGCAACAACGCAACATTACGCGCAGTTGCAGCTTGTGGGGTAGTTCCCAGTGTAAATTAAATGCGTTAATAAACCATTTCCGAAATGCCTCGATCCTTTGTTTGAAAACGAAGATAAGTGCGAAGTTTCTGTTATAAAATACTTTATTTTCATGCAAATAAACTCGTTTGTGTACCTACGGTTTTGCACTTTTGATTTGAGGAATTTTGGATTTTGCACTCGGAAATAGCCGATTGCTGTTTCTCAGCCCGCGTTGATGGTGGTTTCGTTTGAGCGAGGTAAAGAAGGAAGCTTCATTGGCGTCGACGCCACGAAAACAAGGGGTGAAATCGCGAGAAGAATAATTCCCCCTCTTCATATCTCTCACGGCTATGTTGGCTAGCTGTTAAGTCAGTTAGCGAGGTCAGTGCTGTCGATTTCGAGCCGCCTGAAATGCGACGTATAAACCAGGCTTCATTTGATCGTCGTGCTTTGAGTCATCAAGTGACTATCTATGGTTTAGGTTTTGAGTCAGAGAGTGACTATGGCACGTGTTAAGTTTTATTTGTCATGTTTCACTTATCCATGTCATTCCCTACGCTGCATTCACTTTTCCGGTGGCTGTTCGGCTTCCACGAGAAGAGGGACTGTACGCTTATAGACGGCCTGAATAGCAAAGTCAACTAAAAACTCATCTCCAAACTCATTTTCCTAATCGACAGGATGACTGTGCTGCTAAACTTTCGCCTCAGAAAGCTCTCGGGACAGCACCGCTAAGTATGTGATACAGTAGTCAGATTTTCTGTGTACTGATTGTTGTGACTGCACTAAGTGACAAATTTGGAACTCAAGTTCGGCCATTTCTGGGATTATGTGCCCAGCCGAGCCACCATAATGGCTACCTCTTCTCAGCGGCCGTACATCACCATAAGCATATTTTGTTCTACACTCCGCAGAGGCTCCAGTCATTCAGCCAGCAAACAGAATTACAAACGAGATCGAATATTCAAACCATTCAAATTCGCTATTTTAGAAACGACAAGGAAACTGGGCCGAGTTAACTTTCGCAAAGACTTCTGGGACTGTTACTTGGAACAGAGAAAAAATTGACCAATAGCTGACCGGTGCGTCCCCATTAACGATACCAGAAACAACTGCGGGACATATTTCAGCTCCAGTTCTCCTCTCGTTTCTGAAGTGGCGAATGGAAAAGAGAGTCTGGAAACCTCTCCTCCCAGTGTTCTCTGAGCTAGCAGTAAAGGGGCCTCTGCGAAGGAAGGGACTATTTGCACTTCACCAAGCACTAAATCAGTTGCTTTGACACAGGCCATTCTAAACCCCTTCACTGCAAGTTTTTCCTGCCACGGTAGTCCACTCAAAAACATCGCACAACTAGTTTTCAGCTGTCAGAGTGGTTACGGTAAAGGAATTCGTTGACAGACTTTCGAATTGGGTTTCAAGTCGTGTGGTTGAAATGGTCAACTTGATGACCGAAAAGCCGTCGTAAGGTATTGTAGGGTAGCCTTCAAGGCAGGTCACATTCTCGAGCGAATCCTTTATAAAGAGAAATAAATATCGGTGCGTGACGGACTAGAGCAAGAGTACGTACAAAGAGCGTGGTCACTTATTGCAACCAGTCGAGAGTCAGCATTTCGCATACCCAGGATCTACAAAGTCTTATCTGAAACTCGACTAGTTTTTTACCGTCTTTTGAACATTTTTCCAACAGCTAAAGTTGTTCTGTTGCCTCCCCTGACCCCGTTGTCCGAAACGGCTTGGAATGAACGGTTTCGAACATTTCCACGCGTGTACTTTAGGTCTTGCAATAGGCATAGTGCTTTTAATCCTAATACCGACCGAGACCGACATTCAAGGAAAAACGTAGACGAGAAAGGAGCAGTTACTTCTAAGAGCTGAAGAGCTTAAGTTTGAATGGTTACACTTGAGATTGTTATTTATGAAAGCGGTTTCACGGTGGCAGTGAAGGGGTTCCCACTCATAAGCACATTGTGAAAAACACATATAACCATTAAAAATAGTAACATTAATGATGTAGACAACGACAGAACAGTGCTAATTATAATGGTAATGATGGCAATTGTGATAGTGATAACACCTATAATAATAATAATAATAATAATAATAATAATAATAACAATAATAATATTTTTTAATTGATAATAATAATAAATTTTATTCAACTTTAAAAATATGTATATAATTTACAGAAATATTTGAAGTAAGAATTTAGCACTATATAACATCAAGAATCATAAAAATCATAAAAATACAATCACTGTGTCAATAACGATTTCCCAAATACATTCCTTGCGGCTCAGATGCGATCAATAACTCTTGCAGGCAAGCCAGAGTTGTAAATTAAGTCATTGCAAAAGAGAATTATCCGCCTCTGATATTAAAAAGAAACAAGCTAAAAAAAATAAAATCTAGTATTCCTAAATTCCTAATTCTTTAAAAAGTTCTTAAAAAAATAAAAATATATATAATAATAATAACAACAACGATGGTAGTAATTCTAAAATAGTATTAGTTGTGATAACAATAATGGTAACGTTATAATGACAATTAATAATGATTATTTGACAATATTTTTGTATTTCTTGCAGAGGAGCAAAATGGACAGCAGCGAGTCCTCAGAAGAAGAAAGTGATCCAGAATCTATTGCTGCTGATGACGATGAGGAGGAGGAGGTTACTCCTCCATCTAAGCGCCGCCCTGTTGTAGTGCCCAAACTCCCTGTTGGTCCCCCGCCGGAAGTGAAACCCAAGCGCGTGGTTCGTCCGTGCCCTATTTCTCCTCCGCCTCAGTCTTTTATGTTAGTAAATGACCAAAATCATGTGATGGACCGTCAGCTTTGGCTTGAAGTGTTCAGCTTTCTCTCGCAACCTGAGTTGTGCGTGTGCATGCGCGTATGTCGTACATGGAACCGCTGGTGCATGGATCGACGGCTCTGGTCAGTTATTGACCTATCAGAGAAAAAAGTCGTCAGCGCTGCTGCTCTCAAGGGAATTGTTCGACGTCAGCCGACCACGCTGAACCTTAGCTGGACAAACGTTACATTTCAACAACTGAAGTGGCTGCTGAACCGCCTGCCGAGAATCCGGGAACTTTATCTAAGTGGCACGACAGAAGCCACACTTTATGCTCTCTCGTCTGTTGTCTGCCCTCGGCTCAAAGTCCTTGGACTAAGCTGGTCCGTGGGAATCACTGACTCGTTGTTGAAGGAAATCATCTTGCCTGTTTCTGACTCTCGCGCCGGTTCTGTGGAGAGCAAAAGCTCGTTTTACAGGCTAACTACTTTATTTCTTTCCGGATGTGACGTGACCGGGTCGTCTCTACGTCTTTTGGTTCAGCATTGCCCGGATTTGCGCAAGCTTGATTTGAGCCTCTGCCCTGGAATAACCGATCAAGACATTGAAAGTGTCTGTGGCCAAGCTTTGATCAATGAGTTCCTTCTTAGTGGTTGTGCCAGTCTGACTGATAAATGTTTGTCTTTTTTGAAGCTTTTCCCTTCCATTGCACGCCTCGACCTTCGTTCCTGCACTGGCGTTTCGACTGATGCTCTGCAAGAATTTGTTAAAAACTCCAAGGATGACCTCAAAATAATGGATAAAAAGCTTATTGTAATTAAGTAACTTTAGCTGATAGGCCGGCTAATTTCTCTTACACTATAGACTATCAAAACAAATAGTTTTACTTCGTTTACCTATCCAACACTCCTTCTCTAACTCTCTTACGTCTGTCATTGTTTCTGCTCCCCTCGTTTAGTTAAGTATTATTATTTTTTGATTTTCAACCGCTTTACTCGTACAAGAGAGAATGCCTTCTTTCTGTTAAGAATTCTTTAAAGCACAATCCTAAAAACAACCAAAATGTCATGTGAAAAACTTGGGAAAAAAAAGATTGAACCATGTTTAAATGATCTTAATTTCTAATGGAGTTTTTCTATGACCACACTGTACAGTTGTTCCACTGATGGAGATGAGATGTTCTAATTATAGTACATTTTATGCTGCCTTGATACCAGTTCCCGATTTGCCATTTCATTTTCAGGAACAGCTGAAATACGACTTTTCATTAGTGGTTCTGCTACTCCACGCTTTAACAAACTTAGTTTTGCTGATTCACAACCTTCTTCTTCATAAACGCCCAAACGTTTGGCCAAATACGAAATTTCATACCAATACCTATGCTTTTATATGCAATCCGCCAAATTACATGCACTTCAGACATGATAAACTATGGTCGAATTAGTAAGGTGCTATGTACCTCGCGTAGGTTCGGTGTGGCTGCAAAACATTTACGGCCAAGTTGTGACCAGTTGCATGTTTAGACAGTCTCTTTTCACATTTTGTCTCATAGTTACAGCATAGGTACGGTTTCAGTGACATCGAAACCTTATACAACTGGCCTTACACTTACATTTGATCTGTAGGCTGGACTAATGCAAGAAAAAAAATGTGATCTAAGTTGTCGTTACTTTAAAATGGTACCATCTTTGTTATATTCAATCATTCACTTTGTCCCTCTTCTCCATGTGAATTGTTTTTACTCTGACGTCTCATTAGACGTTAGTATCCACATATTCGGAGGTCAGAACCACCTCTTATAGTGGAACGTAATCAATCCTTCAAGAAACTACACTGTACGGCTTTTGTACGAATTTTTTTTTGGAACAAAAGTTTCTTGAAGGCGTAGATGGAATGAACTTAATAGGGCTTTGTTCTCACTCTTTGATGTCGCAAAACTGACAGCAGTTGTTGGTAGCGGCACTTGGCATTTGGATGAGAACTTTGTAGACTGCAAGTAGTCTGTTATTTTTCTTCAAATATAGTGGGTTGTCACGGGTATCACGACGCGGGAGTGCCGCGTGTAGAGCTTTTAGCCTTTTGAAACATCCTTGGTTTCTCTGCCGGCATACAGTTGACGCTCATGTTTGGAACGTTTCAAAACATTAAAATGCAGATGGTATTTAAAAACCTTAACCGGCATCTATCAGTTTTGTTTGCAGCTCGTATGAATGACTTTATTTCGGAGTGATTTGGTAGCGACTGTTTACCCCATGGTAACAGTACTGGAAAGAAACTCCCAATAAAAACATTCTCCACATTTGCTTTCGTTTTACCATCCATTTTTCCTCTCGAATTTTGAGGTTGTGATTACATTCTCCTGAGATAGACTTTCAAATCCATTTTTTCCCTAGGAATAGAAGTTTATCTCGATCATTATCATGTAAACGTAGCCTTCGTTTTCTATTTTAACCCCAACCGTTTAGTCGGGTGAAAAACACGGATGTTATCACAGGCTGCTTTCCGTCATATTTGAACGCGTCTTACTTACCGGTATGGTTTGCTGTAAATTTTGCTGGCTTGTTTTCAGGCATAATATGATCTTTATTGTAAAAGGTTACTATAATTCATATTTTTAATGATCTTTTATTAACTTTTGAGTGGTGAGTTAGAATTTTGTATTTCAACATTTTGTACATTGCACTAGTTTGAAGAGCGAACTTTTAACTTATAAATAAAACGTGTCCAATAAAATTTGCTGTAAAGTTACAATTACCTTTAAGTTATTAGCAATTAGTTGCTTCCCATGATGTTGCTGTACTTTTGGGTTAAATTTTGTGTCTTGTCCTTTTGTATTTGAGATGTAAAATGCAGTTGAAGGGATCACATTTGTATTTTATAGAGAAGATCTTTGTTTCTACAGCTGGGATTTCTTGCCTTTGATAGAAAATTTCAGAGATTGACGACTCTTAATGTTTGTTATATTTAAGCAGTCAACTTCAGGGGGCGTGGGGGGTACTTACGGAATGGGACCGTGAAACTCTCTTACCCTGTACCAGAACTATTTCAGCAGAATTTTGCTGCGCTACTTTGATTTAACAAATTGATCAGTTTCCTGGAAAATTATCATCTTTTCTAGCCATAACTCTGTGATATCTATAAACTAATCTATCCCAGACTAAACTGCTGGAAAACCCTTCACATATCTGGCAATACCCACCACCCACCTCCCCTCCACCCCCAGGTGAACCTCTCATTGCTTACCACAGGCTGGTCCTGGGTATATGGACATCATCCCCTCCAAAGATTTTTGTTTTGACTGGAGGGGGAAGGTGTATACATGGTTCGCAGGTTTTGAACACTTTGTAAGCATCTAAAAGGGAAAACAGATAATATTAATATCTGCAACACCAAGAAACTAAGGGGAGACTCCCATATAAAAGTGACGGAGACCCCTAATGGAGATAAATGTAGGTGTGGCTCAAGGATGTCAACATAGAATGCGTTCATCAGATTTCTGTGTGGTCAGTGTCACAGCATTTTTTGTAAATTTCTTTATGCACAGCCCTGAGCAATGACTGAATGGGCAAATATAATGACTTTCCGCCAGGAGTCTACGCAGCAGCTTGCAGAAAAGGGGCTATTTTTACGTGTTCAAAGGAGCTTTGGTCACGCGCGGAAGATGCGCACCCGGACCCCCCATGGGCACCCTTCTGGCAACCAACTGTTGTTCCAAAATTTCGTCAACCTTACCAGAAGAAATGACTTCACGAAAGGAAAATAAAATTCATTTCAGGAAAGTAATATAATGGACAGGTTCTCTATGTGACACACTGGTCACGCAACACGCAAACGAAGAGCTGTCATGTTTATTGGTCAGCAGGTGCCCCCAATAAACAATATGGCCACCTCAGCTGTTTTCTAGCCACATAGATGTTGTGCTGAAAAGGCTTAAATTGAAGAGGTTTATTGAAACATAGGCTTGCTCTTCTAACCCGTAAGACTGTTAACAACATGAAGCACGTAGATGAAGAGTCGGCACAAAAGTTAACCGTGAGGAGACTTTTTCTAACGCGTGGGAAGCTGAAAGCGTCTAGTCGCACCTCGGCTCTGATGTCAGGGTTTGCAATGGTAACAAATTTTTCCTGTTTTGTTTTGTTTTGTTTTTTTTTTTTCAAGGAATAAACAATTGTAGCCGCAATTTTCTAAAGAATGAAAACTCCAATCCTTTGAAAAGTCCGCCATCCTTAAAAGAAAAAATGGCCCTTACAGAAAAGATTGTTTACTCGTTCAATTTACAAGTTTGCTTGTGTTTACTCTAAAAATTTAGACACAGTAGCTTGATGTTTGAAGCTAAAGTTAAGCTTATAAATGCAGGGTAAAAGCGTTGTTTAACTTAAATAGTAAAATTTACGCTTAATATTTTAATGACAGGCTTACTTTAAGTTAATGTAAGTTCTCTTATTGTTTTATCAATGACTTCGACGTCGTATTCAAAGCAATTTGGTGTACAACATTCCAGCGTTTCGCGAATATTATGCAAGGTACAACAAAATCTAGGCTCGATTATTAGTCACTGTTCAGCCAAAAAAAAACTGGAATAATGCCATGATCGATCTGGAAATTGACTTTCCGCTCCAGTATAACCCAAACATTTGCCTGTTTTCGACCTTGTTTTGCTGATGGGCCTGGCTCAGGCCTTTTTTTTCTTAAAAAGGGTGGGAATGATCACAGGCGAGGATGCCTATATACCGAGCAAGGACTTGATGCAGGCTCGGTTTGTCAATCCTGCCTTTTGGGTATCAAAATATCAAAAGCTACCAACCAATATTTTTCTAGACACATTATTTTCAACTACTTAGCTCAATTCTTTGGCTCTCTGGTGCCCAAATCTGTGCCTAGTTTTGATGAAAAATTTTCTTTGATGATGTCGGTGCTAGTTAAACTGTTTACTTACAAACTCTTTATTTGCAGATAGCAATGGTTGAAATTCAACTAGAAAAGGATATTCCACAAGGATTATTGATAGCATTTAGCGTGATGACCACAATTCTCATCTCAGTGCATGTCTTTGCACTTATGATATCTGTCTGCATTCTGCCAAACATTGATGGAGTGGCAAATATCCACCAACAAGGTACACAAGTAGTTCGAGATTCACCACATGAAAAACTCCACATCCACATTGAGATTGCATGGATTTTCTCAACAGGGCTGGGAACGCTTCTTTTCTTAGCAGAGATTGCAATACTCTGTTGGGTTAAGTTCTACACCTACAGCAAAACTGCAGCTTTGGCAGCATCTGTGGTGTTGGTTCCAGTGTGTATTGTGTTTGTGTGGTTTGCTATTCATTTTTACCGATCTCTTGTTCAACATAAGTATGAAAGGTCTTTCCAGGGAATTGAAGAACTTCAACAGATTGCAAATCAGTTACACACTGATGCAGGAACGTCACCAAGTACACCAACTCCTAGTCCTATTCCCAATAACAGAGCTTAAAAGCACAGTTTTTAAGATTTTGAAAATAATAATAAATATAGCAATTAATGGATAAGGCTGAATATGATATGAAGAATTATTCATCATCTGAAAGCTGGGGTCAATTGAAAACAACTATTTCTATTGTCATTTACAAGTGAAGCTATTGTTTTTAGACTCTTAAACCATAATGCACACACTCATAAAAGTTTTATTAAATAATTGACCCTTGAATCCAATAATGTTGTATTATTCATTCAAAATATTTCCAAGAGAATGTAAAACATGCTTACCTCGATCTACATAAAGTTCCCATCTTTCCATAGCAGTTTGAGGACATGAAGGGATGCTTATTCCAGCAGAATAATAAAATAGTGTTTGTCGTCCATCACTATTATTGGTAGTTTTGCTATTTTTGCAATGTTTTTCTGCAGTAGTTTGGCTACTTCTTCACTTAACACGCAAAATCTCCCCCATTTTCTCCAGCTGTGCCAAAACAGCTTAGCTACCACACCTTCTGCTATCCTTTTTCTGTCAATGTCAGTACACTTTTCTTGTCACCTGTATCGATGTCACCGAGCATCTGCCAAATTTGGTCGATGCTAGCTGGTTATGAAAACTTTGCTGAGGATTCAAAGTCGATCAGAAACAGAGAAACTTTTGAATTGATTATAAATTACTGTAAACTGTTGCTTATACGGCCCCTCAACTTATAAGCCCTCCCCTCAGTTATAGGCCCATCTACCTGGAAACCAAAAAATACATCCATTACAAGCCCCCCCGGATATAAGATAGGTCTCCCCACTTATAAGCCCCCCCTCCTCTGTTATAGGCCCATCTACCTGTAAACAAAAAATACATCTGCTTATAAGCCCCCCTCTATCTTGTATTGATATGAATTTGATTTTTTATGTTTTGAAGCTTTGAAGCACTGCTATGTAGCTTGTTTTGAAATGCTTTTGAAATACTGTCTGATGTATAAGTATTTATTACTAAGTTGAGTGCTATGGTGTTACAGAAGCTTAACTTTAATGCTTGTTTTCTCTGGCACTGGAACCCTAGCCTGCAAGCAAGCTCTCCAATTATGGCGAGCAAAGTGAGCCGTGAGGAATATGTGAGCGAGAATCAAAGCTGTGAGAAGTGCAGGAGGGCCCCTTGTATTCTCGTCTCCTTTCACATCCTTCTCTCGCTTGACTTCTTGTGACTCTTGCTCGCAGGCTACTGGAACCCAAGGCAGGTCATGAGTCCAATGCACTGCCACTTTAGCTTAGCCTGGGAGCAAGCCCTCGAGAGAGCAGTGTGAAATGCTGATTGGCAGAGATGACATTAGTAATGACATCATTAACCTTGGTGCAAGCTTTCACTTGTTTTTCAATGTCTGTTACATTCGTGCTGGTTTCCACTTCATGCTGATTGGTGGAAATCTAACAGCTCAGTCTACGGGGAGCTACAGGGGAATTGGAGGCAGAATTCAAATTTCAGAGATGCAGTTGCAAGCTGTCCTTCCTTTACCCGCTCCCCGCTGCCAGAGCGCCCTGGAGAACTTGCTCGCAGGGTACTTTAGCCTTGCTGCCTCCTCATTATCATAAAGGGGAAGGGTGATGCACAACATATTAGCAAATGTTTCTCTATAGCATTAATAATATTATTGCCTTTAATTTATTAGCTGCTGCTAGTCAACAGAGAAAACACATGCTAACCTTTTTTACATGAAACTGAAAGTGAGGGTGCTGTAGAAGTCAAAAATAGTACTCAAGCTATGTAGAGGTGTTTGTAGACACTTCTTAATGGAAAAAATAGTTTTATTTATTGACAGAAGGTACATGTAAAGAAAAAGTAATGTTTTACAAAGGTGGGAAGATAATAAGAAACAGTTATTATATTATGTACATAAGTTGGTGATTAAGTAAAATACTGTCCTTTGCTTCTCCTATATTAGATTTTCACTTCAAACAGCAGATACTACTGGCTTTTTTGCCCATGGCATGGCTTGCTCTTGATTCCTGTTAAAGGGTCATGTTTGAATGTTTTTACAATATGCAACTTGAATGAAATTAAAATATCTCTCTCTCCAATTTTATAGATGAGGCAATAGAGGTAAGACTATCTTGAGCCAAATCCTTTGGAAATTGAATCATTTACATAATGGTAGAGGATTGATGGCTTGTTACATGTACGTTTAACATTCTTTACCTAAATGTATAATACACAATTGTAGATTAAAGATATCTAGAAAGTAATAAATTAATAATATTTTCATCAGTAAAGAGGGTCATCTTCATTGCTGCTCATCTAGAAACATATCTTCAGCATCCTTCACTACTCCTCTCAAATCCTGAAGCTTGCACTGTATTGAAAAGTAATAGCAGAAACAAAGGAATCAATGTGGCAGTATGACTAATAAGTTTGTGGTCGTTCAGAGGTTTATTTGCAAAGCTTATGGAATTCCTGAGATTTATATTCTCTGTCTGATCACTACATGTCTTTCATAAGGTATTCCCTCGTGTTGCTACAGCATATACCAAACTCCACCACAAGGACACTCTTAAGGCCATTATTTGAATACCTGTAAGTTAAAACACCCAATAAAATGGGGAGCGGAATTTAGCACTGAACAAAACACAGTGGAGAAACTTGTGCTACCAAGCCATCCTTCACTTTAAGGCAGCCAGGATCATCAATCTGAAGGAGAAAAGAGCCCAGTGCAAAGCCAGGCCCAACCAACCCCCAACTGACTGATGGAGACAACACATGCAACATCTCTGATCAGACCTGCAAATCCCATGTCACAACAAAACCTAGAGATCTGAGTTTACCATGCTGTACTGTACTGGGAAAATCCATATACACATAGACATGGCAAACTGTTAACCCACAAGCTTTGATTCAAAATAATACTCTTTCATTCAGTTTATAATGTTACACTCCATAACAGGTTCATGGAGACCTTTAGTTTATACCAACCTCTGGTAAAGGGTATATGGTTGGCTTCGGGGCTTCTTGGCGACCAAAATCTTCTACAGTGCCACATTTTGGAATGTCATCACACCACACTCCAGTGTACATCTGCCCACGATCAAGATAAAAGAATCTTCCCTTTCCATGTTTCTTATCATCTTTCCACTGTCCCTCATAGCGATTTTCATTTGCTACACACAGAGAAGTCAAATATTTTGTATGTTAAACATCCAAGCTGTAAAAAATTGATGAAAACCTCCTTACTCCCCTCCCCTGTTGCAGGTATGCGGAGTGGTCTGGGGTCTGCAGGGGTTCATGTAGTTTTACAGTACTGCTGTTGAGGTCACTCATTCTCACGTGCGCTTGGCCTCTTTTGATTGTGCTAGGCAATTTAACTCTCTGTCCTCCCTCCCTCTCTGTGGTAAGGATGAGGTAAGTATCATTGTTCCACTGTTTTTCAGTGTGATGGTGCCTGATAGTTGCCACTCACAGAGAGGTCATGGTTACCCTACGCACTCGGCTCTTCTCAGACCTGCCAACTCTCACGGTTCTGCCGTGAGTCTCACGATTTTTTGTCATTTCTCACGGTCTCACGACAAGGCTCCTCAATCTCACGGGTTTTGGGAAAAATCATTCTGAAATGATTTAAGTTGTTGAATCAGAATAAAAATGGGAAATTAACGAGGAATGCTTGTGCCATAAAGTGAAAAACTAATAAAGAAGAACACTGTTCTTACTTTTTGTACCCAGCTGTGATTTTCGCTTGTGTTCAATAAACTTAATCGTTTTTCTTCGTGTCTGTCCGCCATTTTGAAAGGGGAGTAGGCCCTGGGAACGAGGTCTAATTCCCAGGCGTCTCCCATGGGAACACAAATAAAACATTTAAATAAACTGTTAATGACTTTCCTCGATGGAAAAGGGGTTTTTTTAATCTTGATCGGGAAAAAAATAGAATCTCACTATTTTTTATAGAATCTCCAGATTTTTTTTCATGGGTCTCCAGATTTTCCTTTATCAGGGGTTGGCAGGTCTGTCTTCTGCTTGTGGCTCCACCATCTTTCCAGGCAACTTCCACAAGCTCATCTATTGTAGCCTAAAAAGTTTTGGTTTAAAATTAAATATAGACAAAGACTGAATATAATAATTTTACAGTTTTTTCCCGACTTGGCATTGAACATGCAGGTTTAAAACAGAGATTTTTTCTGATTAAACAGAAAGTTGATATTTACCATTTCAACCTTACCTAGCCTAAGCATGCCCTCTCCGTTTCTCAAGTCATTGTACCACTCTCCCTCATAAACTGAACCATCAGCATAATACATTCGTCCCCAGCCACTGCGCTTGTCTGCATACCACTCCCCCTCATAGTATTCATTGGCAGAGTAGAAGTTAGTTCCATAACCCTAGGAATGAGACACATTTACAAACTCACACAAAAAACCTTAAAACTTAACGGTGCTAGAATCTGGACGTCCCTTTTTTGATAACTTACATAGTAGTAGTCACTGTACTGATAAGTTCATATTATTTATTTGTACTAGAAAATGCTTAACATCCAAATACTCCAAATGCACTATTGTGAATGAAATTTTATTTTCCTTGGTTGAATACCATGTGAATTTATCGCCGTGGTGGATTAGAAGTATGTACAATCCCCTTATGGTTGTATCCAAAATGTTTTCTTAGGCTTAGCAGCTGTTCGAGAAACAGAGCCTGCACTCATATGTGTGAAACAAGCCTAATATTTTCTTACAAGCAGCTTTGGTGAGAGAAGAGTCTCTTGACCTAGGAAGATTGAAGGTTCTTCGTGTGCTCACAGAATCACATAGCATGTAAAAATTACTGCCAGAAACCTTGTATCTGCATACGACTTGACTTGTATTGTTGAAAAAAAAAAAAAAAACCAGCTAAAATTACAAAACACATACATGTCTCTTATCATTTTTCCATCCCCCTGAATAAACTTTTCTGTATCCAGCACCTTCAGAAACACTGTATGTACCAAATCCACATCGGCGGTCATCTTTCCAGTCTCCATCATAAATAGTTCCAGATTTCTTCCATGTCATGGTTCCCTTTCCTAAGACCATAAAGAAATTAAATTATTGTCATGAGCATTAAATGCTCATGACAAAAGGCACTGACCTTTGTTGCTCATAGTTCTTCTGTCACACACTTGACTGAGGTAGTATGCTGTTTACTGCTTGTGAAGAAATTAAATTTTAATTTCTTCACAAGCAGTAAACAGCATACTACCTCAGTCAAGTGTGTGACAGAAGAACTATGAGCAACAAAGGTCAGTGCCTTTTGATGTTTGGTCATCCCCCCTTCTTTGACCTCTGTTGAGCACCACTGGAAAGACTCATTTAATATCTACAGTGGAATCCCACCTTATGACCACCCCATTTATACAACCACCTCAATATTATGACCATAGTCTTTTGACCCAAACCTTAACATATCTGAATCATTCTGTTACTTTGAAGACTCCATTAATGCGACCACCTCATTATTTACGAACTTGGCCCGGTTCCTCGAAAGATGGTTAACTTTAACCCAGGATTAAGCCAAATTTCAAGCACGGTTTTCTCGTCTAAGAACATGCTACTCGAGGTTACAAAACACTGTTGAGCCTCTACTACAAGATACAGTAATGATAACACAAAATGTTACCCTAAGCAATACATAGGAATGTAAAATACAAAAACTGAACAAAATTTTAATCCCGCTGGACTAACGCTAATCAACCTTTCAGGAACTGGGCCCAGGATTTTATGGCCCAACGGTGGTTGCATTAAAAAGGGCTTCCACTTTAGTTTCAAATATGTTATGAGGAAGGTAATGACATAGTTGTTTTTATAAATTATACAGATTTGTTTAAGGCATTTGTTGATGTTGAATACCAGTCTTAATTTTGTATGATTTTTGCCACCACATTATATCTTGACTTCTTCAAATTACATATCTCTACTATTACCATGTTGATTTTAAAACCACATCCTGCTGTTTCCAGGCTCTGTGGAATTTTTTGGGAACCTTTTTTAATAATTAAACCAACTGAGCCAAAAACATGTAACACATTCAAAGCCTTTCACAGAAAGAAAGTGTCATTGGGCCATTCCAATAAATGTCTGCATTTGCCCCTAGAATAGGGTATCATTTTTCAGGAAACTGATCAGTTGGTTGAAGATTTTATCTAGGCTAGGGAAACAGCTACTCTAGGATAGGGGGGATTTGGGGAGTTTACTCTAGTATAGCGTAGCAAAATTCAGCTGAACTAGCTCTAGTATAGGTTAGGGTCCCAGTGGTACATCCCCACTGAGAAATTCCTAAAGTACTCCCCTGGGGCTTGGAACCATACTCCAGTGACCTAGGTCATGACCACGGATTATCTTGGTACTTGTAAGCCAGGGTATTCAGTAAATAATATGCCTCTCTCATGTGCAGTCTCTTAAAAGAATGTACTTGATTAAATTACATGTATTTAAAGAAGCTAAGGATTTTTTATTTTATCTGGAATTTATATCAGACTTTAAAATCGAATCCAAAGATATATGTTGCAGTTAATTTTTTTATCTCAGGTAATTTTTGTTTTTCTTTTGTTTCAACTTCATTAGAATACCCAAAAACAAACGAAAAACAAGCATTACCTGAGACAAAAAATTAACTACAACATATACATAAACTTAACTGAACGTTTAACTTAAAACTGATCTCATAAAAAGTGCTACAACAAAAGTAATTTTTAAGACAGCATTTCTCTGTAGAACAAATTAGATAGAATCCTGACTGAATTCGAACGTTGGTCAAGCTTACCATTCTTTTTGTTGTCATCCCATTCGCCCGTGTATCGATCACCATTTACAGAGTAAACGGTGTGATGGACGCCTTTCTTCTGTGCTTTATAGTCCCATTCTTTCCACAAAGGCTCGCTTTTCTTTGGTTGTTTAGTTATAGGCATTTTGCCGAAGATTTTGCTGCAGCCTTCCTGCTAATTAGCTGATTATTTACCGCCTGTTACTAAGGATAGGCCAGGTTACTTAGTAAGCAACCCTGGGGACATTTCGCTCGGGTTACATGACCGACTTATCCAGGTACAGTTCTATCCCATGATGTCTTTGTGGCGCTCACGTTGTAAATCAAAATGGCGCATTCTGTGAACGTTGTTTATTTTTCCCGGTAAAAAATCATTGTAACACTCTCCTTGTGAAGAAATATTACTGTAATATGGATGATTCAGAGAACCAAACGTCTAGGGAAAAAGCACAATTATGTTATGGAATAGTTGGGAATATTCCGAAAGAATTTCACTCGGCTGACTTGAGGGCGATGTTTACGGACTTCATCAACGACGAAACTTGGGGATTTAGATGTTTTCATTTTCGACATCGACCTGAAATTAGACAAGATGTGACTTTGAATGATGGTGACGGAGAAGTTCAAACGTCAAATACTACATGTTGTGTTGTGTTAGTGCTGAATGAAAAATTAGAGGAGTTGATAAAGCGTTATCGTGGCAAAAACTGGGTTGACCGAAATGGCAAATACTTTCCATCCAAAGCAGTTATATCAAAGATAAGCATCAAAACAGGACAAGGTTTGTAATTCCTACGTTGTATTTAATTACGCTTTTTATACTACTACATGAGAAATTTCGGCAATTTGATTGGCTTAGAGCAGTGGTATTTCAGCTTAATTTGAAACACCCTAAATGTGAAAATTAAAAACCTTTGCAGGTAGTAGTATAAACAAATAATAGCATGCTTTGTACGTGATATTTGGCATAAATACCACTCGTGATATTTCAAAATTGTCTCAAATTTCTCTCGCCTAACGGCTCGGGAAATTACATATAGCAATTTCGAAATATTACTCGTGGTATTTATGCCAAATATCACTACAAATCATGCTATTACCTATACAAATTTGCAAGATACACTAAATTTGAGATTTCGTATTTTAAGAAAAAAATTAAAACAGATCATAGAATAAGAGTTTTCTTCTCGTAAATTCAAACTGCCTGTATAAATTGCAGATAAAAGACTTCTTATCCTATGATTTGTTTTAAATTTACTCAAAATAAGAAAAGTTTTTCTTAAATTGAGAGATTCGGAGCAGTCTCGAATTTAGAGTTGTAAAAATTCTCCAGGTTTAAATCATATAAATTAGTGTGAGTGTTGTTGCAATTGAAGACTAACCTAAAGCCCCTCTATGGGTACCTACAGATATTGTTTTGTTGTGCGTTTATCATCAAAACATCAGTTTTTCAAAGAAATCGTTGCATATCAAGATAAGGTTTTTAAGCAGCTGTGAGGAACTACCACGACAACAACGAAATGAAGAAACAGAAAAGGGACAGGTTTAGCAAAATCTCAGAATGTGCATCACATTTTTTGGTATATTTGTCTGCTGTCACTGCATGACCAATGTTGTCTAATTTGGTTGAATGGCAATGTGATCATCCCTTCAATTCTGAGATGGTTGTGTCATCAATTGAGTTAGCGATTGTCGCGGCTTTGATTTCATCAGAAATACCCATACAGAGTCTCAACCTTAATAAGAGCAACTACATTTCCTAGTCTAAGTGACCACCTATGCAAAATAACAAAAATTAGTTTTTCCACTCAAAGCAATTTATTGGGACCTCTCATGACCACCCCCCATAATAACAGACACCAACTTTGTGCCCTGATTAATGGACGTCTAAGAATCTTTTGATAACTTTGGAACATCGCTTAAGATTTTTTGAGATTTTCCAGTCTTTGTCGAGGAGGATCTGATGACTTTTGAACACCATGGGAGATGTTCCAACGACCTCTGAGGGTTACAGAATAATAAACAGCAAAACACTGATTATTTTCCCATTAACGCATCAGTGAACAAGTAGAGAGATTTATGAGTGAGGTGTGAGACATTGTCCTGTATGTGAGAAATCAATGTTTTTGATGTGTAGATGTGAGTTTTGTACATAATGCTTAAGAGTTGTCTGGTGGAAAGTTGAATTGAAACACATAGAAGAGAGCGTTATCATATCAGGACAGGGTAGAGATCATTATGCTCCTGTAGAGTTACAAAGAAGAAAACAAAAAACAGCAAGATTTATGCGTACCAGCTAGAAACCATCCCAAATGTATAATACACAATTGTCTTGGTTTGCACATCATTGAAGATATCTAGAATGTAATAAATTGATCCATCCTGCTGATTGCCTCCTTTTGATTGGATGTCGTTAAACAAATGGTTAAACAATAACCAATGAAAAGTAGACTAGGTGAGTATTTTTAATCGATTATTGTTTATCAACATCCAATTAAAAAGAGACAATCAGCAGGATGGTTGATTTATATACATGTGTAGCGATATATCACTATAGATGAAGCAAATGGTAAATCCTGTGCATTTACTATAAAACAACAATCGGTTACAGAAACAGATTGTGTGGGTGCCCTGTGGTATCATTTACACATTCCTATCACTGATATAACTAAGTGCCATTTTATAGAGAGAACTTGGTCGCCATTATCCGGCCATCTTGACCTCATGCTTAATGCATGCTCACTACATGTATCTTTCTTATTGCAGACACCAGTGAGGACATTCTGTATAAAACAAAACAGGAAAAAAGAGTGCATTCCTTCACAAGGACAAACTTAGAATTTTCAAAGCATGACCTTAAGGAACTACCAGAGCTTCATCCACCTCCTTTGATGCCTAATGGGAATGTTGGAACACCTTTGTTGGTATTTAAGGAGTTAATAAGAGCTTGCAAGCTACCACCTTGTGTAATTAAAAAACTGAATTTGAATGTTTCTATTGCTAAATCTAAAAAGAAATACAGCAATGTTCCTTTTGATTACAAGTCTTTGGAGAAGGGAAGTTCTAGTTCTGTTAGTGAAAAAGGAAAAGTAAATGGATTGAAGAAAAACAAAGCATCAACATCAAATGTGGATGCCACAGGAAGTAGAAGCTCTGATCAAGGTAACAATAGCTGTAATTCTGAAACTGAAGAGAATGAACATACTGCTGAAACTGACCAAGATTTTAATCGCAAAAGATCAATTGATGATGATGATAATGATGATGATGAAAGTAATGTTGAGCATAATGATGATGATGATCTGCCAGAAGAGTGGGACAGACATGAATCATTGCACAATGATGTCACGAGTCAAGATCGAACAAAAGAGAGGCTTTTTGAAGAAGAAATTGAGCTCAAGTGGGAGAAGGGAGGCAGTGGTCTTGTGTTTTACACCGATGCAGCTTTCTGGAAGCAACAGGAGGAAGCAGACTTTGATGAAGAAACTGCTGATGATTGGGATGTAGACATGGAAATATATGAAAACCCAGGTGGGTATATGCACTAACAAGTCAAAAAATGTATCATTCTTGCAACTACAATTAATTTCATTCTGTTGATATAATAAAGTTTTTGGAGAGGGATGTATTTTTCTCATTATTTTGATTCCAGCACAATTCCATTCACTTCTGTAAATAATAAAAATATGATAACATAATTTTTTGTAAAAAGGAGCTTGTACTGAAGAAGGGAAACAGGCAATGCTGCCAATACATTTCTTAGTAGTAGTGCCAGCTATTAACCTCGGAACAATTTTGTTTGATGGGGGAATGTTGCATTAAGACATGAGTCACTCCAACTTTTTTCCAGTTATCCCTTATTTGACAGAAGAAAACAAATTTGATTACGAAAAAAAGCTCACAGCTAACCAGCCCTCCGTTGTGGTTTTTATAAGTTGTGCTTCACAGTTCAGGTAAAAATATTTTCTCTACACACAGATGGTGGTGACAAAGACTCACGCGATCTTCTAAGGATGAGATTAGAAGGGCAGTGGAAGAAAGGCAATGACATAACACTCAATAAAATTGGTGGATTTGAGAAATATACCCGTGGGTTTGGTGGCCGGTTGATGAGAAAACTAGGCTGGAAGGAAGGTGGAAGCCTTGGTTCTTCTCAGGTGGGAGTAACAGAGCCTGTTGTTGCAGATGGACAATTGCCGAAATGTAAAAGAGGCCTTGGGTATTATGGTGAAAAGCTAGAACGACATGTGAAGCGACCAAAGGCTGAAAGGAATGTAATAATATCAACTATTTATGATGAACCAGACAGGGAGGAAGTGAATCTGTTTGAGTCCTGGGGACCTGATAAACTGAAGTATGTCAGCAATGTGGATTTCATACGTGGGAAAACTTGCCCAGCAGAAGATGACAAAATGTGACCACTTCTGGCCTTCTCCCATTGTTCTCAAAAGAGAGAGGTGACAATTAGTTTTTGCCTCAAAAATTCCAAACTGATCATGTGAACTGTCCAGAATATGATCAAGGGTACTGATTGGTTACGTTTGGTATACTGTATATTATTACTATATTCTTTTTAACCCATTATGAAAACTAAAACTTTGGAATTATCGTTTGTATATTACGGGGGCCAAAGGTTGCAGTCAGAGTCAGTTGTTTTCCAAGACTTACTCAATTTTGCTGTTGTAATATATTAAAAGCGTAACACTTCTTTAGTAATCAACAAGAAAAAATGAAACTCAAACAAAGCGGCATCTGACAACCAGACAGGACGAAAGTGGGTGTGAGCTTCACACCTAACTGAATAAACCATAGCGGTTAAGAAGAACATGGCAAGAAAATTCTGGGTTCCTGATCAAGCCTGATTTTTTTTAGCTTCTTTTTCAACTACTTAGGTTGTTTTTCTCATTTATGGATTTTTCTATTTATCAACTCCCTATTTACATTATTTATTAGGGATTTTTGAGGCCAAAATGTAGACGTTCCTCACACAAAATCCCTTGAGGTAATGAGCAATGAGAAATGACTGTAATGAAGGCTAGACCTGCTTCAGTCTAAAAATAGGCAAGTGAATTTCCAACTCACTCACACCCATGCATTTGAAGATGTGCAGCATAAGGATGGACTGTAAAAATGAAAGTGAATTTACTAATGGTATATTTGGAGAATTAGCTATATCTGTCATCTGTCAGTGAGTGCATCTCCAAGGCTAGTCTGCTACACAGCCGTTTTTAGTGTCGTCACGCAATGCTCCTCCCCACAAACAGCTGCTGAAAACCGAACTACATTCCTTTCCCTTTGTGTTTGTGGTCTAACGAACAAGCCAATCATGCACAAGAAGTTTGACAATACGTGAGCCGCGGGGCGCTAGGAAGCGAGCACGCTTCTCAGTTTTCGACAAATCAATCAATCGTCGCTGAATTTTGACGGGCTCTGTGTTTTCAAGCAACGAAAAGGTTAATTTGCAAAAAAGTTTGTTTTAAGCGGTCAAGAAAGTTCCAAGTGAAAGAAAGGTTTGATAGGCCTAGAAGACTTTTGCCAGGATCGGCTGGTTCTTCATTTAACGTGCATATGTACTGATATGTGATGAAGAATTTAAATGTGCCGGATGTGCTCATTAGGGCCATTTATACGAGGAAAAATAAGACGCGAACTGTACCATTTATAGGAGCATGTCTTATCTAATAAGACGCGTCTTAGCTAAGCCGCGTCTTATTTTAGACGAAATGTGCCGTTTTTACGGAAAGTTCGCGTCTTATTTAAGACACGTCTTATGTAAGACGCGTCTTATTTTTCCTCGTATAAATGGCCCTATTGTGTTCCTGTGAATACTAAACTCTCAAGGGTACTGATTCAAAAAGCAATTTTTAAATTATCGATGAGCGATTTCCCGAACTATACCTGGCAACTTTATGAGCACATCCATGTTGTGCGTCGCAATTCGCTCGACTTGCTTGCTGCTGGTGCTTATCTCCTAAATTTTAAATAGGACTCGACTACGACAACACTACTCTAGTTAATTGCTTGTTTTCACGCGACGTTTTGATTATTCTGTCATTCACACATGGGGCACCGATAAAAGCAAAGCTGTGATTGGAGGAGTCACAGTACCGCAAACGTGGGCGCGAACACTTTCCAGAAAATGGGAGCTGAATTATAATTGGCTAATCACGGGAAAGGAATGTAGTTCGGTTTTCAGCAGCCGTTTGTGGGGAGGAGCGTTGCGTGACGACACTAAAAACGGCTGTGTAGCAGACTACTCCAAGGCTTGCTGACAGAAAAAAAATTATGAATATTTTATTTTTTGAAAAAAGTCAGTAAATTGATATCTTAATAAAAAACAACCTCTACAGGCAAACATCACCACATCTTACTGAGAGCAATTTCGTTTATGTGGTTTTTGCACATTTAGACTGTTCATAGTCCCCTATTTTTCTGTGAGATTGTCAAGAGATAGCGCGTCTTACCATTAATGGCAGCCATCTTGATTTTCAAACCCCTAAGTAGTTTTGATGCAAGATGGCAGCCTGTAACACAAAGCACTTGATCTCGATGACCTTAGCTTGGATGACCATACTAAGGGGTGTTCCTTAGGAATTATATAAGTCACATGTTCATATTTTTTACTTATCAACACTTTAATCCTTTCCTGGTGTTTGGTGTTTGCAGTTATTTGTACAAGTCCGTTAAAAACAATATATACACCTATAGTACAACTAATTACAGTTTAAATAACAAGTTAAAGAGTGTTGCTTGATAAATTGCAAAGATTTTTATGCAAAAAAATAAACAACTTTCGAGAACTTTGTGTGGTAAACAGAGTTTGTTACATGTACTTCATTTGAAAGGTAAAATGGTCTCAGAGAAGCACTTTACATAAGATTCTAAATCCAAATCCGTTGTGACTACACACTCTTATCTTAAAAATGTTTCTAGCATGTATATCACAAATCTTCAGAATATATTTTTGAAGGAAAAAATCAATATTGAATAATTACATGAAATCCTCTAATATGAGTTTGTACATGATTGTTGCCTGTACATCATTATAGTCATTTTACTGACCATTGTCGAAAGTCAATATTCTAAAATCAGTTTAAGCTGATTTCAGTGGTTGTAATCAGAATCAGGGTGTTAATAAAATCAATTTCAAATATATTATTATTTTAGATGGCAAATAATATTAAATTTACAAATTTCACTTTGCTCACGAAAGCATCTGAGCTTCAAAAAGCTGAATTTGTTAGCAATGCAGTGTTTTTCATACTGAAGATTTTTAAGGTTGACCTGGAATCTTAATACTGAAAAGGTTTGCTTCTTGTTTCTTGATTGAGTAAACCAATCAAATTATTATACATTAAACACCCCCCTGCCAACGGTAAATAACATATGTTTACATACCAGCAAAAAATATTTTCAGAAAATAGGTTGGGGCCTTCTATTGTAAACTCAATAATTTACACGGGACAAACTCGTACCTGATAAAGTGGGAGAAAAACTGCAAATTCACAGCACTTTCAGGACAGGGTGTAGTGTGGGAAAGAATGAAGTAATATATACAGTAATAACACTTCCCTTCTAGCCGCCAAGTCAAACTGGTAAGCAGTTCACAGGCAGAAAAGCAGCTTTCACTTGCACATCCTTGGCTGAGCAGGGACAACTAGCAATGTCATGATGCCAAAACAAAAAATGATTACCTAATTACGTCCTGAATTCACTGCATGACATACAAAAAAGCTAACTGAAATAGGGTTGAATGGGTTTGGTTAAGTCTCTCAAATACAATTAATTTTCCTGGCCATCCCCAACACCACACACTACTTCTGCAACTGGCCACGACTCCATAAACTGCAGGAAAATTCCTCAGCTTGCTTTAAATCTCTTGCGTACCGCTGACTCAATCGATCAAAGCCATCTGCAATTTCAGCAGCTAGTTGTGCTGTTTGATTTTGGTGTCGTGTTGTTTGGTGGTCTTCAAAACTTGCTGTGCGACAGCATTGTTTATCATTCCATATCATGAAAGTTTCTAGGTCTGAAGCCAGCTTAAACAGCGCTTCACGGTTGGCGATAGTCCTCTTAACTCTGTCTTGTTTCTGTTGCTGCAAGAAATGCAGGAATAATGTGATATTCAAGGCAGGAAAAATTCCTAGGATGGGTGAAGAATACATGAAAGGTGTTCCACAAATGGTATAAGCTAGAGAGCAGACTGTCCAACTCTCACGGTTTGGATAGTCAACTCATCATGATGTCATGATTTAGCATCCAAATCTCACAGTGAATCATAAAATCTAAAATTGCCAGATGATTCTGGTAGAAATTGCATAATTAAAAAGAAAATGTCTTCATAATGGACAAATATTGTTTCAATCTAATTTTGGAGGGAAAGCTGCTACTGTCCTATTGACCTGGACATTGAAACAGAATCTTCTCAACTTTGCCATACAGTTCAACAGAGAACAGAGACCACTAATAGGGTAAAGAACACCTGAGGACATAAATCATCTGCCTTTTTGGTTTTATTTGACACATATTTTGGAAAACTCCAGGTTTGAGGTCCCAAACTCCCGGGCCGAGTTGTTCAAAGCTGGGTTAAGATAACCCAGGGTTAGTTCAAAATTTGAATTCAGATATGAAAGCTTAAAAAGCATATTCAGTTTAATTCTTTTTGTCAACAATTTGGGATTGGCTACTCTAAAAAGAATAGAGAAAATTGTCTGAGAAAATGCCTTTGATTAAAAGAAAAAGAGACCCAGGTTAAAATTTAACCCTGGGTTAGCGCTAATCAGCCTTCAAACAACTGGGCCCAGGATTTTAGGGCTTTTTTCAAACACTCGAGATTTGCATGGTTGAGGGGTTGTAAGGTCTGAGAGTGGGTCAGCTTTTCTGTAGACCATGAAAGTAAGGCTGTCACTACGATTTCAAAATGTGGCATATATGCAATAACCAGGTGGGGAATTGAACAGCTATGCAGTTCATTTGGTCTGTTTTCCCTTTGTTTCTTACTTGTATGAAAGTAGCAGGGTGTCAAGCTAATAGAAGCTAGGGGAAAACCCTGGCCCTTATGAAATTTTAGAAAAGTTGACTCTCAGAGCAAGGTATATACATACAATGTGTTTACGCACCCCTCCTCCCTAAGACTAGAAGAGTGTACAATTTGTTCTTATGTTTGGAGGTGGCCCATGACAGGTGTAAACTGACAAATTAACATGATTGTAGTACTTGACTTACATTTCTTCTTTCTTCAGCTCTCTGTTGTTTCTCCTGCAATTCTTGGGCTGTTAACATGCTTTTCTGTGTCTTTTTGGGCACTCGCAATGCCTTGGGAACTGGAGATAAACATTGAGGGTTATCATCAAAGCTAACAGTGAATGCAATACCCCTGTTGTTGTCGTCATTAGATGATTTTACCACATTGCGTTTTTCCTCTTGAGACTTCAGATAGCTCACAGATTTCTTTGACAAGTTGTTGTTTCTATCATCCACAACAAAGTCCTTTGTCATTTGAGAGGTCAGTGCTCTAAAATCTCTGGCAACATGGCGAGCTGTAGCAAGTAGTTGTGACGATGTCATCTGTGGTGTGTTTTGGTTGGCACCTGCTCTAGTGGCACTCTGTATGGACCTCTGTTGCAGTAGCATTTCCACATTATGAGCGAGCTTTCTAGCAGCTTCTTGTCGATCATGGATTCTTTTCAGTTTTTGTTCCATATGTTGCTGTATAAACAGGTTATTTGTAAATCAATATAGCCACAGGAATTTAAATAATATTAATAACCAACATTATGGTACTGGAAGATGTATGCATGCATTGCATAAAAGTGCTTTCTAATGTTTCAAGAAAACCCCATGCAAACCTACTTTTAAGTATAATTTGCATATATTAACTTTCAACTAGCATACATTAATTTGCAGACTTTAACAAACTTGCAAGTTGAGTGCAGGTGGCAAAAGAGCACCTAGGGCTTTTTTAACAGGCCTTTTTAGAGGGGCTTATATTTGGATCTAGACTGCAAAACAGTCCTTTTTTTCTCAAAATCAGTTTTTCAAGGTGCAAAGTGTCAGCCAGAGATTTTTGTGCAAAGTGCACAAGCCTCACTGCATGCCTATTCTCCACTTTTGCCCTTGCTCCAAGACTTTTGTTTGGACCCTCATATGAAAAAGACAGACTGTTTTGCAGTCTAATTTGGATGAGGCTTCTTATTAGGAGGGAATTTGGCTGCAAGGCTCATTTAATAAATGTGCAAGTAATAAGTTTGTGGTATTTACTTGATTGACAATAATAAAAATGTAAAAATTGGAATTTTACAAAACTCTACAATTAATTGCCACGTAAACCAGCCAATTTAGAACACTGTGGTGTATAATTAAAGTATAATTATAAGGTTCTCACATTCTTTCGTCGTTCAGCCATTTCTTGTTTCTCTGCAATCCTCTCGATGCTGATGTTTTCTCTTCCTTTTTTCGTCTGGTTGCAGAACCTTTTAGGAGGTGGCTTGCAAACTGTTTGTTCCACAGGAATGTGGAAGGCAATGGCATTGGTCTTGCTTGATGTCAATGCTTGGTTGCAGTCATTGGATTCACTCCTGGTTGAAAGGGTGTCTTTTGTGGTAAGTTCACCAGTATCTGATCCTTTTCGCTTTGCATTTTCTTGCTTACGGTTGATTTCTGCACCTGATTGATGAAAAGCTTCCTCACTAGAATCCTCTTTCCCCCTTTCAATTCCATTCTGAAAAGGAATAACATTTATCGTACACTACCCTTTGATGCCTCGATTTGGTGTGTGTGTGTGTTGGTGTGTGGCTGGGTGGGACTGTTTACAGGGGTATTTTGATTCACCTTATCCCAGGGGGTACGGGTGTTCATAACACTGACTGAAAGTTCTAAAAATAGCTTTTTCTAGCTTTTTTCAAACAATACAGCAATTTTCGAAATTTCAAAAGCTGATAAAAGAGTGATATGATATGTAGATTTTGAGGACAATGAAATACACTTAAACCTAGGACTTGTTTGAAGCTGTACTGGGATTTTTGGAACTCAAAAGAGTAAACAGCAGGTGATGCCAGGCAGCTGGGTTTGGTCAATTCGGATTGTGTTCAACACTTGGACATCAGTCCTACACAGTAGCAAAACACCGCCGTGCTACACTTTCTCAGTTTTATCATTTTTAGCAAATATTATAAAATGTAGCCCCTACCTTTTCCTCACCTTCACCATCGCTTTGCATTTCTCGCAAGCCTTCCAATTCCGTTAAACACGAATTAAGTTTAGGTGGCCATGGGTCGTCCGCATGATACAAAGAACGAACAACCTTTAGAGATTTTATCATATTCGTGATTTGAAAAGGTTGCAGAAATAACTGAAATAACTAGAGTTAATTCAAATGGCTCAGCTCCCTTCTCGATCTGCGCGATAAAAACTGTCTGCAAGCCTCGATAAAGAGCTAAACTCTGCAAAAATCGTATTCCTCGCAACAAATTTTTGTTTTGGAGATCGAAGTTTACGTAATTAAATACTCTTCTCTGATTGGCTTGATTTATCCGCTGGAAAAACAACACCAGACTGGTTCCCAGGCTCTGTCTTCTTAAGGAAAAGTAGAGAGAGCCAGAGAGAGCCTGTGAACAAGGTTGAAAACAACATGAGGACTTCAGGGCGGAAAAACGTAATGAGCATGTGTGAACTTTTTTGCCGAGATCCCCAGGTCGGGTTTGAAAAAATGGCGGGATTTCAAAACTTTTTTTGCCTAATAATAAAACGTTTCCACTCTTAACCTGGAAAGAACAAGCAATTTATCTTCAAAAGTTGCAAGCTGTGGTTATAACCTTGTCGTTACTTAATTTTCTCGAAGAATACCTCACAGTAAAACGGACTTTAACGACATTAATTTCCTTGCGTTGTACTGGAAATGTGCATGCGTAGGTCCCATTTTTTTCAAGATGCATTCACAAAATGTGTTCATATAAGGAAGTTCCTGGATATATAAGGTCCGGAGCTCCACTGTGGACACAAAAACAACATATCTTTGGACAGTGATTTGCCCAAAAAAATTAACGCTTGCCCACGATGTGTTTGAAGTCACTGAATTTGTCGCACTCGAGCTGATATTTTAAAACCCTCGCTCGATCACACACTCGTAGTTTCGCAGATCACTAAAATATAAACAAAATCCTCAATGTAGAAGTTATTGCGTTGATATGTGGGCAGAAAAAAGGTCAATCCTTATCTAGTAAAATCTTCCCAAAAATCGGTTTCAAAGCGACTATAGTTTTTTAAACTTGCTCCTTTCGCGCAGATATATAAATTTTGCTTGGTGTTGTCCAGTTGAACACGCATAACATCTGTCAAAAACCTACGCGTAAGTAGGATTTTCTTCAAACAAAGTTAAAGTTACATTATTTCAAAAACTTCCCGCTGACAATGAAGAAATGAATTTTCTGTGCGAAAACAACCTACCTAAAGATCTTAAAAGCAAAAGATCAGTTGCAACTTGGCAGCCAAGCCATGATTCACCATTTAGCTATTTTCAATAAGCTTAACTGGTCCATGCGAGGGTCTTCGTTTAAGCAAATTAAACTCAGTCGATCATTAGAAAATACAGAAAATTGCACATAAGGGTTTGTTCTGCTCTCCTCAGTCAAATCAAGCTGCAGCAATTGTTTACGGGAAAAGAGTCAATTGTTTTGAAGTCACTGCCGGCAGTTGTCGTTCTCTACTTCACAGCGAGTGAAAAGGACAATTTGGGTACAGAAAGTTATTCTTATAAAGAACAGAAACTTTCACAGTGCACTGGAAAACTGAACTATGTAATGAAAAATGAAAAAAAACTCTGACTATTATTACTTGAGAAACAGAAAAATGTTCTTGCGTAAGCTTGCTGGCCTTCTATTTCCGATAAAGTTTAATAAGCGCACAAGTTTGTTCACACTGATGCGTTATAACAGCAATATGGTTCTATGACTGAAGACAAAGATAAAGCTGGTTCTGCAAAGGTAATAAATCTGGGCATGTAAAAAAATTAACCGTAACTACTAATAACCGAATACAAGCGGGTTTTAATTCAACCCGGCGAAATCAACTCATAAATTAATCGGATGCACAATCAGAAAAATACTCGCCTCTTTAAAAATGTTCAAAACGTTTTATTCCACCTCGGGCTGACGGAATGATCCGTTTTTCCTTTAACATTGGTTGTTCTGAATCCAAAGTAATTTTCAAGCAACGAAAAAAAAGCAAACATGTCAAATAAAAATGCTTTACAGGGAGCAAACGTTCGCACCTCGTGCATTTCACTCAGAACTCAAGCAACAAACAAACACAGTCAGAAAAGCCCGCCTTGAGCCTGCGATAAGGGATGCGCAGAAGCTTGCGCAGAACGTTTTTCCGCCCTGAACATGAGGACGAGGCTGCTACGAGACAATGGCTTCAAACAAGATGGGGGCGAATGGACTATGGTAGAACGGGAAGACATTTCCGATTTAAAGGCATCTGTAGATGTCGATATTTACAGAGATACAGCGTTAAGGTATCTAGGTGAGGAACGTATTTATTTCTAAGATGTTATATTCCTTAAGTCTGTACGAAAGCTCTATCTGTCAGTCACGTGTGAACTTTCCACTATATTTCTTCATAAACAACCTTGTTTTTTTGCCTAGTTCTGGTCATGTAATTTTAATTTTAATGTTGTGGTTCAATTTCATCCTTGGTGTAAATTTAATTTCCCTTTGATTTAAACTCCGTATCATACATTACCATACCCCAAAACAAAGAGAAGTAAAATTTAAACCAAGGATAAAATTGAACCACAACACATACATGGTTATACTCCATTCATGTTAACTACTGAAAAAGCATAAGATTGCTGCATGCATAATAAATAGGTGCAGTCGCACTAGACATCTTCCCCAAAGCACTCCATGAGAAAATAGCTTGGGTTGAGTTTGCTCTGGGTTTGGATCACTTTCATGGGAATTTGTGACCCCCTTGGTCGAGTATCAGTAGACAATATTGGCTGATACTCAATCGACGTGTCGGCTGATATGTCAGCTGACACTTGGTCATCATATCGATCAACATATCGACCTACTTCCGGTAGATATGACCAACTCTTGGTTGACATGTTGGCCGATATGCTGAGCCAGAGTTGGCCGATAGTGTTGGTCAGTATGTTGATGGATAGGCGGCTGACATATCAATCGATAGACTACCAACAGTCACCCGATACTTCACTGATACTTAGTCGACAGCATACTTTTTGTCTACTTAAATTTTTGCTGTTATGTTGTCCATGCAGCAATTTTTAAGGCTCTATTCCACCGACAGTTGAGCAATATTCCACCAACATTTGGCACTCCCTTCATTGGCCAAGTGTCGACCAGTGTATTGGCTGACATATTGGTCGGCCGACACACGGTCGAGTGTCAGCCAACATATCGATCGACATGTCAACCAATATAGCAATCGAGACCAACATATTGGCCAATATTGCCGACCGATACTCAACTGAGGGATGTACAAATTACACAAGATCCCTTTCATGTTTGCCGTCAGACAGCGACAAATTGCTCAAAGGGAAGAAAAAACTTTAACCCTGTTTCGCGGGAAAAGTCATTGTAAACAGACACAAATCATAAACGGTTTCGACCATTTTAACCCTTTTAATAAAACCCGCCACATTAATTAAGCTTGGCAAGAGCAATTTAGCCTTTAATTTTAAGACTAAAAAGGGAGACCTCAACTTCATTTATGCTTAAAAGAAAAGGAAATTCTATCCTTAATTCTCGCTCACAAGTCAAAAGTACGGGTTTACTGAAATGGTTCCGTTGCAATGTCTTTATAAGAACAGAATTCTTGAACGCTGATTTAAAAAATACTTGCTAGTGTTTTAAAGTTGCTTCTGAAATTATTTAACTTAAAAACGTGAAAAACATTCACAGCAGCGCTCAAAATCCTGCTAAATGTTTGACCTTTGAGTTCAGTTTTCGACAAGATGAACACAGCATGTAAACAACACTTGATTTCTACTGCTTGGTACATTTCACTTCCTCACAATTGGTTGAGCCACTTTGGGTTTTTATTAACCCATAGAACTTACCTAATTATTAGGCCTAGCTGAAAAATTTGTACATCCCAAACATGGTCAACTGTACAAAAAAGGTTTGTAGCAAAGCCATTTTTGGTCTTCTTAATTACCCAAAATATCTAGTCTCATTGTATTTGGTAAGTTGTTTATATGTTTTTTTCCCTCTTAAACAAAGTGTAAATTTGAGTAACATGTTGCATATGAGGGTCCCAGAGGAGAACATTCTTCAAATCTGTCCTCCCAGCTAAAATTTTTTCTCAGTCCCAACAGTTTTTTATTGGTTTATCCTGATCCTGAGCCTACAGTCATTCTAAAAAAATTATAAGATTCAGAAGTTCCAATTCCCTTTATCTTTGGAGAACTAGTAGAAGTAAGTGTATCTATAGGTTCAAAAAGTGATGGAGTGAAAAAGAAAGCATTTTTGATGTTTCCTACCAGATTACTGGTTGTTTACTGAAATATTTTGCAGATCTTGCACTGTAGAATTGCAAAATCCTGTTCTTCATTCTCAGATCGTGAAAAAACCCAATTGGGGGCCATATGTTTTATTGCTCTTGGTTTTGGTAGCTTACAAACTTATACGTGCCAATTTTCTTAAGACTCAAAGTTTGTAACAACTTTAAAGAATGTCAGGGTTAGAGACTATAAAATTAGTATGTTATATCACAGTTCTGCAGTATTTATATCTACATAGCCATATTTAACAAGGAATATTCAGCAAACTGGATACTTAGTATGGGAGACAAGTCTGAGAGTTAGCAGGGTTATATTTTCTTTCTAAAATTTTACACTGAAAAACGGAAATAAAAAGGTTGATGGGCAAGAAGTGAAGAAAAGAAACCAGGAAAACTAGTTCTGATTTAGTGCGTTGTGTGTTTTTCTGTCATATGGGGCTGGGTATTTCCCAGCCCCTCATCTTGTTTCTGTTTATCTTATCTTGATAGGGTTTGACTGGGAAAAAATAATTTAAAAAATGGTACCTGTCAAAAACTGGCAGTAGATTTTTCGTTTTTCTCTAGGATTCTTCTAAACAAAAAGTCTCTTTGGTCTATGACTCATTTCTTTTAGTTTCTTAACCTTATTTTCATACAACTTTCTTGTGACTTGCTATTCTTTTTTCATTAAAAGCAAGTCATTTTTGCCACCCTTTTATAATAGAATAAACACAATTTTAATAAAGCAGTTAAGTTCAGGTCAAGACAATATTGCAAGCATTCTAGTCCATAAGTGCTGCAATTTAGAAAGCAAGGACGTTAGATCTGTTTGCTTTTGAGATAATTAATTGTATAATGTATCTAACGCCTAGATTCTTGCCCTCGTGTGACCAACAGAGCAGTCATGGATAACATCTCAATATACTTAGGAGCACTGAAGGATGTAGACTTTGGTGTAAATAAAATACATGCAAGCTGACCAGCTGTTTTTGAGTACAAAAAAGGTTTCTGTTGAGTACTGTTAAATATAACTGTGCACTTACCTTCATACTAACAGTTATAAGCCATTTTGTTAAGTGCTTTCGAGAGAGGTCTTTCAGATTAGAACTTGGCTACAAGTTTATTGTCATTCCTGTGCTACCAAGTAAGACTGGTTTACAGCACTGTTCACTGGTTCCCTGTGTCTGCGATCATCCAACTCACCAAGCGTGAGATTTTTGTTTAAACAATTTGATCACCTGTAGCACCTAGCCCACAAGTCAAACATGATGGCAATGTTAGATGTGTTATTCAACCATGAATGGTGTTAATTCATGTTAAACTGTTCTTCTGTGTCAACCCACTTAGATGATGGCCTTTAAGTGCCCTACTATTCCTTGTAAAAGCACGTGATAAAAAGACTCTTAATACATTTTTAATACACACATTTTAAATAATTTTCTTATATAAACAACCCAAACCTTGTCAGACAAGTTGGATGAGATTTTGTCTTTTTCACTGCAGCTGTACCTAAATCTTGGTAGGTAGTTTCTTATGCTTACAATTCTTTGTCTGAGCTCTGTAGCCCATGCTGTTTGGTATGTAGCTTTGAATAGGTGTTTTTACTTTTAGATTGTCTTTGACCTCAATAATATTTAGATTAAAAAAATCCACCTGTTGAGTCAGTGAACCATAAACCTATTTGCTCCTTGTATGGTGGAGAACTTACAAGGGCGTGAAATGACACAACCTTAGTGTTTTAGTGAAGATAAAATTTAGCACTTCTCTCTTGCCTGACTAAAAGTGTCAACAGTTTGCGTAAAAAGCATAAATTTGATCATTTATGATAGGGTGACAGAAGTTCTCATAAGGATAACTTTATTCTTCCCCAGTCTGAATGTTGTTCAAGTATTATATTGGTATATTCAGGTTTATCACTTCCAAGATCCTGTTGCTGTGTCTTGATTTTGTAGTGACTGATGCATAGGAAAATGTTTAAGTGCCACCATTATCAAAGAAGAACTCTTATACATTTAGAGTGATTTTAGTTATGGGCAGTAGTAAGTCAAGTGGAAAGGTTAAAGAAAAACAGGTCAAAACTAAAATAAAAACAAATTTTGATGAGAAGATGTATAACCCTCAGAGAGATCTATAGCATGAAAAGAAGTAGAATAGATATCCAGATTGTTGTCACTATATTCCCTCGAATATTGATTTTGCTTTGAAAAGTTAGGTTTTGACTGAAAGTGGTTGAAAATATTAAATGGCTTGCTCTGTGAAGTATAGAGGGCGGAGGATAAGTTTTTGGTAGTATTTTATGTGACCAGATTTTTCCTGTGGATTTTATGTAAAAGGAAAAAAAATTATCACAAAAATTTGGACCCTCTTCCCAGCTAACAGAGGTCTCTTTTCAGAGGCCTCTGTTAGCAGGGAAGGACCCTCAAAAGAAGTGAGTGAACGTCAAACTTTCTTGACTTCAGAGTTCAAATTTACATTGAAGTTGCCATATGGTAAAAAAACAGAATTGAATTATATAAATGGTACTTGTTCTCACTCAAATGCTCCTGAAGGTATCTGTAAGTTATCTTTTTGCATATTCACACAGACTTGGCATTGTTACAGTGTCTTATTATTGAAACACTTTCACACTCTATCATGTCATACTATGCCAATGAGACTGATATGAATTACCCTCTCATGTGCACATCCCAAGTGAAAATTGTCCATCATATTTGTAGGTTATGCCAATGAATTTGGAGAGGCATTTCGCACTCACATTCCTCGGTTGATGTACTTAGGGAGTTATGGAATTGCCTCGACATACTGCTTGGCAGACTCCATTGATAAAGGAAGACGATGCTACCAACAAAGTAACCACTTAAACAATTATCTTCAGAAAAGAAAGGCTGTGGAAACTTCAGTAGAAGCTGCCATCTGGCAGGGCCTTGCTTCAGTGATCATTCCAGGTTTTACAATCAACAGAATATGTGCTGCATCCAGGTTTACCCTTAGAAGAGTGGCTAGAACAGTGCCTCCTCGTGCTCAGACGTGGGTCACAACATTTGTGGGACTGAGTGCAATACCTTTAATTATTAAACCTATTGATGGGTAAGCCTGATACTACATGTACTTGGGGTATGGGTTATTTGACAAAAATCACCTTCCATTATGGCCGGGAGTGGGGGGCACTACCTTCAGGCAGGCAGGCAACCTTTCTGGTTGCCTGCACTTTTTGACAACCCTGAATACTGTCCTTTTGCTGGAGGAAGTGTTTTTTACGTGCCAGTTAACACACAAATCTTCAGAGTGTTTTAAATACCTCCCCTGGGGGGGGGGGGGTACAATAACAATAACCCTAACCCCCGCCACCAAAAAAACTTCCTTCTTAAATCAAGCCACTCAAAAACATACATACTTGGCAAATTAATTTTCCTAGCCTCAAAAAATCTCAGAATGGAAAATTTCAAACCCCAAAAAATCCTTTGATCATTCCTACTACTTTAAATCCCCAGTGACCCCTGAGTTGCATAAAAGGTCATGTGAAATGTATTTGTTAACCGCTGGCATTAAAGTAAAGAGATTAAATGGACAAAACATTGATTAAGATTGACATTTATTAAGATAAATTTATGCAGCTGGCTTCAGATGGGTATGCTGTGGTTCATCGTTCTCCTTGGTTTTAATTTTATTTTCCTTCATTTCAAACTCATTGTTAACATACCCAAAAACAAAGGATATAAAATTTAAACTGGGGATAAGATTGAAGCACGACAGGTTCATGGTCCACAGTTCACTCTGTCTGGCTTTCAGTCTGCCATCTGATAGTCCACACATAATATTATTACATGCAAAGCCTCATTACTTTAGAGTCCACTGGTTCACGTGAAGGCACAATCACTGATTCCCTGCTAAGTCTACAATATGCTAACTTACAGTCTATAGGATACTTCTCAGATTCTAAAGTTGGGAGTCTGTAATTTGAGTCCATAACCCATTTGTCAAAGCTCCAGGCTCCAAAGTTAATATCATTTTCCTTACTGGTTTTATTTCTTGTTAGAAAAACTATTATTCAGTAACTAGTATTTTCTTTTTTTACAGGTTAGTTGACAAAATCATGGATGGTTTGATTGACATTTCAAGACAACTTGGCATCTCTCAACAGTTGGACCACAGCCACAAATAGAAAATCTGGAAAATACTTAACATCTCTTAACAAGCATAGATTAATTTATTTTCCCTAACTGTTTGTGTCCAACTCCAACATATCGCCCTTTCATCTGTTCTTTATCATTTTTCTGCTTGGTACAGAGTTGATGTAAAACATTAGCATGTAACTGCTCAAGCCCTGTCATTCTTTCTGTACATACAAAAACTTTTACAAGACAAGTGAATGTATATTTTCTAATAAATTTAGCATGGATTTTAGGATGTGTAAAATTTCTGGACACTCTTAAAGGTTTTTTTCCAAGTCACACCTAACCCATCAGGCAACTTTTCTTTGCACAGTGGTTGGCAGATGCTGCAGGGAGGCCAAACTTATCTTTCTAGACTCCTTAGCATCATTGCCAGTTTTGTCAACAATGGCAAGAATACGTAACTTTTCCATTTCTAATGGCAACAAAAAAGGTTAAAGGTAGGTTAGGGATTACAAAAATTAAAAACAATGGAAGTCTAACAAAGTCTACAGACAGACAATTGGGAAACTATGGGTGATTTTGGGGGTTGTATTTTCAGTACAATATATGGTATCTATGTAGCTGGCAAGTGCCATGGCTATTATACTCCTTTCTGAATTTTCTATAACCACCGCTGGGTGCCTGGGTGGCCAACTGTGTATAGTTTAGAAAGCTGAGTTTGCTGTTCTTGTTTGAGTGGACTCCATGTAACACTGTATAAATTATGGGTGCTCTCTTTCCACACCAACCCTGAAAAAGCTATACAGGTGTGCATGCCTAAATAACAGGGCCTTGATTTTAGGACCACTGATTTAGAATTGGGTATCCATATTTTGAATTAATTCCCTGAGGAAACATTTGGAACAGACATACAATATCTCATTTAGTGGTGTAATTTGAAGGATCAACTGGGGGCTTAGGATGAAATGCTAATATTTTCACCCTTGCAAGTACTGCTAAGGGCTGTGTGTAAGGAAAACGAAGAAAACAGACAATGAAAGAAAAAAAGGCGTTCCATGGCAACACCTATATTGGAACTTAAAATTACCAGCATAGCTATTTGAATGTCTCTTTTTAGAATGGTGACACTTGAACGACACCTGATCATTCAGCGACTCCTTTAAGGGGTAGTTCCAATTTTCTGACAACCATCCCTGCCTCCCCCACTTGGCATTTACCACCGCTCCCCCTTTTCCTCTGCACACACAAACACAGTAGAGACATCATGGGGGCAGGGAGGCACTGCAGATACTAACCCCAATAAAATCCCATGGAATTTAACGCATTAAATATTAACACAGCCGGAAAATAACTTTGGTTGTACTTTATTCGAAGAACTACACGGCTGGCCTACATTTACATGGGCACTACCAAAAACTTCAAATTGTTTTGAATAACCACAAAAAACAAACATAAGAAAAAATTCTTGCAAAATTTTCCTACCCCCAAAACACCCAGAATCGAAAAATTCAAACCCAAAAACATCCTTTGATCATCCCTGTCACTTGAAATCCAGAGTACCCCCCTGGCAGAGACATACCCAACTGTGAGTGAGTATCCGTGTACATTCTTATATACACTTGAATATTTGGAAAGATTATCGTAACAATGGAACCACTTTGGAATCTTTTGAAGTTCTGAACAGTCCCTTGTAAACTAAAGAACTATTTCTCATATGGCCTGCCCCCTCAACACCCTCTGCAAATGCCATCAGTTACTTAGAAGCATCAGTTGCATTTTGCACCTTCATGCTGCAGTAGCCATTTTTTGGTATCAACTCCATTATACGAGCTGTAATTTCCAATATCTCCTCCACTCTTTACAACCCGGTGACACGGTACGATGATGGAGATCGGGTTCGACTTCATTGCCATCCCGACGGCCCTAGCTGCCTTTGGATTCCCCACCATATTGGCTAGTTCTCCGTACGTCACGGTTTCTCCAACTTTCACGCGATCTTTAAGAATCTGCCACACTTTAAGGCAAAATGGCTTATTTTCGTGGTCTTGTGTAATGAGAGCTGGTAGTTTAACTCTCTCCAGGAAAGGAGAATTGGAAAAGTAGGCATCTAACCAAGTGATGCAGTCTTGGATGTGTTGAGAGCTTAAGGAAGAAACATGTTCGTCTTTTCCTCCTTCCTTCCAGCACTTCATAGAAACTGAATTTGGTCCTATAAGCTTAATGCTTGTAACGCCATAATCGTCTGCAATGACTTCGTAAACTCCGACTGGAGACTCGAAATATCCAACTTGCTCCATCTTTACACACTCTCTGCCCTTCCTTTAGCCCGGTCGAATGTTTAATATCCCCCTCTCCTCCCCTACCCACCCCTTCGACGCTTGAAACACATAGAGCCACAGGTCAGCCAGGATTGAACATCTAATGATGTGCCTTTAACCTTTTTGCTTTTGATGCTTTGTTACATTATTCTTATTACAGTTCACCTCGAAGAATAAACCTTCCATTGATATTTTAACCCGGGACAAGCTCCTTAGTAGGGATAGGGAGGGGGGGAGGTGAGGGTTCTCAACAAAGTTTTATACGGGGAGGCCCCGAGGTCCAGCCCCTCACCCTTTTATATGTCATTTTTGACTGAAAAGGTGTCCCTTCCATTTCTATCGGCAAATAATACCCCTATCACTTATTTAGTTAAGAACTTTGCACGACAGAACGTTTCTTCGACTTTTTCACGGTCATAAAGTGCACTGTTAGCCCTTTTGGGCCTTTTTTTAACCAGTGGTAGCGTCGCCAAATGTCGGTTGTTTTCTCAGGCTACTAGATGACTTCTTATCGCGGGAAAAACAAAGAAAGACGCAAAAAGTCTCTCAGGTGTAAAGAGATCCTCGTCAGCTTTGATCATCACACTTAAGAAGCAAACCACGATACGTCATATGCCGTAAAAGCAATAAGGACTATTTTTTATTCACTCAACATGTTGCTGGAGAAAGTAACAGTAATAGCAGATTCAAGCATTGTTCCTAACCCAGAATAAGGACATGAGTCAGTGTTCCCAAGAAACTGCCTTTATAGAACCTTGACAGCTACCACACGCTACACAAATTTCAAAACTTTTCCATTACCTACAAAAAATATATAGTGTTTTCCCCAAAAGATTCCCTTTTCAAATTTAGCAATTTTAAATAATAATTCAAGTTTTTTCTTTCGTTAAAATACAAATTATCGATAATTATATTTCAAATAACAAGATCGTTTGAATACTGGTCGTAAAAAAAAGGCATCGCCGACATTGTTTTTTCCAAATTTTCTGTAGGGAGGGGAGTGCCCCTGTCCTGCGTTGGTTGTTTTGCGCGTCCTACATTGCACGATATTCAACCCCGTTCCCAAGCTCATCTTCAAATCTCCCTCGGAGAATAAGTAGGAGAGGATGCTGAGAACGAGGTTGCCACTTATTTCAGTGGCTTCAATAAACTGAAACAAAGGCAACGTTAAGTGCTTCTACACGGAGTCTGAGCTCGACAGTAGCTGATGATCAGGTTCATATGGCTCTAGTACGAGAACGACTAAGTATCATAGCCATTTAGAAAAGTTAAACCCTCCCAAACATTTAACAGTACATATAAAAAGCTAAATCCGCAACACCGCCAAAACAAGCAAATCACCAATTTAGGGTGCATTCGATTGATCGCATTCCAGAACGGGACTGAATACGTTAAAAGATTGTTCCAAATCATCTCCATCATTATTTGCATACACTAGATAGCAATAGCCTGAGAGCAATAGCCATGTCAGCAATAGTCGCAACGCTCCTTCCCACTAGTAGGGAAGAGCGTTGCGTGACGACACTAAAAACGGCTGTATAGCAGATTATGTCACCAAGATCTATTTGCTGTAATTCCGGAATAAGGTCAATTAATGATATTGTTTCCAGAAGTTTTGAAAAATATATCATTATCATCAGATAAGGAAGTAAAGTAAAGATAAGAAGCAGAGTCCCTTGATTTCAGCTCAAGATCATCAATGCTGTCACCTAGTTACAAGGCATCTGCGGAATTTCAATTCCTGTCTTGGCGACTTTCTGACGCAAGACATATAATATCGTTGTCATGTTTCCAGCAAACAGGGTGAAAAATACCACACTCAGGGCAAGTACCTGCAAATGATATATCATCTTAAGAATGCGGCAACAAAAGCTTTTCAGCCACTATCTACAAGACTTGTCAGAAATATAATGGTGAATTTTAAGCCTGGTGGATACATGAGAAAGATGATTTTTCATTCAATAGAGAGTTTAAGCTTGAACCAATCACAAAGCACCCACGCACCCACGCTTTGTGATTATTTTAGTTCTTCTACTTCTGCTTCCGACTCCGACAATCTGGTGTTAACTATATCAAAAGCGGAATGTAAACGACGGAGTCGTAAGAGGAATCGGAACGCTGTTTTCACTAGATAGTAAGCCCTACGCTTCTGGGTCGGGTTGCAAAAAATATTTTAAGATTTAAGGGAACTCGTAACTATTGTTTCAAAACAGTAGGTTATTGTTCCAGAACAGAAGTTAAAGTAGCTGTGTCACGAAATTCAGCCAAATTACGAAACTACAAAGTCACTGACACAGGCGGCTCGGAAGAGAAAATCAGAGTACTCCCAAAAGGAGTCGAACCTATTGCCCTTCTGGTAACCAGTCCAGATACTCTACCATGAACGTAATTTAGAGGCCTTAGTTCCTGGGCACGAGTGCACTGTAGCTCAGTGGTAGAGTATCTGGTCTTGTGACCTGGTCATAGCTTCCTCTCTCATTAGGAGTACTCGGATTATTTCTTTCAAGCCGACTGTGTCACTCACTGAAAAATCATCTTTCTCAACACTTATTCCTTAAGCACCGATCATACTATGTCAAATTCAAAAGCCGGGATCTTTCCACCGTCGAGGTCTGAGTATCTATTTCTTAGGCCCCTATTCGCCGCGGTCAATCCATTTCTAGTAGTCACGTGACGTAGGACCGCATAAAAAAGGAATTGGCCGTTAACCCACACGTTCAGGAACTATAAAGACTTTGCAAAACGTTTTGCCGCGATAATAGACAAATTTAGATAAGGTTTACCGCAAACGGCAAACGTCACATTCAAGCTGCAAGTTTCTACAACTAGGAAATGAACAGATAAAAATTGTGCAAAATTATTCTCCTGGATGAACCTGACAGGAAACTACTAACATTTCTGTAGACATAAAGAGCAGTAAACTAAATTTAAAAGGAAAACCTGCAACATGGTACACATTGACGTTTGCCGTTTGCTATAGACATGATTCTTAATCTCTAAACTTGTGCTGTTGGAAACAGCCATCCCTACAACCGCTTGCAAACAAATTTTCACGCTTGCAAACAAATTTAATAATTAAAAACCCAGTTAAGGGGCCATGTGTCACGGCTGGCTAGTTCATTTTGCCGCTAACAATCGCTTCCTTGTTCGCTATCATGGGACTATGTCTCCCAAGCAATATATCAAACATTACAAACAACAAAAACGAAATTTGAAAAATTTTAGTTTAAAAACCACAATAAAAAATTGCAGTCCGTTTCAATCTTCTTGGCATTTGACTATTCGTGGCTCCTTTTTGTATTCGCTGTGTTATTTCTACCTTCTTTTCATGTTTTGAGCAGTTTTTTTTAATGTATCCCTCAATTTGGCCGCAGTGACACACATCCTTTAATGAATGCTACTGATCCCATGAGCCTGTAAATCAGCTACAATTGACTTACCTGCCACTCAACACATTCCGGGTGAAAGTACAGACGGTATAACGTGTATGCATTGTACAGCTGGAAGAGCTGTGGAAGTTAGAAAACAGTGTCGTTTGATGAAATGTAAAGAGAATTGTATTTTATTGTGAGAGTAGACTACAAAACAGTCCGCATTTTTGCGTATTCAACTACGCGCTAGCAGTCAAACAAAATGTCCGGTGCGAGGCTGAAAACAGAGAGCGAGACTGGGGAGAGACGCTAAAAATCCTCATCGAGGATGTAATTTACTTTAAAATTAATTATTTGAATATACCACACCAAACAAAATGGTGATACTTACATAACCAAAAATAAGGAAGGGAATGATAAAACCTAACCCTCTCCACATCCACGATTGAAATCCCTCTGGAAAAGATATCATTATTAGCCAATAACATTTAAGTCTGAGGTTGATTACCACTTGCAAAAAGTTTCTGGAAAATCCGGTTGCAAAGGAAATGGAACACGACTCTCCGTGTCGTTTCTGAGGACAATTTCCTGGAAAAACGAAACTCCTGGAAAGGTAGTCCTGTTTTCCCGGTCGGAATGTTCCAACCGGGCATTTGTGTTCCATTTACTCAAAGCTAGACTTGCCACAAGTCGACAACGTGAACGCCGAAAGCACGAGGGACGTATCTAACCAGCAGAAACCAGAAACGGGCTTTGAGAAAGTGTAACTCAAATCCATCTTTGATACACGTTTCAGGCTTTCGCTGTCGTTTTTCGGTTAATGGAACTGATTTGCGCAAATGTTAAACGCGATTCCGGCACGGAATTTACCAGTCTCAAATTTTGCATACCATTTGCCTAAACCGTGAGCAGACCGAGCAGACCGGTTTGCCCATGTGAATGCCAATGGTAAACTACTTCCCAATACTCCCCGTGGTGTATGGACATAATTCCGTTACTTCTATGCATGAGTGCTCTTTAGGCGGGTCTTTAGGCAGGTACAAAACTCGGACTCGGATCACATAATTTACATACTTACCAGACAATAGTTGCATTGCTGTCCCAATATGTAAATGAGTCGATCTGGTCCGAGTTTTGTACCTACCTGTCCGGGCTACCTGAACTACTTTGCACTGCAACGGGAATTCATTGTTGTGAAATTCGATATAGTTCCAATTCCAAAACAAGGCTTAATGGTAAAATTTCAGGGCTCGACAAAAACAAGCATACAGGGTATTCCTCAACTTGCACAAAAGGCCTGAGAAAGTTCCTCAATCTTTTGCGGCTCATGCAGGCATAACCTTCATCTCTTGTGTTTTCCTAGAAGGTGATTTCTAACAAGCTTGCTCACAAGCTTAGCTGAATCCGCTCTACTTTTGGACACCTTCCTATTACGGACATTTCTTTTGGTGCCAGGAATGCTAAACTTCTAAAATATGAATACCTCTACAATGTAGACAATAGACCACGTTCGATATATTAAAATATTCTAACATGACTCCAAGGCTTCAAAGTCAAAAATGCAAATTTTTCACGCCTCCATTGTCTCGCAAATCCCAGAAGAGACTTGAGCACAAAGAAAACCAAACCAAATATAGAAAAAAGACAAGAAAACCTTGAAGTCATGTTACAATTTTTAATACATCGAACGTGGGCTATTGGTCATTTAATAATGACTGCAACAAACACATAAATTTACTGAGGCCAGTGATACCTAAAGTTATGTCCATCTTTGTGCTGATCCCAAGTGCTCTCAAGCGATACAGAACACCACTTTGATATCTAAACTGAAGTAGCTGAACAAAAACTTGAAATGAAAAAAAGAAGATTCTTGAATCAATGGATAGGAATGTTTCAGTTTGCAGATACATTAGTTTTTTTGCTGTACTGAGCACCTGAACATCACTTCCATTCATTGAAAGGTTATGGATAATTTTGGCCAAGAAAATCGAAGGTAACAATTAGCTGTGTATTTTATCAGCTTTTAATGCCACTCATAAAACATAATTTTGCATTTCCTTCATTAATTTTTGATGGGGTTCTGAAGAAGGTGTCAAAATCATGAACAATTTTGGAGCTAGGATTGGCACAATAGAGAGGAGAAGTGTTATGTCACATTACCATGGTAGCACTATTTCTGGGTGACAACAAAACCAACAACAACGGCGATAGCAAGGAGAACGGCAAAAAATATATGTTTATATTAACAAACAACAACTTTGCACTTGCATCACGCTATTTTGTACATTTCTTTGCCGCCGTTGCACCACTACGATATGAAACTTCCTAATTTCACGAGCCCACTTTATGAGTGAACAACACACAAAAATTGTCGCCTTCTTTTTTTAAACTTATATAACGATAGATACGGTCCCAAAGAAAATTTCGCCAAGATTTGCCAAATTAAAAGAAACTGGATAAGATCAGTGTAGTTTGAAATAGTGCGATTAGACTTTTAAGTGACTTTATCAGTTTGTTGTCATCCAAAAATTTTGCTACCATGGCAATGCGACGCAATGACTTCTCCTCTCTATTGGTTAGTGTGCAGCCTTCTGTGCGGGAGGTCTCAAGTTTGATACTCAGGCAGGTGTTGCCCTCAAATCCTAGTACTTTTGACTTCTCTCCTTTTTGTCTGGTTTTAAGTTGCTTACCACTGATGGGAGGAAGGGGGTAATGAGCACAACGTCACCCTTAGGTTTGTTAGTCAGATGATCACTATTTTAAGCTTCCGACATAAATGAAAGGAGACTTTACCTTTAACATTTAATGCAACTTTCAGTTGCCAAGCTTTTCTAAATTATACAAGTACTCACTTAGGTACAGTGAAAAATAAAAGAATTGCCCTCTAAAGATCTGATACACTCTTCCATCTGGCCTGAATTTAAATTAAAGGAAAACAAAAGTAGGTAAATGTGGTTAGAAAAACTTTTCATCACAGGTAACCCAAGCTCACAAGTAAGAATCGTTGCTGCAATTCTAGCAAGATGCTAAAACTTTCTAGAATCGTAATGAAACCGCCAGAAATGCTAACACACCATAAATAAACAATGTAAGATGTTATTATGTATATTTAATGTTTTTTCGTACCTTAAATAACGATCGCTAAAATCCCCATATAAACCCTTCTACATATTTCTGTTGAGCAACAACAATTCTTACTCATGAGCTAGAGGTAGGGATACCTTGCAAGTAAACACCTTTATGGAGGATACTATCTACAGTATCAATGGAAGAAGTGAAATAGACATAAGAGACTAATTTTTTACCTAGTGACTGAAATCATTGCACAATTCATACTTGAAGGGTCCAGTTAGGAAAAAAGAGGTACTTAATGATTCTATCAGGGGATACTTCTTGCAAGGTTGCAATAATTTTGGGGAGTTTTTTCTATGAAAACTCGGTTAGTGAAGCCTTCTGCTTCATATCATGTAACAACAACATGACGTATTTTAAAATATAATTTATTGTATATATTCACATTCAAAAGACTTACCATATAAGAAGTAATCCAGACAAAATGATGGATACATAGTGATGAGCCACCCACCAGCCCTTTATTCTGCAGTGGAATTAAAGTCACAGTCTGTTAAAACTTCTGGGATAATTATTTTCAAAGTGCTTTCTTTCTTTGACCAAGGAACCTTTTTTGCACTACCACTCTCATCAATTACACAAAAAATTTTATAAGCAACATTGATAAAATTTTCAATTTGCTACAGGCCTTTTTTGATCATATATGGCACACTGAAAATTAGGACAGGCCATACTTATCAGCTGGTTTAAACACACTACTTGTTCAATTAAAATATAACAAAGAAAGAAATTCAAGTTAAACTATCAGTCATAATGATAAAAACTTGATTAAATATCTCATAAGGCAGGACAGAGGCAAGCCAGTTGTTTATTTTACAAGCAGGGCCGAGAAGTTGAAGTTTGGACTTTGAGCAAACAGATCTGGTTAGAATTGAACATAGGGTGGCCACAGTGAAATCTGCTGCCATGAACCACCCAGCCATGTTGTCTATTGGAGGAAGTACTTTGAATACTGTGTGGGTAGGGATGTGCCGCTTGGACCCTGCAACCCTAAGCCCATACCTAGTTCGGATGAATTTTGCTACCCTAAACTAGACTTAACTTGCGACATCTCTCCTTATCCTAGAGTTGATATTTTCCAAAAATTATGGAGGTCTCCACTTTCTTCACTATTTAACTGAGTTGCAGGTAAATTAAGAATTGCCAAAAATTATTTTAACTTTTTTGAGTGTCAATTCCAGTTTCCCTAGTCAAGACTAAAAATCTTCAACCAATAAAAAAGTTTCCTAGAAAAGGATACCCTATTCTAGACACAAACCCTATGATTTCTATACTCTATCCCAGACTAAGGTGCTAGAAAACCATACCCTTCACAGTGGCACATACCACTATATAACATATATGGTAGTAACCCCTCACCCCTGGGTGTTGCCTCCTGGTTCATTATAATTCATTGTGAGCCAGTTGGGGATGCATTGTAAAATAACATGCTCTTAATGTTATTTCTCCTAGTAACAAACTAACAATAGGTACTTTCATGTTGTGAATTGTCATACCCTAAAACCAGCTCACACCATCAAATATATATGACTTTCAAACAAACACTGCACTAAAAAATGTTGTAGCAATTTGCATATAAATGATACAGCCAGGTGGTTAACACCTCAAACTTCTGATCTAAAGACCTGGGTTCAAATCTTACGATTCCATTGTTTCCTTAGACAAGAAACTTGGCTCCATTTTATCATTCTGCACCCAGCAGGTTTATAAGTGAGTACTGACAACATACTGCTGATGGTACAACCCTGCAATGGACTTGTTTTAATATCCTGTTCAGGGGTGATAGTGATATTCCTAATAAGTGCCTCATGATACAGCCTGAACTGGGTTCAGAGGCAGCACATGTTCACCTTTGATACCTTTTTTAACCTTATATCAACATATACAAATGGTAGTAATGATTTGCACCTTGATCCATTTGCAATCAAAATATGCTCTTGAAGCGTTAGTGTGCTGTAGTACCATAAGAGCATGGCGTGGAAAAGAGCATCCGATATTCTGCAGGGTAAACAGTAAACTACAGTCAAACTTCCATTAAGCAGCCTCCTTATTAAGTAGCTATTCTTGCCAGAGTCCAATTAACAATATTGTAAGTAAAGTAAGTGTAAACAGAACCTCTATGAAACAGCCACTTGTCCCTTGCCCAAGGGTGGTGGGTTTATAGACGTTTGACTGTATTATAGATATAATGCTTTGATCCACTGATTTCCACTTGAAACCCCGATCCTACTTTGACTCAGTTCTTCAAATTTATTCTCAACAATTCCTGGAAATGTCATACTTCTCAAAATATCCACATTTCCTGCCTCAAACAAAGGTTGTATTTGTTTTGGTTCAATTTTATCCTTGGTTTAAATTCTATTTCCCCTTGGTTTTGGCTATGGTAACGTATGATAATGAGTTTGACACAAACGAAAATAGAATTTAAACCAATTATTGAACCACAACATGCATGTCATTTACACTCCTGAGAGATTTATCCAGAAATCCTCAGGATTCAACTTTGGAGCTTTTCTGTTCTTTAGTTTGGGATTTCAAGCCCATTCTTCACCAGGGTTCAAGAATGTTTTTGATTAAAAGTAAGGTTTCTGCTATGTGTTGGCACATATTTCCTCACTGACAAAGATTATTTTGTCATAATTTACAGACATTTAATTGATTTTGATTATGTGAGACTTCAGTCCTTTGAAAAATCTGGGACTGAGTTGATATGTGTTTACCACAGGGAGGTACATGGTTGATTATGAAGACGTACAGCAAAAGACTGAATTTGTGCCACAAACCTCTGCCATCAGTTCTGTGAGCTTATGTAATGAATATGTGGTATGTACAAAAATAAATAAACAAATAAAATACCTGTAGTTAAAGACATATAAATTTAAGATGGTGAAAACCATACTGATTACTGTCATCTTAAATTTAAACTGTTCGTATGCATTTTTGTATTCCAGCCTGAAAAAGATAGACAAAAATTAGTTCTGATATGGGATTAATGAACTGACAGAAAAAATTCTACCATTTGAATTTTAATAGTCACTGTTTGTAGAAAGATACAGAAAACTGTTGAGTTATTCAGACTATGTGTTCAACATGGTGAGCATTTACAGTGGGTAAACAGAGGGTATCACTTACTTTGAATTATACAGTGAAACATTTATATTTCCCAGGCATAACTTAAGAAACAACCTGCAAACAAGTACAGAAATGTTTAGCAAGTCGCAAGAAGCAATTGAAAATTAAGAGAAACGTCCTGTAAAAATTTAACAAGGTAAAAGTGCAAATGAGCCACAGGCCCAAACAGCCAGATCTTATCCTGGTTTCCTTAGCATGAAGTATTCCTAGAAGTATTGCTACGCTACTCCCCCCTGGATGGAATGCTAGTCCATCGCAGGGTTACCCCCCAGCAGTATATCACTGGTACCCATTCATACACCCGAGTGAAGAGAGACAAAGTGGAGTAAACTTCCTTGTCTAAGGAAACAATATGATCGGCAAGGCTTGAACCCTGGACTTCCAGATCCGGAGTTGTAGGTGTTTACTGCTAGGCCACATATGCCGGCATGAAAAAATAAAAAACATGCTATAAAACCTTAAAAAGGAAAGAATGTGATGATATTATATGAGCAAAGTCAAAGAGAAATTGCATTACCCTGCTTGAGAGGGAAGACTTTTTTCCAACTCTTTTATCTGTTTTTCCAGTTCTAAAATCTTCCGTTGAAGTCTGTGGCTGTGAGCTTTCTGCTCTTCAGTTAATGTTCCTTTCACAACTCTACAAAATCATGAATTAATTTAGGTTATCACACGAGACTGAGGAGACTGACAATCAAGCGGTAGACTTTTAAAAAAGTACTTTGTCCCTCAGCCACTTATTAGCCTAAAAAGTTCGCTCTGCTCACTTAGAAACCTGTGAGGTCGACTTGTGGCAAGTCTAATAAACTGGAGCCACGATAAAATGAACCGGCAAGGAACTAAAATTTACAATAGTAATATGTCATTAATAACAGAGGCACAGTTTCATGGTAAATGGAACAAAAAATCCCCCACTATTGACTGGTAGCCAATTGTGGGCTGCACGTTCGCCTGCAGTCAGCAAACTGTGGGTGATCTGTTGCTGACTGAGATGTTTTTCTCAAAACTATAATAAGTCGGGATTATTTTTTTTACCTTGCCGATTTTAAGTAAATAACGAAGAATCTAAGAGGAGATTTCCTTTCGACTTTCCTTTTCTACAACAACAACTCTTTGGGGTCCAGCTGCAGACATTTTACTATTAATGGAGTGAAGAATCTCATTAATTTATTATATTGGCATGTTTGTGAAATATGAGTCTTTGTGACTTAAGGGTTTCACTCACCACAAAAAACAGATTTATGCATTAAATAATCAATACTACATCCATAATTAAGTCCATACATAGTCCATACCGCTGAAGTGATGCTTGGAAATCTCTTAACTTTCTTCTCTGCTGGTTTATAGCAGAGACACAGGATTTTTGACTGGAATGAAAATCGTCCATTTTCTGTTGGTATTCATAAAACTTTGTTTGCTGGAATAGACAAATGAATACAAAAACACGATTAACTTGAACTCATCGGTAGTTTAACACAAAACAGTTCTCTTAAGTGTGTTCATAAGTCACACCACGAAATCAACAAAAGTTTGCACCACACACTCCCAGTAACATTATACATTTGCATGGCCCTTAAATAAACATATTTACTCATGAATTGAACAGGGTGAGGGAGAGGGTGACAAACCATTTTCTCTGTACTTAAGAATAATGAAAAAGAAAAAAAAACACTTCAAGGCAAGGAATATACATGTATCTGATAAGTAAAAAAAAATTTGGCTAAACTACAGAATACCTGTCCCAGGGGGGGGGGGGTAGATTCTCTTAAATGAAATCAAAACAATGTTCTCACAGCTTGCAAAGCGATCATCAAGAGTCTTGCCAGCGGATTTGTGTACTATCATGTGCATTACCTCATAAACCAAAGATTAACTGTTTTGACAAGGATCAAAAGGCAGGATTGTTTCTCAGTATTATATTTTGGTAATTTGCAACTTTATTGATTTTATGTTGCTTTTCAGACACAGTGTGTGTTTTGCTTTTTCCTTTAAACAATTTTCCTATAAAGAGTTTAGAATAGGTAACATATACCTGCGTATAGATGAACAACCGCCAAAGAGTTTAATAAGATATCGAGTAGTGTTTTGTTGCAAACCTAAGGAAAGTTAAGGTTGCTTCAAGGTACAGAGCTTTCAGCAATAGATGTAAATTATTGTTTCTTACGGTCGTTTGAATTTTAAGTTTGAATTTAAGGTGATGACTGATCATAATAAACAAAGTTAAATGTTATCACTGTTATGAAGTGTGAATCTGTTCGTTCAGGTATGCCACCTCTCTTGAATAGACTTGATTTAGGTAAATTTGACAATTCCTCCAGTAATTTTTATCAGCATCATAACTTCTATAACATACTCCTCGCCCAGCACTGCAGTCCTGCAGTAGTCTATAATTTACATATTTTAATATCATCTGTACCATATCTTTTTATAAACATTCAACTTTGTTCCTTAAGCACTGAAGCGAAACTAGCACACCTTAGACATGTAATATACTTCATTCTTTAATCCACAAATCCCAAACAAGCCAGTTTAGAATAAAGCAGCCATTCTACTAAACTTATTATCCAGTGACAAATGGACAGCAGGCCGCAGTGGCAGTCCGGTTAACTGCTTTTACATGTTCACTGACTAAGGGAATGTGGATCGTGATGAAAATCCATCCACAAAAACAACCGAACTTAATTTGTCATGGCTTTGTTTTAATACTACAGGTTTTGTTGCTATGGTAACTTTGGACACCACGGCACCTCAGGCTTCTACCTTGCTACAGATCCATGACTTCCATGAGTGATGCAAATTCCAATAGAATTTAAAGCTCCCTTTCCAAGTAATAAGTATAGAATTTTAACATTTTCATAAAATTTTGATCTGTAATTTAATTGTCAGAAGCAAGCTTTTTAAACATGCCACACTATTGTAAATTGAGCCAATATCGGCAAAAATGAGGATTGTTTTTTTCCCCGGCAACTAAGGTAACTTTAATATCACCACTTTCCTTCCCATGGATTTTGATCTCCAAGATCAAGATCAAAGTGACTTGGCTAAAAATGGTTACATTGAGTCTCAACTTTTAGCTTTGTTTCCTGATCTGACGCGTTTTTTAAGGTAATGAACCAAGTTGAGGGAGCCTAATTTCTTCGGAAACGTATTTAAAATCTAAGAGCAGGACTGTTTCAAATTCCATACTGGGATAATCCTAAACGCGAGCAACCCTGTTCAAGCATGACCAATTGGTTCAATGATTCTATTAGAGATCGAGGACCATGAATAATTTACACAGTTCCACTATCGTAATGTACGATGTCTTAAGATTAAAACTGCTCATTTTAGATATAAAATTAGAACCTTGAACTTTTTCGTATCCTCTTCCAAGGTTTTCCATTCCTCCTCCCATTCTTGGAGACTTGAAATTTCAGCGATCGCCGCCATGATGAGCACTTTTTGAACGACCTGTAGACCGATCCGTAGACAAACAAACAATGCCAAAACCAAAAAACGAGGAGACCATGGGGACGAGATCTCGTTCCCAGTCCTCCCATCATTGCTCTCTCTGGAACTCTGGACCGCTCTCTGAACACCCTCGACTGGAAGTTTTCCTCGTTCGTTGTGGGGGACGAAAACGCGAAGAATAATAAGTCAAAAACGGAGAGTGTGGTTAACTAGTTTTGCTACTTCTAACCTGAAATACGTATCTATCTAGACTGAATATTATCCCGAGCCGAGCTAAAACGTTCCAGCCATGTTAACTTGTCTTGCCCAGTATTTGATTCCAGACAAGCACGGGGTTCGATTCGCGGTCTCTGCTGGCTGCCACAGCACAAATTTGGATACCTCGTCCTCAACCAGAATGCTGGCGACAGTGGCCTCTTTGATTCTCAAAAGAGCCTCTCTGATTCGTTCAGATAGTTTTGGTGTTTGGGTTAACCTTCCATGAAGTTTTTTGTATTAAATATGATGTCTCCATGGGAGATAACCAGTATAGATAAAGATGATGATGATGGCCGCCATGCGCAACACGCGCTTGTTTCACCGCCTTCATAAATAAGATTTTTATTGACTTTCCAGCCCCCTCAATGTCCGTATGGGAAATACGTAATAATTTTCTAATATCTAGATCGTATCAAGCACATTTATAATTAAAAATTTAGAGTTTTCGTCGTAGACAGTTCTGAAATCTACTGAGCATACGTAGGCTTCGTGGTATTAACTACTGGCCTGAACCATTACATTTTGGGGCCTTATTTGCAGGGACGTAGCGTGACCATTTGGCAAGTACACATACGGGTCCATGTGGTCTCAAAAACTTCGTACAAAATAACGCTTTTGCTTTCCTTTAATACATATTTCGGCAGTCTACAGGCTTGTTTGCAATATAAAGTGATATCAAACGTTCTTCTTTGAGCTGGTACTGGAATGTTTACAAGCTCAAGACGAGGCGCCTCCCCTTTGTTGCGCAAATTTAGAGACGTTATCCACATTAAAATCTTTGTGTTTATGTATGAGAATGTAAAATCACCAAGGATGAAAGTCGCTCATCTGTCCTCGTATTACGCAGTGAAGTCTTTATTCTGACATCTAGCTGAAACTGCGCTCAGAAACGCACGCCGAAATAGAGTAAGTAAGAAGTGTCTTACTGGATAAAAAGCGGCATTGGTTTGATAAAGTGTTTCCACAAGAGTCTCTGAAAGGGGATCATCAGGTGGCCTCAGTGATTTACTAGCGGTGCCTCCACCTTATAATCTCTGTAATCTCTTGCTTGAAGGCAGTTTCCCAGTTGAGTGACATTAAAGTAGTCTTTGATTTACAGACTTTTTCGACATTTATATATAAAGAGAAACTAAAAAACAGAATAGCCTTTGAATGGGAAAACTTTGCACATAAATTTTGAAAGGAATGATAACTAGTCAGGGTCGTTGTTTGTGGCCTCGCACCTTCGTTGTACGCTGAAAAGTTAGCCTGCGGTGCAGCCGGCCCGCGTATCGCATATAGTGTGGATACAAGGTTTAAAGTGTCTGCGCGCAGGCTATCAAAAGTGTGTTTGCATGAATTTCCCCAGTCCCCCTCCGTTTTTCTTGGATACGCAATGTATTGTGGGATCGCCTGAAAGCAAACATTTCAAGACTGTTTCAAATTTATCACATTCCACTACTCAAACTGTTCTTTTTTTCATGTAAAAACGATGCGGAATAACAGCGAGACAGTTCCTGTCCTGCACTATACAAGGACAAGTCACGACACTACAAATGGCTTTTACTTATAACAAAAAATCTTTTTAAAAAACCCTACCAATTTCTCAAGTAAGCGCGTGCGTATTTGCGTAAAGGGCGCTACGCCCATGATTTCTATCTGAAATCGTGCTCACCTTCAAACCAGCTTACTGAGCTTTTTTGTCAGGACTGATAACCTTTGTGCGTGTGTAAACCAGCCTAAGGGATCGATTTCGCCTTAAGATAAACGTTTTTCTTAGTCTTGGTCATCAATTGCTGGCTACGTTATTTATTTTCTGGTGTAATCTGGTTCCCTTTCGCTATTTCAGAATTATCGATTTAAGTCATATACGTTTGTACTCTTAGGTGATTTACCTAAATACGTTACTTTTCAGACTTTTAGTTCGATTTATCAGTTGGAACCGACCCAGAACTAGCCTGCGAAAACATCCGTTTCTCCTCGCTCTTCGCCGTTAGGGACGTTTCCTCCGCGCGAAACGTCCCCAGCGGCGAAGAGCGAGGAGAAACGGATGTTTTCGCAGGCTAACCCAGAACAGATTTTTTACGACAAATCACCCCTGACGACTCATCTAAATCGTGATATTAAGACAAATGGTCTTAAGTTGTGAGCTTTGTAATAGGAATATATCAAAACATTGAGCTATGCTTGCAGCTTCAATACATCCGTTTATGTTACTGCTTTCAGTTTTCGTCGAGTTCCTTTTTAAAGTCACGAGCCGTAAATTGGCCTAGCACATGGGCTCCTGCCTAGCAGTAACGTATGTCCTTGTAAATTCAAACCAATTACTAAAACACTGACTCAACAAGTGCCTTTGGCGGACTCTTATCTTTTTTGACTTCTGTATATAGGTAACTTGAAGTTTCAGATGCGATTTGCCTCTCACAATGCTCTCAGCTTTTATGACATACCAGAACTAAACAATAACATGCACTTTTTGCAAGCAAGCTCTCCCGGGGTGTCAGGAACCCCAAAAGAGCTTGTTCTCCGGCTATTTTTGAGACTACATATCTTTCAGGTTAGCCAACCACCTGCCCCACTGACTACAAGGTTAATTAACAGTTTAAAGTTCACGGTACCAGGAGCCGTGACGGTACAGTATTAATCAGTGCTGGCTGTCTGTGGTTGTGACCAGCTGGTCACAGATTCTCAAGCATAATTACATCTAGTTGGATTGTGAAAAAAAGTGATCGTTATTCAACATCTGGCGACCACGTGAGAGAGTGGGCGTTACGATTCACCCTCGTCACGTGCACAGGACACTCTATTACTGGTACTTAGTGTATTAACAGGACTGTTATACCGCTGATTAATTAATTGAGCCTCAAAAACGGGGGACACGGAAGGTGAAGATTACTTTCACACTGAAAGAAGGCTTTAAGGTCCATTCTGGTATGTCATTCTTCTTGTTTCATCCAAGGATTACATCCCTGCGTGCGTTGGCTAGTATTAGATCAAGTCTGTATCCAAGAAATGGCCCTCTCCGAACTGCTGTGACAAAAACGCTCATGAAACAGAACTCCTGTTCATGCAGACCATCACGATCCTGGTCACTCCGACTCGTCAGGCAGTTCTCCTCTAAAACATCGGGAAAATCATCACCAGTTTCAACTGCGTGGCGGGTTTTAAAATTTGTTTTCACTGGTACGGGAGTATTGTTTTGGTGTATCATTGTACTCGGTTTGGGAACAGGGCATTTGCAGATAAGTAGTGATGAAGTGTCTTCTGATCATGATCCGGCTTTGATGGCTGCCATATTCCAGTTGGACGATAAGGAATTTACCCGGGATTTTACCGAGAAAGGAAGACCCCAAGCCATGAGGGAAGTGTCCGAGGAAGTGACGCACAAGTTAGCTGCTTTGTCTGTAGTATGGTCGAAACTGAAAAGCGAAAATGCCTTCTTGAAAAAGTTTGGCAAGAATGTAAATATTACAGGTTATAAAGTGCAATATGGCTCACCGCCTGAGAAGAGTAATAACAGCAAAGATGAGTTACTAACTAATGGAGGCCCAGAAGACAATTTCAACAGCAATGTACTTAAATACAGTAGGGATGAATGGAATGTAACAGTATATATTGAGGGCTCAGAATCCTCTGGTTTAGTTACTGTGGGGTTTCACAAAGTAAACAACAATAGTACAATTTGGATTCCAGTTTCTCTCCTTGTTGAAACTATGCCAAGTTCAGGTGTGAAGGTCTGTGAAGTTTCCGCACCTCTTCCAAATGGTCTCACAAAGTTCTCACGCTTGTTTAGGGATGACTAGTGACTGTAGATGTGCTAGAAATTATGGAGACGGTGGATGATCAGATGCTTCTAGAGACAAGTAGGGCTGGAAGTGCCTAGATGGGTGGCGTGCACCATAAACAGTCAAATATTAGTACCAGCATCTAATAAACTCCCCCCTGCCCTTCCAATAGATCCTTTTTTTAGCTTGTATGGTTTGTTTTCCCAGTTCTGACCATGTGATGTTCTACAGGGAATTTGCCTTTTGTCATCTCATAAATTATGCATACTTATGCATGCGGATGCACGTGCATAGAATAACATTTGAAAAAAGCAGTTCTCTTTGGTACCATCACATGGTCTGAAATGGGAATACAAAACATAAAGCTAAAAAAGTCTATTATGGCTGCCCCTGTTGATACCAAAACTATTAGATATGCATCCCCCTTTGAATACACAGTCCCTACCCCACCTCTCTGTACTGTATATATAGTATTCTGTTCATCTATTTCTCAATGAATTTAGCATAATGACTCTGTCAGACGTTGTAAGATTTATTCTAGTTTTCCTGTAAAACTGTTAGGGCCGGTTACCGTAAATCCTCTCTTAAGCCCCTGTTCTCAAATAAGCCTCCCGGCCTCCCCTAATAAGCCCCCCTTTTCAGGGGAAGAAAGTTAGTAAGCCACTCCCCCTAATAATTATTATTCTTTACTAATAATTGTTAGACGGTATTAATCAGTCTTCGTGTGGACTGATGCGGGATGGTTTATTTACCAACTAGAAGTTCAGATTTGATTCTGATCCTTGGCTGGATGACCTCCAACCTCCTTGTAATTGAGCTTTTTCACTTTGTATTGTAGTTATGTGTGGAGAACTGATGCCATCGTCTTTTCTAAATTAAATAAGCCCCCTCTCAAGTAAGCCCCCCTCAAATGGGCTTGAAATAAATAAGCCCTGGGGGATTTGCAGTATTTAAACAGACTTAAGCCAGTGTTTAACCAAACTGCCTTCTAACCCATTTTCAGTTTGCCCCTAGCTTTTATTTAAGCATCTTTTTTGGGAATAGTTAAGCACGTAGTGTAGACTACAAAGGCACTTATCATCTTAAAGTAATCTGCTAAGAAAGAGATCTCAAGGTCCAAAGATCTCTTAAACTGCAGCTAAGTTAGACTTTGTTAAAATGACCGACCCTTACAGTATATTACAAAGACAATGTCATTTGTAGCCCAAAATTCTGAAGAACGAAAAAAGTGACCCCTCCTCTCTTGATTAAATATGTCTTTGCTTCTGGGTACTAATTCAAGTATTTATTGCATTCAACATGAAAACTAGAGCAGGAGATGCTTGTACCATCAATTTCTTTTTATTATATACCCTGTTGAAACAGAAACGCTGTTATGAAGTGGCTTGGTAATCACTGAACCCATCCTCAGCACTCCATGCTCTGACTGTTCTTGTTTTCAAGGAAATAGAAGAGAATCTGCAATGTTTTCAAAAAGTGATGGACATTAATTTGTAAGAATCAGTACAATGAATCATGGATGTGATATATGAATGAATCCCCTGGTGAAATAAAATGAAGGTGTTATTTAAAAAAAAAACAAATTGCTGTTTCTCAAAGTAAATACCAGTAATTTGTAATCTGGTGTATGTATATGGGTGTTTTTCCTCTTTTATGTAAATAAGCTTGTAGTAATCTAATTGCAGTTTGTATAACCTGCAAGGTCTGCAAGGAACAGGTGGTTTGATGTCTTGCTTTGGAAGCATTCATTCACGTGTAATGTTATATCCTGCTGTTCCGATCAAAGCGATGTTATCCCTTTCATTTGTTAATGGCAGGGTTTTATAATTAAAAAGGGGATTAGGATAAAGAAAAGACAGGTTTAATTTTTGCGCATGACGCCTCGTCTCGTTCTTTTCCTTCCTGACCAAATTTCAAACTCTTTGCTTGTGCTAGAACAATATATTGAGTCACAATGGGTCATTTCAAAGATAAGACGTATGAAAGCAGTTAGCCTGTGTAGCAAGCATTTTTGATCAATGCGCGAAAGGTTAAGCGAGAAGCAAAAGAGCAAACTGTTTCTGCAACCTCGAGGACTGTTCCATATCTGCTGAGTGGAATCAAAGACTGAATTCCTGAGTTATGTTCGCTTAAGTTTAAAATCATGTCTGTCTCTAGCCAAGACTACTCTGGATTTGAAAAGCACCGCAAACTGCTACTGAACGGCTTCAAAAAAATTCTTATGTAGATCTGTTCAAAAATATTTGTGAATTTTTATTATCTTCTTCGAGAATATCGGAGATAAAGAAATCTGCCTTGTTTAGAAGCTATGAGGTCAGATTTCTTTATATGCTTTGTTTTTCTTCAAAAGTTATTAATCAGTTTCTAAAGTTCTTTTTCTAGTTCAAGCTGTGACTTCGCCCGTCCCGGCACCGAAAGAAACATATCAAAACGGGCTGAGAACTTTGGCGGAGGTGCATTCCGGTTTTAATGTGAAAAAGCGGGCCCATCCCTTCCATGAATTTGTAGGGGAACATTTTCCCTTGCCTGAATTTTTTCTCCCCACCCCTACCATCACCCTTATAATGGTCCGTCCGAAAAGCAAAGAAATCTCCCGGCCAACCCTGCGAACAGGCTCCAACCGGAGATGAAACTTGGAAAAGATTTCCCTTTCAGTGTCTCCGTCCTTAAACTTAGTAGACAGCGACCCCAAAGATCCAAATCAAGTGACATGACGCACGGAAAGCGTTTTCTGAAATGGATTGCAGTAACTGAGCTAGTAATACGTTATGGCTCTCTCTAATCGGAGCAAAATTTATCAATGGTGACACCATCATTGCCGTCTTGCGCTTCCATCAGTTTGGCAAATTGGTTTGTTCATCAAGAAATTTATACCACAATTTATTCAATCCAACTCTGAGAGCCAGGAGTGAAACATATGCTTATTTAAAGTAGCTTGAGTGCGTCTGTGTTCTCGGAGGCAGACTGGTCAGCAAGGAAAAACCCGTTTCCACTTTCCAGTCAGGTCTCCCCCTCTACCTCCGATTAGCCCCTGTTCTAGGCTGTCGGATAGTAGGCACAGACCCGTAAAAACATATAATGGTACCCGAAAATAAGTGGAACGTATCTTGGGACCCCGCAAATATACCCCTGAAAATATATTTTTTTGCCAAATACTTCATTCAGCACTTTCTTGTATAAGGTGCTTTAGTAAGGGACAACGGTCTATGTAGCTTATTTGTAGAAACTTGATTCGACTAAAAATGAAACAACGCCGGTGACTGCTTTGAAACATTTTATTTTCAAAGTGACTTGTATACAAAACAAACTCTGAAATATTCAAAACAAAAATCGTCGATGAGTGAAAGTCTCTGAAATACGCGTAAAACTATTTACAACAACAGTGAACTACAGCAATTCTACCTTAAGTGGGTGAACATTTGCGTAGCTTCCCCGAGGATGGGTTAAGTGAAGTCTCCTTCTTTAGTTCATTATCATTGTTTAACATTTCCATCTTGTTCAGAGAGGTTTTACTTCTTGAGTTCCTTGGTCGCACCTCTGGGTAAGAAGGAGAGGAAAACTGCAATGTTTTCGAAGAACCCAGCACCTCAAATTCTCCTGGTGCCTCTCTTAAGCTGCGAACACTTCCAGAGTTCTCTTTTGTAGAACGCGCACGTGTCTTTTGTCGTGAAGAGATGACTTTGCCATTTAGTGAACTCTTTAAAGATGAATTTCGAGGGTTACTCAAGCGCTCCTCCGACTTGACAATAGACGCATTACTCCCCATGCTGATTGATCTTCCGCTTTTTGGACGTTTTTCAAAATCTTCTTTTATAGGCAGACTGCTTGCAGATGGGCTATTCTGGCCATGGTGTCCATCAATCTTCCCTTTATCATTTGATTTGGCCTTTTCTGCTCTTTCATAACAGGAAGATTGCGCCTTGACCACACCTTTCTGCTCACTAGGCGTTTGGTGTATTTTGTCATCAGACTTAGACTTATCCAGTTCTTTCTTCACAACTGAAGGTGTAGGAGATGTCGGGGATGTCGTTCCTGCAGATTTGGAGGAGTTGCGGCTCACTGACCGCTTTGACATGGTGGCTGAGGAGCTTCGTCCGCTCATTTCTTGAGAGCCGCTCATTTTTCCAACCTTGTCATATTTCAACTCGCCCCTTATATTCGTCGGTGTCAGTTGTCGTTTTTTGTCTGCACTTTGCACTCTGGATGACTGACCATGAGACGATTTTCTGCTTGGTGTTAGTGACTTTGTTACATCAGACACCTTTGGATCAGAAAATGACCTCGCGCTTGAATGTGGCTTGTTCTGACTCGACTTTGATCTTTCTGGCACTTTTGCAGCAGACAAGGGCCTCTGACCTGATTTCCGATGGTTTAATCTCATAGAGGTATCTGTAGTGGAACGACTACTGCAAGGCCTACTGTTTGAGCATGTAGTCTGTGAAGGAAATGAACCATCTACCGAATCCCCGGCTGACAAGTTGCTAATCTTTGCACTCGACCTAGAAGCTGTCGGGGTACGAGATGGTTTTCGTCCATCGATGGACGTCTTGCTACTCTTACGCTCAACAGCCAAATCAATCTTTTCTTGAGATTTCGTTGCACCTGGAGACGATCTCAAGCTCCCAGGATTCTTCTTTCCATCGGTGCAGTCAAAATGCACTAGAGTGTTAACGTCTGTCGAAGACAGACCATCTTGAATAGGCTTAGACACTCGCATGGGCTCCATAGAATCGATATGAGCATTCTCTTCTGGAAAGATGGTTAGAACACCACCTGCAGTGGTTGATGTACTGCCGTTCTCTTCGGCTTTCTCGTTCACCTTTGTAACAGTCGGAGATGAAGGGGATGGACTTATTTTGGAGACGTTGGCCGCTATTTCCGCTTCACCGTTGTTAGAACTTTCTATGGAGCTGTTCGATTCCTGATGACAGCCGCTACCGTCATCCTCAATGGCATCGCCTTTTGGAGTACCCACGAATGACGCACCTTGCTCAAAACCTGTAAGGGAAGAAGATTTGTTTCACAAATAAGAACCAACCAAAACAATAACTGAACTGGAAAGTCATTCTTCCTCCAAAAAAGGTCATCGAAAATTTCTTCTAAAAGTTCAGAACAAATGGTCTCTAACCAATTTTTAAATTTGAGAAAATCTCTCAATTAGCGTTGTTTATATTAAGGGGATATGTGTATTAATTAGAAAAGGGATGCTATCTCTTGCATTCTTTATTTTTGGTCCCATTTATGATAAACGTGGGGGCCTTTCCTGTCGAATCCTGGTTTTGAACAGTGATAACTACTGATAAAAGTATGATAGCCGTAGAAATGTCCATGTAGTTACCTGTCCTTTCAGTGGGTGAGCTCATGGTAGCAGGCTGTGAGTTGAGAACGTTAGGATTCTTCTCTGGAGATGTCTTCTTTTGAACGAGGTTTAGCTGTGACTGGATAATGTCAGCTACAAAATAGTCTAGCTCCGCATCCGAGGCGGACGACTCCTGTTAAAAGAAATAAGCGCATTTTTTGTCCGTTCGCTTACAATGATCACAATCAGCGAATTTGCTTCAGTTGTAGGTACTACAACTTCTATATATGGAGCTATTCGACTGATATTCTTCAATGGGGGAGCGTATCGCAAAAAGTGCCCCTCTCAGTGATTGTGGCTGTAGAGCTGATCTTAAGTTGACAGTGGTTTAATTTATGATGCAAAGACACGCAAACAAAACGTTAAACCTGCCCCCATCCCCACAAGGGATTCTTGTTTTTTGAGCTTCACAATTCGTAACTGAAGTAACTAGAAAATGTTCCATTTGTTTTCTTGTTTATAGTTATTATAAATTAAAGGAACTGTACAATATTCAATTACCAGAGATCTTGACTGAAACTTATCCTCAACAACTTCTCTCTTGGGGGAGTCTTCGTCCTCAAGAACCTTCTTAATGTCTTCGGTGACTATGGGCTGGTCGGTAGGGTCGGCCTTTCTTTCCTGAGCTGCGTGCTGCCTGATTTTACAGGTCTCAACGATCTTGGCTGGGTTGCCCTCTGCAGAAGCAGAACGTGACACAGGGCTCTTAAGAGACCGAGAGCTCTTTCGTTTTTCTGTGTTGGTTGTCTTGGGCATATCGTCCTTTGACAAATGACTAGATATGGGCCGTTTGATCACCTCATTGTTGGCCTCGATCTGTTTACCTTTAGAAGCTGGACTTGATCGCGGCCGTCTTTTAGGCTCACGGCCCGTTTGCTTTGTCTCTGCGCTGTTCTTGACGTTAGATGGGCCCGATGAGGGGTGCCGCACGGTACGCTGGGAACATGTTTGAGTTGCCCTCACTTTGTTCTTTGTAATAGGCAGATTTTCTTTTATTGAAGAACTTGAACTGGGTCGTTCAGGCTGGCAGCTTTTAGTCGGCTGTTGCTTGTGCCCTGTCGTAGGACTTGATGTTGGCCTCTTTGAATGCCCGCTCGTCGTTGGTTTTGCCCCAACAGTTGTATCAGATGAACTCTTTTTCAAAGAGGGACTTGAATGAGGTCTCTTTGCAGGCTGGCTGATTCGTTGACTTGCCTCATTTGCGGTGTTAAGAACATTGTCCTTTGATGACTTGGAAATTCCACTTGATTCCAGATTTTTCACAGACTGGGAATTTGCTGGTCCTGTCACAGTAGTAATATTTGCCTTACTTTTGGTGTTAGGAGCATTGTTCGTTGATGTCTTGGACAATCCACTTGATTCCAGACTTTTCACAGATTGGCAACTTGCTGTTCGCTCCTCAGTAGTAGTTGTTGATGTTTTCCCCTGAAGTTGTTGAGAACATGACAGGGGCACGTTTGAGGCAAGATGGCGCTTCTGTGGTTTAGTCGTTGTGGCGCTGCTCGGTCGGATGTCCTTTGGTTGAGGGGAACTTGGACTGGATGTTACCTTCTTTGAAACTTGACTTGTTGTGAGTTTACTTCGTGTGGGTCTAGATGCACTTTGTCTCAGTGAGGTACTTGAGTTCAGCCCGTTAGAGTTTTCTAAAAAAAACATAAACATTTTTCATACTAAAAAATTACAAGTAATCATGAAAAGTGCACAATATGTGAACTAAACTAAAGTAAACTAAATTAAATGAAATAAACTTAACTAAACTGAACTAAAATGTATAGGATTAGTTGACTTTAGTAAATTCCAGTATAAGCATGTTGTATCACTGGTATATTTTAAGACCTTTTTATGTGGTATTTTGTTGACAGTATTTCGGGGTATACTGGCATCAAAATAACATAAAACAGGGTATATATTCAGGGTATGTTAACTCCTCGAAACCCGGATCTGGAGGTGTAGGATTCACGCCTCGTCCGTAGCGTTCTTTCCTTAGACAAGGAACTTTACTCCACTTTGTCTCTCTTCACCCAGGTGTATAAATGGGTACCAGTGATATACTGCTGGGGGTAACTCTGCGATGGACTAGCATCCCGTCCAGGGGGAAGTAGCAATTCTTCTGGGCATGTTTCATGCTAAGAAAACTGGGATAAGCCCCAGCCGTTTGGGCCTTTAGCTCAAGTGCGCCTTTATCGTTTTTTACCTGCTCCCAGGATATATAGTATTTTGTTAATTTTTACGTAAGAATATGAATTTCTTACGTGAAAGAAGATCATCGCAGTTATATACGCAACTTTTGCAGCTGCGAATAGAAAGCCTGAAAAATATTCAGGCTTTTACGAGATTCGAACCCTTGACCTCTGCGATACCGGTACAGCGTACAAGCCTGAATTTTTTTCAGTTGACTTGTTAGTTTAATTGATAGAGCTCTGCACCGGTATCGCAGAGGTAGGGTTCGAATCCCGTACAAGCCTGAATTTTTTCTAGCTTTCTCTTAGTAACTGCAAAAATTGCGTATATAACTGCGATGATCTTCCTTCATATAATTCTCCACTCAGCAGTTCACATATATGATTTTTTATATATTCATAACTTCATAATATGAATTTCAGTATCATGTTTTGACGGATTTACGGTTTGGCTCTGGATAGAGGATCCTGTAGTATATTGTCTTCCCATTACCACCCCTGATGTTCATCTCAAGACTAATACCAACACAAGAAAGCTTTTGCTTCAGTAGCACATAGAGTTTCTCATATTTATACCAAAGTTTGTCTTTTTTGAGACCCATATAGCATCTGAGCTGAAACCTGTGTAAACAGGTTCACTTTTCCTCACGTTAAAATACAAAATCAGCCATAGGCTATGGGCTTGATTTAATCAGAAAGTGATTGAAATCAGTTCTAAAGGGTTGCAAAATGGCAGCAATGAGTTTAAAATATTACGAAAATTAACCGGAGATTCTGTTAGCCAGAATTTGATATTATAACCCAGAGAAAAATAAGGCAAGGAAACTAATACAAATAAATTAACATGACGATATATTTCATACACAAACATAAAAGTTTCTCGTTTATCTAAAAAATTACAAAAAACTAAATAGTTGCTAGGAGTTAAATGAGCAACTTTTTTGTTTAACTTACTAAGTTTAGCTTCGTTGGCTTGTCTTCTTAACTCTGCTGCCTTGGTTGTTTTTGGCAAGGGTTTACACGCTTTCCTGTTTTTCGCGGTTGTGCTGTTCAACCTGCTTGGACCTTTACCTGTAAAGCAAGAAATACTTTATGAGGCTAATACTTACAGAAAACCTAGAGAACGCAAATCAGAGCTTTTATCTTTTTCTGTGTTTACTGATCTTTATTCGGAAATTTTTTGCTCGGCGTTTGAATCTTTGTTGAACTTCAAAACCGTGGAAAAAACAAATATATGTCTTGTCTTCTTTCGGGCGTATTTTGATGCTTTTTTGATGTAAGAAAAAAAATTCTCTCTTTCTTCTTGAAATGACCAACTTTCACATTGAATAAGCAATTTTGATTATGTTAATTATGAATGAAAAAATCTGAAGTCTTTATCGGAAGTGGTAAGCTTGCATGTACGACACAAGCTTGCATCAAGAGGACGACACCCAAAAAACCTCGAGCAGTTTTTTAAAAAAAGCTTTAAGTCTTTACCCTGGCCTTACCGGTGCAGGGAACTTGAACGAAAGCACAAGGACCCGCTTTTGATGCTCCACAACCCATCTTGGGTTGCAGAAAAATGAAACTTCTGAAAAATCGATGAAGGATTTGCAAACTTCTATCCGCAGTAAAATACACGACTGGTCGCGATAAAGCGAGAGAAGAACTGAATAAACACTGTGTTACTAGGGCAACCAGCAGGTTCTTTTTCTCAGTACGTCATGTTTCCATAGCACTTTTGAAATCGTAATAAAGTTCATTTTTTATCATTTTTTATTTCTTGTTTCGGTGTTAGCATAGTAAGAAGCTGATATATGAGACGCCTTTTTAAACAAAGAACAACTTGTTGTCGTAATAAAGTAAGTTTAAGCCATCTTACCTTTTAAGATAGAATATCCGTAGTTTCAGTGACCTTGAAACTCCTATAAACTTCTTGCAGTGATATTTTCTCGCTCAAAAAACATACAAAAGCGATAGTTTAAGCTGTTTCCACCAGCTAGAGGCGCCATTTGTTAACAAAAAAAAAACAGAGACTTGTCAGAGACGACAAGGCTGAATAACGTACTACGCATGTCCGTGACATCACTTGTTTACTTGTCTAGCCCGTGCGCGAAGCATTCGGGCAAAGTGAAATTCTCTTGCAAGACCATTTCATCTTCGACCATCCAAACTCATATTTGCGAATGCCAACGAAGGAGAAATTCTACGAATTGAAAGAAATGTTACGTAATCCAGGGATCAAGGAAAATGTTTTTGACCGTCCCGGCGAAGGTTTTTCATTGTTTTGATGCAGATCGTCAGTAAGTTTGCAGAAAGATGACTGAGAAATTAAAAAAGAGCAATGTGCTGGAGTTTGGGCGGCTTTTCTTCGATGGTACGTCCACGATTTACTTAAACATTTCTTTATTCTGGTTAAGGAGGAGCAAATCTTTGAAATGTAGGCCGAGCGATAGCAGTTGTTGACCATTTCTTGGTGGCAAGAAAGCCGGCTTTGAGCGCGATGATACCCTGATCAGACACAAGAAGTCATGAAAGTCATAAACTTAGTTGCAAATCTTAGTGCGATGAAAGAAGCTTTTTCGTACCTCTAGCCGGCTTAGAGGCGCTGGTCGAGCTGTAGAATCAGTATTTATTCAGTTAAGTTTGTTTAAAATTCAGTTTGCACCTTTAAGCTTAGAATGAATAAACTTTTAAAGTTTAAAGCTGTTGAAGTTTTGAGAAACAATCACAAGTTGGCTCAGCTCTATGTGAGTTTTCTTATCAACTATAGGTTTTCCATTTATGACAGGATTGAATGAAGCAGAAGAATCAAGGAATGAAGATCTAGACTTTGAACAGAAAAATAAATGAAAGTTCTTCTCCCTGTAATGAAGCTTTTTAGAGAACTTCAAGTCATTGATACTTTTACCAGCAAGCATCGACTGTATTACTTACCCATTTACTCTTTTCAACATTAATTTTGCCTGTTGTCATATACAAACATTTATAATAGCTCTTTTGAGCTGAGCTAACAATGAGTCATAAAGGGAAACAAGTTTGGAAGAAAGAACTTGATTGAATTCGAAACCTCAGTGGTTGTTTTGTGTTCTTACAGTTCTCATAGTGAAACCAAGCAAGATATAACAAGAGAAATAACTAAAAGACCATCATTCAAGGAAAAACAAAGATAAATAAAATGTACCTTTAATGCTGACACTGATATGATGTCCGGACGATTTCTTAGAACTGATAACATATTGATAGTCTGTTCTTTCATGTGTTTACGCTTGAAAATGTACACATTCGAATGAAAGAACTGTTTTCGGCTTCGTCCGTGCATCTTCTTTTGTTCATAGCAAAAAACGGAAGAAAAATTGCGAAGGTGGAAACGAGAATTCAATAAAGTATGAAATAATCTACCTTTAGTTTAAATGGGAGCCTTGAATATTCGGAAACCACCTTAAAAATCGGGAAAATGTGAGGATGTTTTGAAAATCCTTTTGCAAACGATACTATTTATAGCGGGGACGCTTCTTTCGTGCGTCTTCTTTTGTTCATAGAAGAAAGTAGAAGAAAAATTACAAAGGTAGAAACGAGAATTAAATAAAGTATGAAATAATCTACCTTTAGTTTAAATGGGAGCCTTGAATATTCAGAAACCACCTTAAAAATCGGGAAAATGTGAGGATGTTTTGAAAATCCCTTTGCAAACGATACTATTATTGCAGGGACGCTTCGTTCGTGCGTCTTCTTTTGTTCATAGAAAAAAGTAGAAGAAAAATTACAAGGGTAGAAACGAGAATTCAATAAAGTATGAAATAATCTACCTTTAGTTTAAATGAGAACCTTAAATATTTAGAATCCACCTTAATAATCGCCAAAATGTGAGGATGTTTTGAAAAACCCTTTGAAAACGATACTAGGTTAGATCCCAGACCTCTCCCGTCTATGCACATGCGCAGACATTGTTCAGCTCTGTCGTCAGAGACCTGTCAGAGAAACACTGGACCCTAATCATGACCGCTGTCCTCGCGCCCTTTGCGCGGAAAGAGACGTTTGTCAACGACTGAAGAAAAAAAATTCTCCAGGCGGTTTTTTCGTTACGTTTATGAATCAATCACCATGAAGTGAACTCCGAAGCATTTGCTAAGTCATATGAAATAGTTGGTTAAAATATTTTGTTCTTCTTATGTGTTTGTTTTTCCTCACGGGCTTTACAGGCCTACCCGAACGAATCCATCTACATTACTGCAAGAGGCTACTTGAAAGAAAAACCGAAATTTCTGAGAGCGGTCAGCTTCAGTTACTTCTGCTTAGCGAGATTGAAAAAATAAGAAAAAAAAGTACATAACAAATTCTGGTTGATTCAAGTCTTAGCGTTAAATCTGATGTTTGGACGCTCTAAAATGACAAGTCAAAATGAACAAAAAAAATTGCTTTTGAACAAAAGAAACTGGGGCCTGGATTAAAATTTAACCCCGTGTTAACAATAATCGGCCTTTGAACAACTGGGCTTAGGAGACTTGTTCTTGTAAGGCCTTCTTCGTGGGGGAGGGAGGGGGGATACGTAAATCAATTGTGTGAATATCAAAACCCGTCATTTCGCGTATGGATGAGAAAGCCATACCCTTGTCGGTATTTTAGAATTGTGTATAGGATTGTCCTCGTCGTTGTCGTGGTTTTAAACCATTTCTAAGTATCGTTTTGCCGTCATTTTATCTGTCTTAGTCCGCTGTTGCCGGAATTTTACCGTAACATGACCACTGTTGTGTCCCGACCCCTTGTAGCACAAAAAGGAAGTCTTCAATGGTCCTTCAGGGCCCAGTTGTTCGAAGGCCGACTAGCGCTAGACCCAGGGTTAAATTTTAACCCGGGTCTCTTTTTCTTTTCATCAAAAGCATTTTCTTGCACAATTTTCTCTCTTCTTTTTAGAGTAGCCAATCATCAAATTGCTAACAAAAAGAATTAAACTGAATTTGCTTTTTAAGCTTTCATATCTGAATTCAAATTTCGAACTAATCCTGGGTTACCTTAACCCAGCTTTGAACAACTTGTCAAGTGCACATTGTGTCCGATTTTTATTACCTTACATGCAGTGTATACTGATTCAACCCACTGAACGGTATACATGTATTCCCTACGGTAAGAGTGTGTCCCAACAGCTTGGTCCATAATGAGTGGACTAGGACAGAGCATCCTCTCATAATCTTTTATAACTGAGGGTATCTCTAGGGAGCAAGGACTCTGCTGAGGAAGACATTGCACTTTGTAGACTTTGAGGTTGAACAAATTCTTAACAAGGCTAAGCGTAGAGACCCATCGGTTAAGAAAACGCAAAAGGGCAACAAAATGTTTTGATGACGTCGTAGACGTCTTAGACCGCAAACTGGAGAAAGCCTGGAAATGAGTCTCTCATATTAGTTCCCAGTCCCTTCACCGTGGAACGTTTTTGGCGGCGTGAACGATTTAACTCCGCGGTATTTTTGTATGTAAGGCTATTTTGCCCTTGGAAAACGTGGCCATTACGAGATCAAAACACGTAGTGATGTGATTTTATATATAGATAAATCATGAATACCTCAACACTTGGACTTTCTAGGAAACCAAGCTTAACCCAAGAGAGAGAAAAGCTTGAACGCGACAAGGTATATTGGAAGCCTTATAATTTTAATAATATTGGTTTTATGGGTTTTATGGGTATGATTTTGGATTGAATTTGTCACAAGGCTTTTCTTCTTTCGGGACAAGTTAAATTTTCCAAAAAAAGGCTGATGTAGATCTGTTCAAAAATATCTGTGAATTTTTTATTATCTTCTTCAAGAAAATCGGAGCTAAAGAAATCTGCCTTGTTTATAAGCTATGAGGTCAGATATCTTTATATGCTTTGTTTTTCTTCAAAAGTTATTAATCAGTTTCTAAAGTTCTTTTTCTAGTTCAAGCTGTGACTTCGCCCGTCCCGGCACCGAAAGAAACATATCAAAACGGGCTGAGAACTTTGGCCGAGGTGCATTCCGGTTTTAATGTGAAAAAGAGGGTCCATCCCATGCATGAATTTGTTGGGGGAACATTTTCCCTTGCCTGAATTTTTTCTCCCCACCCCTACCATCACCCTTATAATGGTCCGTCCGAAAAGCAAAGAAATCTCCCGGCCAACCCTGCGAACAGGCTCCAGCCGGAGAGGAAACTTGGAAGAGATTTCCCTTTCAGTGTCTCCGTCCTTAAACTTAAATTGTCGTTATTTCTATGCAGTAGACAGCGACCCCAAAGATCCAAATCAAGTGACATGACGCACGGAAAGCGTTTTCTGAAATGGATTGCAGTAACTGAGCTAGTAATACGTTATGGCTCTCTCTAATCGGAGCAAAATTTATCAATGGTGACACCATCATTGCCGTCTTGTGCTTCCATCAGTTTGGCAAATTGGTTTGTTCATCAAGAAATTTATACCACAATTTATTCAATCCAACTCTGAGAGCCACGAGTGAAACATATGCTTATTTAAAGTAGCTTGAGTGCGTCTGTGTTCTCGGAGGCAGACTAGTCAGCAGGGAAAAACCCGTTTCCACTTTCCAGTCAGGTCTCCCCCTCTACCTCCGATTAGCCCTTGTTCTAGGCTGTCGGATAGTAGGCACAGACCCGTACTGAAAACGTTAATGGCACCCGAAAATAAGTGGAACGTATCTTGGGAACCCGCAAATATACCCCTGAAAATATATTTTTTGCAAAATACTTCATTCAGCACTTTCTTGTATAAGGTGCTTTAGTAAGGGACAACGGTCTATGTAGCTTATTTGTAGAAACTTGATTCGACTAAAAATGAAACAACGCCAGTGACTGCTTTCAAACATTTTATTTTGAAAGTGACTTATATACAAAAAAAACTCTGAAATATTCAGAACAAAAATTGTCGATGAATGAAAGTCGCTGAAATACGCGTAAAACTATTTACAACAACAGTGAACTACAGCAATTCTACCTTAAGTGGGTGAACATTTGCGTAGCTTCCCCGAGGATGGGTTAAGTGAAGTCTCCTTCTTTAGTTCATTATCATTGTTTAACATTTCCATCTTGTTCAGAGAGGTTTTACTTCGTGAGTTCCTTGATCGCACCTCTGGGTAAGAAGGAGAGGAAAACTGCAATGTTTTCGAAGAACCCAGCACCTCAAATTCTCCTGGTGTCTCTCTTAAGCTGCGAGCACTTCCAGAGTTCTCTTTTGCAGAACGCACACGTGTCTTTTGTGAAGGAGAGATGACTTTGCCATTACGTGAACTCTTTAAAGATGAATTTCGAGGATTACTCAAGGGCTCCTCCGACTTGACAATAGACACATTACTTCCTATGCTGATTGATCTTCCGCTTTTAGGACGTTTTTCCAAATCCTCTTTTATAGGCAGACTGCTTGTGGATAGGCTATTCTGGCTATGGTGTCCATCCATCCTCCCTTTATCATTTGATTTGGCCTTTTCTGCTCGTTCATAACAGGAAGATTGTGCCTTGACCACACCTTTCTGTTCACTAGGCGTTTGGTGTATTTTGTCATCAGACTTAGACTTATCCAATTCTTTCTTCACAACTGAAGGTGCAGTGGATGTCGGGGATGTCGTTCCTGCAGATTTGGAGGAGTTGCGGCTCACTGACCGCTTTGACAAGGTGGCTGAGGAGCTTCGTCCGCTCATTTCTTGAGAGCCGCTCATTTTTCCAACCTTGTCATATTTCAACTCGCCCCTTATATTCGTCGGTGTCAGTTGTCGTTTTTTGTCTGCATTTTGCACTCTGGATGACTGACCATGAGACGATTTTCTGCTTGGTGTTAGTGACTTTGTTACATCAGACACCTTTGGATCAGAAAGTGACCTCGCGCTTGAATGTGGCTTGTTCTGACTCGACTTTGATTTTTCTGGCACTTTTGCAGCAGACAAGGGCCTCTGACCTGATTTCCGATGGTTTAATCTCATAGAGGTATCTGTAGTGGAACGACTACTGCAAGGGCTACTGTTTGAGCATGTAGTCTGTGAAGGAAATGAACCATCTACCGAATCTCCGGCTGACAAGTTGCTAATCTTTGCACTCGACCTAGAAGCTGTCGGGGTACGAGATGATTTTCTTCCATCGATGGACGTCTTGCTACTCTTACGCTCAACAGCCAAATCAATCTTTTCTTGAGATTTCGTTGCACCTGGAGACGATCTCAAGCTCCCAGGATTCTTCTTTCCATCAGCGCAGTCAAAATGCACTAGAGTGTTAATGTCTGTCGAAGACGGACCATCTTGAATAAGCTTAGACACTCCCATGGGCTCCATAGAATCGATATGAGCATTCTCTTCTGGAAAGATGGTCAGAACACCACCTGCAGTGGTTGATGTACGGCCCTTCTCTTCGGCTTTCTCGTTCACCTTTGTAACAGTCGGAGATGAAGGAGATTGACTGATTTCGGAGTCATTGGCCGCTATTTCCGCTTCACCAATGTTAGAACCTTCTATGGAGCTGTTAGATTCCTGTTGACAGCCGCTACCGTCATCCTCAATGGCATCGTCTTTTGTAGTACCCACGAATGACGCGCCTTGCTCAAAACCTGTAAGGGAAGATTTGTTTCACAAATAAGAACCAAGCAAAACAACAACTGAACTGGAAAGTCATTCTTCCTCCAAAAAAGGTCATGGAAAATTTCTTCTAAAAGTTCAGAACAAATGGTCTCTAACCAATTTTTAAATTTGAGAAAATCTCTCAATTAGCATTGTTTATATTAAGGGGATATGTGTATTAATTAGAAAAGGGATGCTATCTCTTGCATTCTTTATTTTTGGTCCCATTTATGATAAACGTGGGGGCCTTTCCTGTCGAATCCTGGTTTTGAACAGTGATAAATACTGATAAAAGTATGATAACCGTAGAAATGTCCATGTAGTTACCTGTCCTTTCAGTGGGTGAGCTCATGGTAGCAGGCTGTGAGTTGAGAACGTTAGGATTCTTCTCTGGAGATGTCTTCTTTTGAACGAGGTTTAGCTGTGACTGGATAATGTCAGCTACAAAATAGTCTAGCTCCGCATCCGAGGCGGACGACTCCTGTTAAAAGAAATAAGCGCATTTTTTGTCAGTTCGCTTACAATGATCACAATCAGCGAATGTGCTTCAGTTGTAGGTGCTACAACTTCTATGGAGCTATTCGACTGATATTCTTCAATGGGGGAGCGTATCGCAAAAAGTGCTCCACTATTGATTGTGGCTGTAGAGCTGATCTAAAGTTGACAGTGGTTTAATTTATGACGCAAAGACACGCAAACAAAACCTGCCCCCACCCTCACAAGGGGTCCTTGTTTTTTGAGCTTCACAATTCGTAACTGAAGTAACTAGAAAATGTTCCATTTGTTTTCTTGTTTATAGTTATTATAAATTAAAGGAACTGTACAATATTCAATTACCAGAGATCTTGACTGAAACTTATCCTCAACAACTTCTCTCTTGGGGGAGTCTTCGTCCTCAAGAACCTTCTTAATGTCTTCGGTGACTATGGGCTGGTCGGTAGGGTCGGCCTTTCTTTCCTGAGCTGCGTGCTGCCTGATTTTACAGGTCTCAACGATCTTGGCTGGGTTGCCCTCTGCAGAAGCAGAACGTGACACAGGGCTCTTAAGAGACCGAGAGCTCTTTCGTTTTTCTGTGTAGGTTGTCTTGGGCATATCGTCCTTTGACAAATGACTTGATATGGGCTGTTTGATCACCTCATTGTTGGCCTCGATCTGTTTACCTTTAGAAGCTGGACTTGATCGCGGCCGTCTTTTAGGCTCACGGCCCGTTTTCTTTGTCTCTGCGCTGTTCTTGACGTTAGATGGGCCCGATGAGGGCCGCACGGTACGCTGGGAACATGTTTGAGTTGCCCTCGCTTTGTTCTTTGTAATAGGCAGATTTTCTTTTATTGAAGAACTTGAACTGGGTCGTTCAGGCTGGTAGCTTTTAGTCGGCTGTTGCTTGTGCCCTGTCGTAGGACTTGATGTTGGCCTCTTTGAATCCCCGCTCGTCGTTGGTTTTGCCCCAACAGTGGTATCAGATGAACTCTTTTTCAAAGAGGGACTTGAATGAGGTCTCTTTGCAGGCTGGCTGATTCGTTGACTTGCCTCATTTGCGGTGTTAAGAACATTGTCCTTTGATGACTTGGAAATTCCACTTGATTCCAGATTTTTCACAGACTGGGAATTTGCTGGTCCTGTCACAGTAGTAATATTTGCCTTACTTTTGGTGTTAGGAGCATTGTTCCTTGATGTCTTGGACAATCCACTTGATTCCAGACTTTTCACAGACTGGCAACTTGCTGTTCGCGCCTCAGTAGTAGTTGTTGATGTTTTCCCCTGAAGTTGTTGAGAACATGACAGGGGCACGTTTGAGGCAAGATGGCGCTTCTGTGGTTTAGTCGTTGTGGCGCTGCTCGGTCGGATGTCCTTTGGTTGAGGGGAACTTGGACTGGATGTTACCTTCTTTGAAACTTGACTCGTTGTGAGTTTACTTCGTGTGGGTCTAGATGTACTTTGTCTCAGTGAGGTACTTGAGTTCAGCCCGTTAGAGTTTTCTAAAAAAAAAACATAAACATTTTTCATACTAAAAAATTACAATTAATAATGAAAAGTGCACAATATGTGAACTAAACTAAAGTAAACTAAATTAAATGAAATAAACTTAACTAAACTGAACTAAAATGTATAGCATTAGTTGACTTTAGTAAATTCCAGTATAAGCATGTTGTATCACTGGTATATTTTAAGACCTTTTTATATGGTATTTTGTTGACAGTATTTCGCGGTATACTGACATCAAAATAACATAAAAAAGGGTTTATATTCAGGGTATGTTAACTCCTCGAAACCCGGATCTGGAGGTGCGGGATTCACGCCTCGTCCGTAGCGTTCTTTCCTTAGACAAGGAACTTTACTCCACTTTGTCTCTCTTCACCCAGGTGTATAAATGGGTACCTGTAACATACTGCTGGGGATAACTCTGCGATGGACTAGCATCCCGTCCAGGGGGAAGTAGCAATTCTTCTGGGCATGTTTCATGCTAAGAAAACTGGGATAAGCCCCAGCCGTTTGGGCCTTTGGCTCAAGTGCGCCTTTATCGTTTTTTACCTGCTCCCAGGATATATAGTATTTTGTTAATTTTTACGTAAGAATATGAATTTCTTACGTGAAAGAAGATCATCGCAGCTATATACGCAACTTTTGCTGCTGCGAATAGCAAGCCTGAAAAAAATTCAGGCTTTTGCGGGATTCGAACCCTTGACCTCTGCGATACCGGTACAGCGTACAAGCCTGAATTTTTTTCAGTTGACTTGTTAGTTTAATTGATAGAGCGCTGCACCGGTATCGCAGAAGTAGGGTTCGAATCCCGTACAAGCCTGATTTTTTCTAGCTTTCTTTTAGCAACTGAAAAAATTGCGTATATAACTGCGATGATCTTCCTTCATATAATTCTCCACTCAGCAGTTCACATATATGATTTTTCATATATTCATAACTTCATAATATGAATTTCAGTATCATGTTTTGACGGATTTACGGTTTGGCTCTGGATAGAGGATCCTGTAGTATATTGTCTTCCCATTACCACCCCTGATGTTCATCGTAAGACTAATACCAACACAAGAAAGCTTTTGCTTCGATAGCACATAGAGTTTCTCATATTTATACCGAAGTTTGTCTTGTTTGAGACCCATATAGCATCTGAGCTGAAACCTGTGTAAACAGGTTCACTTTTCCTCACGTTAAAATACAAAATCAACCATAGGCTATGGGCTTGATTTAATCAGAAAGTGATTGAAATCAGTTCTAAAGGGTTGCAAAATGGCAGCAATGAGTTTAAAATATTACGAAAATTAACCGGAGATTCTGTTAGCCAGAATTTGAAATTATAACCTATAACCCAGAGAAAAATAAGGCAAGGAAACCAATACAAATAAATTAACATGACGATATATTTCATACACAAATATAAAAGTATTGCGAAAAGTTTCTCGTTTGTCTAAAAAATTACAAAAAACTAAATAGTTGCTAGGAGTTACATGAGCAACTGTTTTGTTTAACTTACTAAGTTTAGCTTCATTGGCTTGTCTTCTTAACTCTGCTGCCTTGGTTGTTTTTGGCAAGGGTTTACACGCTTTCCTGTTTTTCGCGGTTGTGCTGTTCAGCCTGCTTGGACTTTTACCTGTAAAGCAAGAAATACTTTATGAGGCTAATACTTACAGAAAACCTAGAGAACGCAAATCAGAGTTTTTTTCTTTTTCTGTGTTAACTGATCTTTATTGGGAAATTTTTTACTCGGCGTTTGAATTTTGTTGAACTTCAAAACCGTGGTAAAAACAAATATATGTCTTGTCTTCTTTCGGGCGTATTTTGATGCTTTTCCGATGTAAGACAAAAAATTTACTCTTTCCTCTTGAAATGACCAACTTTCACATTGAATAAGCAATTTTGATTATGTTAATTGTGAATGAAAATATCTGAGTCTTTATCGGAAGTGGTAAGCTTGCATGTACGACACAAGCTTGCATCAAGAGGACGACGCCCAAAAACCTCGAGCAGTTTTTTAAAAAAAGCTTTAAGTCTTTACCCTGTCCTTACCGGTGCAGGGAACTTGAACGAAAGCACAAGGACCCGCTTTTGATGCTCCACAACCCATCTTGGGTTGCAGAAAAATGAAACTTCTGAAAAATCGATGAACGATTTGCAAACTTCTATCCGCAGTAAAATACACGACTGGTCGCGATAAAGCGAGAGAAGAACTGAATAAACACTGTGTTACTAGGGCAACCAGTATGTTCTTTTTCTCAGTACGTCATGTTTCCATAGCGCTTTTGAAATCGTAATAAAGTTCATTTTTTATCATTTTTTATTTCTTGTTTCGGTGTTAGCATAGTAAGAAGCTGATATATGAGACGCCAGTTTAAACAAAGAACAACTTGTTGTCGTAATAAAGTAAGTTTAAGCCATCTTACCTTTTAAGATAGAATATCCGTAGTTTCAGTGACCTTGAAACTCCTATAAACTTCTTGCAGTGATATTTTCTCGCTCAAAAAACATACAAAAGCGATAGTTTAAGCTGTTTCCACCAGCTAGAGGCGCCATTTGTTAACAAAAAAAAAACAGAGACTTGTCAGAGAAGCACTGGACCCTAATCATGACCGGTGTCCTCGCGCCCTTTGCGCGGAAAGAGACGTTTGTCAACGACTGAAGAAAAAAAATTCTCCAGGCGGTTTTTTCGTTACATTTATGAATCAATCACCATGAAGTGAACTCCGAAGCATTTGCTAAGTCATATGAAATAGTTGGTTAAAATATTTTGTTCTTCTTATGTGTTTGTTTTTCCTCACGGGCTTTACAGGCCTACCCGAACGAATCCACCTACATCACTGCAAGAGGCTACTTGTAAGAAAAACCGAAATTTCTGAAAGCGGTCAGCTTCAGTTACTTCTGCTTAGCGAGATTGAAAAAATAAGAAAAAAAAGTACATAACAAATTCTGGTTGATTCAAGTCTTAGCGTTAAATCTGATGTTTGGACGCTCTAAAATGACAAGTCAAAATGAACAAAAAAAAATGCTTTTGAAAAAAAGAAACTGGGGCCTGGATTAAAATTTAACCCCGTGTTAACAATAATCGACCTTTGAACAACTGGGCCCAGGAGACTTGTTCTTGTAAGGCCTTCTTCGTGGGAGAGGGAGGGGGGATACGTAAATCAATTGTGTGAATATCAAAACCCGTCATTTCGCGTATGGATGAGAAAGCCATACCCTTGTCTGTATTTTAGAATTGTGTATAGGATTGTCCTCGTCGTTGTCGTGGTTTTAAACCATTTATAAGTATCGTTTTGCCGTCATTTTATCTGTCTTAGTCCGCTGTTGCCATATCGCTTGTCGGAATTTTACCGTAACATGCCCATTGTTGTGTCCCGACCCCTTGTAGCACAAAAACGAAGTCTTCAATGGTCCTTCAGGGCCCAGTTGTTCGAAGGCCGATTAGCGCTAAACCCAGGGTTAAATTTTAACCCGGGTCTCTTTTTCTTTTCATCAAAAGCATTTTCTTGCCCAATTTTCTCTCTTCTTTTTAGAGTAGCCAATCATCAAATTGTTAACAAAAAGAATTAAACTGAATTTGCTTTTTAAGCTTTCATATCTGAATTCAAATTTCGAACTAATCCTGGGTTACCTTAACCCAGCTTTGAACAACTTGTCAAGTGCACATTGTGTCCGATTTTTATTACCTTACATGCAGTGTATACTGATTCAACCCACTGAACGGTATACATGTATTCCCTACGGTAAGAGTGTGTCCCAACAGCTTGGTCCATAATGAGTACAGTGGACTGAGCGTCCTCTCAAAATCCTTTATAACTAAGGGTATCTCTAGGGTGCAAGGACTCTGCTGAGAAAGACATTGCACTTTGTAGACTTTGAGGTTGAACAAATTCTTAGTAAGGCTAAGCGTAGAGACCCATCGGTTAAGAAAACGCAAATGGCAACAAAATGTTTTGATGACGTCGTAGACATCTTAGACCGCAAACTGGAGAAAGCCTGGTAATGAGTCTCTCATATTAGTTCCCAGTCCCTTCACCGTGGAACGTTTTTGGCGGCGTGACCGATTTAACTCCGCGGTATTTTTGTACGTAAGGCTATTTTGCCCTTGGAAAACGTGGCCATTACGAGATCAAAACACGTAGTGATGTGATTTTATATATAGATAAATCATGAATACCTCAACACTTGGACTTTCTAGGAAACCAAGCTTAACCCAAGAGAGAGAAAAGCTTGAACGCGACCAGGTATATTGGAAGCCTTATAATTTTAATAATATTGGTTTTATGGGTTTTATGGGTATGATTTTTGTTTGAATTTGTCAAAAGGCTTTTCGTCTTTCGGGACAAGTTAAATTTTCCATGTCCTTAAGGGCGAATTTCGATTTGATAGTGTTTGTATTTTCATAGTGGTTCAATCATAACATCGGATTGCGATCGTGGCAGAATGAATCCAATTTGATTTCTTTAATAACAATTGAAGAATTTAACTGTGAAAGAGCAAAATAAATAAGAAATATCTTACTGACGTCATTAGGTTTAAAAAATAATAACTTGGACTTAACATAAAATTTGGAAACAATCTGCCTCTCTGTATTAATATTTGTGCTGTGTTAAGATTTTTATTATCAGCGTCCGATTGCCATTGTTTTGTTTTGGAACGTAAGCTTAATTAACAACAGTGAAAGATCGACGGTTAATTGGCGTTAGTTTCTAGCATGACAATATTGAATTCGGGCCCTTGTTTCTGGGTATTTCCGTAGAGAAATTGCTGCTAATTAGCACACCAATTGTGGCAGAGACTAAGGCAGAGTTGCATGAAGCAGATATGCAAAGGACGGCTCTGTAGTCAACACTCTCAAATGTAAAAAAGTCACATGTGAATTGTGATGGTTCACTGCACATACTAAGCTTATATATAAGCTTAAACTTCTGTATGGAAACGTAAAAATGTTGAAAAAAAAATGAAAACGTGAGCTATTTAAAAGCAGCAAAATTTTCTTTTTCCTGCGACTGGCCAAATAAAAAAAATATGTATGTTATAAATCAGGGAATGTACATCATTCCAAAATGTGAAGGTCACAGTCTATATATATGCCCTCTCTTGCCAAAGTGTCTGATTTATAAAGTTATAATTATTATTTCTTGCCATAACATCATATAGTACAGTAAGAGTTTGAACTAATGTAATTCGAACAAATCATTCTTGTTGTCTTTAGAACTAATGTCTGGTACTTTTATCTGTAATTATTACATACAACTATTGTCCCAATGCGGAAGGTGTGGATATTGTACTGAGAGGCAAAGTGTCAAGTAAATACATGTATCTTGCACTGTGCATCAACCTTAAGGGTGATAGTTGTTTTAGTATTTACTAAATCAGCTAGATCAAAATGGAAAACTAATTTTTGTTTAAAAAAGATAACACTTAGTGACAGCTTTCTATGGTATATAGAGGATGTTATATGAGGGTGCGAAGATATGCATTTTATTTTCGAGTGGCAAAACAATATTTTACGAGTGAGGGCAGTGAGTGAGTAAAATATTGTTTTTGCCATGAGAAAATAAAATTCATATCTTCAAGCCACTGTGTAATGTTCTTTTCATTATATACACAAAAAGACATCGATAAAATAATAGAGGGAAATTACCGAAATTACGTCATCGATAAACTCACATGTGAGATTATGGAAAATAATGCACCTATCAATGTAAACCCCGGGGGGGGGGGGGGGAGTGCAGGCAAGGGGTGGGGTTTGACAAATTTTGAAATTTTTTGATCAAATTCCCCAGGGTGGGAAACGAAAGGTCAATCAAAAGTGTCAAAAAAGCCCCCACCCCAGGGGAAAAAATCTACACAAACAATGCTATAATACTGTATAAAACAAATTAAAAAAACAGTTCAAAAATACGTCCTTACTAAACGTAAGCTCCGTTAAATTACTCGCTGTAATTAAGTATTTTCTCTCTCCACTAGCATGTCTTATTTTGAACAACGCAATCACTCTAGGAAGATTGACCGTGCTATTATAATATTAATGAAACGTAAAATGTTTTATGACATCTGCTCAACATGTCGGAACAGGTTGGATCAGTGACCCGTAAAAAATCCTCTGACTTTCATTGTGGAATTCGATTTCAATCGAGTTTTACAATCAGATGGGAACTTGAAGATAAAAACTTTCTCAAAATAGCTGACATTATCTGTTTAGATGACAGTTTAAAGTATCGGATTATGGCGATTAAAACAAATGAAAACTTCACACCTTTCTCCAACAGCGTGACTTTCAGAAAGCCTTGAGGGACGGATTTGGTAACTGCCTCTGAATTGATACCAGGCTTCTGTCGGTCAAAGTCAAATGTCCCGACCCCGGGGTTGCTTCACACGATCAAAAGCCCTACAGGGGGGTAGTCTCAGGCATCAAATCCCCACCCCTTGCCCGCATCCCCCCCCACAGGATTTACATAGATAGGTGCATAAACCACTTGGGTCCTGGATGTAGTTTTTATGAATATTACGAGTGGTATATTTTCCAGTAAAACACTTGTGTCTATACAATAAACATGTTTTAATGACAGTGTTTTGGGGATTTGTCGAGTGCATAATTTTACCTGCTAGTAAACAACGACAAGCCAAATGTTGTTGCTTTTCTGGTAATTGTTGGTAAAGCTGCTTCATTTGTTGTTTAAGGGTTGGGTTCTAAAAACTGTTGTAAAATGGGATGCCATTGTGACTCCTGTCCCAAAACAGTGAATAGCTAAGGATATTCCAAGTTACAGGAGCCAATCAAAATGTGCACAAATTGCTATCCACTGGTACGGTAAATACTAAATATTACATGAATAATGCTGTATAAAGTTATGCAATTCTATTTACTTTTTAGGTAGAAGCAATTGCCAAAGCTGTCAACAATATTGAGTCTGCTGTCAAAGAGAAACACATCAGAAATATCCTTGAATAAATATTAACAATTGTGTTGCTTAGTGGAGGTGGGTGCCTGGGGTGTCTAGGAACTTCCCTTTTTGGCACAGCCAGCCCCTAGACAGAGCTGTGCCCCTATGGCTGGCAAACCTGTGCCCTCCAGCCATGAGACCCCTAACCAATGGAACCAGGCACCTGTCATACTGATTTATCAGTGGAAAATAAAGTGGGCGGGACAAGGGATGGTTGTAAAAAAATGATCCAAAGGCTAGATGAAGAGAATGGCCGCCAGGAAAACAGTGTATTGAGCGTACGGAGGTGATGCAAGCAAGGCTGACCACGCTTGAGCTAAACCAGTGACTGCTGACCACGCCTGTGCTCCTCGTTTTTAACTGTGTTAAATAAACCTCATTTAACAACTGCATCACTTAGTGGAGGTGGGTGGCCAGGATGTCCAGGGGATTCCACTTTTGGCACAGCCATTCCCCAGACAGAGTTACGCCCCGATGAATGGCAAACCCGTGCCCTCCAACCATGAGCCCTGAAGGGACCTCTGAGCTGAACACCAAGCTCAGAGAGAGGGGGCTCATGGCTGGGAGAAACTTGAGCCCCTACATGTCAATCCCAAAGGCACCCACGTACACTGAGCATGAAGAAACATACAAAGGCTAAACAAGACCCAAGTGCCAAACGTACGGCGCCGACACCCCATTAACGCCTGCTTCGCAAGTGGAGGTTGGGTGCCCATGGGCCAGGGGGCTGTAACCGCAATACACCCCAAGGTGGACGAGCACCCACAGGCCTACCAACCCGCAACCCAGCCACAAGCCCCTCCACGCCCAGTCCCCCACTATAGCACCCGTCACACTGAGGCCAGAAGCCCAGTGGAAGTAAAATGAACAAACCCCCCAAAGAATAAATAACTAAATAAATAAATTAGAAAGAAAGCGGAGGGAGGGAGGGGAACTAAGAGAAATGCTAGGCTACTGGAATGCCACGCCACGCCATACTAACAAAGCTTCGAGTACAATGCAAACACAACGTAGGCACATGGCCTCCGCATGCTCCAAAGCGACATACCGCTGGACAGGAATCTGCCCCCATGCTCACGAACAATGGTAAACGCTACAAACGCAAACATAGTCACGCAACAATGCTACAGACAACCAACACGCTACCAAAGAATGCCAAAAACACCCGAGACCATAGCTCCTAGTCGTTAGCTACATTAAATATGATTTAATGGTATTAAACGCTACAAACGCTGTAAAATGGCACAAACATCCAATGCTCAACATCCCATAAACACTACTAATGCTGTAAACGCCAAAAGGGTCCAACCCCAATGCCCCATCACTCTAAATGCCATAAAATGACCAGCCTTGTACATAAAAAGTTAGAATTTTATTATGAATAGCTTGAAGTGCTGTCTAATTACTCTCAAACCTTCCTTAATTTTGTTTATGTGCGATTATTGGAACATGGCACGAGAAAGGTGCATCAATTTTCTGGAACTCATTAGGACGTATGCCATTACCTTCACAAGTCATCATGTGCTGGAAAGCTATGTTGGTTATTCACAAGTTGCTGAGGGAAGGCCATCCAAATGTAAGTATTGGTAATTTAACTAGTCTTTTAGCTATTTCAATAAACAGAAATATGTGAAAGACATCACAGAAAAAATATGATTTAAACTGACTGAATATTAGAGAGCTTTAGATTCTCATATGAGGATGACTACGAGAATGAGATTTTCCCAATACTAAGTTGTGGGCACGTGCGAGCAAGCGTGATTTTGGCAGGAAAATGTGATAGCCATCGTCATTCTACCACATGTTTTAGCGAGAATGTCGTAGTGGAGAAAACAAGTGAGCAAATTTTAGGAATTTTATCATTTAGCAATTGGGAGAGGGCTTTGTTCAACATCACTGGGTTGGGAGAGAAGGGTAAGAAACCCTTCTCTCTCCCTCTTTCTTTCCTCCTCCTTTTCCCCTCTGCTTTGTCATACCGAGTTCCGAAAAGCAATTTTGTTTTTGCAATGGCCTTAAGACACCCGTAAATTTAAAACATCAATTGAAAGAGCCAATCTGTATATTTACAGCAATTAGTCTTGTTTCACATATGTATTTTGGAGGAAAAAAATGGGATTTAGGAAAGTGATAAAAAATGGTAAGAATGGGATGTGGGATTTTTGTGAAAAAGGTGCTGGAATATGGAATCAGAACCCCCCTTCCAGACCCTCTATCTTTATCATCAGTAGTATTATTATAATTTGCATGTCCCAGTAATTAATATCCCCCTTTTTTCTATCTAAACAGGCTCTGAAGGAGTCTCTTAAATACAAGCAGATGCTGAAGGATATGAAAGAATTCTGGGTAATTTAGATTAATATAAGTCAGAATGAACAAATAAATGAATTGAAAAAATTTCAAACCTGTACATTTGTACACAGTAAAAACTTGTGCTTCTCTTTACATTTAAAAATTACCAGGTTTTACAGTGCGACTGGGAAAACCGTGAACACTTGAATCACAGCAAAGATCAGGACATACAAACTGGCCACAAAACCACAAACTAATTAACGTTCTTGCTTTAGTTTTCTCATGCCTGATTGGCTTTCCTCTTGCAAGACAATAACGTTCCAGAAATATTTCTAGTGTTCACGGTTTTCCCGGTTTGACTGTAATATTGCCCAGGCCTCAGTTGTTCAAAAGGTGGGTAATGTTATCCACTGGATAAATCTCTTTCCAGTAGATAACGCTATTGGTTTCCCTAATACCTATATTGGATACTGATTTTTCCGTTGGATAGCGCTATCTGACGTTTGAACGACCAGAACCTGGTCTCTGCTTGACTGCACAGGTCACAGGTCAAAATTAAATGCGGGTTAAAATTTTTTAACGTAGGTTGATTCTCAGTTTCCTTCTAAATTTTTAAAGGAAAGTATGAAGCAGAACTAGAATTTTTTAGAGCTCATTCAACCAAATTTCTTCTGTGGTGTAGTGTGGATATATTTCTGGAGTAACTACTATAGAATTTGCTTACCTTTACGTAATAGATGTTACTGTTCAACAGCCAGATGAAATAATATTAAAATTTGTTAATGTAGTAATTTTAAACAGAGCTTTTTTATGTGAACTTCATTAACTCACTGAGACAATAAAGTGCATTTTCTGACTATCATAGAAACATTCCGCAAAAGGTGGCTATGGTTGGTTAATTCACTCCTATCTGGCTGTGATTGTAGCCAAGTTGGACTTCCATAATAAGGTAGGCCGGAAATCAATGAATACAGTAGAAGCTCTGCTAATGGACACTCTTGTAAGAGGACAGGCTACTTACGGCTGCCTTCCCAAAACTGCCAAGAGTTTTAAAACTCACCAGTAGCTGATGAATGGTCTCTGTTGATGATCAACAGAGAGCATTGATCAGCTATGATCGTGCCATAACAGTAATAAAAATATTGTTGTGAAATTATATTCAATAATTTCAAAAAAATTATTGTTTATCTACAGAATCAAAATTTTATGACTTTGCTGCATGTCATGTCACACTTGAATTGGAATCTGGAACAGAATTAATATTGATCCATGATTACTATTTCAATAGTTAAATATAATAAAAATTCTAATTTTTTCTATCTAATCCTGTGATTTTGTAGAATGAGTCAATTCCAGGCACTCTTCGTAATAGTGATGGAGGACCAATCGTGTATTCTGGAACAGATGTCAATGATTAGTGAGTACCTAAGACATATAAATGAAGTATAATTTAATCTATTTTATAGTGAGAAGTAAAGCTGTCATTGCTCTGATCTGTTGATTTAAGTTTTATAAAAAGTGTAGTGGTTTCTAAAGGAAGATATATTGGAAATTAATAGTATCTTTCACACACAGCTGTCTGATAATATTTTGTTGATATAATCCTATCCATAGTTTTGAGTTGTCAGTAGATATATTTGATTACCTGGACACATTGGTGGATCTCGAGAAAAGAGGTAAGTGAAGGATCATTTAATCACTGACTTTTTTTGTTTGCTGATCAGACTAAGCTGTTATAATTAAACTGGCTTACAAACTGAGCTTCTGACATTTTATGGAACTGTTTGGATTGGTACATGTAGCTCTTATCACTTAAGTCAAGTTGCCTACTTTTTAATCTGTCCACAAAAGCCTGTCCTTGGATCTGCACAACTTGCAAATTTTTTGAAACAACTATTTAATTTTAGTAACACTTCAAGTAGTAAATTTTACCGGTTACTACCTGGTAAGGAGAACACTGTGTTGTGTGTTTTACCACCAAAAAAAAATAAGTTGTCATACAATAAATCAGGTTGTGAACAGGTTTGACGTGGTTGGTAAAATGTGCAACATCACTTTTCAACTCAATTTGCCGTAATGTTGCAAAACAAGTTGTTGTTTTTATTGCCCTTTTTACCAAAGCTTCAGGTTGAATGCTTCCACTTTTAATTAGGAGGACATAATTTTTTATTTTAACACAGCCAATTTACCCAGCTAATAAAACTTTGAAGTTCTTGGAACTAAAAATATTCCACTCTTTTACATTACATTTTTAATTTAACTAATTTCGTGACCTCTCTCCTCCACAGAGGCACATGTGGTTTAGTTAAGATCTATTAAAATTATTGCATCAAATCTTTGTTTGTAGTATTTAGCACACTTGATCCATTCCGTGCAAGTTCTCAGCTCCAAGCAGTGCAGTGTAGGATTTGTCCATTTCCAGTCATTGTCCAGGTAGTTTATATAACTGCTGAACTCTTTCGTTTCAACCATGATGTTACGGTGAAATTATTTGTCAAGCTAACTTTTATATCTGTGGATGAAATCCTATCATTTTACAATTTTAATAAAACCTCTTTGACAGAGCTTTTGAATAGTTTTATCTATGGATTTTACTTATTAAAAAGAAATTTAATTTTTTTTTGTGAATTTTTCTTTGACCACAATAAGGATTAAAAGGGTTTCTTTAAGTTTTAAAATTGTATGTCAATCATTCAAAACGTAGTAAAAAATAATAATCTGCCTGCGCTGATTTGCCAAGTTATAGTTACAAGTGAAGCTAAGGACAGACTGCCTATACGGTACTGATCAATGAATTATACTATTCGTTACAACCCACCTCTGCAACTGTTTGATTTTTGATTTTCATTTCAAATTTTCAGGAATGTGGTGGCTTATATGATATTGTTGTGGATATAATGTATAAACTGCATGCAAGTAAGATGAGTTGTCACAATTTTTATGTCACTGGACTATCGCAAATAGATTTAGTCAGTTACATTTTGGCTAGTTAATTCTGTTTTGGTAATTGGGTCAGCAATTAGCATTTGATAGTTTCATACCTTTGCGGCAGTATATCTGGCTGATCTATTTAACCCTTTGTCAATTAAATTATGTGTGAGTCCTTCTTCACTCACATTTGCCAGTTGAACCTCTCGTACGCGAACACCCAAAATCGCAGAGTTAGTGGTTGTTTATGGAAGGTTGCTCCTTCCGACTAATTGAACTGCTGGTTGGAGGTCTTGCAGAATAACTCTGGACACTTCTACTTTTTGGACAGAATGTATTGCAAGCATCTTGCTGTTGTTGGTGTTACAGTTTTTGTAAGGGCCTGTTTACATGGAGGTGGGGGACCCCAGGAAGGTGAGGTAACCTGCTTAGGTAGGCTAACCTGCCTGTTCATATAATCTCCATTTTAATTTGATCTCATTTACATGATAGGTGGGGTGACCCGCCACCTGTTACCTCACCTATCTGGGGTCCCCCACCTCCATGTAAACAGGCCCTAAATCCATAAAAGTTCTTCCAATACTCTGAGTAGCATTAATTACATACAATGAACACAAAGATCAAACCATTGTATCGGGTGGTCGCTTAGTAATAAAAGCAATGCAAAATTAAAAAACTATGATCCTAAAAAATGGTTGCAGTCATTTATGTTATTTACTAGAAGTGCCTGTTTAAAAGAGGTCCCAACTATCAGTTATTCACTGATATATGGACAGGTTTTTGGGGAAGCTGTTCTTCTCAAATACTGATGAATGCTTGTATTATTAACTTCATTGTTAAAACGTTTCCTTCACCTGTTTAAGGCTTGCCTGCAGATACGTTGGTTGGACACCGAGACAGGTTTTACGCCCATTTTGCAGAGTAAGCTGTTTTTGGTACTTTTTGTAGTTAAATTTTAACAGTTGTCTTTTTCAATTCCTTAGATTTTGAATTTTTTTCCATTTTCCTTTTTCAGGCTAAAGAAGTTCTTCTTTGATGCTGGAAACATGGCATATGTGAAAGCTTTGGTTCCTGTTCCTGTTCTCCCCCAGGTATACTGGCAATTATGTTACCAAGAAATACATGTATTGATTATCTTTGTTAGCTTGTATGCATTTATACGTATATATGTAGGGTTCTCAAGAAGCACTAGCTAACCACTGGCAAAAATCACCATCTAGGTTATCACAAAAAAAAATTCCCAACACTTTTGTCTAATCAACAATCAAAACGCTTTTATCAAGAAAGTGTGGTCAATTAAAGGTAATGTCCTTGTGGCTAAAATTCCTTCCTTGATCCCACAAAATGCGCTGAATTACAATTTTGAATTCAAGGCAACCATCACATTAAAATTTTCTTATAGGGGATTCCCCAGTGGAAGGGAGGCAACTTCATTAGCGGCTATATACGCCATGTGAAAGCTGCGCCCCTTGTCTTTCAGTCTTTCTAATTTAAATTTTTACTGCCTACTCAGGGTTGTCATTAAGAGCCGGGGGCCGGGGATTTTCCCCGGCTACTAAGAGAGTGACCCCCAGCTACTTTTATTGGAAAATAGAAGAAAAATAGAACCACAAGAAATGCCGAGCTGTTTGATTCTCTGCCTACTTGTTGTATTTACCCGGCAACTTGAAATCTTAGTGACAACCCTGCCTACTTAATTTTTTCTCCTTCTACCTTACATTTTGTGGAGGACCCTGCATGTGGGCATGTCAAAAAAGAAATTAATCAATCCTTAATTTTGAATTGCTTTATGTCAGAATCCCCCATCTTTTACACTGTCTGATCCCAAACCAGTACTCGCAAGAACTAAAAGTTTTGAAGGACCCCCGCCCAAATCAGTGCTGACTGATGACTTTAAACGTCAAAGCCTTATGGAGCCACTAACTGTTCCCATGGCAACAGAATCATTAGTACAATCAACTCCCCAGGTATGTGTCATCCTAAGTAAATAGGGAGCTTAAGCAACAACGACAGCGACGGCTGCAAAAATGTCACTTAAAAAGTGAAAACGCTCTGCGTCAAACTTCATCGCGCTTATTCCATCTTGTTTAACTCATCAATTGCTGGGAATTTTTTCTGGAGGTGAATACTAAACGAGTGTAACAAAGTTCAGGAAAAGAAAACCAAAGTCTTTGTTTTGAGTTCATGTCCTCCACAGTACATGAAATTAGGCATTTTCACACCGTAGTCATGCAGTGCATGTCAAAGAAATGTACAAAAAAGCTTGATGGACATGCAGAGGTGTTGTTTTGCCAATCTAGACCTAATGCTTTTTTGTCGTTCTTGTTGACATCCTCTCGTCTTTGCTTAAGCTTCCTAACAAATGGGAGCAAAGGGGTGGTTAAATTTTACAACTATTGATTAAATCTCAAACACCTTGAGCTAAACGTTTGGTGCTTTGGCACTGCAAGTTGATTTTTATTGACTAGGGCTCAAAAATAATTAAAAGTTACTGTCTAGCAAAGGTCCGGTCCAGGACAAGTAGATTTTCTTGCTGGGCAAGTAAGTTTTAAAGATCACTTGCACAATGGGCAAGGGTCCAGAAAAGTCATGCTCTATTCTAGCAAGCGCGACGAGCATGACGAGCTTGAAGTGGCCCACCAGGACAAACAAAATGTGAGAGCTGCTTGCCCAAAGGAATAGCTGCATGGAATTCAAGTTTTTTTGTGAGCCCTGTCAACCATGGTCTACCTCAGGTGTATGCTGATGTTTTGTCATTCTGTTTTGTATGTTAAATAAGACTCCAGAGGCTGATATTCTGGGATTAACTGCAACAGATGGACCCCAGCCAGATAACAGGTTTGTCTTTCAGTGAATACATAGTTGATTGATTTCTTTAAGGACTGTTTCAACACTGTTTGTTTATGGTTTCAGTGTGGGAGTGTCTAGCTGTTTAAAAATAGCCTATCTGTAGGGTTAAACTGAAGGAGAACAGCACTTATTTTATTCAGAGTCTTGAGAGTGATATACATTGATTCTTGAATTATTTTTCTTTGACTCCTAAGAAGTTTTCTATTCTATACTTAAAATATTTGTAATTTCCGACAAACTTTTGAACCATCTAACCCATGGTGTAATTCTGTTTTAGAGACTTCATAATATATCAGCTTCGCCAGGAAATAGCACAATTGAAGCTGGCTCTTGAACGGCAGGAACAAGAAGTAAGTTCCTTTTGGAGTAACAGGATTACAGTCATTTCTGACTTACATGTACAAGCAATGAAAGAGAAAAACTCTGAAAAGGATTTTTTATGGACATTGATTTTGTCTAGTGGTTTATAACCAGTAAGTGTACATGTAATTTCTTCTGTTTTGTTTGTCCTTAGGCAAAAGCCATTGAAGATTCTCTCCGTTCGCAGATTGCCAGGGTAAGTTATAACCCTTTTATCCCTAGCTATATATAGGGTGATCAACTTCTAACTTCTCCCTGTAGTACCACTGCTAAAACAATCATGAAGGTTGCGAGAATAAAGAAAATGATCAACAAGTGAAAAAGGGCTTGATTGTTAAACGTTCTCCTCAGTAAGAAAATACTAATCGGGAGTGTATGGAGAAATGTGTGGAGAATATCCATACTGATATTTGGGATAAATGCATACAATGTATGTGGGAATTGCATTTTTGTGGGCTTTTAGAAAGAGTAACTTCAGTTGGTACATGTTACAGTTTGTTCTGAATTCTTGTTTTTCTTGTGTTTTTAAGCTAACAGATGAATTGGATGAGTATAAGACAATTGCAGAAAAGACCTGTGAGGTAAATAAATGCATTGTTTTGTTGTCTTATATTTACTGTGAGCTTTCCAAATGATCTCCATTTTTAAGGATTGAAAAAAAAAAAAAAGGACAAAAATAGCTCTGATAAGGTGGAAAAATAAACTGCCACCTGGTTAGCTCAGTTGGGAGAGTGCTGGTCGGCTGAGTGGGAGGTCGCAGGTTCAAACCCTGGCCGGAACAACACTCAGGGTCTATAAACAACTGAGAAGATTAATTTAGTGCTGCCTTTGTAATGACATCTGCAAATGGTTAGATTATTTTGTCTTCTCGGATAAGGAAGAAAAATCGTAGGTCCTGTCTCACAGCACTTTCACTGATCTGTTCATGTGGGATGTAAAAGAATCCACACCACTGTTCGAAAAAAAATAAGGGGATGTAGACCTGGGTGGTGTGGCCAGGTTGTGTGGTCAGGTTGTGGGATTGGGTAGGGATGGCACCTCACATGGGACCTATTAGTCCTGTTTGTGTTAGCCTGTTCCAGGCGTTCAGATAGTGGGAGCATTGCGAAGTCAAAAGGAGTGCGAAAAAATAAAAGCTAAGGAGGAGGAGTCCCCCTCTACTTTTCATCGCTTTCTTTACTTCGCACTGCTCTGCACTATCTGAATGCTTGGAACAGGCTATGTTTGTGCCCATTCCCTGTGGGCAGGCCTGTGTCCAGTAAAGCTGGTAAAATAAAATGTCATCACACTGGCAACAGCAGTGCAGCAAGTCACCCTGACAAGGGTTTTCCTCATCTACATCCTAAGCTTCTTAGACGAGGCTGGGGAGATTTGCTTGCTCATGGGGGTCAAAGGCCAAAAAAAATTTCAAACCATACAGAAACTGTTGAAGAAGTCTATGCCAGTCTTGTTTTTAGAAAAAAAACTGATTACTGAACAAGATACAATGTAATATTATTATTATTTAATATTATGATATATTTATTATTTCCATACTTTTTAGGAAAATGTACTTCTGAGAAAAGATCTGGAGAGTAAAGATGATGACAAGAAAGGTAAAATGTTGATTTGATTATTTTTATTTATTTGAACATGTTTGAAAAGAATGGTGGGAAATCATCTAGTACCCAGTTCAGGGTTGTCCTTAAGATTCCCAGTTGCTGGGTATATGCAAGCCATTATTTTAAAGTGCTACATGAAAGCCTTTTTGAATTCCAAAAGGCTTTTGAATCATAGAGAAGGGCTTTTAAAAAATAAATACGTATAATAGCCGTCAATTAATGTTTCAGATTGGAGCTCTAAGAGTGCTTCTAAAGTGCATCCATTTCACCATTTTTGAGCCTGCAAAGTTCTCAGCGGTTAACAAATGAATAATAAATAAATAAATAATGATTTGGAGGTAGCACATCCACAAAGTGGTTATTTGTCTACCTCATTCCTGGTCGAATTGGAATTTGGAAATGTTGGTTTTTGAGGAGAGGGGAAAACTGGAGTACCCGGAGAAAAACCTCTCGGAGCAAAGGAGAGAACCAACAACAAACTCAACCCACATATGGCCTCGACGCCAGGATTTGAACTCGAGCCACATTGGTGGAAGGTGAGCGCTCTCACCACTGCGCCATCCCTTGCTCCCTAGCACTTGTGACGTAACATGGTTACAGTTTTGTTTTACAGATTTGTTTTTCGATATCTAAAAACTCCTAATTATTATCTCCATGGTAGGTGGCGCACTGTTTCTTGTCAAGGACTTGCCCTCAAAGTGTCAGATTTGAATCTCTTTACACTGACAATAATATTACTGAATTTTGTGTTTCTTACCTCCCCAAATGAAACACTACGGTTTGTTTAAATTCCAGCCCCTTTAATTTGTCTAATTTTTAAGAAGGGGTGGAGAAATAAAAAAAAGATAAAGCATCAGTTTATTGACTGAAAGTGTCTTTTACTCCATTTTTGATAGCTCGTATTCACTGAGATTTCTTTACATCTTTCTGTAACTTCAGATCAAAAAGGGACATCAGAAGAAAAGTTTAACAAACTGAAAGGAATGTATGGAAAACTCAGAGAAGAACACATTCAGCTGTTAAGAACTGTAGGTTGAATACTCTTTTTGTTATTTTAAGGAACATTTCTTTACAGAGAGAAAGTTTATTGGCAATATGTACTCTATCTTCTTGAAAATATTGGTGAGTTTTCTGTTTGTTAATTCAAACCTTCCTTTTTTCTCCACGTTTCTTACCAAAATCTGGAATAATGACCCCCTTGTTTGAACCTTTACTGTTGATAAAATTTGTCATCTAATAGAATTGTTAGTATTAATCTATCGTGATTCCTTTTTCTAGAATGCGGAAGTGAAGCAAAAACTAAGTGGCTATGAACGGGAAAAAGAGGTAACTGGTATTAATAAATGAATGGTTACTTGGTAATTAGGGACCAAAAAATCAAACACACAGAAACGAATGAGAGAAATGATTGGTGTTATTTCTCTGTAGTGTTAATTGTGGTTATAATTCCAAGACAAAAGGAAAATAACAAATAAAACTGATCCTATGGAGTTTTTTTACTCCTCCCCCCCCGTTCCCCTCCTTCCTGCCCCCCCCTCCACCCCCTTCCAAGGAGTTAAACCACAACAGATCTCGTTACTCTGGATCTCTGGTGTCGTCATCCTTGCAGGCATTAGATACCATTTCTAGTGCAGCTTTACGGTCATCACGCCACCAAGAAGTCGACTTGCCAACAACGAATAACTCTGAAATAATTAACACGGATAAATAGTTATGATTACTTGCCTAAGATTTTTACTTTTTCGTGAAGCTTATTCGAATTTGAAGTCGACCCAAAGACAAATCTGTCGATCCTAATTGACGATACTACGGTCAAATTTCTCATGCTCTTAATGCTCTAAATACTGGTTATAGGTTCGTTGAATGAAAGCTTTGACATTTACCCTTAGGAGAAAATTCCTGCTCATGAAAGTTCTTTTCGATTGTTGTGTATAATTGGGACTTTTTAAAACACTAAAGCTAAGTTCTATCTTTGGTGGCAATTTCGCTGGTGGCGAGATGGTTTGATGGTGAGATGTTTTGATACCCTAGTGCAACATTCTCTTCATCTAAATGTGACATGTTTGTTTGCCTTTTTTGGGAATACAATTCAAAGAAGATCGAGAAGGATACTGATCACGGCCCAGCTTGAATGATAATAAGTAGGCATAAAACATGTAACTTGTATATAATTTTTTTTTCCAGGAATTAAACCAAGCAAATGAGAAACTCCAACAGGAAGTAGATGACAAGGTAAACAAGTTTTTGAATATAGTACCGAACAATTCTTTTTTCGTGGATAATTAATAGCAAAAATTGCATTGGCAAGATACAATTTTAACATAAGTAACTCAATAGTTTTTATTTACAAATAAATTCGACCCACCCTGTTTACTTTTGTAATAATTAAACAGTGGTTCTGGAAAGTACAGGTTACTTAAAACAATGATGTGGAAAGTGTCAGTATTTGACTGCCTTGCTTGTAGGACTGGTCATAATATTGAGGAATGAGCTTTCAAAAGCTTAATTTTAAAAGCTTAATAATGCATAACTGTCTAAGGAGAATAGGATTCCTTCTGCATAGGAGGGACGTTTTGCTTCACTAGAAAATTTCATTGTAGATTATATTGTAATAAGAAATTTGTAGGTAGGTAATGCTTGCCTGACAGTTGTATTTCCTGTACTTTTCATGCAAGAATCCTCAAAACGTTACACTGTAGCTTCTGTTAGTGATATAAATGTGCGTGTTTTTTTCTCGTAGTCAACAGAACTTCTGCAAGTATTTCAAAAAGTCGAAATGGCTGAACAAACTGGAAAGGTATTATTTTAAAGAAGATGTATGTAAGGGCAGAGCAACTCAGTATATACAAGAATGCTGTATTTTGAAAGTTATTCCATAGTCTGACCTAGTTATAACTTTTTTTTTGGTTTTGTAAGGTTTAACGTTTTCCGCCGTAGTAGTGATCAGTATCTTATTATCCTCAGAAAAATACGTTGCACTGATTTCTAGACAAATTCTGCTTATGGACATCTTAGCAAAATGTATGGAGCACGTTGTAGAGAATCTAGGTGCTGAAAAGAGGGATTAAATAGTCAAAGCAGCCTATAAGTACAGTATGTAGCATGTAGACAAACTCTCCACCTCCCAATCTCTAGCAGCTTGCTTTGTTCCACGCTCGTGATGCATAAAAGGTAAGCTTGCTACCAGGCTACGAAAATGAAACTGAAAATATTTAACTCGAGCGATATCGCTTTTTTTTTCTGATTCAGAGAGCTGGAAATGAGGTTGAAAGGCTGGCAAAAGAGCATAATGAGAAGGTATTGTTTTTATGTAAGAGTTAGAATTTTTTTTTTGACGAAGTATGTAGGGGGTACTGGAGGCCATGTCGTTGGTAGCATGGGAACCATCCTGGAAGGTATTCAAATTTAATATCTGTCTTTTTCAAAAATTGAACAGTAACGCTCGGAGGCTTTGCTCATTTTTGCCATTTAGACGGTAAGTTCTCTTACCAAAGCAATGTTTTGTAGCGAGTACTTGGTAAAACTAGACAAATTGAACTAGACTTCTTTGGTTAAATCCCTTTAATACCACGAACTTAACTGGTAAAGCTATTCAAGAAGATCCTGGGACAACTACTACCTCACGACCTCGTAGAGCAGTCATTCTGTCGTAACAGACACCTCTGTAAGACGGACACCCAGAAATGGTCCCTGCCTTTTTTTCGTCTTTTTCGCTGACTGTCTACAATAAAGGTGTCTGTCTTACAAAGAGGTGATTAGAGCCTTATGAAAAGTATATGAAAATAATAATAATTAAAAAACATAAAGTCCACGACAGTGTTGTGTTCTTTACTTTTCTACAATAGCTTAGCCACGCCATCTTGTTTGCCAAGGTGAAAATCTAACTTTTTTGTTTTGATTTTACTCCTTTAAAGATCGCTTCTCTAATGGACGAGTTAGAAACGCTAAAGAAAGAAAAGAGTGATACAGAAGAAGCAAGGAAAATAACTGAAGCACACATCGAATCAATGAAAAAAGATCATGAAGAAAAGGTCTTTGATACTTTTCTATTACCTAGCTTTTTTATATTTAGACTTCATCCACTTCGTTTTAAAACCACACGAGACGCTGTCGAAGCACAGACGTGCTTGTCGCCATGTACATGTACTCAAGCCCTCAACACCTTCAACAAAACCTTCGTTCATGTGTAGCAGGGCATGCGCATTCCCTGCTAGCAGAGTTCTCTTTTCCCTTAGTGGTATTCGCGGAACAGCCGAATACCAGAGAAAAGAGGCCTCTGAAAGTAGGGAAGCATGCACACTTCTAACTTGCTCATCGTTTAATTACTCGGAGGATATGGGGCACCACGGAGCTCTCAAAACGAGTTGAAGTTCGTTCTTAAAAGTCCAGAGCTCAACTTAACTCGAGCCGCAGCCATGCTTATCGAGGGCCAACTGTCTACCTCCTCTCAGACGGAATTTTGAACTCTGTTGTGCTTAGTATGGATTCATTTTTTTAAACCGTACTAGGGATTTTTTCGCGTTTACCTTTAGGTTAAGCAAGGAGATTCTAATGGAGTGTGTGACGTAACCCTCTTTGTATCGAGGAACTTGAGACGATGATACCAATGAAAGGGTCTGGATATCAACTCTCGTTACGTGCTACGTGTTATATCCTTTATTGTTTTCAGGTTGCAGCCCTTCAGAGTGATCTAACAAATGTTCAAAAAGGAAGAACAGATGAAGAAGCAGCTAAAAGAACTGCGGAGGAAGCAATTGAGAGGGAAAGAAATGAAAATAAGGAAAAGGTTGGTGTGTTTAAGACTACAGTTACGTTTAGTCATACTGTACTTGGTTGTCATCGATAAAGGCAGATACGGTCATATAAGCTTCTTTGGACAAAATAAAAATGTACTAGGACAGGGGCGGATCTAGGGGGAGGGTGCAGGGGGTGCGCACCCCCGCCCCCTGAGATGACCTGCTGTTTTCTAGTATAACTGGTATTCTGCAAAAAAAAACTATGTGGTTTATTGGTGTTGAAGTAGAGCAAGACACGACTGCACCCCCTCCTAAAAAAAATCCTCGATCGGCCCCTGTAGGAGTAATTTTTTTCCGATTGCTGAATGTTAAAACACGTAATAACATTCATCTTGGTACATCACATGAAACGCATCGAGATGCGGATGTTACTTAGTTGTGCCATCGCTGTTTCCTTGGACAGGAAACTTTGCCCCACCTTGTCTGTCGTATGCTCTTTTTTTCGTAAAACTAGAAGTTGTACTATAAGCAGACTTCAAAACAGTCGATATTTTTTAGTAGGTCATTTGAAAACCCGATTTCGAGTAAAAAAACTACTTTTTTTGCAGTCCACGAAAAGACATAATCTCTTTGTTAAACGTTTTTTAAGGACTTACGCTAGAAACAGACTAAAAAGCAACGTTATTCTCCTTTTAAGATTTCGTCTCTTATGCTTGAGCTGGAGAAATTGAAGAAGGAAAAGACTGAAACAGAACTTGCCAGAAAAACAGCAGAGGACCAGGTGGAATCAACGAGAAAAGATCATGAAGCAAAGGTTCATATTTTCGTTACGTTTACAGACTTGATAAACGGAGACAATTACTAACGACCAGTAAGATTTTGTTGTTGTTGTTTTTTCCTAAAAAAATTTAGTAAATTCCATACACAGTTATTTACCGTAACAATACGGTTATAGTGCAATTTGTCGGTAGGTTATTTTATAGCCTGAAATGTGCTTAAAACACATGTCTTGATAGGCATAGTTTTCACCGATATGATGGGTACGATCACTGGAAAAAGTAGTACAATGTTATTGTTACAATTTCACGAATGCTTTTTCATATCATTCACTACTTGACTGTCTATTATGTATGCACTAGGTTACTGAGTTGGAAAAACAAAGACAAGAAGAGCTTATGAAGGAAAATCAAGATCTTGTTGGTAAGGTTTGTTAAGTCTGTTGCTTTGCGTAATACGGACAACGTTTCTTCGTAAAATTTTGTACGCAACTATCTAAAGGCCCGTTTACTCCGGAAAATTGTTTGGTGAGATTTTAATAAGATTTCTGGCCGATTTGTTTGCGATTGTTCGATCTTTATGTAGCGGTTGACAGTCCGTGCGACCTATGATTTTCAGGTATGGCTATAGAGACAGCCGAAAGAGCAATACAAGACACACTGGACCAGTTTGCGAATCCAAAACACAGTTCAACGACGTGCACAGCAGGTACAAACCAACATCCTTTATTTGTAGTGTTCGGTTTCTCCTAGACACCATAAGAGCTAGAAGACCTCTTAGATTGAAAACAAAAGACGGTATCTTAATGTCAGGACGTTGGTGTCATAGTTCAGCTCATCAAAAATGTTGGGGAGACTGGGCACCAGGGGGTACTTACCATTTAGGTGGAAAACCCGGATGTTTCTGTTGGAAAATCAAATGGCTTCCACCATTCCGGTTGCGAAGCTTCAGAAAACATGGGCTGTGATTTGAAGCGATGCAATTTTTCTACTCTTTTCAGTCTTTTCATCTGGTTTGGATATGCTTTGTAACGGATCGTTCTCCCACCACGTCAAATTTTATAGTTTTATGTTTATGCACAACATTTTCACCCAGGTGATTTTTGAAAATGGTAATTCCGGGTCTTGTTGCTGAGATTTTTGGGATCTTATAGTTACCAATATTGGCTTATTGGTGCCTTTGCGTCAATCATCAATCCCAAGGAAAATCCTAGGGCTGATGGCTGGTGCTTAATTTTCTGAAGTTCCTGGTCAGGAAGATAAGTTTGGAGTGTCAAGCTTTCCCTCTCAAAACCCCGTGTAACAACGGTGGTTGATGGAGCCGGCCGAAGTTTCTTGCTTAAATAGAAAAAAAGTAGAAAAACACGAAATTGATAGCTCAGTTTGTTCTTACTTTATAACTGTAAAAAGGTAGGTCAGTAAAATTTTCGTATCCTTTGATTCAGCTTGTTTTTATTTCTTTATTTTTGCGTGATTTTTTTTCTTTTCAGATTATTTGTTAAGCAGAATTGAAAATCTTCCAGGAGTTGTTGATGAGCTTAATTCAAAGTTTACTTCTTACCAGCAAGATTACAAAGGTGCGAGCTCAAGTGTCTAAAGCTAAGTTATCATTTTCAGGAAATGCTTGTCTTTGAAATTTACTGTTTGATAATATCTAAAATGTCTTAGATATTCTACATAAATCATTAATAAGTGTCTTAAATCATGGCTGTTTTTTTTGTTCATATTTAGGCGCAGCTCCATGTGCCTGCTGTATTGGGTCATTCTCACATCAGCTCAGCGAATGTATTCTGAACGCTAAGGCTACCTCACACATGGCTCCCACTCAAGAATCCGCAGGTCAGCGGTACAATAGGAATCATATATGAAGTACCTACCATGCTAACAGGACATTTGCCCATTACCTTAAGCCGCTTTTGCAAAGCTTATTCTGGTTCTCATCCTTTCTTATGAAAATGTCTTTTCTTTCACATGCAAATAAAAGTGATTTTCGTACGAGTTGTCGTGCACCAAGCCTCTCTTGTATCAAGAGCCTTAGTAATAGTGCAACTCGTAAATTGTCCATTTTTTCCGTTTTCATGCTTTCAATTTTGTCCCGGCGTTCATCCACAACAAAATGAGAAAAATAGTGCAGTGAAAACGGAGATTACGTGACTGATCGATCCCATTCAAGTAAAATACCTTAACGTGAAAAGGTGAAAATATTGAAGATAGGAGGAAAACTTTATAGTATGGATGTGAAGGAGGAGGGATTGTTTAAAAAAGGACCTTTGTGGACAGAATTCACTCGAGTCTTCAGGATTTGATCTACAGATGTGAGAGTTGACATCTTATTATTTTGTGGGATTTTGACTTTGAAGACAGAGATTAACTTGTATTCCGCTGAGCCGTGTTAAAATGATTTTCTTCTCCATTTTGTAGATCTTCAGTCATTTAGTGTGTCAGCTGGCAGGGAGTCACTGGAATTGTTAGCACTTTATAAGCAAACCAATCCAGGTCAGCAATTTACTGAACATAATCTTAGTCAAACAAGTAGTTTGGTTCCAATTCTTGGTTGTGTTGCGTGATATTGTACCTAGCTAGAAGCGTTCTAACGCTACATTGCAACAGCTGCCAACCTTTTGTGGACACTTGGTGATAGTAACCTTCCTTTCTTTTGACAAAAGATTGTGTTATGTCGGTCACAGCAATTGTTTGAATGTTTGGTTATTACATGTTCGTCTGTTTGTTGCTCTTGTAGATCCAAATGCTATTGCTGATAAAGTCAATTCCGTTAAAAAGCAGATCACCGACATCATCAAAGTAGCTGAGGTGAGTCCATCTTGGTTATATTAGCTAGGGAAGTGGATAAAAGTGGTGTACAGATACAAGACCCACCCCCTCCGCGAAAAGACTGGTTGTTTCTTTGTGTATCATGATTTTATTTGCGTACTAACAAGTTTAATTGATTTTATGAACAGGCTCTTGCACCTAAAGAGAAGGATAACATGGACAGTATTGGTGGTGAAGTCGAGGATGAAATAAATGCCACTGCTGAGGTGAGATAGATCTCCTTTTTGCGGTGGTTGTTTTAAGTCTTTGTGTTTTTCGTCAACCATCTGAGATTTCTTTTGTCATATTTTAGCTTGTCGCAGATTCAGCAGCCAGAATTGAGGTAAATATCTACCTAACATCCGCCTAATTTATTCTTATATGTCTTGAAGGTTTCTGTAATTCCCAGTTTGGCTTTGTTGGATGGTCATATCTAGGGGAAGGTTGTTCGTCCTTTGGTAGCGTTTATTTTACAGTAATCTTTTCTGCAATGCGTATTTCCGCCTTTTTGTCAGCCAGTCAAAATTTGGGACGTGCAGTTGGTTCAAATTCATATTTTGGATCAATTCCTGCTTTGTTGCCTGTTCTTAGCTTTTAGATTCGGTGGAAATTTACGACCAAAGTTCTTCTTAGAAAACAACTTTTGTTAGAAATTCCACCTTTCGCCCTTACTATATATATTTTTGTTAATTTCAGGAAATGATCAACAAGTCGCGGGAAAAATACACTGGTGTTCAACTTGAAGTAAATGGAAGGTATGTACTTCTATTTTTAATGAAGCGGTAAAATAATGTGGAACCTTTTTTATCACTCAGAAGTTTTGATCAGCCTAGACATCATTACGTCACGTGCCGATAATTGCCTTTTGAATAATTGCCTACGGACAATGATCTGCTCAGGCGCAAAAGAGACAAAAAAAAGTTGTGTTCCTTTGTTTTGCTGAAAACAATGCCCTGCAAATAGAGTGAAGAAAAGCAATGAAATAGTCAGTATTTTGAAATTTGCGAAGGAGAAGTTTGTTTGACACATGTTCTGTCTTCTCTTTACAGAATTCTAGATTCCTGCACTGCATTGATGGAGGTAACTAATTTATAACTTATTTTTGCAACATGAGAAGAACTGTGATATGAAACGAATGTTGTCAACGACGTAAGAAAAACTGTCGCATAGTTCTGTACATTCTTCCCGGGAGGGGGGTGTTCTCCCTCATATGACCTTTATGGGGATGTACCACTGGACAGTGTATGGTTTTTGTCCTCTCTGTCCTAAACAGGGTATATAATTTTGGGTGCCTGCACGATTATTTTAGTTGCTTGCTGAAATTTCTTTGTACTCCAAGAATACAAAAGCAATGGCCACAACGTGAATTAGTTCTATTGTGCAATGCCAATAAGTGGCTTTAAAATAAGACGAAGTGCATTTGGTCGCTTGTCCTAAAAGGGGCAATAAACTTGAAGTTGTTGTCTTAAACAGGGTATTTATTTTAGGATTTTTTTCCTAAACAGGGTCATGGTTTTAAACCCTCACCTATAACCAAATTCTGTTCGAGTACCCTCCCCCACGGGACATTCTTTCAGTTTTTAGGTGTGGGCGAGAAAATTAGAGCCGTATTGTATCACATTTACAGACAAAACAGTTTGTTTAGTAGGCGTCTGGGTTCGAGCCTTCGGCTGTACGATCGCGTCGTTTCGCTAGACAATAAGCTTTGTTTTACCTCGTCCTCTCTTTAATCATACTGCTGGGGTGAAGGATGATACTTCGATAGGTTAGCTCCTCGTGTAGGGCGGCGTATTGGAACGTGAAGCTGGTTTATGTCTGTAGAAAACGGGATGAGCCTTGGCTACGTGTTAGACAGTAATGCCAACTGTACCCTTTCCTTACGTTACTAAAGAGGGTAACTAAGAAATTAATCAACGGGTATTCGAAAGACGTAAAAGCGAATATTTTTACGTATCATATCTAACCTCAGACGTTTGCTCTCAAGTATCTCACAATCTTCAGCAAATGGTGTTGGCTGTTGCATCTTTATTCAGTATTCTTTTTTGAATAGAGGTCGGGGATTAATGTTTCCCTTATGTGCAACCATTTTTTTCCACGTGACCGAACTGAAGTCAGGTGACGACACTTGAGCTATCTTTATTCGTTAAATATAGGCCGAGACAGGACTGAATGCACTGTTGTTAGAAACAAACCTTTGAGCTTAGATTTATTATATCAAATAAGTATAACTAAGCTATTGTACGCGCTTTGACTGCAATACCTATTTTCAACAATATTAGCCTCATGAAACCCAAACTTTACATGTTAAGTATATCATTTTTGAAGGTTTAATATTTCAGACATTCAGCTGAAAGAAATGAGGATGTTACAAAAACGGGGATCGGGGAACGGGAAAAATGGAAACAAAACATAACTTTAACCATATCCTTACCTTCATTACCTCTACTGTGTTTTGCTCCCATTTTTTCATTTTATCGTTCCTGGTGCTTGTTACCCCTTTCCTGATTCCAGTTCCCCGTTTTAGTAACATCCTAAGAAAGAAAGGTACCATATTACTTAAATTGTAATTTGCATATGATTTCAGGCAATAAAGAAGTTAATAATGAAGTCCAAAGTGTTACAAAAGGAGATTGTCGACGAAGGCAGGGTGCGTATTACAAATTTACAAGATAAACTGCCAATAAAGTACAAAAACGCCTCGGTGACCTGACCAACCCTACATGGTTGGCCCAAAGGAGAAAACTGGCCTCATCAGGAGAATTAAACAACTTTGCACGCCACTGATTCTTGTCATTTGTTTTTCAGGGTCAAGCTACAGCAAAAGAGTTTTACAAGCGCCATCACCGCTGGACTGAGGGGCTCATATCAGCAGCTAAGGCAGTAGGGTGGGGAGCCAAGGTGCTCGTGTAAGTACAGAATTTTAATTTCCGCATGATTGTCGTATACGGTGGTTTTTTGTGACCTGCTTTAGAACTTAACGAAACAACTACGTTCCGTTGTGAAGAACCGCGAAATATAGCGGTCTCAGTTATTTTTCAAAGATTTGCGATTTTTACCAATCAATATTTTTGAAATAGCAGCGTCTACTGGTCCGGTTTTTGTGTGTAAAATGCTGACAAAACATTAGGACGAGTTGTAGCTCTCAATACGATCTGATTTAGTGCTTCTCTAGAAGTTTTTTCAGATTAGTTATTTGAGTCATCTTCAAAAGATGATCTTGCAAAAGAGTGAATCTTAATGTTATTTTCATTAAAGCGACTCTGCTGATAAAGTTGTTCAAGGGCAAGGCAAATTTGAAGAGATCGTAGTGGCTTCCAATGAGATCACAGCAAGCACTGTTCAGCTGGTGAGTAAAACTACAGTGTATTAGAGACTTTTGTTTAGGTTTGAGGCTTATGAACACTGCCAAGGCCCTTCCCTTCGCCTCTGCACACGGACAATCTCAACCAGAAGGCATTGTTGTGTTATTCATAATCAGCAAATGCAAACGAACTGTAAGGAATACAAACCATTAACATTCCCAAAGCAACAGAAAAGGGCGGGTCGTAGTCTTTTCTACGTATTAAGGGACCGGGTGGTGTCTTTTAAGTGTTTTCCCAGGGATGAACTTTCTGCCTGCTCGTGACCTCTCTTTAGGTACCTGTGACATTTGTAACAACTGTGAGCTCGTACCTCCCTGATCCTCGGGGAAAACATCTCTGGTAATAAATCCTACTGTCTCTTGGTGTTTTGATATTACTGAATTTAAGTAATTCTCATTTCTTTCATCTGTTGGTTGATGTAGGTAGCAGCGTCTAGAGTGAAGGCTCGACAAGCGAGCACTGCGTTATCAGGACTACAGGGGGCCTCTAGAAATGGTTTGTTTCAGTTACTGACTTAAAATGTATCTTTATTGCAACCCCCCCCCCCCCTCGCCACATTTATACACAGCACTAACCGCTTGTTTTCTTCTGGTCTCTTAACCTCCGCTCAAAATGTTCTTTCCCCAAGGGACTTTCCCCTGTTCCTGTACCGCGTTCAAACGCTACATTTGTCAGGATCCCTTCATTTACATTAACGCTTTTGTGTAGTCGGAAAATGTAAGGTAATGTAGTAATTGCAACAAAGATAAAACTATAGTTCAAAGTTATTAGACCTGACCTTGTTTATTCAATGGACATTTGAATGCCCCCTTTCTCAAAAAAGAGAAAAATTTCGGTAGTTCTTCGGGAAGGTAAGACTCAGAACATTGTTGATGGAAAGTATTCAACCGTATTTCCGCTGTATCGGACACTGCGCTAACATTATTTGAAATAAGCAGGTTTCTTATTTTCTTATTTCTTGAGTTGTATCTGTTCAGTACGCGTGATTTCAATGTGGAATTTTATGATCTGTTTCAGTTGTCGAGTCTGCTGCCGGTGTGGTAGCATCTGCGAAGACTGGAGCTGAAATGATTGAAGACAGCAGTAAGTTATTTTTATTTCCACCTGACCATCCACCCGGAACCTTGCGCGCTTATTTTCAAACTTTACTACTTGTGACCATCATGACCAAGTTCTACTTAAGCAGTTGTCAATCATAGAACCAAATTTCGAGTCACCCGTTCGGCATTGAACAGCAGTTAAGTACTGCTCTCAAGCTCTCATTTGAAAGTTCAGTTTCGAGTAGAAACGGGAAAACAATACCCTTAGCCCAGTGTCTGGATTTTCGAAGACATCCTAAGTTGTCTACCTAATGTAGGCACTTGTTAGGAAACAAGACGTGGAATATATATATATTGACTTGAGAGGGGATAGTGTTTCAGTCCAGCGCTTGGCCAATACATTTTCTTCACTAGGTCTATTAGGAGGATGGTTCTCCTGCTCCTCATATTATACTTGTTAAGGTCAGTCCCTTAGCTCTTGTAGACTAGTGTGTAAGCTCGCAAACTCCCTGCAATGTTTTTTTCCGTAGAAGCTGTTCCAGATTATTCCAAGCTCACTCTCACGCAAGCAAAGAGACTGGAAATGGAGTCTCAGGTGCGTAAATCTCATTTTAACCTTGTCACTTTTAACAGTGGTCAACTTGAAAATTTATTAAACAAACTTCTAAACTTCTTTTGTAAAATCCAAAGAATAAAATTGTTCTATGCAAATGATCCGCCAGCGACGTTTTATAGTATATGAATGGTAACACTACAGAGTTTTGCAAATGCATTCCAAAGTTAGAATAACTTATCATCTCACCATGACTCAGTCTAGGACTGAAAGGGTCAATCAACCCCTCTTCTTTCTACAGTTGTAAAAATAAAAATGCAATTGTATAACAAGATGGAAATAGTCACAGTTAGGTTCACCCTGCCAGCAGAGCCTTTCTTTCACTGGTTTGATTTTAGTGCACTCGAGAAAGACTCTGCATAAATCGCGTAAGATCTTTGTTGAGCATGCGCGGCATGTTGCTAAGATGTAGTTTCGAACCCAGGCCTAATAGCCGTGTGCTTGCTACAGCAGGCTCGGTTATGACTATCGGTTTATCAATAAACGGATGCTCGCACTCAAAAAAACCAGTTTGACGAGAGAGAACAAGGTTGAATAGTCTACGACGACCTCAAAGATTTGACGTGATTCAGGCAGAGCTTCCTTTTCTCCTCCTCACTCAAGAAGACAAAAGGAAACTCTACTCCCAGAGTGAGTTAGGTTTTACTTGTGATTGGAGGTCCAGGAACGATATTTTTGTTTGGATATTTTTCGCTTTGTCAGCCACGCTTTGGTACCAGTTTCACTGTTTATCATTTGAAATTGCCTGTTTCTACTATACGTTTAGGTTCGAGTCCTTGAACTTGAAAGTCAAGTGACCAAAGAGCGTCAAAAACTAGGAGACCTGAGGCGAGCGCACTACCAACTGGCCGGAGTGGAGGAAGGACTAGGAACTGAGTAACCAGGTGCTTTATGCGAAGAGTATGTGATGAGATGTTTTAGATTGAAATTAACTAAAATACCGCGCCCAACCCCGTTTCACTCTGCTCCCACACCTGGATGCATGTGCGATCTGTACCAATTTTCAAATATAAACCAAAACATTTAAGGCAAACACAACTTCAAATGTAACCATCTTGCGTGATACAGTCAAACGTCTCTATTACGATTCCCAAAGGAACAAAATCAAGTGTCGGTATTTATATGGAGGTGGGAATTGTGTAACCTTTGGTATCTTTGGGACCAACAGTACGGTGCAGAACAGTTCAGTACAGTACTGGGACCCAATGAACTGCTCGTAGTAGAGGGGTGTCCTTGTGAAGAGATTCGACTGTAAAGGGAAAATAAACAGTGAAATTCCTGTTATACACTTTTGAATAGCCAAAATGTCCAGAAAATTTAATAAACATTTCATGACACAAACTTAAGCACGCGGAATACTCACGGAATTTTTTACCTAACACTGTAGGAACATGACAATTGAAGTTTAGTTCAAGAAACAAAGAAAGCTGGCACTGGTATCGCGAGTACAAAATAAAAAGGAACATAATAAATGTCACGCCTGCTTGATGTTTGTGCTGGATTGCATGACCTAGTAAATTAGCTATCTTGGATTGGACTTGTGGCTTTCCAGTCGGCCCAATGTACGTTTTGTCAAGTGAACTCTCTTCTATGACGTCGTTATACCGCTTAAGATGCTGGGACCAAATTCCCATTTTTAAAAGTTAGGTCAGAGCCTGCTAGACTGTATCGCTGGACAAATAAGATTATTTCATTGACAATCAACATGGAGTGCAGATGAATCCCAATTGACAATTGGAATCGGCAAAGTGAAGTACACTATAGTTCTTGGAATTTTCTCAGCTGACTAAAAACACGTCCTAACGCATATCGCATCTCATGAGTAGGCCTCATACCTGGAAAATCTTCCGCTACGACAGCTTTTTAGCTTGGCTCCTTGAGGGTGCTCAGAGTTTTCAGTTTTACGACATCTCAAATTTCTTTTAAGGAGGTAACGGAGGTACTTCTTGGGAAATACTCTTTGGTGTGTTCGATAAAATTTTTCAAATTATTGATCGTTCTTTGAGAAACTGATAGTAGTAGCTTATTCTTTTAATGACGCGGACTGGACTTGAGCTTTTTTCGGGTTCTCTCAGTGAATTTTTAAAACACTTTGTATCGAAAAAAAAAACTATTTCTCTGATTTCAGAGCATTTGACAACAACAAAAAGCACTGTCGCTTTCATCGGTTTTCTGGTGTTTGGAAACCGTAACTTTATCCCTTTGAAGTTTCCTCCACAAAAAGACTTTGAAGTACTTTAGTTACGCAGTTTAACGGACATAATTAGTATAGGTATCAAAATGTACATCTGTTAACTCCAGGCTTAAAGCGCCGCAGACTCTCGCGTCAACATTAGGAACAGAAGACATATAATAATATATTTAATATACCAAGTAACTAATTTAGGGTAGTCTGAAAAAATTTTGGAATCATCAATGTAGAGTATAATAGTTTTCTTAGGTATAGCTCTGGTGCTTTTTTTGTTCTCGAAAAATTTTTTGTCGTTGGCTCTTTACATAAAGGCTTTTTAACCAATAAATACTGCTACGAATCCTTGTATGACTGTGACAGGTGCGTTATTGCCGTGTTTATGCCAATTGTGTGTAGTAGTAAAAATGAATCAAGAATGTTTTGGAGGCTAGACCATTGACCACAATTTTGATTTGGGCAAGTAGATGCCATCTTGGGGATTTTTCCAGAGGGGTTAGCCTATGATTTTGGGTCAGTATTTGAAATTTGCTAAGTTTATTTCTAGTTTAAATGGACTAAGGTTTGGCGATGATTTAAAGGGCACCAAGACTATTTACCAAGAATTCGAATTTTGCTGACGGTCATCTTAGATTTTTCCAAAGGGGTTAGCCTATAATGTGGTTCAAAATGTCTAATTTCCTCTGCGTTAATACGTTTGTTGTTGTCCAGATGGGCCAAGAAGTTATGTTTGGCGATATATTAGGGTGGAGACAAGGCCATCAAGACCGTTTATGAAGATTCAATACTCGGCAAGTTCCCCTCTTGGATCTTCTGTAAAGGGGCTAGCCTATGATTTTCGGTCGACATTTGAAATGTCCTCCATTAGAATGAATCAAGAAACGGTGTTTGGAGTGGGGACAAGGACAACCATACCATTTACCAAACAAGAGACAAGACCAAACAAGAAGTTGAAAAAGTCGAAAAAATGGGATTTTTCCAAAGGGGTTAGTCTATGGTTTTGGTCAAAAATTGGAAATTTTTCCAGATTTTTATTTTAGGGAAAATAGGCCAGAAAAATGTGTTTTACGATATTCTGGAAGGAAGAAACGCCTTTCTAGACTATAAAAACGAGAAGTTGAAAAAGTCCAAAAACTGGGATTTTTCCAAAGGGGTTAGTCCATCGTTTTGGTCAAAAATCGGTAATTTTTCCAGGTTTTTATTTTAGGGAAAATAGGCCAGGAAAATGTGTTTTACGATATTCTAGAAGGAAGAAACCGCTTTCTAGACTATAAAAACAAGAAGTTGAAAAAGTCCAAAAATTGGAGTTTTTCAAAAGGGGTTAGTCCATGGTTTTGGTCAAAAATTGGTAATTTTTCCAGATTTTTATTTTAGGGAAAATAGGCCAGGAAAATGTGTTTTACGATATTCTAGAACGAAGAAATGCCTTTCGAGACTATAAAAACAACAAGTTGAAAAAGTCGCAAAATTGTGATTTTTCCAAAGGGGTTAGTCCATAGTTTTGGTAAAAAATTGGTAATTTTTCCACATTTTTTTAAAAAGAAAAAATAGGCTAAACAAATGTGTTTTACGATATTCTAGAACGAAAAAACTCCTTTCTAGACTATGAAAACAAGAAGTTGAAAAAGTCAAAAAACTGGGATTTTCCCGAAGGCGTTAGTCCATGGTTTTGGTCAAAAATTGGTAATTTTTCCGGGTTTTTATTTTAGGGAAAATAGGCCAGAAAAATGTGTTTTACGATATTCTACAACGAAGAAATGCCTTTCGAGACTATAAAAACAACAAGTTGAAAAAGTCGAAAAATTGTGATTTTTCCAAAGGGGTTAGTCCATAGTTTTGGTAAAAAATTGGTAATTTTTCCACATTTTTTTAAAAAGAAAAAATAGGCTAAACAAATGTGTTTTACGATATTCTAGAACGAAAAAACTCCTTTCTAGACTATGAAAACAAGAAGTTCAAAAAGTCAAAAAACTGGGATTTTCCCGAAGGCGTTAGTCCATGGTTTTGGTCAAAAATTGGTAATTTTTCCAGGTTTTTATTTTAAGGAAAATAGGCCAGAAAAATGTGTTTTACGATGTTCTAGAAGGAAGAAACGGCTTTCTAGACTATAAAAACAAGAAGTTGAAACAGTCGAAAAGTTGTGATTTTTCCAAAGGGGTTAGTCCATAGTTTTGGTAAAAAATTGGTAATTTTTCCACATTTTTTTAAAAAGAAAAAATAGGCTAAACAAATGTGTTGTACGATATTCTAGAACGAAGAAACACCTTTCTAGACTATGAAAACAAGAAGTCGAAAAAGTCAAAAATTGGTAATTTTTCCAGGTTTTTATTTTAGGGAAAATAGGCCAGAAAAATGTGTTTTACGATATTCCGGAAGGAAGAAACGGCTTTCTAGACTATAAAAACAAAAAGTTGAAAAAGTCCAAAAATTGGAGTTTTTCAAAAGGGTTTAGTCCATGGTTTTGGTCAAAAATTGGTAATTTTTCCAGATTTTTATTTTAGGGAAAATAGGCCAGAAAAATGTGTTTTACGATATTCTGGAAGGAAGAAACGGCTTTCTAGACTATAAAAACAAAAGGTTGAAAAAGACCAAAAATTGTGATTTTTCCAAAGGGGTTAGTCCATAGTTTTGGTAAAACATTGGTAATTCTTCCACATTTTTTTAAACAGAAAAAATAGGCTAAACAAATGTGTTTTACGATATTCTAGAACGAAGAAACTCCTTTCTAGACTATGAAAACAAGAAGTTGAAAAAGTCAAAAAACTGGGACTTTTCCAAAGGGGTTAGTCCATCGTTTTGGACAAAAATTGGTAATTTTTCCAGATTTTTATTTTAGGGAAAATAGGCCAGGAAAATGTGTTTTACGATATTCTAGAACGAAGAAATGCCTTTCGAGACTATAAAAACAACAAGTTGAAAAAGTCGAAAAATTGTGATTTTTCCAAAGGGGTTAGTCCATAGTTTTGGTAAAAAATTGGTAATTTTTCCAGATTTTTATTTTAGGGAAAATAGGCCAGGAAAATGTGTTTTACGATATTCTAGAACGAAGAAATGCCTTTCGAGACTATGAAAACAAGAAGGTCAAAAAGTCGAAAAGTTGTGATTTTTCCAAAGGGGTTTGTCCATAGTTTTGGTAAAAAATTGGTAATTTTTCCACATTTTTTTAAAAAGAAAAAATAGGCTAAACAAATGTGTTGTACGATATTCTAGAACGAAGAAACACCTTTCTAGACTATGAAAACAAGAAGTTAAAAAAGTCAAAAAACTGGAACTTTTCCAAAGGGGTTTGTCCATCGTTTTGGTCAAAAATTGGTAATTTTTCCAGGTTTTTATTTTAGGGAAAATAGGCCAGAAAAATGTGTTTTACGATATTCTGGAAGGAAGAAACGGCTTTCTAGACTATAAAAACAAAAAGTTGAAAAAGTCCAAAAATTTGAGTTTTTCAAAAGGGGTTAGTCTATGGTTTTGGTCAAAAATTGGTAATTTTTCCAGATTTTTATTTTAGGGAAAATAGGCCAGGAAAATGTGTTTTACGATATTCTAGAACGAAGAAATGCCTTTCGAGACTATAAAAACAACAAGTTGAAAAAGTCGAAAAATTGTGATTTTTCCAAAGGGGTTAGTCCATAGTTTTGGTAAAAAATTGGTAATTTTTCCAGATTTTTATTTTAGGGAAAATAGGCCAGGAAAATGTGTTTTACGATATTCTAGAACGAAGAAATGCCTTTCGAGACTATAAAAACAAGAAGTTCAAAAAGTCGAAAAGTTGTGATTTTTCCAAAGGGGTTAGTCCATAGTTTTGGTAAAAAATTGGTAATTTTTCCACATTTTTTTAAAAAGAAAAAATAGGCTAAACAAATGCGTTGTAGGATATTCTAGAACGAAGAAACACCTTTCTAGACTATGAAAACAAGAAGTTGAAAAAGTAAAAAAACTGGGACTTTTCCAAAGGGGTTTGTCCATGGTTTTGGTCAAAAATTGGTAATTTTTCCAGATTTTTATTTTAGGGAAAATAGGCCAGAAAAATGTGTTTTACGATATTCTAGAACGAAGAAATGCCTTTCGAGACTATAAAAACAACAAGTTGAAAAAGTCGAAAAATTGTGATTTTTCCAAAGGGGTTAGTCCATAGTTTGGTAAAAAATTGGTAATTTTTCCAGATTTTTATTTTAGGGAAAATAGGCCAGGAAAATGTGTTTTACGATATTCTAGAACGAAGAAATGCCTTTCGAGACTATAAAAACAACAAGTTGAAAAAGTCGAAAAATTGTGATTTTTCCAAAGGGGTTAGTCCATAGTTTTGGTAAAAAATTGGTAATTTTTCCAGATTTTTATTTTAGGGAAAATAGGCCAGGAAAATGTGTTTTACGATATTCTAGAACGAAGAAACTCCTTTCTAGACTATGAAAAGTCCATAGTTTTGGTAAAAAATTGGTAATTTTTCCAGATTTTTATTTCGGGGAAAATAGGCCAGAAAAATAGTTTACGATATTTTAGTAGGAAGAAACGTCTTTCTAGACTGTAAAAACAAGAAGTTGAAACAGTAAAAAAATTGGGATTTTTCCAAAGGGGTTAGTCCATGGTTTTGGTCAAAAATTGGTAATTTTTCCAGATTTTTTGTTTAGGGAAAATGGGGCAGGAAAATAAGTTTTACGATATTCTAGAATGAAGAAACGCCTCTCTAGGCTATAAAAGCAAGAAGTTGAAAAATTGGGATTTTTCTAAAGGGGTTAGTCCATGGTTTTGGTCAAAAATTGGTAAGGTTACCAGATTTTTATTTTAGGGAAAATAAGCCAGAAAAATGTGTTTTACGATATTCTAGAAGGAAGAAACGCCTTTCTGGACTAGGAAAACAAGAAGTTTAAAAAGTTAAAAAACTGGGATTTTTCCAAAGGTTTTAGTCCATGGTGGTTTTTTATTCGAGAAATTAAAGAAAAGGGACTGTCAGTATTTACACCTTTTCTTCATTTTTTATAAACACAACCTGTTTACACTGTACAAGGTTATTTCTTGTGGCACAGAGTTACATGGTGTTAACTTTCTGCTGTCCGAGTTTGTCCCCCTTCAACTTGAGGCGTGAGGCTAGCCTACGAAGTAGCGCGGCCTCTGTAGTCCAGCTGTGACGAGATGAAGGTTGACTCAGGCTTCAGTGACAAAGCCAATCTGCCCAGTCAGGCAATCGGTGCTCCAATCAAGTCACTTGTTTCTAGAAGCGGCCAACACCTTTGCCATCAAATCCTGTGTTAAAGAATAAATGGTTTTAGAAAGATTAGCATGCGTAGCAGTCATTTCTGTTCCCTTTTAGCCAAGCAAGAAACGAGCAAGGACAAAGGAAAAACTGGAGCGCCTTCTACCATGTGCCCTCGTGCGACTTGACACTTTCCCCGCTTGGCTAGAAAGAGATGGAAACGATTGCTACACAGGCCACACTATATAATTATAAAGGTTAAGTGACTATCGATACAGAAACAAAGAGTAAGGAAAAGGGCACACCAAATATATCTTGCCTCAACTCTTCACTGCCAAAGGGGCATTTTCCTTACAGAGAGCGAATTATTCCTGTTGGTGAAGTTCTCTAAAATCTCCTCTCCCCTAGCCCCTTAGGAAGGCCTAGTACTCAGGCAAAACTACCGCAGTCTTGGTGTACGCTCTAATGCACTAGTAATGCACAGTGCAATACTGACCTGAGTAACCCGGATGCTGCCAGGAGATGGAGACCCGACTCCTCCACTCAGTGAATCACTATCGTCATCGCTAATGCGGCTTCTTTTCACAGGAGGAGACTCAGGCCTAAGACAGAAGGCGTAAGTTTCTAATTACTCTCCTGGCCTCAGTTGTTTTGGCTCCAGTTGTTCAAAAGCTGGATAGTACTATCCACTTGATAAATCTCTATCCAATGGATAGCGCAATTGCTTTCCCTAATACTTAACCACTGTATAGTAATTTATCCAGTGGATAGCACTATCCAGCTTTTGAACATCTGGAGCCTGGCCTCTATCAAATAAAGATAAAAATATGTAAGGAAGTACTCAAACTGAGGGTTGGGAAGAACTAAAAGGTTTTAGGTGTTAGGAACTTGCGATCACCCAATACCAGCAAGATCAACCTGCGTGGCAGGGCTACTTGCGTGAAGGTGCCTTTTCCTTCCTGGTTCACACGAGCACGTTCTCTCTCTCTCTCTTCCTCTACCCTTTCTAGATCACCACGGCGCAGCTGGTAGCTACTGCACAGTAGCTTCCACAACATCAAAAACTACCATTGAAAGAGGAGAAGAAAGATAAAATGTCCAAAGAGAAATGACTTCACACGACGCACAGCAATAAGTTTATCTTGACGAAAGATTTCTTTCCTTTAAATCTCTCTGGATGTCTCCACTATTTTACGGTTGCAGAAATAACTAATTACCGTGTATCCTGTCGTTTTTCCATAAATTTTCTGGTCCTCCCAGATGGTACTAAATTTTCTTGCGAAGACCTGTTAAAAAAACTGCTACTTTAGCTATGTTTCTTCAATACAATGTTTACTATAGATAAAGTATGGCAGCCAATGAACAAAGTTACACTTAAAGCTAATCAACACTCTTGATCAATACATTCTTGGAAATCACGCTTGAACCGGTGCAAACTTTTGCCTAAACTGCTGCTAGAAAAATGTGAAGTTAACAGATTTTGCCTCCTGAGACACCCCATGGCATTTGCTTTTTTCACAAACAGCGATGCGAAAAAAAAAGAAAGTTGGTTGACCAAAGAAAAAAGGATAACTAAATTAGATTAAGCATTTTTTGAAACTAAAATTAAATTTGGGGCCCGAAGAGTCAAAGGGTAAAATTGACATTTTTTGAAACTAATCATTTCGCCTAACTCGTCTCGTTCAAAAATTGCAAATCAACAGTGAATGTGCGCCCAGTAACTGCTTCTGTAAGCTAAAGAGATCAATATTAATATTCATCATAATATTGTTATAATACTATCAATTCTCAAACAACTGAGTGATTTCTCGCGTGCTGATTGGTCGAGAGCTATGGTCTATCAGAGTACAGACCATGGAAATGACGTGATATCGCAATTTTTTTCTCTGACCTTCTCTGTCTCTTGCGCGCACTTTTTAAAGAAATCTGGCAGGAAATAGACGTTGTTATTGTAAAAACCAAAAAGTAAAAAGACAACAATTTTGCACGGTCTACACTCTTATTCATCAAAGAAATGACGTCTAACGTTCAAATTTCGCAGTGACCATGGAATATTGTTGTCTCTTTGTACGTTTCTTACTGGTTTGTTTCCACTTCATCTCCTGGGTTGGTTTTCTTGAGCATACTTATGAAGAGTGACGCTTTCCTTCGTCGTTCTATTTGAAGCTGTTTATCTCTTGATTCAGACTCCAGATGTTGAGCTGTACAATAATAAGCATGTCAGTCAAGTTCACTCCTAGAGCCAATTACAATATCATGGTGACATAAGCTAAAACATAGCTGCACCTCCTTCGAAAATCTTTCTCAATCAACCACAATCAATGGCGCAAGGGGTTACCTAGTAACTGTACAGCTTTCCCCAGGCCTGCATGGTCAATTCATTTCAGTTACATAAGAATTGAAAGACTCTTTGCTTGCATCCCGTGACCCATACGATACACCTTGACCGTGTAGTGACAATTTGAAGGCCTGGGAACTTGGCAAGTCACATGGTACATGTAAAACTGTAGCAACCTTTTAAATCCCAAGAGTGATCAACATCAATCTTCTCACAACAATATCAATACCTTATCAAGAGAGGAGGTTATGAGAAATGATAAAATAATCTTTAAGAGGAAAATGTGTTGATCCTTTATACAGTCTTTATCAAGATCTTTAAGAGAATGTATGGATGTCAACCTGGAGAATTTGTATGTGGATAAATTTGTATTCGGGGCCTTAAGTGCTACGTAAAAAAAAATAAAACAGTCCTTCATACCAATTCTTTCAGCAGCCTTAATAGAGTCCACCTCAGGAGCTGAGTTTTCTGTCGATGTTGAGCCACTATTTACAGCAGTCTCCTGTTCTGGTTTTCTTCCGTTGGCTTCACTTTTCTCCTTGCACTCTGCTTCTGATCCCTCCTCATTAACTTCCTCATCACTTTCACCTTGTTCACAACTCTGCTTGTAGATAACACTCGTCCTGTACTCAATTTTGGGTTTCTTTGTTTCTTTAGCCTTTATTGAGAAACTTATTGGTCCTTTGGACACTTCAATGCTCTTTCCGTTTTCTGAGAGAATGAAATAAATAATTACCAATAAACAAAATCATAAGCATGGATCAAAATCAACCAATTACAACCTGTAGATGTGATCTTTTGAACCCAATGAAGAAAGCCTGTGTTTTGCGAAGGGTCTGTTAGAGTGATTGATAGAGGTGAAATGAACTTAAGTTATATTTTTGACTTGAGGTCGCATGTTATTGCCAAGAACAGCCATGTAAGTGGACAAATTGTTGATAGATGACAAAATAACAGCTTCTGTCAAACAAATATGTCTCCTGGGCATTATAAAGTTTTGGAAAGGAAAACATTGCCTAACGAGAAATTTTCCTTTATTGGAAACAACTTGCTATCAATATTTAAATTAGTACTACAAGTAACTTATTATTTTCTTATGAGCTGCTTATTGACCCACAATCAACTTTCTTGGAATGCATTGTTATTTCCCTGTAATCTGATTTGTCACCTTTGTCTAGGTGGCACCGGCGGCTACAGTAGGTGTACTGTGACATGTCCCTTTACTCTGACACCTTTTAAAACAGGAATATCAATGTTCTTTACCTTCAGATGTGGCTGATTGTTGCAGCTGTTGATTTTCTAGTGCTTCCTGTTTCTTGAGGTTATAATAACCATGATGGGTGTTCCAAGGATTCAAGAACTCAAACCTAGGATCATTCTTAGCTTTGATGATCGACTCAAAGTCAGGACCATTTTTGGCTGCATAAATTGCCAGCTTGTCCACGATGGGTTGCAGGTCAGGGGGAGGCGGTATAACCTGTGGTGTGCCTAGTGGCATTGTAGACATCCCAGTGGGATCAGGGGGAGGCAAAGCCTCTGAGACATCAACACCATCATGAAGAAACAGTGCTGGAGGTACTGGTGGTGGGGGAGGGGGCGGCAGAGGGGGTACTGATGATGTAAACTCCAACCACTCCTCTGTGAAAAAAGCACAACTAGATTAGTATTAAGTGAACTAAGCCTTAAAGGGGCTGTATCACAGCTGTCTAGTTCATTTTGTTATAAACGCCAACTATGCATCCTTGTTCGCTGTAGAACTGGAGAAATTACTTGTGAATGACAGAACCCCAACTTCAAGTCAAACAAATAAGTCTCCCAAGCAACATGTCAAGCCTTATCAAACGTTACAAACAACTAAAGAGAACTTTAAAAAACTGCTCTGCCTAACAAGTTTTCAACAACCACAATATCACAACTTGCAAATTTTTTAAACTACATGTTTAATTTTAGCAAACCCTCAAGCGGTTGCAGACAGTCAGAAGTGTTGCCTCAGGTAGTAAATTCTACTGGTTACCTCCTGATAAGGAAAACACTGCTCTCGTGCGGGGAAAATTTAAAGAAAATCCTCTGGAAACAGGGTAGGTGTGTACTAAAGAGATCACTACTTGGTATCTCTGACACTATTAACACACTACCTACTTAAGGAAACTTGAAACTGGATCACTAACTTATTCAGCTAGACAACATGTGCCATAAGAACTGAGCACTAACATTCTGCTTAAGTGCACTTCTCTAGTTAATTACTTGTTTGTACATTTACATTCCAACAATGCATTCTTGGAGCATTAAAGTTCCTATTATTTTCACTGGCTGTTGAAAACATACCTGCTATTGTTTTAGGGATATATGGCGTACATTTGCGGACAAAAATAATTGAAAATAAAAGACAATTTGAAGTTCAAAAATTAGACTATCCATGTCGAAATCTCGTCATATGAATTTGAAATCGCAATGAACGCAGTCGAAATGGCATCACTCGAACTTGAAGTTACTTTGAACAAGTTGAAACTATAAAGGGAAAACTCGATATCGCGGATGTTGAAGTTCAAATCACCATTCCAACTAAAATGCAGATTACATCATTTGAACTTCAATTCACCTTCTCCACTCTAAAAAGCCACTTAATCGTCAACAATGCAACCATAATCTTCCACTTAATTCCAAATGAAACCTTTAATTTGAACTTAAAGTCACGTCACATATTCGAAAAACCAAAATTTCAATTCGAAAGGAAGCGGAAGTAAAAATACACAGAAACCGAGTGACGACTAGGTTCGAGTTTACGGATGGGAGGCTTGGAACCTGAGCTTTCCTCATCTCTGATGTGATCATCGTCATGGCTGCTCGATGGCTACTGAACAACGAAGAGTTTTTCGTTGGACTGGTTAGAGTTTTTGAGGCATCAGAAACTAATCTAAACTCAGTATCATATGATAATTCTGAATTTTTATTTCGTCGACTTGATGCTCACCATGCACCAGAGAACTTTGTCAACTCTGCTAACAGTGTTGACAAGCCTACACAACTCCTGCAGTTCGCGGATGAATAAATTCTAATAAAGCCTTCATAGCTTAGCTTTAACTAGGATGTCCTTTAGGGATTTTCCCTTACGATATGAGATGATGGGGGCTCCTTAAAGATTTCTCTCAGTTGCGGTTGATTTTCTATAAGGTGCCATTTCCCCATGAGTGTGTCCTTTAGGTTAGGCAATGTCAGATGGTATTGTGTTAGAAAGGGCAGTATTTTCTGCTCGCGCTAGCGACATTTCTTTATCAGAGAATTTAATCTCTGAAAGGTGTGTTTCTACAATTCTAGCTGAGTAATCTCTATTCTGCAGGCGTGTTTTGAAATTGCTCATGTTTTCCTCAAAAGTAAATTGAGAGTAATTTGTTCTCAGAAACCTTAACGCTTCTCCTTTTATAAAGTTTAAGTTTGTCACTACAGCCCTCAGAATCTGTTGGATTGTCCTAGAGTCACCCTTATCATTCACACTGACCGCCATATTGACCAGAGAGTTCGAGTGAAGGGAAATCTTTTCGCGCCAAAATGCAGTTATGCAAACATCCCGTATGTACAATGTAGCGAAACTCTTATCATTTCTGGTTGCTGTGTATTTTTACTTCCGCTTCCTTTCGAATTGAAATTTTGGTTTTTCGAATTTGAATATGTGACGTGACTTTAAGTTCAAATTAAAGGTTTCATTTGGAATTAAGTGGAAGATTATGGTTGCATTGTTGACGATTAAGTGGCTTATTAGAGTGGAGAAGGTGAATTGAAGTTCAAATCATGTAATTTGCATTTTAGTTGGAATGGTGATTTGAACTTCAACATCTGCGATGTCGAGTTTTCCCTTTATAGTTTTAAACTTGTTCAAAGTAGCTTCAAGTTCGCATGATGCTATTTCGACTGCGTTCATTGCGATTTCAATATGACGAGATTTCAACAGGGATAGTCTAATTTTTGAACTTCAAATTGTCTTTTATTTTCAATTATTTTTGTCCGCAAATGCACGCCATAGGGATAGGGGTACTTTCTGCTAATGTTTCATTAGCCAATTAAACAAATTGTTCCAAAAGCTTCTCGGCATTCCCACTGTCAGTGTAGATTGTGTTTTATTTTTTTTATGTTTGTTAGTGATTGATTAGTATGACCATACAGTGCATCTGGATTATAGTCTGTTGGAAAAAGTGCAAATAAACTGATTTACCTTCTAGGGGTCCCTCCCCAGGGGGTGGTGGAGGAGGTGGAATCATATCAGCAACTGAGAGAACAGGTACCACAGGGGGGTGGTATGTGTAACCAGCAGATGACACATAATGCCCATACATATCGTCTGAAATACAAAAAATATATTAGTGAATTTTTCTTGACCTGGCAAAATGGCCATACATTTTCTTTTAAAAATACCTTGTAAATGTGGTCACCCATTAATATGGCTAATGGCTACAATTCAAAATCCTGAATAGTAAAATCTTTTATACTTTTACCCTGGTAATATGGCCACTCATTCAAAATTTAGAAAATTAAAATGCCTGTGACATGTCAATTTCATTGACCAGGTAAGCTAAGCCTGTTCTTGTATAATAATTGTTTTTAGACTACAGTGCACTTAAGATGCATTTTTGGTGATGTTATAGCCAATTTTTTAAAAGTGTTATATGTACTGAAGAAAGGTTTCAAGTAGTTTTTAAAATATTCTGGTTGTTTTCTAAAGAGAACAGTTGTTCAAGAAGTGTGAATGCGATGTATGGTGTGTTTTTCATTACGACATTTAACTCATGAAATTTTACCCTGCCCTGGTAATATGACCACCCTGTTCCTACACAGGGTGCAAAGAAAGTCACTTTTACAGCCAGCCATTCGGGTACGCTGAAGCTAACATTTACAAGCCCAAACATCATTTCAACTAGCCCCCAAAACGTTTCGAAGAGCAGATTGATTTCACAGTTCCTCTGCAATTTGAATTCCTCAAAAAACTTCACTTGCCCATCGGGCAAGTTAATAACAGAATTCACTAGCCTGATAGAAAAATCCACTCCCGGGCTATCGGACACTAATTTATTTCTTTGCATGCTGCTACGGCCAAATTTTTGGCATTTATTGGTGTCTAACGGGGTTCCACTGTATCATTAATGGGCATCTCCAGTAGGTGCAAACCCTCTACTGTGTCAGTGGACACTTAGAGATGGTCCCAGCCACAACCAAACAAACAAACAAACACTGCATATTTAATCTCCTTAACTTGGAGAATAACTCTTTCCAATGAACACTAGTCATAGTCCCAAACAGGGAACACAGCAACACAGGATCTAATCTCTGTTGAGGGTTGTGGTGGTAATGGTTAGGTCATGATGCTGGAAATGAGGACTATGACCCTGATTTACAGGTAAACAGAGATGATAATTTTGTGAAGAAGCATGTCTCGCAGACTTAAAATAATATCCAGTTCAGTTTTATTGTTCATGTGCATGGGCTAACAACAGCACTGGTTTGCACTCAGTGGACTTAAATTTCAAATGTATTACTGTAATATCAATAAGAAGTGTCTTTAGAAATGGTAGGAGATTATCCTATTGTGAACTGTACTTTAAAGTGAGTTGGCATGCAGATTATGATCTAATTTGAAAGCACAGGGGACAATTTCCATAAAAATGTTAATCTGACATACTCTTCCACCACTGCAGTGTACAACCTTCATTTCAAAGCAGTGTAGTTAAGAACCTGAGGTCTACAGTTGGGGCAGAACTTTCCTGAGACCTTCATGAGAGAAGTTCAAAATGAAACTTAAAAGGCACACATACCTTGTGGGTACCACATACTGTAATTAACTTCCTCATCAACAATGCTAACATGTGCATTGTTATTGTCGGTGTGATCATGTGGGAAAGCTGTAGATGACAATCCACTTGTCACTGGTGCAAAAGTACGATTAAACTTGTTACCAAGAGGTACTGGTGATGATGCTGATGTTGGCCGTGACCTTGTTACCTTTTTGTGAAGTGATGCTTGTAACAAAGGATGTAGTTCATATTCTCCATCAGACTCTTCCTCACTGCTATCACTCTCTTTCTCTTCTTCTTGAGGCTGTGTCGATGGCTGTGGCGGGATTTCTGGAGTAAACTTTCCCTCCGTTATATATCTCAACACATGCTTGTAGTAAGGGTTTAACCAATTGTCCATGAGTAAAAAGTCAAATTGAGGATTTCCTGACTGCTTGGCTTTAACCAAGATTTCCATTTGTTTCCCTTGCTTCGCAACAAAGGCAGCTGTCCTTTCAATAATGGCTTGCATTTTAGCTGTTTCAGGCTAAAAGTGAGGTAACATAAGTTATATTAACAAACCACTATTGCTGTAAAAACCTCAGCCACAAGAAGTCACACTGGCTCTAAAATTTTAAACCTTAAAACATAAATAAAAAGTTGTTAAAGAATAGATAAATCAGGTCAATGCCTTCCCATGCCATCTACAGTTCATGTGCCAGTAGATTTTTGGGAGCTATGTGATTTTTGCAGTTTTCCCATAATCCATTACAAATCTCCAGAAAAATTAACACCAAGGTTAAACTTATTTTACTTTCACAGACATTAAGATATTTCAAAAATTAATTCCCACTAAGAAACATATTCCCACAAAATATAAACTCGCCAGTCTGCAAAAATGAAATACCACATGATAACACAGACTCACATTAGAAAGTCCATTCCCACAACAGCCATGCATTCCTCATATTTTAGTTCCAAACTATTCTTAAGATAACCAAAAACAACAGCAGATATAAGCCATACCTTAATTCCACATTGTAGTTAAATCATTTTAAAAATTGAGTGTTTGCACGAGTCTTTCATAGACAGAGTTTGACTGTCATAATGAAATTTGAAATTTGAAATTTGTAATAAAAAATAAGGCTTCTTTCACAACTCAAAATTTTAGTCAATATCAAGCTTCTTCACTGAGGGTGCTGTTCATATGTAAGGGTGGCTTATGGTCTGCCAGTGTTTATGGTAAGTTAAACTTGGCAACATTTTCCAACCCCTAGATGCTCTAAGAAATGCACAGCACAGTTTGAAGGTTTAGACTGAAATTGAAAATAGACACTTGTCCAGGTGATTACATTTGTGTTTGAAGACTCTGCCCTGCATAAGCACCTCTTAGTGAATGTAGCTGAATTCCTACTAAAGAAACAGACTGTCTTGAAAAGTTAGTATAGTGCCTGCTGGGTACACAAAGGCAATTTCTGAGTGGCCTCAAGCCTCTGTTTCAAAACGAGGCTAAGAGCAAAGCCATTGATGTGAAAATGATTATTCAATTCTCATGCAAATAAAACTCATTTTCACAACAAAAGTTTGGCACTTAGCCTCATTTTGAAAGTGAGAGCCTTTGGAACTCAGAAATGGCTTATTAAAACAAAAAAAAAGTGAGTGTTCTTTTTTTCATTTTCTACAAACTGTTATTTATATATGTTTACATAGCCATTCATGTACTCATCATACATGTAGTTTAATTTTGTCTATGGCTCAAGTTTCATTTTCCTTTGTTTCTAACTCATTATTGTACAACATGCCTACTACCTGACCCCCAAACAAAGGAAAATATAATTTGAACCACTATATACACAACAAGAAGCAGTTAATTTTGCCAACCTCTGTGTTGCTGATTGACCTGAAATCACAAATTTTCCAGAGAAAGATTAACTTCTCAGGAAACTGTGAACCCAAGATATTTTTCAACAGTATGAGGTAAAAAATTTGTTGCTTTGTCAACTGCGAAATAAAAGTCATCAGAGTATCAGCAAACACGCTTGATAAAGAAAATTAAAATATTATCATGAACATTTAAAAATGACAGAGCAAAGAACTTGTAAACAGGACTGAGTACTTACAATCTCCATTCCCTGCGGTATTTCCAGCTCATCCGGGGGAACAAAAGGTTCTGGTGGAGGAGCAACTACAGCAGGAAGAGGAGCAGGGGGTAACACTGTTTTCTGGACATCAGATGTAGGAAAAGAACTGTCTTGTTGAGTTTTGTATAACATTGATCCTAGAAAGAGGATACAATATACATTGTCACTTTTTGTAATCTACGTTATAATTTATGTGCTTGTCACAGTAAATCTAATAACATGCAAAGTGCAGATGAATGTTAAGTCTGTTCAGGGCAAAGCTAAAACTTGTTTAGTTAAACATGGTTTAATGTTAAAAGATATAATGTTACATGGATTAAATTAAAGTTAAACATGTTTTAACCCTTTTAATCATATTCCCAGATATCCATATTTAAATACTGAAAAACACACTGAACTATGTGAATGTACCATTCAAGAGGTTTCACTTGAATGGTAACTCAATAGGATTCCATGTGCTAACTCAAATGTTGGAATTAAATAATATTTCCTGGGGGTAAAAAAATAAAATTGTTCCTAGTTCGCTCCACAATGTTTGTTGAGACCCATATCTCCCTAGTCTGAATTCCAAAACCAGTTGTTTCAAGTATTCAGGAGGAGGCCATCCCCCTGTCAGTATTTCACAATAGTTGTTCCAGTTTTAACCCATCTACACATTGTTTGTCGCCATTTCTTCTATCTTATGTCACTGTTTCAAGATCGTAAATGGGTCTCCAGGTTATTGCATGAAAATTTAGCAAAATAACAAGCACAAATTACAACAAAAATCCTATGTAAAGGGCAGTCTTTCACTTTGCTCAATTGACTTTAGATTTTCAAAACAGTTTATTATAACATGTTCAGCGGGGTTGAGTGGGACTTTGGATGTTATCCCACTGGTGACATGATCAACTACTAGATGAAAACAAAATATAAAAGCTGGTTCCAAAGTGGTTCTTCCTTTATAGCAATTACTCATCATGACGTTGAACACTTACCACTTTGCTTATTTTCATGTGCAGATGTAGTTTGTGGATACTGTGAAGGGATTTCTGGAGTATTATAGTCATAACCGAATGACACTGAATTATACGCGCCATCTTCTTGAAGGGCTTGCTGAAATCTTTTCATTTCCTCTTCTGTTAAGAAAATGTAACATTTTATTAAGTTCCTTAGTCACTCACATTTATGGTCATGTTCATATACAAGTAAAACATTCAAGTTTATCTACACAAAAGTCAAGATTATCCAACTGAACTAGCCTGTGATCAGGCCCTTTGTTTGGGGAAAGGCTGAAAAAATCGCAAGGAGAGGGAAGGGAAAGGGTGAGAGCCTGTAGACAAACAATTGAGAATGTCAATAGCCAAGAGCGTCTTTATATTTCTGGAAAATTCTATGACAGCCATCTTCCGTGGATTATTTTATCAAAGTGCTTTGAGCATAGAGGCAATACAGTTTTGACAGCTCCACGTGTGTTCCACCTACTGAAACACAAGTTTTCTAAAACTCTGGGCCAACTTTTTATAATTGTACAATAAAATAATGTCACTAGCGAAGAGTGGCTTTTTATTTCTGGAAAATTCTATGACAGCCATCTTCTCTGGATTATTTTATCAAAGTGCTTTGAGCATAGAGGCAATACAGTGAACTAGTTTTTGTCAGTAAATTGGTTCAGTTGACAAATGCGCTGGTTTTGTAGACAAACTAGAAATGTCTTACAAATGAAATCCTGGAAAAACGTTGCCTGTTCATAGCAGGTAAGGGATTAGCCACAATTAACAGAATAAATTTTAATTCTTCAGTACCTCATAAATGAATGAATGCATGCTTAAACTTACCTTGCTGAGACTCATATTCCTCCATATCACGGTTGAGATCCATGTATCTTTCTTCATCACACAATCTCTCTATTTCCTCTTCTTCAGGCGTAAGTGAAGGAACTCCATCAGACGGTTTGGCAATAAACTGTGCTTTGTCAGTGAGGTGCAGACGAGCATCATATCTAAAATAAAGTCATTGGCCTTCTATTAGCGTGTTGTAATCAACATAACAGCAACATGTACCTACAAAACTGGACCAGTGGTAGAATCAAAATACAGCGGAAAACTTTTTAAGATGACCTTTCCTTGAAAATGCTAATCTTTGTTCAATTCAGCTTTTCTGTTTCTTTTTGTAACAAATTATATTTAACCCTCTACTTGATTGTGTCACATGTGCAATTATAGAGAAACTGTCAGAATTAAAGATAGGCAGATGTAATTACTGTAATTAAATTGTTATCAAACGATTATTTTATACTTACATATCATACAACTGGTTTCTTGTCCCGATGCAACCAACTTACCTTGTCTCTACTGCCGTCAGTGTTCCAATATGGGTAAAAGAAAAACGCATTTTAAAAAGCTCTCAATTCCTTGTTTCAGATCAGAACTTCCATCTTTCGGCTTTTTAAAATGTGGATTTCAAAAGTTTTTATCGATCGTCTTTACATTCTTTACGTTCCGTGAAAGTATATAAAACTTCAATCTCCTTTACTCGAGTGTAAAGGGCAAATCCATGTGAGATATTTCTGAAACAAATCGCGGAGGAAACCTCCATTCACAACAACAATAACATCAACGAAACTTGATTTCAACACAGTTTTTATTACATTTAATCAAAATATAATTGAACAGACCTGTCGATACGTAGGGATTCATCACCCATCCATGGTATCAAGCTCTTTTCTGGATCAAAGGCCGCAGCCTTTTCATAGTCCTCAAATAATTTGCACGCATAGCCGAAGACAAGCAAGTCATCCTCCTTCCTCCTCGCCCTCGAACGAGAGTCTTTCGGCAAACCGACTTTGTGCGCATCAAAAAGCCCCGACATGTCAGATTTCTTGTCAAAACCTTCCTCTACCAAACGAGCTATTCCTATGAATAATACAAGCCTTTTCCAAATCCATAATTTGATCAAGCTGGTTATTTTCAAATGGCACATAAATACAACATGGCGCTTTGGAAGGCAAAGTACTGACGTCATTGATGATGTCACCGAGCCCGACCCAGTCTTCAACACAGGGGTAAAACCTGAGCGGAACCTGAATCGAGAAAATGGTGCTTTTGTTTTGATCGAGTAGGTCGATCGAGCAGGATAAAAATTCATTTCATGCTGCAACAATTTTAGTCGATTTTTATTTTCTACGGAATTATGTTAGGAAACCAAGAATCACAGGGAGAGCCACAGGATAAGCTGTCTTGTCAGCTAGAACCCGATCAAGAAGTTGCAGCGGTACTAGGAACAGGTATAAAATGAAAAGGGAGTGATTCAAGCCACGTGTTCGCTGATCTACACAATATATGTAACCTGTGGATTCATATAGCGATTACCTGTTGCTCAAATGTGTTAAAACTCACAGCCTAAATATATGAAAAATTAAACCACAACTTGTGGAAGTTAAGGGCTATTAATTTTGAAAACAGAGTGTATATGCACATACATGACATAGAGCCTTAAAGAGGCATATTGAGGACAAAAGAACTCAATCATGCCGATTTTAGGAAGCCTGAGTCACAGAAGTAATGAACCCCGGTTACTAACGTCTGCAAAGCAGAGGCAAGATCCTCGTTTTGGGCCCCCAACATACTCAACGACCTAAAATGTCTTTCGAATTCCTTTTCTACCTGAATGGCAAATCAACAATAGCTTTTTTGATGGGCCATTCGTCGTGCATACTTAAATCCTGGTACACAGGTGGGGACCTAGAACAAGGATTTTGTCACTGTTTTGCAGACGGACTTAACCAGAGTTAAGTTTCATCAGTGGCGCAGGCTAATTTTAGGGAGTATGTTTTAAGAATGCATTATATTTCTTGACAGAACCTCATTTCGCCCAGTCTGGCCACCTGTTGGTCAAGAAAGGCCCAAGGTCTTCGTCAACAAAAGAGTTGACTGGTGGATTCAAGGTGAGTCCTCACTATTAAAATGAGGCTTATATTAAAGGATATGTCCCATTTTTGCAAAATCATCTCAAGTACTGTCCATATTCACACGCAATAGTAAACCTGAAGTCAACAGTACTGTGGGTTAGATCATAACCAACTAAATTAGTACCATACATAACTTATTTAGGTCCTGCCTCAAAAGCCACCTTTCTACTATCTCTTTCCTGGGAGGTGGTGGAATGGAGGGGGGCGTTGCAGTGCTTCCCATAATGGTCTTGACAGGGGGGCTCCACCCAAAAGAGGTACCCTTTTCAAGCTTCAGGCAAATAAAAAGTTAGGGATTTGATGACTGAAAGTATATGAAAGGGCAGCAAAATCTGTCATTTTATTAAAATATTTCGAGCAAATGACAAGTGCATGTATGCACCTTAAACTAACGCTGTATATTTTCATTTCCATTTGTTATGTTCTCCCAATATACCATTCAGCTGTACACAGGCTATTAAAAGATGCATCTCTTCCATCAGGTATATATGATAAGGGGTTGGACCTCCGGGCATAACCTCCCTGTATAAAACTTTGTTGATTACCCTACTCCAAGGTCCCCTTCTTAGAGAAAGAAGGTGGTTAAGCCCCCTCCTCACTGATCATTTTTCTGCAGATACAGAATTAACGTTTTGTTTTTTTTGTATTTGTATACAGTTGGAGCAAGAGATCAAAGAATATGTGAGCACTACTGATAAAGCTGCCGCACAATGTAAGCTGCAAATCTTATAATTTAATAGCAATCAAAACTGATATGACTATAAACAGGTTAGTTTAATTGATGGACTGCATGTTAATATAGAACACTAAATAAATAATTTATCATATTAGGGAGCTGTCTTGTGTTAAACATGGTAAGTCATGGGTTATGCCTGGTTGGGTATGATTATGTCAGTGCTGTCAACTCTCCCGGATAATCCGGGAGACTCCAGGTTTTGGACCACATCTCCTGGTCTTCAGATTAGAGCATGAAATTTCTCAGATATTCACCGAAGTTTGCCATTCAGTTGTAGACTCAACTTTCCGACGATAAACTTTTAAATATTTTGCATTGTTTGAGCTATTTTACAGTTAACATCGAACGTTTCATCATAAACTTCGGTACGGAATATTATGCCATTGCAATGGCACAACAATGTGAAACATCGTAAATTTGAGACGATCAGGTCAATGAGTATTTTTTGCACAAATGACATCATATACCTTGTGATATGACATCATCTATCATCCCTTCCCTATCAATTCCAAATATTTGAAGACGTTGGGGGCTGACAGCCCTGTTATGTATAGACAAGGGTTTGGATGATAACATATTCTACGGTGCCTGATCCAGACCTTGAGAGAAGTGTCGGGGGGAAGGGTGGTCATCTAGACCCTTAGATATAAAGAGGGGGCCCCGTCTCCTCAAAAAAAATATTTCGGCCCTTTGGGCCTCAATTAGCAGTCTAAAAATAATCCTGTTTTTCATCTGTAGCACTGTAACCTGTGTTCTGACCTGTGGAATGTCACCTGTACCTAAAAGAGTTTGGTCATTTCACAAGCCAAACGTAAGCCTGAGTCAACCACGAGCCACAAGCCAAGCACGAGCAAACCTTGAGTGAAGCCCAAATGTTAATTTTTCCTATTTTTGAGTTTCATGGCCACAGAAGAGCAATATTACAGTAAAACCCTCCTCTTACGTTAACAACAGATCACAAAGTGACCAAACTATTGTAACAAAGAACTGAGGGAATATATACATGTACCTCTTGTACGTTCTAGAGTTCTTCATTTTCTTTCTCAGATCCATCCCTACATTTTCTAGCTGCTCAGGGTGAAATTGCAAAGATTAAAGAGGAGATTGACAAAGGTAAATTTAGCTTGTTTTTGGGTTTGCTTAGTATTTTCACTCTCTTAATCTTAAGTAACAATAGAGAGATTTAGAGTCATGTTTACGGTAAATGGCAAATGTGAATTTGTACCACATGACCAAGTTTTTCCTTAACTGGTGTTCCTCTACCCCCAGATTAGTTATTTCATGTCAGTTTTGTCTTGGACTGTGTTTAGCTGCACGTTTTCTGTTTTAAGAAATTTTTAACTTGAATCTGACATTTGCCGTTTACCGTAAATGTAACTCTAAATCTCTCTAATGTCTTGAGAGACTGCCTCATTCACAGTTTTGATTGCAATGTAGATTTGAACGCAAAGGACAGCAGGAAAGGGGAATGTGGGTTAGCACATTCAGAGTTTTTGCTTTGCTCTTTAAACCAGTTCCTTTTCTTATTTTCCCATTTCTGTGGGTGTCACTATGGTTGCTGTAGCTCGCTAGTAGCGTTACCAGGTGAGACAATTCTTTGATGGAAAACATGCAGTGAAAACAATGTCTGCATAGAGAGGCTCAACAATTCTTTGTTTCTTTGTTACTGGTGTATTTAATATATTTTTTAACTTTATCATGGTAGGTACAGATGTGAATGCTGTGGATAAAACAGGCCTGACACCCCTAGCTTGGGCAGCCGCTCACAGACAGGTCAGTTGGAGGTCTTCTGGATAGACTACGAGTAACACAGTGAGGCACAGGGAACCCATGTTATTAGAGTCACACCATAAGATAGCATGGAATCTCACTGCCCTCTTAACCCTACTCCCTCAGTAGAATGCTAATAGTCAATACCATTACCATTGCCTACAATTCCAGTCAAAACTACTTGAGAATGTTTTTCCCTTAATGTGCACTATGCCACAAAACTAGTTCCAAAACAACTACTTAGTAGAAAGAAATCCCCTTTCCCCAGTTCAATGTTGCTTCCTAAAAACGCCCAGGGATTATGCTTTTTTTTACATTGCTTCCAGGGGGAGAGGGAGAGGGAAGAATCGGTACAGCTACAATGTTTAGAAAAATGTTCCTCAAGTATGTGATTTTCTCCACAGTAATTGTCCAAGATTGTAGGCAAGCACTAATACGGATTTAAGTAGGTCACAATGGAACCTTGATGTAATGAAGGGCCTAGGGACTGGGAATAATATTGTTTGCCATAACAAGGTTTTGTCTGACGCAGTCTATCTTGTCTGAGGTGGCTAACCATGATGGAAGAGACCAGGATTCTAATAAAAATTCTTGAGTCTATCTACCATCATGCATGTGAATTACCACTCTGTCTAATAAGATTCTGTTATGCTTTGTTTTGTGTGCATGCTATAGAAAGCAACCATAACCATACTGCTTCAGAGTGGAGCAGATGCCACAGCATGTAGTCCAACTGGTGAGACAGCGTTATCATTTGCCGCTTGTCAGGGGCAGCTGGATGCTGTTGAACAGCTCCTTGAGTATGGTGCAGATCCTGATATTGCAAATGTGGTATGTATTAAGATAAGACTGACCTGTCGATACATGTCATATCCATACTATCCAGTAACGTTTACTGTTTTCAATTAATTGTTCTAGAAGGCAACATTTTACCAAAATTAAGACACTGTCTTCATGAAAAAGAAATGCACGTAGATCTGACTGTACCTTAGGCCAGGGCTTTCCCTAAGATATTTTCAAGCATGGGATCTCACAGCTAGAGATTTCTTTTGGTTCTTTTTTTCTTTCTAAGATTACAAAGAGAGAAACATAGAGGGAACTAATATAAACTCAACAGGGCATGAGACTCTCTATGGTTAAAATTAGTTTTAAAGTAAAGGTGTCCATCAGGATGAAAACACAGAAGTACAAATTGTCCCCTCTCCCCTCCCCCCTGCCAAAAAAAAAAGAAAAACATAAAAAAAAGGGAAAAACTAAACACTGCTAAAAGGATCTGTCAGGGTCATGCGACTTTTCATATTAAATTAGCCCTGTGCAAATTGATGCAACATTGTTGGCCAACAACTCTCAACATTTTTGGGAGTTGTTGCATCTGTTTGCACATAGCTAAAAGTTTGACTGGTTTCCAACTTTGTGCAACAACTCCCGACAACATGCAACACAGTGTGCAAATGTAACATCCAACAATTTTGGTAGTTGTTGGCCAACAATGTTTCGTCCGTTTGCACGGGGCTTTATATAGTTGTTACTTACCTTGACATAAGTGTTCGTTCTTTGGATTATAGGAAGGAGGCACACCCCTGATGTATGCAGCTTTTAATGGCTACCCGCAAGTCGTCAAACTTCTCCTAGGTACGGAAACATTTTAAATAAATGTATGTTCAATTTCTTTTTCTTTGCTCTGCCCTTCCATCGACTCAAAGACCACTTTTTTTGTCGCCGAAAACTGAAGCCTTTGAATACGCTCTTTTAATGGGTGCCATGGGTTCTTTTTTTACCATACATGCATACGGTAAACTGGGCAACAAAAACATGAAACATATTTTGCAACATGATTGCAAAACGACTTGAATAGCGATGTCGCGAGAGAGTAGTTCTACTTTTTGCAACAAAATCTGTACATGTTGCGCGTTTTATACCGGCCCAAGGGAAACTTGGATGTTTTGCAGCAAGTGACGTAACCCCCGTGTATGGCATAACTCCCGCGTTATTTTATCCAATCAGAAGTTAGTATTCACGCAACTTGCAACAAGCTGATTTGTTACAAGACAGGTTTGAGCGTGGGTCAGTAAAACGCGCAACATTGCTTTTCAACTCGTTTTGCAGCAATGTTGGAAAACAAGTTGCACGTTATTTTGCCCGTCCTGGCGCAATGCAGCGTTTCAGTACTAGACTTAACCTGAGATCAGGCGTTGTTTATTTATTTTATTATTATTTTTTTTTGCTTCTTTGCTTCGAGACATAAAGGGATAATAGGGAGAGGGCATGATCTCAGGCTGTACTATAGACTCTGAAAATGATACGAAAAGTTTTAACTTGTGAATGCAAATAAGCCGTTTTCAAATTTCATCTGGATCATTCCAAACACCAAACTAACGTTATATTAAAAGAGAATGTGACACTGGACAATTCCAAGCATTGATAAACCTGTCACCCTTGAAGTAAACCAACTAATTGGAGACACTGCTTTCGACGATGTTTTACACCTAGGTATTTTTTTGTTGCTGTTGCTATTATAAAAATCTTACCCCGGACTTTCTTAATTTTATGTGATTATTTAAGTGACATAGTTGCTCGAAATTGCTTAAGAGCAAAAATTGCCAAATGCTTGAAGAAAATTTTAAAATGATTCCTATGTTTATTTTTATTCATGCAAGAACATGGGGCGGACTTAACAGCAACTAACAATGAAGGACAAACTGCAATAAGTCTGGCTGTAGGAGTAGGCAATAAAAACGGTAAGTTTACCTTCATCGACTTCCAGTGGCTTTCATTCGGTTCGTTCAGAACGGCTTCAAAACCAAAGTTACCCAGGAAACTGTGAGCGAACCTCCTTCTAGACCTATGGGCAGTCGTTCAAGGTGGCAAAAACAACAGCGAAAGTTTTCGCTTCCGGGTCGCCAAGAACTTGCTAAGCTACGGGCCAGTCGCTTGAACTCAGTTGGGGGAGTCAAAATTTATATAGTGTATCTCTTGGACCTTACATAAGAAAAGAAGTTCATAGGTTGCTTGTCAGTACGATATAACATTCGTTGGTTGTTACACCTTCCTCCCTCTCTTTTCAGCGTGTCGGGCGCTCGAAAGGAAAAGTAAAAACAAATCGAGTGCACGAGAACGAGAGAAAAAAGCATTCCCGGAGCTTTTATGATAACAATGATAAGATAGAAAATGACTGTGATTTAGCGGACTGGCTAAACTGTGCCTTAATAACAAGGAAGGATAACGTTGCATAGTGCAAAAAGACGGTATGACGAAAAGTTTTTTTTTCCCCACTGAGGAAACAACGCTTCGGACCACCTAACTTCACAGAGTAAACGGTGACTATGCACACTGGATGGGTTGGACTCTGAATATGACTGAATTAGTAGTTTGTACTCGAACTTCTTTTTTTAAAATTAATAAGTAATATGAACATAGTTGATATTAAGTTCAATTTTTTGTCATTTTGTTTTGCAGTCCAACGCGTCATAGAAGATTACCTTCGCTCGATCTTAGAAGGTCACTCGTGATTGCCGCTCTATTTGATAGGGAGTCTATATCAACCTCACAGGCTTCAATTTAGTACAGCGGTGTTCTCCATGAAAAAAAAAACGAGAGCTTACATTAGCCACCAGTTTCGTTAAAAATGCGGATATCAGCAGTTAGCTTTTTGGCCATGTCTACTATTGAAGTACGAAAACTGGAAAGGTTTAGGTGATGGAAACCGCCGCTGCTGAATGGGAAAAGAGAAAGAAAAGCATCCCCTCCGTGAATTATTTTCGCAATGTTATCATGGTCAGTTTTTGTTTCGAGTGACGTGATAAGTGACAATAAGTACCTTTGTATAAGTTCGACGTGTATTAAGAAGCAGGTTAACAGAAACAGGTTCTTGAAACAAGCAGCGTTAAGAACGGTTTTATTATAATCCTTTAGCCACCAACTTTAGCTGAAATAGTTCAACCGTGTAAAAATTTGATGATCTGTATAGTACATAATTTATTTTAAACTCTATTTTGTCATATAACTGATTTGAATAATATTGTTTGAATCTTGTTATCAAAATAAACAAAGTGTAAATAAGTTTTTAAAAACCTCTTTGGAGAGGCCAATAAATGTACTTTTAAAAAATGAAAACTGCATGAAGAAAAGCAAAAAGAACTTATGCGGAAGAAGGTTTCGTTGACAACATTATCGACTTATGAGAATGCAAAATAATTTATTAGTTCACTTCAGTGCGTCAAGTGTGACTGAGGTCATTGATTTGATATTGACTATATTGCTCACATCTTCCAATTTCGTCACAACTTCGATCCCAGGGTTCTCTGTCTTCCTCTCTTGAGGAAGGAGGGGAGAGAAACCTGGGAACGAGATTTAAGTTGATTCGGTCAGCGCAGGTCAGCGCGAAACGTCCTCAGCGACGAAGAGCGAGGAGAAACGGATGTTTTCGCAGGCTATTCGGCAGTTGGTCATGAAGGATTAGCCGAGAGGGATAAAGCCAATCAGAAACGGCGAAATATTTTAAATGAATAGTAATAGGCGATTTTCGACTTGCCCCAAGCCTCTGTTTCAAAGCGATGCTAAATGCGAAGATATTGATATAGAGACATAAAATTAAGCGCCTAGATCTATTACATAATAGGCGCTATATAAATGTTCTCATTATTATTTATTATTATTATTATTTTTTTTTTGAGGGCCTTAGTACGCGCTCAATTATATCCATGGCAGTGGCAGTAGTTCGTGTACAATCTTGTCTGATGTAGCACTTCTTTCGTGTATCTTTCCCGTGGCACATGGCCTTCTCAACTTGTTCGACCTCCTGTGGGCTTGCATGCTGGTAGGTCTGAGTGGCAATAAATTTTCTAATGTGCGTGTGGCTTACTCGCTTCTTAAAAACTTTAGTTTTCTCCAAAAATCTGGAGAGCACCTTCCCGATGGTACCCTCGTTGAATGCAAAGCCATCGTCCTTGATAAATAATTTTGTCTCTGAAGGCATGGCGAACTGAGGTCTAATAAACTCCACGTAAACATTCATCATAAGCTGCAGCTCTTCGTTCATTCCCAGCATCGCTGGGCCGTCTTTACTTCGCTTGTGCTTTGGGACAAGAATCACCCTTTTCCCATCGTTAGAGGTTGCTGTCTTGAAGTCTTCAAGCAGAGCGTTATTTAAAGCACCTGGACGAGCGCCAGTCGCAATTGAAAATTTAAAGATTATTAGGTCTCTTGCTAATGTGAACTCATGCTTGTTCAGCGGCTTTCCAAGAGACGCCTTGACAATGACTTTCTCTCCTTCAGTGTATGGTATGGAGGACTTAACCTCTTCAAGCTGTTCTGGTGTAATCAGGTCGTCGCATTCCTGGATGTATTTTCTGAGCTGCCTATCTTGCGTACACGAGTCAATGCATGCACGCCAGCCTTTGAAGTTTGGAATAACCCTATTAAATTTCTTTTTGCAGGACGGTAGTAAATGTGGCATTTGCTTGGGGTCGTACTTTTGGGAGGTTACATACTGCAGAAACTTTTCAACACTTGTCAAGTATGAAATCAATGTCCCTGGCGCTTTGTTACCGGCTTGTACTTCTGGGTCTATGTATTTGGTCCAAATTGCATTACCGTGGTCTTCTGCAAGGCATTTGATATCTGTTCCCTTAGGGTCTAATGCCTCAAGCAATATCTTCACCTGGGTGACGTGCTGTAGCCTAATATGTATTTTCTTATAACCTGATGATGGAAGGCTCAAATAATTAAAAAACCCACAGAGCCATTGGTGGCGGCCGTTGTCAAACTTTGAAGCTCTGTAATAATCTTCCCGTGTCTTTGGCGACGCTGACTTTCTTGATGGATGATCCTCTTCTTCAGATGATGAAGATTCTGTATCTTCATCGGTACTTGGTTCGTATTCAGAACCTGTGTCATCAGCACTTTGTTCGGAAACGGTATGCGACGTTATTGGGCTGACTGGCTTTACTGGGGATTTTCCTTTTGCCTTCCTGCTGCCATTAGGAGATAAAGGGCGTTTTTCGTCGAACTCCTCCTCCTCCTCCTCCTCCTCCTCGGGTGACTCCTTTGAGTCGCTGGGCCTCTCTTCGTTGATCTCATTGACAAACAAGTCAATTTCAGCCTTTAGCCCAGCGTACGCCCTTGCCGACTTGGACAGTTCTTTCAGCTCATTCGAGTTTGGTTCTATATTGTGAAAATTTCTCAGATGTTTTGACACGTACTTTATGATAGCATCACAACCACCTATTGGGCACCATCGTTTCCTCCTTCCATCAGGTTTCTCTGTTGATGCTGACGACAATGATATGACACGAGAGAGGTTTTCCTCATCCAAATGCCCCTTCCGGACGTGTGTTTTCATATGGCGGTTAAGATCCCAGCTGTAAAAAGTGCACCCAGTTATCCTACACTTGGTTTTCTTGTGGTGGCTTTTCTTCTTGCTGATCTCAGGACTTGGTTTTTTCTTCTCCTTTTCGCTGTGGCTGTCTAATTCCTGGTTACGTGCGGTATCCATTTTGACCCTCTTAACCGGCATGTCTTCTCCTTCGTCAATATCCTTCGCAGCCTTTTTCTTTAATTCCACGCTGTTACCATCTTCGTTCTCTACTCCAATGGTGTCCCCATCTTCCTTTCCAACGTCCTCGATAATCTCGTCAACGTCTTCATTCATTTCACTCTGTCCTTCCAGTAAGACGTTCATTTCAGCATCAAGACCAAGATATGGCCTAGCAGCCTTTAGGTGCATCTTGTATTCTACTGTGTTATGTTTCACTTGATGGACGTTCTTTAGATGGTTGCTCACGTAGGTGACAACGGCGTCGCAACCCTCAATCGGGCACCATTTTCGGCGCCGCTTCGGGCCCTTCGAATCTCTCGCTTTTATTGGCCCAAACTGCTGTTTTCCATGTCGAATTATTTCGATCATGGCGTTTAGGTTTTCCTGCAACAGCTCTCTCTTTCTGACATGTATTTTGAGATGACGTCTTATGTCACCTACGACTGCGTTACATTCTGGCATCTTGCACTGGAATCTACTATGATGAGAGCGCTTACCCGTCTTCCCAGCTGGAGAGTATTCAGTTTCTTCTTCCTTTGACTCCGAACGTTTTCGCTTGCGAGTTGCGGAGGTTCCTGGAGTTGGTGCTTTTAATCCATCATCATCATTAGAACCTTGAAGCGATTTATTCCTGAGTTTTTCTGGAGGAACATCGAAAGTCATCTTATGCATCGTGGTTAAAACGTCTTCCCTGCTGCAGGCACAGGGTCCAGAAGAGATGTGTTTGTCGTTAGAACATCAAAACCCGTCGAACACATCTGAAATAATGGATTGTTTTGATCGCGTTGACGATCGCGTCAGTTGACACGCACCTCTATGGTAACGAATAGTAACGTGCTCTGTGATTGGCTGGATTGTTTGACAGGGTTGCGTGGGTTGTAAGCCATGCGATTGGCTTATTCAGTATTTCCCCACGAGGTTGTAACATAAACCAGCCGCTCATTGCGCTCATTTCGACGTGCTCGATATCCTTCATCTTCGTCCTTTCGATTATTCGCATATCCAGGTTTATTCTCTCCACATTTGTTCATTGTGTCTTGTGCCAAGAGGTTCGCTAGTATTTTCTGTCGTTAATCTTGTATTCGTGCTAGTTGTCCTATCCATTTCGCTTTGCAAGTGCCGTTTTCTTGACCTCTATTTGGTGTTTCTTCGCTTCACTTCGTTCGGCAAAAGTATTGGTAACGTTTTTTTTTGTTCCTTGTCTGTTCGTTATCTTATTTGCTCCATTGCACTCGTGCCAAAGGTAGTCATCGTCTCTAATTTTAGTTGTTTATCCTTAAAGATCGTAAAACTGGCTTTCCACTGGAGATGGATTTTTGCCTTCGTTGCCGGCTAATATGTTGCTGCGACCTTGATGGCGTTACCTGAATATATCATAATCGCTTCCGACCGTCAAGTGGTTAATTATAGGTTAAAAAAAAAATAACACAATAATACTGGGTTTTTTCCCTTTTCTGGCCAGGCCATAGCCAGAAAAATGCTTTCTCAAAAAGGGCGAATAAAAGATGTATATACCACATTGCGTTTTTTAAGAGTTTATTTTTATCGCTGCCACCCGGAGGTAGGTTGGGGGCAAGGAGAAATAGTCTGTGAGGGATACTGGCTGAAAACACTTATTTAATAAACCATGAATGAATGAATAAATTTCCTGTACTGGCAAGGCATCATCTCGAAAATTTTGCGTTTTCATTTCAGAAAAAATAAAATAAACAAACAATCAAAACAAAACACCCCTTGGGTGATTTTTAGGTAACGCAATCACGGTCGCAGAGACAAAAATGCAAAAATCCATCTCCAGCACGTGGAAAGCCAATTTTACGATTTTTAAGGATAAACAACCAAAATTATAGACCAATTGGCGGGGTAAGGCATATTTTCAGTGTACAATTATACGCAGGTAGCAGGGACCGCGCAGCAAGTTTTCGAGTGGGGGGGCTAAAGAAGAATGCGTGAAGGAAAATTTGGGGGGGCCGGGGAGGGGGGCATGCTTGTGGATTTCTATTCAATTTCTCTAAAGTGACGGAGAATGCGAATAACGATAAGACTATTGATTTTTTTCCGCATCTTCAGTGATGTGGCTATCGGGTCTGAAAATTCACCATCACTAAATTGAAATATCATAGATTGTTATGTTATACGACTGATATCAACCTTTAATTACTAGAAATAAGCCAGAAATCCAACGATTTTGCTTGAGCTGCCTTGAACTCAAGGCTGTATAATTACTGAGCAATTATTGCACGAGGCGGACTTCGCGCTGATCGAGCTAAAATCAGGACGCACGGCACAATAACAAGAGAAACAATAACTTCATGATCTTCCAAAAATCAAGGTTGAAACTAATAAACAATTTGTTTGAGAATCGCCTTATAAACTAAACCCAGTTATTACTTTGGATCGAAATTGACCAATTACGAAACAACGCGTTTTCCTGAGAGGTCCGCAGGAAAAAAGAAGCCATTTAAAAGACGTTTACCTCTGCTAGGTTAGAAGCGAAAAAATATTTTACAATTGTAACGACTAATGCTTCATTCTGTCTATTGCCAGTAACTCTGGTCACTTTCGAATTAGCGTTTTCATTGATATTTTTCACTCCGTTACTTTTGTTAAATTATTTTTTGTGTAATTCATTTTTATTCTTGCAAAAAAGTGGGGGGGGCTAAAGCCCCCCCAGCCCCTCCCTCTGCGCGGTCCCTGGGTAGTCTATGGCTTTTCGTCCTCTTTTTAAAGCCTCAATACTGATCAAAGCTGATATGTCTGCAAATTCTTGGAAGACGCGGATCGTCAGCACGCGGATGATAGTTTTTGGTTGTTTTACGGCTCCTAGTTTTTGAACGGTCGTAATTCCACTTCATATATATATTACGGATTGGTTTTTAAGAGGGGTCTTTGTTTTCGACATTACGAAAACTAAGACCCCTGAATTTACAGGGGCACCCAACGGCAATTTTCGGGAAAATATCTGTTCGGAAGACGATTTGAGATCTAGAATTTTCGGAGCATTTGTTGTAAAATTTCTTGCTTGCCTGCCTCTCCTAGGATTTTCGAACATCGACAAAATGGTATAATTACCCATTTTTAACGGGTTTTGACCCTAAAAAAGGCCATCTTGAATTTTCGGGAGCCTTTGCCTGGCTGAAGTTTTCGAGAAGGTAAGTTTTTATCCCTATAATATTCGGATCACTAGACTTTTAGCTAGGAAATCCGAACAGATGAAAAGTTTTTAGGGGATAAAAATATGCCTATATCTAACGTTTGAATACTAAACTACGTTCAACAATGCTATGTTAAGTGGTTTTGAACTATATCCTCGTTGGGTGCCCCTGAATTTACCGTTAAATTTGACCTAAATTTCAGTGGAAAGAGTCGGACAGAAGATAATTTGACAGATTAGACCTATTTCGATTACAATTTGACTTCATATTTCGACGGATTTGATTTTAGGGGGTCTTGGGTGTTAGGTCTTAGTTTTCGAGGGTCTTAGTTTTCGTAACACCCAAAGTGCAGAGCCATTAAATATTGGCTGAAATTCTGTGAACCGGAGCACCAAAATAAACTCTCTGGAATAGCATTTACAGATCAAATTGGTCAAGACAAAAACGAACTTTGGCCCAGCAGAGTAAAACGGCTATTAAATCTCGGTGCAGTTCTTGGCGACGTATGGTCAGCGAAAACGAACACTCCCGCAACTATGAGCTCATATACGACAGACTCTTAGGGTGTGTTCCTTTCGGTGAATCCAAAAACGGATTTTTGATCCTAGATTTGCCAGATTTCTCGGTCGAAAGGAACGTGAAATCCGAAATTGGATTTGTAACCTTGGTAACCTTTCGCCAGCGCGTGCAATATGCACGACAACCTCTCAAAAAATGACGTGTTTTCTACTGTTTGACAAATTATGCGATTATACCGTGCAGAATTTAGTGGTCGGCAGTTCGAATAGCGACGATGGAACATATAAAGCAGACGAAGAAAGAAGCGCATTAAAATTGAAAATTATCTTAAGAATGTCGGTCAGTTTGATCCAGTTCCATAGCTCGGATTTTTTTTATGTAGCACGATCGAATGCCTGTTGTGTCTACAAGCGAGTTTGTAGTTAGATAGCAGTTCATTTGTTACTTTTACTTAATTCTGATTTCAAGCAATCTTTAGAGACAAATGGTTAGTATATGGATATTTTAATGTACCAGGAACAATCTTCTAATGTTTTCAGATATTTTGCGGCAAATGACAGTAACGAGGAAACTCTACGGCCTCTATGGGAATACTTCAACTGGAAATACCGCCGGATCATCCGACTAATTTCGGATCTACTGTGAATGGAACAGCGTAGATCACTAATCCGTTAATCTGGATTTGGATTCTTCGGATTTCAAATCCAATGAATCTTTTTTCAAAAAGGATTCACCAGATCAAAAATCTGGATTTGGATTTGCCGAAAGGAACGCGAAATCCGTTTTTAGATCTAAAATCCGTTTTTGGATTCACCGAAAGGAACACACCCTTAGACATAGAACAGCAAACATGGATTAGCGAAATACACAATCATTGGTTAAAAAAGGTAGAGGCCCCTAGGTTGCCATGGACGCTAAAATATGTGCGTGTTGTAGTTCGGTATTAGGGACTTTAAGATCCAACGACGCGGACGGCATCGAGAACGTCCAAAAAACAATAGGTTTTTATAAGAAAAACAACCATTTTGCACGTGCATCACACTTTTTAGTACATTTCTTTGCCCGTTTTTGCACGACTACGACGTGAAAATGCCTAATTTGGCGTTTTATGGAGTATGTAAACAAGCAACGGCGAAATTTTATTTCTCTTTCTAAACTTGGATATGGTCTCTAGGAATTCCAGTCCAGGAGGGTTTGCCTACCTTGACAAAGCAAGTGGTTAGGAATAATTGCGATAAAAACTGAAAGCATACAAATTAACTTTTTAAGTGAAGTTCTCGTCGCCGTCGCGTCGTTGGATCTTAAAGTCCCTATTATAAACTTGAGAACGTAATAATTAACCGGGTGGTTCTGCGAGAGCGCATGCGTGAACTAAACAGGGTTTTGGCAGTGACGTCATCAAATTGTAAAGGCAAAATAGCGAGGTTTTACGGATTCTTATTTACACTAGGTTGAAGATAAACAAAAAGTAAAATTTTTGTACAAGTTTCCATTCCCGTAGCATGTTTCATTTCGAAAATACAGCAATTTGAACTTCTAAGTTTTCACAGTGCGTGACACCAAAATAGGAATGCTGTCTCATTAAAAAAAAGTCTCTCCTCTTGATTTTCAGCAGTATGACCGTTTCAAGTATTAGAAGATATGTTTATGGGCGAGTATGCTAGTTCTCGAGTGAAAAAAACGGTGCACCAATATGGCTTCTCCATACAAAGCTCTACAAAGGAGCTACAAAGGTGCGTGAAACATTTCGGCAAATACCTCAGAAACTGTGGGCCACAAAGACCTGAGATTTGGACAAATTTTTTATATATTAGTCTTTTATAACATTTCATTTTCTTGGCTTCTTCCATTGGACGGTTTCCAGTTTATTTTTTTGTTGCGTGACAGTGAAAACGATCTATAAAAGTTTTTTTTTATTCTCGTTGTCTTGGTGACAAACATACCATTAACATACTACTGATAATTAAAAACCGAGTTACTATTTTAGTACAAACTGATGAGTCGGTAGAACAAACATGGAGAAACAAAGTAACAATACTTTTGACATACTACTGAAAATTGCAGTTCGGAATGAAAATTGGTTGAACAGATCAGTGCTTACTAAATAACATTGAAAAATGATCCCTGGTCATGTTATTAGTGATAGAAACAGGGCAAATGCTTTTTGATGTTGAATAAATGTTCCACGTGTGATGTTAGTTTTCCGCAACTTTTCAAAAGAAAACCTTCCAGAACTTCAGCTATAATTTCTCTTTGAAAAATTAAGCTTAGTTTTTTTTTAATTCAGAGTTTAGTCGATCCGCTATTATCTTAGTATCAAGCAAACCTCTCGTTTCGGATACTGAGGCACATAACTGAATGTCTTCGTGTCTTGAATGACACCCGAATAGCTAACACGCCCCATACCGAACCGCAAACACTCGTTGTCGATGTGTTAAATAGACAAAAACTGAAAAATAATTCTTATGGATGAACCTTTATAAGTGAAACTTTTTGTTCTTGTGTAGGAGTGACGAACAGTGAATACCAACTTAAGAGAAAACTTTCGTGGTCATTAAACCCAGTTGACAAATTACAAATTGAAGTTTGATTCTAAATTTCCTAATAGCGTCCAATATCAAATTTCTATCACATCCTTGGGCACTCTTTATCTTCTCGGTTACCAGTGGTGACCGAGAGCTTAACAGAGAAACTAAAGGAAAGCATACAGCTTGACAGAAAAGCGTCGGCCATGATACTGTATTAATTTTTCCAGAGGTAATCGCAATAATTATCGCCTGATCTTATATTCATTGGTTTCCCAAATATTCCCGAAATGTACAAACAAATCTGACATAACTCTTCTTTTATTTTTTTGAAAGCAGACAACTCGATGACTTTCAAGGAAAGAAGACAGTTTCTGCTGTTGGCTCGTGTTTTTGTAGCTGGGTTTATCCTATTCTATATTCTGTTTCAATTGATTACGGCCTTCTTAATTTCTTCATTGTCATCAGAGGCCTTCGATCAAGTGAAAACGAAAAACGTCGATTTAAGCTTGCATCTTAACACTACAGCAAGAAAGAACTTGATCATTTTTTCTCATGGTCGCTCCGGATCTTCCATAACAGGGGATATTTTCAACCAGCATCCCGATGTGTTTTACTTGTATGAACCTCTTCAAACAGTGGAGAGAACTCGGGAACAGTTCAAGTCGGATTACAACATTCTGGCGCAGAAATTCTTGAAAAGTGTTTTCCAATGTAGATTTGATGAGCCAAATTTTGTTAAAGACATGGAATTGTATTACCGCAAGCCAGTCCACCCTCTGATCAGTCGCGCCATTGCTTCGCCTCCATTGTGCCCGTACAACGTGTCAGACGAACGATGGGATTTTAAACTGTGCGCAAAAATGACAACTAAATCATTGGAAGATGCTTGCAGACAACATAAACTTACTGTTATGAAAGTGTTAATTCACCGTGTTCCATACAAAAGTCTACAAAGTATAATTTCTGCTTGTGCCCCTAAGCAAGTGGACTGTAAAATCGTGTTCCTAGTAAGGGATCCACGAGCGGTTGTCCCTTCTTCATTGTCTGTAAAGTTCTACCGTGAGCAGGGCGGGACCGCCAAGTTAGGTACAAGGATGTTTAGTTACAACATATGCGAACAAACGGAAGCGAACCTTGGAGTTTTAAAAAATCTCCCTGCTTGGCTGCGTAACCAAGTAAAATTACTACGATATGAAGATTTGGCTGGCCACCCAATAGCAGAAATGAAGCGCTTGTACAAGTTTGCCGGTCTTTCAGTCTTGGACAGTGTTACGAATTGGCTGAATCGGAGTACCCACCCGTCTAAGCAAAGAGAAGACGTGGATATACAGCGGGGTTATGACGCCGCATATACTGTTGATGATGCAGAAGCCGCTATCAATCGCTGGAGATGGAAAGTGACTGATCCTAATGATATAACTACCATTGAAATGTACTGTAAACATGTGATGCAGTTAATGGGTTATAGGCCTGTACACAATTCGTACGAGCTTCAGAGGAATATATCAATTCCTCTGCACAGTCGAGATTTCGAGGCAGAAGACTGGTTACAAAAGTGATTAGAAATCTTGATGGCCCACCGAACTGTTGCAGTTCTCTCTGCTCAAAACGCGAAATGGGATTAGGTTAAGGCACGCGGTGACTCATGGGAAGGGACGAAGGAAAAAAAAAGAGTCACATAGGAAAATAGCGTCACATAGAATTACTTTAATTATCTGAGTTTTATCTCCAGAAGCGAGGGCTAATAAGATGCACGTTTTTTTCGATAGTTGCTCAAGATAAATAAACATGCAGACCGGAATACTGACGTACCCGACTCTGTTAAATATGAAATAATTTCAAATTGCAACTGACCACGGCCCGCGCAGCAGTTTTATCAAGTGCTGAGGCCACTGGATTCTGGTGCGTAAGGAAGCGGGGGATGGTCCGAGGACGACGTCTCAATGCCCGTTCAAATGGTTCTAGCTGTTATCAGAATGCTACGATTGACAGATTTCTTCTAACCAAGAACGAATAGACTATAGCCGAAAAGCTGAAAGTTTAGTGAATGTAGTCATAGATGGTGAAAACATTAGATGCCGTATTCTATTCGATTAGGCGCCCTGGGCGCTTATTAAAAATTTGATCCATGAGAGTGGGCGCTCACTCAAGGTTGGCGCTTGTTCGAGGCTGGGTGCTTATTAAATTTTCATCATTTTCAGCAAGTAGTGAGTTAATTTTCCAACAAAACAGTGAATAATAACAAAACGTAGAGATGTACCAGAGCAGAATTATAACTGTTCATTGAAAGTATCTTAATATTACCTGGTTAATTTCTTTCTCATTGTCAGTAAGGGCAATAAGCGAACTTTCTGGTGTTGCCTCGTAGATGTCTCACAGCGAAACGCCTGCAAATGGGTCAGTCGATGAGAAGCAAATATGGCAGTGAAGAAATTATACTCTTCTCGGTCTACTTAAGTACTTTTTGGGGGGGGGGGGGGGGGGGGGGGGTGTGGGCGCTTACTCGAGGCTGGGCGCTTATTAGCTTTTCCTCCATGCAGGATGGGTGCTTATTCGAAGAGGCCGTAATTCGAGGTTGGGCGCTTAATCGAATAAATACTGTAGTACAGAGTGAAAAACTCTTGGGGCTTACCATTTCTGACGATCTGACTTGGAATGCCCATATAACTGAGGTAATTATGAATAGCATCTAAACGCCTATATTTTCTCATCCATCTGAAAAGGGCGGGGCCAACGTGTGAGAGAGTAACCTCTCTCGTTTTTACAGTGCTTGTATAAGCTCCGTCATAGACAACGCAGCCACAGTATTTCACTATGCACTACAATTGGTATAGAATTTAATGGAGCCGAATTGCACACATTTTAGGCGTCCTACTGATGAGGTCTCGAGCACCAACAATTTGCTGTCTGTATCCTCTGAATTAGCATGTAGTAAATGAATTAGAGCGCATCCAAAAAAGAGCTGTACGAATTATTTGCCCATATACGGACTGCCATCATGCCCTAAGAAGGCTAGGCCTCTCTAAAATAGCAGGACGTCAACACAACATCTGTAAGCACACTTTAAACTGAGAAAGCTGTTGCCACCAGCATTTTCCACACAATTCAACCTAAGGCGCCCGCACACGTATAGAGTATTTTCACTCACGTGGCCAGCATCTACGCAAATTTATTGAAACAAAAGAAAGCGCTTGCATAAGAAAAGAGTTCAACTCGCAGAGGACTGGTTTGGGACACCAACATGGCCGCCGTTTCATTGTTTTGGGACACGGCTGGGACACCAGTATGGCTGCCGTGACGTCATGTGAAAACACTCTATACAGTCGAACCACCGCAAAAGGCCACCTCTCTACAATGGCCACTTTTTTTTCGTCCCGGCGGACAAAAAATCAATACATTGACTCTTGTTTAAAACCACTCTACAACGGCCATCTCTTTACAACTGCTACTTTCTTCTGTCCCCAAGGCAGCCATTGTAGAGAGATTCAACTGTACACAATTCAGCCACATACGGCTGCGACGTTTTTAAATAAAGCACCCATCTATCAAGATTATTGTTTTCTCCATCCGCGCCTTAATAGGGCCATTTATACGAGGAAAAATAAGACGCGTCTTACATAAGACGCGAACTTTCCGTATAAACGGCACATTTCGTCTAAAATAAGACGCGGCTTAGCTAAGACGCGTCTTATTAGATAAGACATGCTCGTATAAATGGTACAGTTCGCGTCTTATTTAAGACGCGTCTTATTTTTCCTCGTATAAATGGCCCTATTGTTATCTTGTATGAAGAGTTGCTTAGTTACCATTTCATCTTAGCGAAGCATTCCACCTTTTAAGGCGTAATCAGGCTTCGCTCAGTTATCTACGTTAACAATGACTCTTTGAGCTCAAGGTCACCAACAGTTTTTTTGGCTTCTCCGATTCCCCGCCACCTTTTAAACTTAATTTATTTAGTGTATTTGCTCTTTCAGAATACACTGTCTGAGTAAATAATGTAACATATATCCAGGGCTGCGCCACGTTGATGTAAAATCCACTGCCGTGCGCGAGTACAAATGGGAAAATGCTCAACTCACGAATCCTATGTTACGTATTTATGATTTTGATTCTGTTTGTTTCAGTTTCTATATTTTAAACTAATAGAAGGCTTCAGACTACCAAATACATTCTTCGAGAGAACGCATCCCGCCCACATCGTCTTCACACAGTAGTGAGGGATAAATGGATGTTTGTCAACATTTCCGTCGAAAATGGTTCAATGAATAGCCCCTTACCCTCCGGTAATTCTACGCGCTCTTTTTATACTACTCGAAAAACACACCATCCAGACACGTCTTCTTTAACTACACCTCACAGGCTAATCGCACGTGAAAATCTCTCAGCAAGTGCGGCGGTAACTGAGTCTACTTACCGGCCGACCAAAAAACCCGAAGACAAGCGTCGAAGTCTCCTGATCTACCGCGCAGATCGTTCGGGAACAACTTTTACGACAAAAATGTTCGCTGAAGATCCACAGCTGTTTACAGTTTATGAACCACTTTGGATAACAAGTTTATGGAATAGAGAATATCCCACAGAAGTTTCTCACTGGAAAAGAAATGTAGTTGATGTACTCAGAGGAATATTAGGCTGTAAATTTGCCGATTCCCAGGCAGGAACTAAATTTCTTTCCTACACAGACAGGCAATGGAGTGGTGCTTTTGTAAAGAACCCATTTAAAAGTGCAGCCTTCTGTAACGGCACTTGCAAAGATTTTTCCAAAACCCCAGAGTGCGTAGATGAAGTTTGCCTTTCAAAATTTAAACACAGTGTGACAAAAATAGGCGAGCCAAGAGTACCAGATAATCTACTGTCCGCTGTAGTACCCAAACTGCTTGAGGAGAATCCCGAAACAGATGTCCGCGTCATTCAGCTCGTGCGTGACCCGCGAGGCAGCTTCAACTCGAGGATCAAACTCGGATGGATGGAGGAATATCAACACTGGGATTTTCCTAACACCGTTCGATATCAGTGCTCAAAATTAGCCCAAAACATAAAGTTTGGACGTAACCTACCTTTTAAATGGCGTGATCTGGCAAAGCACCCTATTGAAACCACAAAAAGTATGCACGGGTTTGCAGGATTTCAGATGTCACCGAAAATTCTTGACTGGGTCAGAAAAAACACTTCTCCGAGCAAAGAAGAATTATTGAAAGAAAAGGAAGATATATATTCTTCGGTAAGGAATTCTTCAGCAAATGCTGATTATTGGACACAAGAAGCCCCGATTAATAGGACAAGAATAATAGAACAAAACTGTAAAGAAGCATTCGATCTCCTAAAACTGGAGACGATGATTACCAACTAAATTTCCGGGTTAAAGGGTAGTAAAAATAAACTTTGTGAGTAAATCTTATTTCCTTTTTCGCTGCTTTCTCTTTATCCTATGATTCGGGGATCTAATTTTAACAAGTATTATGATTTTTATATCTGCATGAAAAATGTTCTGAAGAAGCGATTCTCTTAAGCATTTACTACCTTTAAGGAAAATACTCCCAGCTGGTAATAATAATATCTCGGATATCAGTTATTTTCTCCCTCGTCTAAGGCCAGAATTGAGACGGTCGACGGTCGCTATGTGATGAAACGATGATTAAACTGCGACGAATACATGGTCATTCCTATCAAGTTTGACAACGTTAGTCGTGCGAGGTGGCAAAGAAATCTCTTCCAAAAAATGTGCTACACGTTCAGAGTTTCTGTTTTGCCTGGTTGATCGAGCTCGCTAGTAGCGTTACCGTCCACGCGAAACAATACTTAATACGCGATGATTTCGTTTGAAAAATTGACGATTTTATAGAAAACGCGCGACGAAAACGAGTTCTGCAGGTATCCATAGAGACTGAATCCCTTTCCTCCGCTAATCGTCCACCGCGCGCTTGCTTTTTTTCGATTATTGCTATTTTTATTGGGATAACCACAGTAGAGCCTCTGCGGAGGAACGACGACAACCAAACGACAACCTCGTTCCCAGGGTTCTCTCATACCAGTCCCTACGGAGCGAGAGAGCGGTAGGAGAGAGAACCTGGGAACGAGGTTAGAGCGACGACCACCAAGCTGTGAGTAACACCCTCGGAAGTCGAAACATAACAAAAACTAAACAAACTACAAAGCTCTCACAATTATACTGTGAGAAGCCACACAGCGATTTCCAGAATTTCGGGGGATACCAAATCACCCCTTTACGATCTACACCAGTCGACCACAACCTGACAAGGCAGCCATGTTGGGGATCAATACAATAGAATTTTTTCTCGAAGAATTTACATGAAAATAGAGTTAAGTTCCCACCAACATAGCCGCCGTGACATCAGGTGCAGACCAGCGATAATGCAAAATGATAGATTCCCGGTTGGTACCTCCCATAATGGCCTATACAGAGAGGCTCCGCCCGAAAGGGGTACCTTTTTCAGGCTTCAGGTATATGAAAGGGAAGGGAAATCTGTCATTTTAGTCTGTAAAAAGGCCCAAAAACGCTAACAGATGCATTTTCTGACCGTGAAAAAGTCGAAGAAACTTCCTAGTTTTGCTGTTTATTCATATTCATTCGAGTCCGTTTACACTAAGAGGCCGACCACCCACTTTGAAACTGAGATAAACACTTAATTGAGTCCAAGCATTGGCTTCAGCTTACGTGCAAGAGGGACAGTAGATCGACTAAGACCATTACTCTGCCCCATTTTCCTCGCCAATTTCTGCGTGCTCGCGTATTTCGTGCGCCTTATCATCCGTGAGGCCGGAAAATGAGGGACAACTGATAGTCTATAGAGACAGCGGAAGCCTGAAGACACTGCAGCCCACGCTTAGGTGGGTGAATGATTCCTAAGCTCAATAATCATCTACTGTAACAGATTGCAAGTTTTGAAACTAATTTTTGAAAACTCGCGTAAGCGCAGCTAACCGGTAAAGCCAAAACTCGATCACACACCTATCGTGACCTTTTTCTACAGTGCTAAGAGTCATAATCTCGAGTCTTCGAAACGCTTCGTCGGTGTGACGTCATGCAATTCATAAAGTAGACTCACGTAGTCACTCACGTATCAGAAAAAGAACGTGCAGTGGACGTGCGCAATTAAATGAGGATAAAAAAGGACTTATAATCCCGAGGGTTCTTCCAATTACTGCTTCATTTAATCAGGACTTTCAAAATACAATGAAACTGGCACTGTTGTGTATCCTGCAGTATTGTGCTCTACAAATAACATGCAAATTGCGCTGAACAATAAGTGGAAAGTCCGTTAAACAATAGAAGGGAACGTTAATGAAGGTTATACATTCATGCTTGCGAGAACACAAGTCATTTACTTTATGCGCACCGGCATAGTTTAGACATGAAGGTCCGAGCCGGCGGTTGGTCACAATTTACAGAAACAAATTCTCAGAGAAAATTGAACAAGTTTCTTTTAAAAGTAAACATATCTTTGTTTAGCGTTTGACTGTTAATTGGACAAAAACAAAAAGACAAATGGAATCTAGGCAAAAGCAACTCACAAGAACACATAGTCTGCAAGGGGCACTCAAGGTCAAAGACAGTAAAACAGGACAGATGATTTTGAAAGGCAACGTTCTTGAAGAAAGCAAACTGGAGGAGGAGATCAGTCAAATTAACCACTGGCAAAGAAAAGAAGAAAATAGGCTGAGATGGGAGAAGGAATTCGCAATTAAAGGCTTTAGGAAAAAAATGCTGAAACGAGGTAAATCGATCCCTGATGTATTACAGTTACGCTTGCCTCCAATTGGGACAGAAACCACGGTATCCCGTAAGTTACCGGTAGAGAGAACTCAAAGTACTGATGAACGAGTGCACAAAACTTTAGCGTATCGGCTATCGAGCGACGACTCTTCTCCTGAAAGGAGTCCTTATAACTCACTAGAAAATATGTATGTCAAGCCGAGATTAAGAGAGCAAGCTAGACGCAACACAACTTCGTTGCCTGCTCTGATTTCACCGCATTTGATGAGGAAAGCCTCGTCCATGAACGATCCTAGGTTCACAAATCTTATTCGTCAGCTGGTTCCAAATAATGAGGTTGTGACAGACAGCTACGAGACTGAAGGGGAACAGCGTCCAGATGAATGATTAAACCGAATTGAATACATCGGAAACCCATCAAATGGTGGGTATTGCATTCGATCGAAAACGCCTGATCAGCGAAGTAGAGCGGTGTTTTTTTTTGCCGGATTGGTATAATTCCACTACACCTGCTAAACCTAGTTATCGATAGCTACGAAAGACGACAAATAGGGGCCGCAGAAGTTAACTTAACAATCAGCCCTACGTAACAGCGTCGAAACTGGAAAGTCACTCAAATTCCATCATTTGGACTAAGTAGGACTGCAAACTGTTACTGCGACCTACTTATTACACGTAAAAATATAATAACAGAGGATCCGCCCGCTTTGACTTCATCTGGGCTTATAACGCTGGGGTCACGGCAATAGCTTACTTGCCTTGGGTTTGGTCTTCTCTCCCCAGGTGGCTATCTCAACAGTGAAAGATAAGAACATTGATAATTGCTAGGTGACAAATATGGTAATTTCTCCATGAAAGTTGACGCAAAGAGTGCTTTTATAGAAATCACTTTTGTTAAGATGAAATAATGCGGAACCATAATACTTATATCACCCGGCATTGAACTAAATATTGGCTCAAGGGGTAATTTTCTCTTTTAATGGAAATCATTACGACATGCCTGAACGAGGTGGATTTCAAATGTTAGGTGAATTTTTATACGACTTTTCACTTATGAGTGCAAATGCCTATATTTACATCATCAGCAAATATTTGTACTCGATTATTAGGTCTTTTCAATGTATTTTTGCCAAGCTTGCATAGAGGACGGATTGACATGCCTCTTAAGTATGTTAGCGATGGCAGGTCAACCTCGTCCCCAGGGCTTTTTTTGAGGGAAAAGCCCGGGGGACGAGGTTGATAGACTACGAGCAGTCTCTCTTTTTTCTGCAGTCCGTCGAGCAAAACGCGAGACACGCAAATCATGGGCCACGCGTGTGACTGCCGCCCTCGTTTCGCTCGTCTCGCGGCTTCGCCGCTAGCGCGCGCGTGCACTCCCCTTACAAAACCTGAAGAAAAAGGTAGACTGCTCGCAGTCTACGAGGTTGATGGCAGGTTATACAAGTCATTTCTGCCTGGCAAGGGAAACGTAAAAGCAGGCAGGTTATTTTCCAAATAAATCAGCAGTTACTGAGTACTGATCACCAGGGCATCCTCTTGGTTTTGATTATTTGTTCTAACTAGTTGTGCAGGGTACAGCCACTTTTTACCCCAGATCGATTGAACAGCCATTTGGGAGATGATCACCCCTTCTCCCCAATCGAAATCATAGATCCACTCCATTGATTCCCTCGGCTAAGGTTTTCCCATCTCTGACGCGTCCCATGATGCATCAAAGTTTGCGGAATTGGAACTGTTTGTGGTCAAGATGCAGTGGAGACTACGACAACACAAAATAAAAGTCAGTTAGAGTACTACTCCTTTTTGCCGGATCTCTTTTTGTTGAGATGCTCGTACAAAGAAACCTGACAGCAGTGCCCTCTGGTTCCCCTTCAGGTGTTCCCTTGATGAGCCCAAATGAGGGAGAAACAGTTGTCGGGTGATATGGCAATGCTCTCGCCTTAGGCATGGTCGGGTCGTCTGGGTAGAACTTCTACATAAAAGAGACAGGGATGCTCGTCGGAAAATTATGGGGACGAGGTTGAAAAAAATTAATTATAATCTAACTCAGTATGACTGCATTAGTATTTTTGTTTTACTTATATTGATATCAGGAGCCCGCCTGGCACCTGAGATATGACATGCAATATAAGAGATATTTCTTTCAATATGCACAACCAGGAGCTTATGATAGGCTCGGTCCTGCTCGCCCCTGTCGCTGTGGCGTAACTGCAAGCGATTCCTTGATATGCAGGCCTATTCGATCGTCGTCTGGGTTGATCGGGTGGGTCACGTGGTCCAGAGCTCATAAGAGTAGTGTAGGAGCTGCTCGGAAGGTCTCTCCAAATTGGTCACAGGAAACAATGGGCTCTTTCCATTTACGAAAAAAACCCGGAAATTTCGGTGGTAGCAAAAGTGGAATTTCCGATTGGTAAAAAGTTGTTCCATTTGGTCGTAAACCCCGGTACGTGGCCGGGTGCCCGACCGTGGACCTGGAACTGGTACAAACTACAAGAAACGTCAATGGAACACGACATTCCGTCCGGAAATTCCAACCGGGAAAACGGGACCACCTTTTTAGATTTTCCACTTTTTCTGGGAATTTTCCAGTGGGACGAACCGACGAAACGTGTTCCATTTACCGCCGAACCGGAAATTCCGGAAATTTTGACTAAATGGAAAGCGCCCAATGACATGTCATTCTTCCAATTGTTTTAGTATTGTTCGGGGTCAGGGACGTACAATTGGTGTGACTCCTCTTGGATCTTTCATAAGACGGGAGGGGCGCGGGCTCATGTCCGAACAGCGGATCACAATCGAGCCGAAGAGATCTTCATATCTCCATTACCGTTAACCATCAAGATGGCGGCCCGGATACACCAGTGAACACGTGAGGCAGTTTCAAAGAAGCATTTTACTTTAGTGAGAAGTTTATGTTGAAGAAAACAGCTTTAAATCAGTAGCTCTAGCAATGGATCCAGTTAAGGCACAGATGGTCGCGGAACTGGAAATTGAAATGATGACAGACTTGTATAACCGGTGAGTGAGGTGGAGGCAGTAAAGTAAGGCCTAAATTTTACATTAGATTTTTCTAGATTTTCATTTACTGTTGTCAAGCCTTAGTTATGTATAATATACGAGCAATATGTTAAGTGTGCGGAAAAGACATCACTGTAAATCAGTGTCACACTAAGTGTCTGTCAACTGAAACTCAAGGTTGGGGTTCTTCTTACAGCTGTACAAGCTTTTAAGACGAAATGGAGAACAGTGAGAGACAGGAAATTATGGCTTACAGAGGAAGGGAAACTGTATCATTAAAAGACATCCTTGTACATTTCCTTTCTTTGAATGCAGACAAACCTCAACCCATTTGACAAAAAACATACACGTTTTAAGGGCTATTCCCTTTTTCTATACATACCCTCTCCTTCCCCCACCCCCCTCACCGTTATTGACGAAATTTTCTGAAGAGGTATTAAAAAGTGGAACTCCTGCAGGTTGTAGGACAGAAGAGAAGATTTCTATAGGGGAAGTAAAAGAAAAGCAGATATATGTTTATTAGCACATTTTTCTGACTGCATTTTTTAGGCTGAGAATCTACTCAGTGTCTACTGCCATCTTGCCCGGATCAGCTATGATGCAACTAATAGGATGAATCCCTCTATTGACCAAGATAATTTCCCAGTGGTTTTCCAGTCAAACGTTCTTATACCATGCATCTTTTTCAGGTTAACAGTAGCATGTCAGAAGAAGTGTATATCCCCTAAGTACAAGGAAGGTGATTTAACAAAAGGGGAGTCAGTGTGTTTAGATCGGTGTGTTGCCAAGTATTTGGAGATTCATGATCGAATTGGCAAGAAACTAACAGCAATGTCCATGCAGGATGAAAAACTGATGAGTCAGCTTCAAGGACAAGGGCAATCTAGCCAGTAACCTTGCCAAAGGAAGAAAGTTTGAAATTGAAATACCATTACTTAAAATAGGGAAATGAGTAATGGTGAATCTTGCAGCCACTGGAAACATTAGAAGGGAAATTCAAAACAAAACCATTACAAGGAAACAGAAACAATACAACTGGGAAGTGGAAGATATGGTCATTATAAATTTGCCTATACTAAAGAGACAAGGCAAGTGGAGTATAAAAGCCAACAAGTCAGACAAGAAATCCCTATGGACACAGTTCATTGTTGTGACCCTACAACATTGAACAATCCCACAATTTGGAAAATATTTGTCAAAGGTTTGGGATTTAACAACATTGTAAGTGAATAAAGCAAAATACAGCGTTTGCCTTTTAATCAAATGTACACTATTTGCCATTGTGTAGTGTTGTTTATGTTGGCCAATGTCCCCAAGAGTAAAGAGTCAGCATAGCTCTGATGTCTTTTGCTATCATTCACGGTTCTTCATTGTTGTATACAAAATGTTGTTGGATTAAAATAAGACTTTGCCAAAGTGTCAATGTACTTACTTAAGAACAGGACCACCATTTTTACATGGTCACACCAGACACATAGTGTGGGCAGCCACTCTTCCTAAGTTAATTCAAGACCTTCATGGTTCTTCCACTGACATTAACCATGGAGAGTAAAACCATGTAATTTTTCTTTCATTACATCATTTTTTTTATTTTCCTGTGACTAAATTCTGGATTAATGTGACAAACTGATTCTTTAGGGATGGTTCCACCAGGTTTTGTCATTAAAACAACAGCAGGCTGTACTTGTAAGCATCACTGAACGATGGCTCAGAACAGCTTGTTCATGACAATAATTTTATTAATACAAAATACAACCACATCTACACTAAATGAAATACCAAATGTTGCATACCTCATGTTAAACCTGCTTCTACAAATGGCAAAATGACTGAACAGGGCATACAACACAAGTATAGGAAAATGGCAAAGGGCACCAAGTTGTGAGTGGAGGGCGCTTGGAAGGTAATGTCAGCACGAATCAATGTGTGACAACCTTTTATGTGGCAAACTAATGGACAACTTTTCACATGTTAAAACGTTTATTTGTCACCAAATTTGGCCAAATTTTTTCACATACACTGGTCAGCAAATAGAAATTGTCACAAAAGTTGTGTGGCTAAAAGTAACCCGATACAAAAGAGGCTCACACAGCACAACCTACCTGCAGGTTAAAACAAAATTGGTGAAATTTTGAGAAGGGACTAGCTTCTTGTATTACTCTCTTTCTCACTACCTTTTTAAAATTTTATTTACAAAAATAGAGCATGAAACCTTGGACTAATTTCATAGCATAAATAACGCTTACTTCTTAAGGCTAAAATGTAGAATACCCAGCCACTTATGTCCAGAACACTTAATGACATTATTGGTTCTTCTGAATTTAAATGCTTTTTTGAACTAATGTTAAGAGATGCAATAGGTGGCCAACTATTCGGAAATGGCACTAGAAAAAGTAGTTGTAATCCTTAATAATTCACACTGGCAAACTATGAGTAAAAATGATTGTACGGCAGTGAATAACACTACAAGTAAAGTGTTTTTATGCTGATTCTGAGTATCACCTTGGAAGGGTTTCTGGCTGGCTGGTTAAATCTTTTTTAATAGTTGCTTGAATCTTTCAGTACTATTATGTCAATAATGTTTGTAAAGAGTTCTTGTGGAATAAGTTTAAATTTAAAAAAAAAACAGCTTTTCCCTGCAAAAGACTGTCACAGTCAGCCACTATAAACTGCTGCATCACAAACTACTAAAGCTTACTATAGTCATAACAGAACACACTTCATGGTCTTGCATGAAGTGACAAAAGGATCCCTGTCACCTTTTGACAGTCTTGTTGCAAAAAACAAGAACCTAATTTAACAAGGTGGTTTAGAAATCTGAGGCAGCAAATGGTCAAGACTCAGAGACAAGGATAAAACACATGAGACTTTTGAGACTTGCCACAAAAAACATGTCTGAGATTTTTAGCAACATAAAAATTTTCTACGACTCATGATTTCCTGGACAGATACCAATATTGCAACCCATTCTAGACATTTTCTACTGTTAATACATTACAAATTTAAAAATACAATAATATTCTATATCAAGTTATACCACTGCAGCATGATCTGCATTTGTGTGTTCATTGTGTTTTTTGTTGTGATAGACGTGGATAGTATGTAGTATGGAAGATGTGTGATTTTTATGCTTTCCTAACTTGAGTTACAGTCTCACAAGAGACATGATACTCATGGAGTTTTCTGAACATTTACAAACTCCAAGTGGAGTTTTGTTTGTGAGAAAGAACTAATGTCTCCAAAATGAAACCAACAATGTTAGCCTCCACCTCACATACCCTTGTACTACTTCATGGTCGTTTTGTAATCTACTTGTTTGGGCTGTCTTCTGTATGATCAATTTGCGAAAACACTCCTTTGAGTTTGAAGATTACAAAAAGCCTATTATGCTCTTTTTACTCCTTACAATAAGCTTACTGCCCTTTCAAAACATATTTGTTAGGGCCACACTATTTCTTCATCAAAAACTAGACCAAGTGACCAGATGCCACTTGGAACAACCTCCACTGTAAAAACACAGTCTCTGTTTGATCTTCAATTTGTAGTTTTGAAGGTTCCAGTCTGCTGGATAAAGCCAACTTCGATTACCAGCATGTCCAGTTAGGACCCTTGTGCAACTGAAAGAAGATGCACTACCTTACTTGTGGGATGTGGATTATACCTGTGATAATACCAGATTCTACACATGTACTTGTTTCATATCCACATAATTCATATTTGAAGAGATTTGGCAAATTTGACTTTATGATGTAAAAGTTCTGAAATCTCCTTCACTGACTGCTTGTAACTGGTCTGTAACTTCTCCCAAATCTCCGATACAATAGAAGACTTGGTCTATGGAATGAACAAAAGGATTAATGCAAAAACTACTGTAAATGCCATGATCATTAAGCTGTTATGTGAATATCTGGTAATGTTTGAAATTCTGTACAACTTTTCTTCGCTTGTAAAATAAAACTTTACCTCATTGTCGAGCTCAACTAAATTTAGTTCCAAGAGATCGTCAGATAACTGTGCAACATTCACTTCCACAAGTGATGCATGAAGAGAAGAAATGTTAGACTGGAGAGTAGATAGGAATGCCTTGAATGGACCAGTTTCCTCATTCTAATAAAGAAAAATGACTTGTGTTTTAAACATGCATGTGCTACATAAAACCTCTTGGTAAACAGACTCTGAGTGAGGAAATATCTGTTAGCCAAAGAAAACCGTGATACAGAGTTGCTGGCTGCCAACTGGCAACTAACGTGCCAACTTGAATTTCTAATTTACAAGTTTAATCGGTTTTTTTTTGGAGTCTTCGCCAACCTGTGGCATAAAGGACACACAGAAAGGTTTGAGTTCAGCACAGAATTTAGTTTGATCAATTTAAGTGATTTAGTTATCAGCCCACCAAAAACAAAGACAACAACACAAAACACCAACACCAACAACAACAACAAACGAAGAAGAAGAAGATAACAAAGAAACGAATGAAATGGTTAGATGACTTAGTGGCAATCAAGGCTTCTTACTTGAAAGATGAACACTCACCCTGAGTTATTTTTTTAACAACTTGATAAAAACTTACAATGACAATAATTTTTTTTATTGATGTTTTTCACTATCCTACTTACTGTTTGTGCAGGTACAGGTTTCTTTTTCTTGGCTTTTTTGCTACCTGCAAGTTTTTGGAGAAATCTACAGCTCACAGCTGCTAACAAGACAATGCAACAGTAGCTCTGAAAAAAAACAAAAAAACAAAAATGAGAACAAACCCCAGTAACAATCGAACTAAAAGTTTAGGACATCATGCAACTGCTATAGAAAGCTGCCAAGACTTACGGAGTGTTCAACTGACTGTATTCTGGAATAAGAATGAATGGAATGAAGTCAACCAAATATTACCACACAAGAGATTTGCAACAATACTATTGGGTATTCCTATTCTGGATACGATCAATTGAACAGACCCTTAGTCTAAGGAGGAGTAAATCAATACCCAAAATGAACTGTTCGATAAAAAATAAATAAATAAATAAGTAAACTTCAGACCAACAAGGCCACATGGTCAAAGCTTATCTCTGTTTCACCAGCACGAAGCGCTCCCCTAATTTTTCATTGACACTAGTTAATTGCAGTGTAGCCCACAAGAAGTTGCTGGTACCCAGTTATACAGTGAAAGTTTGCCTTAAGCCCACCCCATTTATGGCACCATCTCGTTATTATGTCCATTTTCTTTTGATCCAAACGTTTAAAACTCTGATTCTTTATTTTTATCAATTTTAAGAACCCATTAATACGACCACCTTGCTTTTACAAACAGTATTATTTTACCTCTACTAGAAGGACCAAAGGTTCCAACACATATCCATTGAACATTGTCTTCCCCTCACTGCCTATTGTGAGCATAGCTGAACATTTTGCAGTGGAGTCTGAAATAGAAATCCAGAACAAAGACCATTTGGTGGTTGATTTGAAACTTGGTTCAAGAATTAAAAGAACTGGTTAACATGACTAAATGGAGTACAATAAATATGCATAATCCGGCCATCTTGACCGAATAAACTTGGTTAATATAGGATTTATGTTGACAAAAAAATTTTTTTTGTAACCAAGTGGAAAATCCTGTGGGGGCAAAATAGGCTAACCTTGCTGGCTCAATTAGCCAATAAGAACACAGGAATCACTTGATCTTCCCCTCTTGGTTCCAGTATACTTTACTATTGTTGCATTATAAGTGGTGGGGGGCTTTGAAAGAACAGTTACTGTTAAATACTTTCAGTGACCGTTCCTCAGCAAATAAAGATTTCCTCATGAAATAAATTGGGGATGGATTGAAAACATCATTGGAAAGACACAGAAGAAAGTTCAGTGGAACATCCCGTAAGTTGCCACCCAAAATGTGAAGATTTAGTCGTTGGTTACAAGAGGTGGTCAGTTGCAAGAATTGATCCCCAGAGGGTTTCTTCCTGGAAGAGGTTTGAACACATCTACATTTTAGAACAGAATTCATGAGATGCAATTTCCACAGACAATATTTTTATTAGAAGAGGTTTGAACACATCTACATTTTAGAGCAGAATTCACAGCTGTCAATTTTTCAAGTCTCCAAATATTGAGAATGGGTTTATGTTGTCATAATGACAGTTTGTCACATTCTGAAATGAAAAGATGTTGTTGGAATTGCAACATTTGACCTGATTGGTTTACTTACCACCAATCATGCTATTGCTTATTTTATTTCAATGGTATACTGAAGTTTATAAGGAAACGTTTAATGTCAGTAAAATAGCTCAAACAACGCAAAATATGTGAAATAATATTTCATTGTCAGAGAGTCAAGTCTACAAGAAATGGCAAACTTTGGTGATTATCCGGGAGATTTCAGACTCTATTGTAATAGAGAGAAGCAGTCCACTGGGAAAGGTTTGACTGTACAAACCTTTCAGAATTCTTGACACCTCCTCTAAATTTTCTTGAATGTTATTCCAGTGATCCTTTGCATTGGAATCTGTTGGTGTGGCCAGTAAGAATCAAAATGAAACTAAAAGTCTAAACAGTGAGTTCACTAGAATAATTATGTGTAATGCATTAATTAAGGTAATAAGTAAAATTCTATAAGACACTACTTCTAAATTTTAAACTTATTTAAAATAATGATCTTTGCAACATGAATGAGCATTATTATCAATGCTGCTGCTTGTACCTTTTGCTTTGAGAGCAGCCTTTTAATCTCTAAACCAGGATGAATTTAACAATGAAAAGTCACTGACAGATTCTTTAGAAAGTAGCCCCCTTACGAAGTACATTACAGGGAAATCATTACTAGACAAGCCACATTCAAAGCCTACTGTTTTATTCAAAGCAGTCACCTTCCTCAGTAATATGTTTGTTTTTCCTCACTAATAACATAGGAGATGGATTGAAAACATCATTGGAATTTTCTGCTTTGCATACAGTCTTTTCAATAATATTGGTTACTATCCTTGGGGCGGGGTACTTCCTATAATGGCCTATACAGGGAGGCTCCACCCAAAAGCGGTACCTTTTTCAGGCTTCAGGTGTATGAAAGGTTAGGGATTTCACTTGTTGAAGTATATGAAATGGATAGCGTTATCCTGTGGCCACGTCATTTTCAGCAATATGAGGGCTTAAAAAAGTCTTGTCCAGTCCAGGACAAGTAAACTGTCTATCTTGCTCCGCAAGTAACTTTTTAAGGTCACTTGCCCGATGGAAAAGGGTCCAGGCAAGTCATCTTGTAACTTAACTACGACAGGCAAGCAATGGCACCAAAGGCGGCAAAAACTGAGAGACGCTGGTCGAAAGCACAAGCTGGAAATCCAAAATTTATGACACTTGAAAATGGGTTACTATTTTAAAGGTGGTTGCTTGGTGTTGCGGATGGGTGTAATCACAAAATGACATAATACAAATGATTAAAAAGACACTGAACAAAATGCCCCCACCACAACACAAAAGCGAACCAACAATGGCTTCTGCAACACCAAGATACACCCATTTTAAGAGAAACAGAGTCATACCTTGTGCCCCATAATGAAGATGATGGGCCTCATGACACACCCTTAACATGGCAACCATTACCGTTCCATGATGTCCATCAATAAACCTTGCTAGTCTTGAACATGGAGGACCAAGCAGAGGAAGCTATACAAACACAAGATGGTTTATTAACTTTGGTCATTAAAAATCGACTTTAAATTTGGGAAACTGTTATTACAAGGAGTGCTACTTCTGCTAAGGGATAACACGAATTATAATTGGTCAGAAAAAGTCCCTAGGTGTCTCTTGCCATTAATGTAGGCACTCTGCATCATGCAATAATGAGTTGTGCAAATTTAACGCATATGAACAACTGTCTCAAAGATAGACAATGTTGGGACCAGCACTAATCATCAACCTTAGATAGGTGTGTCTTATAGAGTCACTAAGCATCCTTTTTTATGTGGGATTACCTCTAGTTTACCTAATAGAGGCCTCTGTTTAAGGCTGGTTTTCACTATAAGTATAGTAATTAAAACAGTCATGGCATGTGGGAACAAGCACTATGTTTGGTTTATTCTTTGGCTTCCAATTCTGACAGTCTCGTTTTCACCAGATTCTAAAACATGATTTTCAATTTTCACTGGGTCATGAACGCTCTTGCATAACTTTATACAGGATGCTTGACTATTTCACTCCTATAACCCGCGATACCTTTTCTCTTGTGCCTGGATGTTTGTCAATCTCTCGTAAAACCTCTGTTAGTTCAGTGATGACTTGTTCCAAAGGGAACACAGGTTCAGCTGTACCATTGTTCATGGCTTGCATATTCTGTGGAGGCTTGGGAACTAAGGAAACAGCGAGTGCCAGGCCCCTCAGGACAAGGAGTCTGAGTCTTAACCACAGAACCTGGAATGAAGGTATCACAGCAGTCAGTCATTTAATGATACTTTGGCAATCAAGAAATGGTTTGTAGATGAAAAATAATTTATTTTTATTATTTGAACAGAAGGATCACAGTGTCAGGAAATAAAGAAATATATAAGCTGAATGATAAACACTTAACGATTCTGGTAGGCATACTTTCCCTGTCAACTCATCTGGATAGACCTTTGTCAAAAATATCAGCAACATTTCATGAGAAGTCCTCTAATTGTACTTTCATACTCACGTTATTTTTTAAACCTCACCTCTTGCTCCATACACCTCAGCTCCTGGTCCTTTGTAAGCTGCCTGTGAAAGAAGCATAAAATAAATAATATGCTAGGATTGTAACATCAACTCTATTTTGCAAATATGCCAGGATATTAATCCACAAACTAAACCTATTTTACTATTGGACCAACCACTGATTTCACCTTAACAGGGTTCTCTATCAACAAAAAAATGAAACATGTAGAAAGGACTTTTTGTCAGTTTTCAATGTTTTGAGATTAAAATCTGTTCTGGTTAGCAATAAGAACTAGCACACAACCTTGCCGATGCCCTGTAAAATCATGCAGTTTAATGCAGTTAACATTCATATTAGCGAGGAAGAAACTCGAGTTGGCTATATTTCTATATAACTGATGTTGTCTGCAGTTACCTTGCAACAAAGCCATGAGTAAACAAAACTACTACAAACATTGTTTAGTGGCCTTTTTAATGGTCAAGAAACACTTTTGGTGATGAATTTCAACAGCAGCAAGTTGTTTAAAAAGAAAATTGCAGTGATTTTGACTATTAGCTTCACAATAAGAGCAAAAACGGAGGTAATAGAATACTTATTTTGCATCTAGTCACACACGTTTTATTGACTCAATCAGGCATACACTTATTTCTTTAAACAACCAAATATGGCACACCTCTCTGGAAGATCCCATGTCTCAAGTATTCTCAGATCTCTGTTGTCCCTCAGATCCATCATCCAGTCTTCTGGATTTATAAAGGATTAAAAGCAATTAGGTACAGCAGAACCTAATACTTAACACAGCAAAGGAATTAAGGGTTAAATTGAATATAAAACAGTTAAAACAATATATTACTAGCTACAGTGCACTTGTCCAGGAGGTTACTCTCAGTAAAATGACTTTGAGCATCTGCAAGACTAACAAATGAAGACAAATGTTTAATGTTTAATAGAAAAACAGGAGGATACAGCAAAATTATAACTTTCACATCAGATGACTCTTGAGAAGGAGTTATTTATGTGTATTTTTATTGTTTTATTGAACTCACAATAAATTCCCATACAAATCTTTACAAATTGGGCTTTGAGGAGTCTGTTGGGACCCTGGGTTCCCTGTGAAAGAGTCGCTGTGGTGCACTACGAGAAAGTCATTCTACCACATGATACTGGATTTACTGGATGATATGTGCGTAAGTTTTTTAATTCACTTGACAATGTGGTCAACAACTCTCAATCCCTTTCCTCCTTTGAGAAAATGATGAAGATTAAATTATTAAGTAAATACGAAAACAGTTCATAAATCTTTCCATCTTCAACTTTTCACCATGTTTTCTTCAATTGATGTACAGCTCTAACCCATAGTTTGAGGAGGCCCAACCTCTCATAAGCTGCTATAGTTTCTGTTAGGTCTCCTCGCCACTTTTTTTTCTCTACTTTTCCTATATTATTTGTCATTCATTTTCTATTATTGTGTGGCAAATAAAATAAAATAAAGAAAAAGAAATGTGTTACAGAATGACCCCACCTGTTTGCCTTGAGAAAAGCATCTAACACCATGTTTTCATAATTGACACTGGCAAAATGTAGAGAGCAATCAAGCCTCTTCTTGAGCTCAATAAATTCAGGAATCTGTTTGAAAGAGTATATATCATAACATTAAAATGGGCATTTCAGACAAATGTCCTGTCAACAAGACTAAAATAAATAATAATATTGCTTTGAAACATTATCCTTGCTAAAACAATATCAAAAATGTTTCAATAGTAGTGTACTAAATGAACCATGAAATGAAAATGAAAATTATTGAACACTAAGTCATTATGTTAAAAAGGGTTTGGGAGCAAGTAAAAGTTAGAATCTAAAAGCAATAATTCAAAAGTGATCTCATGGACAGAAATATTTGCAGGCTGCTAATAAAACAGGCTATACTAAGTTTCTTTCCATTGTCAGAGTAAAGTGTAGGATTGGCAAGACTGAACTGAGCCATGGGGTGAACTTGGGGAGGGGTCTCCTTCTCAGTTTCCTATCACTTCTACCCATTCCTGATTTGCTTTTCAGTGCTACAAACCCAAGGGACTATTTCTAGTCTCGCAATGAAAGGCCTTTCCTCAGTAAAGCTCTGTTCCTCCTCAACTGTAAAGTACAGTGTACACCTAGGAGTTGGATTTGGCTCATCACTGGAAAGGAATATTATTGTCAGCACCAACAAGAGCCCACAATCCTAATCTGAAGGTTGCTTCTACACTGTTTGACACATATGTAGCCAGCATTTGCTTGGACTTCCACCAAGAATGAATGGAATCCATAGAACACAATCTGATCATGTGTTTTTACCTTCTAACACTATTTTTTGTAGTCTGATCGCCCCCGTTTTGACCTTCTATCAGGTAAAAACTTATGCAAAGCACCAGCATTGAAGCAAAAGCTTTTATAACCTTCAATCAGCCTGAACTAACCTGTAATCCCTAACCTCTGATTATTACCAGTTTCTTAAATAATACATTTATGTATTATAATTATGCTAACTGTTAGGTGTAGGCTATTTTGTCTCTTTTAAGTTATTTGTTCATCAAAAAAGCAGGACACAGGCAACAAACCACTGGCTATAAATAGATTCCAGTAGAACTTGGTTGTTAACTTGGTTTCCTAGTTTTTCTTAAACTGAACCCTTTAGACTTTCACTTTGTCAAATCAGATCACTTAATTAACCAACAACCTCAAAATCCAGGGTAATGTTATTTTTGAGTGATCATGTATCACATTACATTAAATAGGCCAATAATTAACTCCAGGCATTTTAAGACAAGGGTGCTCACTGGAGTTCAAATCCTGGCATCAGGGTAATAAAAAATTATTTCCTTCATATTTTGTGACTGCACTGTTTTCTGACCTTTTCAAATGACCCATACTTGTATGCAGCAATGATATGTTCTGGTGTCTAAAAACAATTTGCACAAAATAACCATTAATGCTCTACTTTTACCAAAATTGATTACTTTTAAACGTTCTTGACACATATATTTAATTATTGCAGACGAAACCATAAACTACCACTGAACTGGCTTGTATGACGACAAAAAGAAGAACAATACATTTTCTTGCAGTCATTTTTTACTGGTGCAGAGAAAAACGTTTTTCCTTTTCCTCAATTTTTTCCTAGCCTATGACAAAGACGAAACTTAAGTCTGCATAAGCTGTCTGCAAAACAGCAACAAAATCCTTGCTCTGGGTCCCCACCTGTGTACCAGGATTTGAGCACATACCATGACTGGCTTGTTAAAAAAGCCACCGTCAATTTGCCAATCAGTATGAAAGGAAATTCAAAATGCACTTCCATTAATTTGTTGAGTCCATTAGGGGCACAGAACATTGATCTCAGTGCTACATCACAAACAATACTAACCAAGGTTAAATTATGTCTGCGGGGCAGGCTAAGTTTTTCCTTGTTAACATGTGTATGTTTCTACAGTTTGTCCTACCATAAATGCTTGTGATCACACATAAAGCAAGTTATTTCATTTATCACTAACACAAGCAGTGACTCACACTCTTCTGATTTCCATAAAAGAATTTTAATGTGTTTAAGTACATGGATGAAGCTGCCTCAAAGTGACCAAGAGCTTCAACATACCGCGTCACAGTGTACCTGAAAGAAAACAAACAAAAACAAATGCAATAGGTTCCTTTCCTTCAAAAAATTGTTTTGGAACTGATGAGGTATTGACAGGTAGGTTTTTAAAGGGCCAAAACCAACTTCTGTTCTTTTAGATTTAAAGAGAAGTGAAGGGGGGAGCTAAAAACAATGATAGCTTGTCTCTTTTTTAATTCATTTTTTTATTGATAATGATAGCTTGTCTCTTGGTTCAGATTCTTGTGGTACATAACAGTACTTTTCTCTTTGCCTACCCAAGAATATCTTGTTCAATGTGTTTGATCTCCAATCCATCAAAAAGCACTAAACAAGGACCAAAAGCGCCTGACAAACATAAAAGACTTAGTTAGCAAAAAATAAGTAGATAAGGGACAATAGCATTGGGAGCGTGGAAAGATAAATTACATCTCTTTTGAAACCTTTCCTCAGTAAAGCTCTGTTTCTCCTCACTACTATGAGATCAGAGTTGGATTTGACTCCTCATTGGAAAGAGTTGTGCATGACTGTGTAGTTGTTGTGCAAGGGGAGGCTAAACTAGCACATTCCTACATGAACAAAAAGGAAAAGCTTGTAGCCAACACAAGGCAGCTACCCTAATCACAGTCAACTTTATTCTGGTCAAATTAACCTTTTAAGCCCCATTATCCACATACAAATTCTTCAAACTGGTCTCTATACATTTCCTTAAGGAATAAGTTGAGAGAATTTGGTAGAAGATCAAGGCATTTTCTCTTAGGTGATCATTTTATTAACTCTCATAACCATTTCGCTTGGTAACATATGGATATTGTTAGGAGAAAATTGATGTTGGCCACTATCGGGACTTAAAGGGTTAAATGGCAATGAGAGTGATGTATATATTGCTCTCATCTTCTGAAATTGGTCAGTGCCAGTTGGTTATGAAGAATTAGCCGCGGGATTGGAGCCAATTAGAAATGGCGAGATATTTTGAATGAATAATATTCACTGTTATCCTTGTCTCAAAGTTCAGGGTGCAAAGAAAATCATTTTTACAGCTTGCCATTTAGGCAAGCTGAAGCTAACATTTACTAGCCCAGACGTCATTTCAACTAGTCCCAAAAGCTTTTTGAAGAGCAGAATTGATCTCACAGTTCTTCTGTTATTCAAATTCCTCAAAAAAGATCACTTGCCCATTGGGCAAGTTAAAAACAGAATTCACTAGCCCAATAGCAAAATCCACTAGCCCCGGGCTTTTGGACATCACTTTCTTTGCACGCTAAAGTTACTAAATGATACCACCCCAACTTGTTCTTCATAACACAACCTTTATAATGCATGGTCTGTCCCCTTAAAGTGCATGTATGGAGTCATATTTTGTCACCACTCTGGACACTATAACTACCTATAATCTTTGTTTCTTTACTCACCCATTGAACAATAAACCCTCATTAATAATAACTTGAGATGGTGATTAGAAGGACTAGCTTTTAGTGCACTCTCCAGCATGATAAGAAGATGCCAGTTCATTTCCGAGCTTCCTGAAAACAAAAACAGTGTTGAGTTGAAAGAAATAACTTTTTGGGCCTAGGAACACATAAATAAGACACAAATTAGGGGAGCATAGTGGAGCAGGGGAGTGTGGGGGAGCTATAGCAGTGTTTTTGTCTCTTTGTACAAAGCATAATGACATGCAATAATGAGAAATGGCGTGATCAACATGTCACGAGCATGGGACAAAGAAAAAATCTGAGTCTCCAACAGGAATTGAACCTATGACCTTCCGTACACCGGTTGGATGCTCTAACCATTGAGCTACCAAGGATTCGTGACGAGCTGGGCTGTATACAAGGTTGATGTATGACATGCCTCCTGCATACTGCTAGGATATCGATTTCATTGATGATCCTGGCAGTATGCACGATGCATGTCATATATGAATTTTGTAAATGGTCCAGCTCACCACATAACACTAACACTAGTGCGACCATCTCACATATCAGTAATTCCATATCGGGAAGTATATTTTGATTGGTTCTCCAAAAACCCCAGTATCGGAACAGAGTTATATGCTTCTGTGCATACCCATTTAACTATCAAATCGTGATTGTGGAAGAACGACCCATTAAAATCAGCTGAGAAAGATTAAAAAGGGTAGAAAACATACATTGCCTCAAATCACAAAAGTCATAGCAAGCAGTGGCATGAACCATGTGATTTTCCAACTGGAATTTTTGTTTTCCAATGTAAATGGCAAGTACCGCAAGTAAATGTCTTGGTCTTCATAGGCTGAATGGATTTAGCATAAGTCTAAACAACTTTTCAGCTAACACCGCCGCCCGGTTAGCTCAGTTGGGAGAGCGCCGGTCTGCTGAGCAGGAGGCCTTAGGTTCAAGCCCCGGCCGGACCAACACTCAGGGTCTTTAAATAACTGAGGAGCAAGTGCTGCCTTTGTAATAACTTCTGCAAATGGTTATACTTTCTAGTCTTCTCGGATAAGGACGATAAACCGTAGGCCCCGTCTCACAAGCCCTTGCACATGTAATAAATCTGTGGGACGTTAAAGAACCCACACACTCTTTCAGAAAGAGTAGGGCACGTAGTGCCCGGTGTAGTGGTCTATCTCACTTTCACACTCATATATGGGGGCATCATCACTCATTCCTTCAGTACTTGTAAACTGCATCTTAAGCAGTCTGGCAAAGTCCCCCAACCAGTGTTGTAAATTATCCCTGAAAAGCCCTGAGGGGAGTGGATAATAAGATAATTACAATTACAATTACAATTACACCCAGGCTGGCATTACCAATTTTGAGGTTGCAGGTGAAACTGGGCCAGTGTTGCACCAAACTGCCCGATGGGAGTGTCTTGGGGATGTTTTTCTTCTATAAATAGGCTATTACAAAATTGCATAGGAAACTGGGTCAAAATCAATCCCCCACAACGATCTCATAGTGAAATTCTAACAAAACTTTGACCCAATCTCAAGCATACTGTCAAAATTACCAACACTTTCCATAGAGTGAATACCTTTCTCATCATTTACATCTAACATTAGATGCACGGCAAGCTGTGCAAACCCATCACTGTACTGGAGTTCTGTAGGCAACAGATCTTTACCTGCAATCAAATAATGCAGATCCCTGGTTAGAGAAAGCTGGCATGCAACTTATCTGCTGCTAGCCACTGCCAGTGTTTTGAGCCAAAGAAAGTATTCTTTGCTAATAGTAGAAAAGATGTTCTTCTTTTTGCTTACCACTTTAAAAAAACTAAAAATACCAGACTGCTTAACAAGCTGTTGTCACAATGCATGTGGTATAATTACATTATTAATATATATAGCATTATGTTATTTAAATTACCCAGTCTATACTTTGCAGCTATTCAATTTGCTTCAATATTCATTTGCACCCACCATAAACTAAACCATCTTTGTGTTGCTTCATGTATTCCTTTGAAAGGGCAATCTTTTCATCAGAGGAAAGGGAACAATGAAATCCTAAATGTCTGGAAAATTGCTCAATTGTGAGCCTCCTGTGCATAAGTTTAATCTGTCAAAAACAACAACTCAGATGAGAAAAAGAATTAAAAATAGTTAGAAATTAAGTGTTGTAAGAGCAAATCTGAAGATTAAAATATGTATACTTGTATCAATATGCAGATTGGTCGCATTATCAGAGGTTCATCTGTACAATCCATAGAGTGTTACAAAAACTTTATCATGAATAACCCAAAAATAAATGCTTGGTAAACCATGAAATCTGCTGACTAAGAAGAGGCTGAAATGAAAACATTTTGTCTCGATTTTGAGTAAAAGTCCCATTAATAATATAATAATAACATTTTACTGACTTGTATTGCACAAATATCAATAAAAAATTTTCATTTGCACATTACATACATTTCTAGTACAAATTCTAATTCTACTATTTTAACCCATTCGCTCCTGGAGATTTTGCCGAAAAACGCGTTTTGAAGCTAGTGGAGTGGTTTTCTGGTCACTGTTGTGCTATAAAGAGCTAAAACTTACCACAAACTGGTTTACAGGTTGTACACTTCACGGCCTTCTGATCCAGATGCAAAATATCAGCTTGCGAAGTTTGGGCATGCGCAGAAAGCAAAATTTCGAGATAGTTTTTGGGTTTAGAGCGGTTTTCACTTGACTGTCGTAAAACCAAAACCAAAGTAAATACACTAGCCAACCAAAGGGCGTAGTAAAACCAAAACCAAAACCAATCCCTTTCGACAGTCAAGTGAAAACTGCTCTAAAAGTGACACAGCAGTCTTGACTTTTACTTTCGCTTTCTCTCCTCCCCTCTTTTTTCGGTTTTCTTGCCTCAATTTTTTTCTCTTGCTGGGCATTTAGTAGGCTTCATTTTGGTGGGAATAGTTTTTAGGAAAGCTTTTAGGATCTTAGGATTAGGTGAAAGGAAAGGTAGGTGAGCAATGAAACAAGATTTTCATGGAGATTTTCAGGTCAATGTTACATGGTTTTTTGCCTCTTTCTCCGGTGTCCTTGACTGCATTGTGCTCATTCTGGTATGGTTTGAAAGATCTCTTCACTCTGCACAAGTTAGCGGACAAAGTTGGTCTTGACCATTGAAACTAATGACGTCACAAAGGGTAGAAAGGACCTGGATCCACACAGGCGGTTACGGGCGGTTCAGGGGCAAATGGGTTAAAAACACTGATAGCAATAACAACAAGCTAAGTAAATAACAGTTACCAGATTATTCTCAAAATCCTACTAACAAATCCTATTTAATAGAAATATTCTATAGTAGGTTGAGTTTGATCGTCCGGGTGAACGTAGTCCTGAATAGGACTGTTGTTGTTGACAGGGTTCAAACCTTTCACAGAAATATTCTATGTTGATATAAAATAAAATACATCCCTAGTACACATCCTAATTCTAAAAATTCTAAGAACACTGACTAATTCATTATTTCTTATAATCCTATTTATAAATCTTACTAACAGTTTACAAAACTAATAATAATCAATATTTTTTTGCGAGGAAATGCCTACTGGAACAAAATGTGTTTTTTAGAGCCTTTTAAAACTATTTTACTGAAGATATATTTATAATACAAAGAAGAGATCGTTCCACAATTAGGGGCAGCCATATTTAAAGGTTGATCACCCAGTGTGGTAAAAGACTGGCATGTTGGGATGTTAAGATTAATTTTATGGTGTAAAAAATAGCACATACTTGAGATGAATCTGAATCTTCATCGCAAACAGATGGTAGAGTTGATTTTAACACTTCAATAAACTAAGAAAAGAGATCAAAATGTCATGACAAAACAGTTAAAAATTTTATATGAAAAAATACTGAGTTGCTAACAACAAAATACCAAAAATACACAGCCATTCTTATACCATTAATATTACTATAAGCCATGAGAAGGCAATGACAACAAAAGGTACACTCAAGAACTTCAGCAAAATTGGACCTCTTCTTTCTTGGAGGCGTGTGTGGCCAGGCGGTTAACACCTCGAACTCCAGATCTGGAGGTTCAGGGTTCAAGCCTTGCCCATTGCCTTGTTTTCTTAGACAAGGAACTTTACTCCACTTTGTCTCTCTTCACCCAGATGTATAAAGGGGTACCGCTAACATACTGCTGGGGAGTAATCCTGCGATGGATTAGCATCCCATCCAGGTGGGAGTAGCAATACTTCTAGGCATGTTTCATGCAAAAGAAACCGAGATAAGCTCAGACCGTTTGGGCCTTCGGTTGGAGAGTGCCTTTACTTTTTTTTACCTCTCTTGGGTTCCATACAATTTACAATTCCAATGCAGCCAAAGTTAAACAGATTAAGAACTGGCCAAAAGTCTTGCCCACAATACTAGGGTGTATCATAACAAAAAATTTCTTGGGGAGGGGTTATTATGGTAATCTTAACTTATTTGTAACTGCTCACAAAAAATGAAATTGAAAAACCAGGTGAGAAAAATAGAAAAATCATTATAATCAAGAAAATTTATAAATTCAAGGAGTGTGGAATAAAGCTTAAAGTGAATGAAGTTCATATATAAAATTCTCCTTTCAATGTAAAAGCACTCAAGGAGAATCTAACAGTGCATCAAAAAATAATGTTCCTTGGGGCTTTATTCCAGACATCCCTACCATTATTATTATTAATTTCATGATTCTGTCCTAAGCAGAAACTGTAGTCTTCCAACAGAGATCAGCCCTTGCTAAATCTTAAACCTCAACTCAATAGTTTCCTTATTACCTTTCTCCTTTCAGACTGCTCTTCCAGGTTCAAGTGCAAATAAGGTGACAGGTCGGAAAAACAACAGGATTTGTCTCCAAACCGCTTAAAATATTCTACTAATAAATCTACCATGGAATTGGAATCTGAAAGATAGAAACAACAATAATTCTGCATCACAGAAGAACAGACCCCTTTTGAAACTTTCAGCTGTGTATCATTTTGCAATGAGAACACTACATGCATGTTAACACTGTCGCTTGCGATAGTTGATAAAGATGTTGGAACTGCAACTGTCAGGAAACCTGTCAATATTTAAGATAAAAAATAAAAACAAAAAACATTTTACAACTGCAGTGTGTTGCATTCCTTATCTAAAGAGTTAAATCAATGAGCAGTTTACTTAAATCAAATGTTTTGTAAGAATTTGTCTTGCACCTCACTATGGCAGGAAAAGGTGCATCTAAGCCATGAGACCCAAATAGCTGAGCTAAGCACGAAGTACCTAAGAGCATTTCAACTCCCTCCTGGATGGGATGCTAGTCAGCCTCAGGGCTACACCAGGCAGTATGTCATTATTACCCATTTTATACAAATGGCTGAAAAAAGCCATAGTAAGGTATAGTTGCCTAAGGATCCACTATTATAGAGTCTTGCCAATAAGGGCAATAACTAGCAGTCTCAAGGGAGTCCACTGGCAATAACTGAAGTTCATTGTAACATTTCCTCTTTACAATCTTGTCAATAAATTATCATTGATCAGGTACATTACATATTGTAATAACTTACTTAGTCTAGAGTCAGAGTATATACATTGTTGTTTACAAAGCTTTCCCAGTTCCAGCTGTGCTAAAAATGGCCCTCTACAAGCCCGCTTCTCCTTTGGTTGTTCACTTTCAATGAGAGATGCAATGAATTTGTAGATATGTTCTAAAGTATGATCAGGAATCTCCCTAATATGGTAATTAAAAGTAAATGGTAAAATGGTTAACAATACAGGCTATTTTAAAATTAAATTATTTGACACATTGTTATCAAGTTCTGGAGTATGACTAGACCTTTGGAAGCATATGGTGTGCAGCTAAAGACATAGTACACATATAAAGCTCATTTAATTTCAGTCAAACCAATACCAATTTTTACTGAACATCTTCAAGAAGGGGAACTTATTTGTTGAATCATTAGTACTGTCTATGTGTGAGGATAATCACAAATCTTGCAATTTAACTACTCGTTCCTTGCAGAGGTATGATTTTTAGCTGTCAGTTATAACAGAAACAGTAATTTATCCAAATTTTGATCACCACTCACTAAAAAACAACATTGCATACAGATACCTGTGCAAATATTACATTTATCTACCAATATCTATTTATCTTCAGTACAGCATTATGTTAGCAATGAAATTGTGGAATATGTTGTGATTCCTTTTTTTACAAGTATGCTAAAAAAACTTACTCTGACTCGTCCACTGGTTTCCATTCCTCTTTCACGAGAGAGAAAGCTGAAGTGAAGTACAACTGATAGTATGACCACTGATCCGGGCTGGTGGAAGGAAAAAAGTACAAATAGGGGTCCATTAATGATTCAATAAAATAGGTATCACAGCATTGAAGCTAGATTAGCTCGTGGTTTAGTAACCATTCAACTCATACTCAAGGCAAATTAGGGGATCATTCACAGCAGAGTACCTGTTACAGGTAAATTTTGATCTCATGTTGAAACTTTTTAACCTATGTTGATCCTCAATTTCCTTTGTTTACAAGGGCTAGGAAATCAAATCAAATTTGACCTATAACATACCCACCAGGGCCCGGTTCCTCAAAAGATTGTTTACATTTAGCCCAGGGTTAAGCCAAATTTTAAACAAAGTATTCTGACAAAGGAAAATGTCACCGGACCTTATAAGATATTGTTTAATCTTTACTCTGAGATCCAGTTATGATATTCTACATAGGTTAATACCATCGTGGATTAAAGTTCTAATTAAAGTTCTAGTCCTGGATCAACTTTTCTCAAACTAGACCCAGAGCCCTGGCAGGTGGTTCTGATCTACTAAAGCCCTTCAACCGACCACATTAGAAGTTGAGTTTTCCTTTAAAATAATGAAACATCAAAAGTACAAAGATCTTGGGCCGAAGGCTAAATAGTTTCTGGGACCCAGGGTAGACTACAGTTTAATCATGGCTTTATTTTCAGTGCAGGTCACTGGCATTTCTTAGAATGGGAAGCTTTGGCATGCAAGATTCAAAATATTTTTTTAAACCTGCAGTGCGTGAAACTTACATTTTCATGTGTGTCAGAGATTTTATTAATGTTAATATTTACTTTTTGTCAATCTTATTTCCACTTATCATATTGAAGACATTTTTGGAACTCTTTTCATTTAAATCATTATGACAGTAGCCAGGGGAAACACTCACAGCTTGTGGCAGGGGAAATCCCCAGCACCCAGCCTTAACTGACCATCCTTTATTCACATCTTAAGGTTGCTCAGTGTCTGTTGTAATAAGAGTTATGCGGAACATGCGTCGATTAATCTACAGTGAGAATCCATAATAGTAGGAATTTGTTTCGGTCAAACGCCTTCTATTTTTTGTCTGTGATTTAGCCGCTGTACATCTTAACAAATGTCTGCAAGGCCAGTTGACTTGCTTTACCTCTTCAAAATCAGCTTCTTAAATGTCAGGTTGGCTTCATGCCATCTGCACAGCTTCATTAAGTAACAGGCTTCTTTCTCTTCTTTCTCATCCATGTAACTAATTAATTTAACTGTTTAAAATACAACAATAAGACCAAACAAGTGTTATGCAAGTTGGTGATGCCTCATAAATATGTTTTCAAGAAAAGCTCTTAACTCTTGATATCTACAAATTGTTTACTGAGAGCAACGGATACTGTCCCTTGAAAAGAATGCTATTTCAAGGTAAGGTTTCTCACAGAATCAGAAATTTGCAAACGTAGCTGAAGAAGATAGAGCATGGCTAGTGATATGGAAAATGCAGTAGTAGATGGGCATGCTAAAATAGAAGGACATTTTTCAAGACGTTTCAAGAAACATGTATTTCTAATCAAACGTGACAACATCAGACAATTTTGTAAGGAAAATCTATAGATTTAGAGATCAACAATAACTTGGGCATTATCTTTGCCATTAAATGGCTGCTGGCTGTGTTGAATTAATGTAGCAAGACATTTTGGAAAAGCAGGTTTAAGCCATCCACCTTGGTGGTTTATCATGCTTTTGATATTAGTAAGTCAATATAATAGCACCTACCTGCTAAATTACTTTTTCTAAGTACATCCAGAGCCTTATCATAGAGCTCTAGCTTCTCTAAAATCATTAAATAAAGTCGAACCTCTAAAAATGCAAAAAAAGAAGTCCAAAGATAGGATCAGTTACAGCCCTACCATTCAACTGAAATGTCACTCTTACAGGGGTTTCAATAAAATTGAAGTAGCCAGCAGGTTTGAATAGAGTAACCGACTGTATCAACAAGGGGCCATTTTTCCCTTTTTTCTAGGGGGATCTGGGGGCTTGCTTCCTCAGAATATTTTGAAATTTCAGAGCCCCAAAATATGATTACTAGTATTCTTAGGACTAAACTGACTGCAAAAGAGCGTGTTTTTCATTCAAGAAAATGCAACTTTCATTCAAGTTTTGATTTATCAGCCACACAATCAACTCCTACAAGCAATAAAACAGTTGCATACTTTTGCACGTAAGCAACTAATTCTATGTAAACCTACAATGAAACTTGTGAAAAATTGACTGAATTACAGCATTCATATAACTAAAGCATAATATAAAACCAGTCGGTCTTTACAGAAACACATCAGACATAATTCAAACTAGTTGCTTCTGCTTTCTAAAAGAGTAGCTGACTTCTCTAAGCAAAATGGCCAAAGCATTTCATCAGTTGTTGGTGTTTATTGAAATATCTGGTTTTACTATTACCATAATACATGTAATTTATTATAATACCCAAAAATGGGAGCACATGTACTGTGCATGAATAGGGTATGGTTTTGAGGTTTCAGTCCTTAAATCAACTTTTTTGACCTTTTTGTTTTTGACCATTGGTGGTCCTAAACTTGACTTAAACCATACTTTTTAAGCGAACATTTTTTTAAAGGAAAGAATTCTAGTTTTACCTAACAATGTCATCAGCAGAAATAAATTTTTCCTTTTCATGCTAAATAATTTTGTTTTTTCCTTGAATGAGTCATTACATTTGGTAAAAAATCATTGCTTTCTTAGTCCTTAAATAGGGTTAGGGTTCACGAACTTTGTGCACACCTATCCAAAATGGTACCCCCGGGACACATATACTGTACCTGCTTCAGCATCAACTTTGTTTTCATTGATAAACTTGACAACCATTCTTTCAGCCAAAGGAAAGAACATAGTTTTACCTAACTTCTCATCAGCAGCCATTAATCCCTGAAATAAAGCACAATGAGCCATTACATTTGGTAAAATGAATTGCAACAACTCAACTGCTCACTTTGTGCCACTTTCCACGGTCCCTGACCTTAATGGTAGAGCTGGTAAAAACTGGGTTTGAATAGAATGGTTAGAATACAAAGTGGAAAGCTTAAGTACAAGACCTTGAAGGTCATGTAGCCAAGGATCAAAAACAAATCCAAACTTCCAGCTGGTGAATAAACCATCACGGATCAGTCCATACGAAGTTTTACAGTTGTGATTGATTAATACAGTCCAACATTTGTTAGTGAAGAATAAAAAGAGGGAGGGGAGGGGGGGGAGGCTTAAAAGAGAGGGGGGTATTAACTTTTGTCCCCTGAAAATAGGTGGCTTAATAGAGGATTCATGGTATGTCAGCATTATTTTTTTCATAATGCCTTGCAGAGTTATGATATAATATTGACCTAACTAGCACTTGCCAATGTGGGACAGATCCTTAAATATGGGACTGGAGAGATAAGTAACACTTTATGGTAATTTGCCAAGCTGATTTCAAACAAGTGTTCACCTCTTTACACTACATGTCCTGTTGTTAGGATTTTTATTATTCTTTTTCATTTACTGCGAAGCCAAAGTATAAAAAGATGAAACATACCTGCATCATAATACTCATGACTGCCCAAAAGTAATAAGGATTCTTTGAAAACTGCTTATATAGATTCATTGCAGCCTGGAAAAAAAATCCAAAAGAAGAAAGCCACCCTACCTTAGGGCCTGTTTACATGGAGGTGGGGGACCCCACGTAGGTGAGGTAACTCAGTTAGGTGGGGTAACCCGCCTGTCCATATAATCTCTCATTTTAATTTGATCACGTTTACATGTTACGCAGGGTGACGATATGAGACATTAGGGAGCTTGAGCAACAACAAAAGCGACGGCTACAAAAACATCACTCACAAAGTGAAGTCGCACTGCTTCAAACTTCATCGCACTTAATCCATCTAGTTCAATTCGTCAAAGCTGGCAATTTTTTCTGGAGTTGAATTCTACCAGAGTGTAACGAAGTTCAAGAAAAGAAAACAAAGTCGCCGTTTTGCGTTCTCGTCCTCTGCAAAACAAGAAATTAGGCATTTTCACGTCGTAGTGATGCAGTGACGGCAAAGAAACGTATAAAAAAGCACGATGAACATGCAGAGTTGTTGTTTTGCCAATCTAAACCTATTGCTGTTTTGCCATTTTCGAGGACATAGCCATAGCTGTCTCCATGTTTAAGCTCCCTATTATATGGAGAGGCGGGTTACCCCCACTTAAGGGGGTTACCTCACCTACCTGGGGTCCCCCGACTCCATGTTAACAGGCCCTTTGTTGTAGATTTATTAATGTTATGGTTCACACTTAACCTGGTAATGGTGTATGGTACTGTGCAATGGTGTGGTGAAAGGAAAATAAAAATAAACTACAAAGAAATGAAAATTAACTAGGAACAAAAATTATCTGCAACATCTATATTACTTTTACTAAGATGATGTACAGGGTCTGTACCTGCTGCTGTTTCTTGTAATCTCCTATTCTGACATATGCCATGAAAAGATGGGAATATAGCTCTTCACTCTGTGGATTCTGTTTTAGAGCCATCTCATAAACATGAGGAATCATCTCAGCTACAAAACAGTAAAAAAGGACTTTAGTTAAATAACTTCCCAGTAACTTTCAATACACATACCTCAACCCTAGGTTCTTTGTATGTTCAAAATGACAGGGTGATTTTAACTTTAAACAAAACATTTTCAAAGCATTTCAATAATATTAGGCTTGCACAAATTCTACAGGTACAACTTAAATACTTTATAGGGTAAAAATGCTGAAAGATCAAGCAGAATTTTGAGCATAAAAAGTGATAAATGCAGGAGCCCTGAAAGCAGGCAGAAAGTGTTGTATCTAAAACAGAATTTATCCAAGTCTAATTCCTCTAGCTGATGAGAGCCCTGTTTTCTGATTTGAAATCTCAAAAGATCAGTATTCATTGGCTCCTGAAAGTTGTGGCACTTCAGTTGAGACTGGCACACCTCAAGACACTCTTACAACAAGTCTGTAATATTTCACGGGCAAGCCACCAAGCCAATTTAAATAATATTATTCTTTAAAATTTGCCCCTCTTCTGTAATTATGCCAAAGATTATAAAGCAAAGCAAGCCCATAACAAAATTTTTCTGCCTTTATTTTTGGCAATCTCTTACGTTTTTGCATCTCCCTGAAGCAGATTGTCATTGCTTGTAACGTGGGGTCATCAGCTGGTTTAGCTTCCATTACCTCTGCCATCAATGCCTCGCTCTCTGCATTCTTGCCTGATCGTAGTAAGGCTAGCCCCTTTAAAGCCTGGAAATCAGATTATTGGATGGCATCAGGGTTGTGATGCTGTTCTAAATATGAAACATGGGGGTACTGGGACTAAGACAGCCCTTACCTTAGTACAAGTTTTACATTGATAGAGTACTATTCCATCTGGCATATCAAGTCATTTTACTCATGAAGTATCCAGTGTTTTTACGATCAGCGTTTGTACTCAATGCCAGTAAAAGTACAAGCACGCTTGTATAAATTCAGGGCCCAGCATCTTATAAACTCACTTGCAAGACAGCTCAGCTAGCAAACAGTCATAAGTAGCAGCATTTACTAGTTTTCCCGCCCTACCCTCCCTGGGTAGTTTTTGGTTGTATATTCATTTCCTTTTGGTCTGACAGTCTTTCTGTTTTTACAAATTATATATACCTTTGTTTGTTCCATTTGAGTGTAACTAGTTTTATTACTTGTTTCATTTTAATATTGTACCTATATTTGAGTGATTAGCTATTTGTGTCATGGTTGGTATTTAGGTAAAGTTTCCGCACAGCCTCATGTCCATACATGCAGCTATCTCATACTAGTTCACAGACAGTTTATATGAATAAAGTCAAATATGTACGTATGATAAATGTATGGGGCTGTGCGAAAATCTTACCAACAGAAGAAATAGATTTAAAGAATCATAGGTACCTTAGCACAATGCAAGTCTTTCTGTTTCTTCAGGATTTTGTCAGCAAGTTGGATGGCCTGTTTATTGTTCATGCTATCCAAAGCATCTAAGAAAACAATACACATACGTCAAGTAATTATTCTTCTAAACGATATTATTTTTTCAAGAATAAATAAGATAAAGCAGTACCATAAACAGGCCGAAGTCGACGCTCGTTCACGTCGACATGGCGGGAAGCCATGTTGAATTTTCGGCTCACATGCTTTCCTAAAGTGAGTCCGCGACAAAGTTATTCAGCGGCTGATGACATTTTGAATGTTCTATTTGTGTAATCTACATCCAGATTTGCCAAAATAAACCAGTCACAAAAGTTGGGTGGGTGTTTCACACGAAGAATAAAATCGTCTTCATTCCTCACAATATTACAATGAGTTGTGAAGAGGATCAAGAGGAGGAGAGGGAAGTTTTACGTTCTATTTATGAATCGGACAAAAATTTCATCGAAATTAACCCTACGACGTTTCAATACAAGTTTGGTGAAGAAGGACACTACAAGTCGTTCCTATTGGAAATTTCTTGGCCTGCAGATTATCCCACGTGTCTTCCGAACATCGGATTAGATGCGTTTTATAATCGGCACATCAGCAGTACAGTGAAGGAGAGTGTAACCGGACGGATCAAAGAACAATGCGAAATGTGTCTAGGTTCTGCTATGACTTTTTCGATATTTGATTGGACAAAAGAGCACGAGGAGGATCTGATGACAGAGCAACATGAGCCGGTATGTGGGGTTCTGCAGGGGAGAGGCTCAACCATAAAAAGTCATAAAAACGGTTTTGCACGTTGTATGCATGTTATATGGGGGTGGGGGAGGGTGAAACACTGAGTAGGTATGTTGGGTGGAAATTGGACTTAATGAACTTTGGAGCAACAAACAGTCATGTGTTATGGGTAATAGGTCGTGGGTCATAAGTACAAAGTCATGGGTCAAGGGTACTAGGTCATGGGTAGTGTAGATCCACAAAAACGTGAAGGGTAAAAGGGAAAAGAAGTCCCTCAGGGTATAGCCTGAGAAAACAGCTGAGATTTTGCGTTGCCACTACTGGAATGATGTCTGAGAAATGTGCGGAGAATTTCCATACTGATGATGCATCACTACCCAGGTCTGGGTAGTGCATCTGATTGGTCATGCAGCGTGGCAAATCTGATTCAACCAATCAGAAGAACTACCCAGATCTGGGTAGTGGCGTGTTATCCGTATGGAATTTCTGCGCTCGTTTCTCAGATGTCATTTGGCAGGGGAAACCAGTGGTCACATCGCCAAATGTTGGCTGTTTTCTCAGGCTACTAAGGTTAGGGTTAGGGTTAGGGTTACTGTAAGACATTGGTATTTCGTCGCCAGGTTAATGAAAGTTCCAGATGACCTCATCCCCCACCTGCTCTATGTAAACACATTATAAAGCAAATCACAGGTGTTTGCTGTTCCTTGAAAATAAAACATCTTTTTTCATTTGTTGTTTACTTCTTCTGTGGCACCTTTTAGTTTCTCTGATCAGGGGAGTTTATGCTTAGTAAAGGTCAGTGTTGTTAATATTGTTGTTGGTCTTTTCAGAATTAGATATTTGGTGTTGAACTGGGGTGCCATATTTTTCTCGATTATCTCAACTTTTTATTTATGTAATATTATTGCTACAAAGACTGGTGGCTGTACAGCAGACTAATTCAGGCGGCGTGCCTGACCAGCCTGGGTTGCCTGTGCCCAACGCTAGCCTCATTTGAGATTTTTAGATGTAAATATGTATTTAAGTTTGTACGTATATCACTGAATTTTCCGCGATTTCGTGGCACTCAAATCCAGGCCCTTTTGGTCACGGCCAATCGATTCAGAATTACACTCCAAAGGAAAAAGTAAATACTGTACCCTCTAGAACACTCGACTGTCGATAAAGTGGGTTGTGGAAAACTAAAAGCAGAGAAATCTTGTTTCACACAGAAAGCCATGTTTTCGCAAGCAAAGAGTATGAATGTAAGTGAAGGTAAAAAATTCTTGTGAATTGAAGCGATACATTTTTGAGAATATTTGAAGCAATTCCTGGAACTCTACAGTAAATAAATTTGGTGTTTTGGCTAAATTTCTGTTCAGCAGGCTTTGTTGTATTTATTTAGGCTTAATATTGTCAAATTGCTTTAGTTAAAGGGCTTTTCTGAAACATGTGACAAGGTTTGTTCTCCCCTTGGTAGTAAAAGGTTTTATACACGATAGAAGCATAGATTGAAAAATGATAATTTTTTTTGATACACTCATGAAGTGTAATGAACCAGTTAAAACTCACTTGCATTCTTAACCCTGTAATTATAGTAGCCAGCACTTGTCCTTACAATATCACTACTTAACTAATCACAAAAGTAATGAAAAGCACAAAAATAAGGTGTCTTGAGAGGGACATTGGAAAGGTTGGCTTGCAGCAATGATACACTGACAAAGTGTATAAGAGCAGGCTTATTGCTGCGGGTAGCATGCGGGGTCAAAGCCATCTCAGTCCGCTCAGAAAATTCAGGCTGAGATTTCAATGTAATGGTCGAGATCCTACACTCATTTGTAATATAGAGATGAGCAGGGTGCAACAAAAGTGCAGTCCAGTAGCTTGGGGCTAGTGGAGCAACCATTCAAGCTACATTGTAGCATGTTTTAATATTACGAGTTTTCCAATGGGCAAGCAACATATTTTGCCAAGATGATTTACATGGTAATGAAAAAGGGAGTTGGTAAGCCTGCACAACTGCTCTGGGCTAGTAAACATTGGCAAGAGTTTGCCCTTGGGCAAGTGAGTTTTTAAACTTCATCTCACCTTGACGAGCTTAATCAACATCCTCTTCTTACATAAGTCACAGTGAAAATATTAATGCTTTTGAATACTCTCTTTTACACAGGATCAGGAAGTCAAAGAAGAGCAAACCCCTGAGCAGGAAAGAGAGATGCAGCCAGCCAAGAAGAAAGAGAAAAAAGAAATTTTAACAAAAAGCCAAAAGCGACGAATTGCTGACAGAACAAACTACAAAGGGGAAAGAGAAAGGGGGTGGAACTGGGTAGATGTTGTAAAACATTTAAGTAAAACAGGTAAAACAGATTAGAAAATAATTTATCTACCCTATATGACTATCCTCTTTAGCAGACTATCTTATTATGGAAACCACACATGAGAACAAAACTTCTTAAAATGGACACCTAGAATATTTATCCCTGCCATCTTCAGTCATTTTCTGTGCCTCTAAGATCAGTTATAAGTCGAGTGGCTCTCTGTCACTAGTGACAGTAAAATAGCAACAGAATCGCAGAGTGTCATGATCTGGTGAAAACCAAAATCCAGTTCTTAATTAAAAGTAGAAAGGACTAGTGAAGTGAGTGCAGGGACAAGAATTGTGGTTGGCTTATTATACCACTTCTGCTTCCGACTCTGGCAATCTGTTTTCACTAGACTGATTCAGAAAAACTATTTTTTTATGTACAATTTTTATGGCGCTACTACCGTGTTTAGCATTCATTGCTCACAATAGTAATGGCATTCATTGACTGTTCTCAGGATCTTAGCACTGTCCCTGGAAACCTTTTTATGACTGCGATTTGCAGAAGATGTTTTGTGCGACACCCTTAAACATGCCTTGCAACATTTTTAATGCAATAATCACTGCAGAAAGTAAAACCTAGGTCTACCTTTTGTAGCAATTACTGCAACCAGGGGCGTAGCCAGCTTTTCGACTAGTTATAGGCCTGGCTGACCTTCAATTCCACATATCCTGGAAATTGCACGCATGACTGGTACACACGAGCTCTCTAGACTTGCCCACAAGTCAAGCTCAAAATTTTTTTCGAGCGCAAACTGGAGACGAGAAACGGAGGACTTTAAGAAAGTCTATGACTTCACCAACACTTTGAGCTCTTAAGCTTTTTAGCTCACCCCAACAACACATAATTTATTACAAGCGGTAGAGTGATCAAACCAAAAATTTGTAGGCCCGGGCCTACAGGTCTATGGGCTGGCAACGCCCCTGACTTCAACGTATAAAACTAGTAAACTGGCATTGCAAGTGGAGTTTATTCCTTTGGATGTCAGCCAGGCTACGTCTCGTAACGTTGCAATAAAATTGCAACAGAAGTTACACAGTTTTCTTTAGTTTCCATAAATTGTACCTGAAAGTATACATGCAATGAATCAACCAATAAGTATATTTAAAATAGTAAATTAACTTGACGTGTGTGAAGAGTTTGTATCTCATTATACCGTTTATATTGGCGGGCTAAGGGATTTTTCTAATCAAGCAATCAGGGACAGTACATTTAGACATTTTTTTTTATTTGCTCCCCTTTTCCATCTAATGAGTTAAAACGCAAACCGAAGAAAAAAAGAAAATAAATAAAAAGAAACGAACAAAAAAAATACACTCTAGTTTACAGAAGAGCGTCTTTGAAGATGATTAGTGTGTCGGAAAATAGTGCTTATGTAACGCAACGACTCAAATGTAATCAATACTTGGAGGCCATGAAAGTAGATGGACACCACTTGTCTTTTGTTAGGATCCCAACAGCCTCCCGACAACGAAACAAGCCTGCAGCGATCAGTCCGTACAGTTTTGAACACAACATCTTGACCCTAGCTATCGTACTTAAAATATTTTGACAAAGTTGTCCGGTTTTGGGGGGCAAAGTGGATGGACCTAACTAAATAGGGGTATTTCCAATGGACGTTTTTCTGTCATTGGAAATATTTTAGTTGCACTGTATAAACGGAGAATATTTCTCACAACCGTAAGCTAACGAGCGAAAAATAACTTACAGGGATGTCAAAAGTGACATGAATGAGCGCCGTGCCGGGCACAAGGCCTCCAGGGGGATTCGGGAGCATGCTTCCCCTGGAAATTTCCTGGGTTTCTGAATCATTCAGACCAGATGTTGGTCTGATTCGATTCTCCTCGGATAAAGCCTGCAAATCGGCGGATTATTTCATTTGTCGATTTCAACTGCCTCAAACTTTATCACGCTTATTCCATCTCGTTTAATTCGTCAAATGTTGGCAAATTATTTTGGAGTTGAATTCTAAAGGACTGTATCAAAGTTTCGAAGTAGATCTTGACGGGGACTAGCACAGTTCCACTGACAAAGAAGAATTCGACTTCTTCTACTTTATCGTCTTTGTTTAATTCTCAGTCCAAGTTCTTTACAGTTCAAGCTTCAGTTACAACTCCCTATTGTCTAAACTGTGCCTGGACAATTAAGCGAGCAACAAGATACATAATTATGAGTGTAGATCCAATCAGTAATAAGTGTGGTTTTGCAGTAAACAGACTCTAAACAAGTGCAGTACGAAGAAACACACGAGCAAAAATATGGCGGGAAAAGTATCCGCCCATGGGATGGAAAAACAGTTTTCCTTTTTGTTAGTTCAATAACGACGCATCAGTTCAATAAGTACACAACAGATCAATAACCACACCAGTAATTCAATGACTACACATCAGTTCATTGAGCGTAAACTACATGCAGCTGCGGGAGGAATAGCCACAAATACGTTAGTTATTTTTTAATAAGAATGCATAGCATTAAGTAAGTGGTAAATACTCATTTAGCTATGGTACGAGAACTAAATAGATAAATAGCTATGTTACACTGTTATTAAGTTCTAGTGAGCTCACTAATATAGACGGGAACATAGACTGATGTTATTTTAAAAATTTAAGTCCGCTCAGAAGGTCTGTCATTCTCATCAGGAGCACAGTCAGGGGCACCCAACGACAATTTTCGGGAAAATATCTGTTCGGAAGACGATTTGAGATCTAGAATTTTCGGAACATTTGTTGTAAAATTTCTTGCTTGCTTGCCTCTCCTAGGATTTTCGAACATCTAAAAAATGGTAAAATTGCCCATTTTCAACGGATTTTTACCCTAAAAAGGTCACCTAGAATATTCGGGAGCCTTTTTTCTGGCTGAAATTTTCGAACGGGTAAGTTTTGATCCCTATAATTTTCGGATCACTAGACTTTCAGCTAGGAAATCCGAACAGATGAAAAATTTATAGGGGATAAAAATATGCCCATATCCACCGTTTAAATACTAAAACACGTTAAACAATGCTATGTTTAAGTGGTTTTGAACTATATTCTCGTTGGGTGCCCCTGCACAGTGAACAGACCTGGAAAGAGAGTCAGCGCCGATGGTCACCCCCACTCCTCCTGGGCACTTCTGCACTTGGGTCCTCCCCTCTTGGTACTTTTGTCACTTAGAGCGTGATCGATTGATCAATTCTTCGTCCAAAAACAAAAATTGAAAATTGATCGCAACATTCAATTTTTAATTTTTTCTTAATTCACGTCATAGTAGTTGACAGATGACTGCGGAAACGGTTTTCCTGCGAATAGATAAAATATCCATGGTTCGATAACCGTTTTAATATTGATTGTCGCAAATAAGAGCTGTGTGTTTATTTTCTCATTTTTGTTTACAGGGGAAAACGGTAAAAAGAGTTATGAAACATGTTTATCCATTATACAGGAAGAAAAAAAATGGAAAATCAAAAATTGACATCGATTTTCAATTTTTGTTTTTGAATTGAAAAGTAAATGGACGAATGACCCACGAATGCATGTACGGGGAAAACGGTAAAAAGAGTTATGAAATATGTTTATCCATTATACAGGAACAAAAAAAATGAAAAATCAAAAATTGACATCGTTTTTCAATTTTTGTTTTTGAATTGAAAATTAAATGGACGAATGACCCACGGTCCGTGGGTCATTCGTCCATTTAATTTTCAATTCAAAATTCAAAATTGAAAATCGATGTCAATTTTTGATTTTCCAATTTTTTTCTTCCTGCGCAATGGATAAACAGGTTTCATAATTGTTTTACCGTTTTCCCCTGTAAACAAAAATAAGAAAATAAACATACAGCTCTTACTTTCTACAATCAATATTAAAACGGTTGTCGAACCATAGATATTTTCGCTATTCGTGGGAAAACCGTTTCCGCAGTCATCTGTCAACTACTATGACGTGAATTAAGGAAAGAAAATTAAAAATTGAATGTTGCGATCAATTTTCAATTTTTGTTTTTGGACGAAGAATTGGTCAATCGATCACGCTCTAAGTGACGAAAGTACCAAGAGGGGAGGACCCAAGTGCAGAAGTGTCCAGTAGGGAAGGGGAGGGAAGAAGGGAAGGGACTGAGGTGGGGGAGTAAGGGCCTTGTACTTGTCCAAGCTACATGCTACCCGACCAAAGACGCCATCTTGAATTGCAAATAGAACACTATGGGGACGGGGGTCGGGGTTGAGTTCTCTCTTTGTTGAACCGCCGCTGTAACATCAAAACTAAGAAATTCCCAACCTTGAGTAAAACACATCAAGAACTTAATATGATATATTTGAACTGTCTTTGAGATGGACACCTTTGGGAGACATCTCCAAGTTGCCAATTTAAAAAGTGTCTATCCGATTGAAAGTTGATTAGTTAAGAGGGAGTACCCTGTGTACAGACGCCCCCCTCCCCCTCCCCCAGAAAAAAATTTTATTTTTTTTCTGAGGGAGGGGAGACGTCTGCACACAGGCTAAGAGGGAGTTGACAGAGAGCGTATGCTTTTGGTGTGATCAATTTGCAACGTCATAGTTACCGCATTTTGGCTGAGACTTCCAGACTTTGCCTAAAGAAAAGGTAAGGTTTTACTCCTATTATGATGGTGAAATTTAAATGTATTAGACATATATCAGTCTGCCAATGGTGATCAATGTTGATTTGGAATAGAATGAGGATTTCATCTCCACTCTTAGGGGCGCAGTCCCTTATTTGGCCTAGAAGGGTACGTGGCGCTGAACAGGGTGTGGTATCCGGGTCTTGAGTCTTAAACAGGTTATACAATTTAACTATTTAGCGCCTTGAACAGGGTGTCTTTATGGACCGGTAGCCTTGAAAAGATTGTGAAGGTTGGTGATGAACGGTTTACGTGTGGTACCAACAACGTTTCTCCGAATAATATCCATTCATGATGTTACTTTATAAAAAATTTCTTAATTCAACTATTTTTTCCCTGCAGGAAAAAAAAAAATAAGAATTTCAAGCAAAAATACCCACACGAGCAACAACTTGTTTCGTGCAGTGTTCCAGCTCTTCGTTTGAAAGCCGATTTTGCGCGTGACGGACCGCGAACTTAAGCCTCTCTTTCCAGGATATGCTTGTTGTAGCAACAAACTGACTTGTGAATGTGTTTTTCCCTGCGTCACAACAAGATCTCTCACGAAATCGACGTTTACGGCGTCCATATTTAGGCTGAAACAGCACTCCAAAGTTGTATTTCCCGCTTCTTTCCTAAGGCTCGTTGCCAGGACGTATCCGACATTAAAGAAGATGGCGGAAAATTGCAAGGCCCTTCCCCAACTTAATTCCCCAACCACCCCACTTCAGTCCCGTCTCTCTTTTCCCCCGCCCCACTCCTCCTGGGCACTTCTGCACGTGGTTCCTCCCCTCTTGGTACTTTTGTCACTTAGAGCGTGATCGATTGATCAATTCTTCGTTCAAAAACAAAAGTTCAAAATTGATCGCAACATTCAATTTTTAATTTTTTTTCTTAATTCACGTCATAGTAGTTGACAGATGACTGCGGAAACCATTTTCCCGCGAATAGCTAAAATGTATATGGTTCGACAACCGTTTTAATATTTATTGTAGAAAGTAACAGCTGTGTGTATATTTTCCCATTTTTGTTTACAGGGGAAAACGGTAAAACAATTATGAAACCTGTTTATCCATTATGTAGTAAGAAAAAATTGGAAAATCAAAAATTGACATCGATTTTCAATTTTAAATTTTGAATTGAAAATTAAATGGACGAATGACCCACGGACCGTTTTGGACCTCGGAATTCAAAAATTGTCTACCAGAATTCTAGGTTGTCTACCATCCCCACATTCAACATGATAAAAGTTAATCTTCGTATAACTTATAATATGAGTAAACTTCCCCGGTACTAAGACACTCCATTCTCACTGTTGTTCGCGTTTTTTAGTGACGTTCTTCCGTTGTTAGTGAAAAATGCACAAGGAAATGTCAAATTGTTTAGTGTACTAACTTGAACTGAACTACAAAATTAATGTGTAATACTGTAAATATATCTACCGTAGTAAACAAAAAAAAATTGTCCAAAATATCCCGCTTAAACTCTGTCTTTCTCAGTCCATTTTCCTTTGTCAAAGAACAGCAAAAATATAAGGCCAGGAACTCAAGTATAGTCTCTCAATTCGTAAAGGTTTTGATAATCCATTTCAATACCTCCGACTCCATGCTTCTCATGAGGTTGTACACGAAAGATCCATAAATCAATAATTCTACACCACACCAACGGGCTCTGGGTCATACTTTGGGGCCTGCTGTTGAGCTTCGTGTGCAGGACTTCTGAAAGCTTTGGCAGCAAAAAACAGCTCGACGACGAAGACAGCCAAGGTGACGAAGGCGAATACAGCAGCGGCCGTACCAGCGCCCGTTGCTTTGTTAGCACAGGTTAATGCAAGGATGGAGCCAATAAAAAACCCGATAACTGCCAGTCCGTAAGCGATAAGAGGAATGATGGGATGTGGTAAGATCCAAAACATTCTGAATTTGTCCCAGAGGCCGATCAGTTTGAGGATTGTGAAGATGAAAAGGTGAATAAAGCACGTCCACGCCACAAAAGCGAGAAAGCCGTAGTGTCCCGGGCAGTACGACCAGGTTCCCGAAGAACACGCTCCAGTGATAAGGCTTAGGGCTAATTCGATGAGGACCAAGACACCAAACAACGTCCTGATGAAGTAGTGTGTGTTCAGCTGGATTTCTGGATTCGCAGCAGCGGTATGACCTCCTTCGTCCGCCATATTGTCAGAAACTCATGATAATATCCATCTGCTGTGAATAAACAAGTTTTGGCCTTTACGTCATTTGTTCGCAACTCATCTCACCGATCCTGTGTACGATGATTGTTCGATGAAGAAACAGCCTATCAGCACTGCTGTTGTTTTAGAATTTCGTGAATTATTAAAATGAATTACAAAATGGTATTGAAACCTTAGCGAGTTATATGAATGTAAGCATATTTGTCATCGTGATCGGTTCACTTTGTTGGGAAACATATAGTGCGTTACACAACATAAAGTGCCTTACCCTAAACATAGTAATGGAAACCTTGATCGCGTGTATTTTTTTAAAAGAGATAAGGAATGTATTAAGCTGACAAGTTAATTGCTTTTCAATGTTACGTGCGTGATGTGATAAGAATATGACACATAGATATCTCATAACAAAAATGCCAAGATTGCCTGCGTGCAGACGTCTCCTATTTCCTTTGTTCCGCATGCAACAAAGGAAATAGGAGACGTCTGCACGCAGGCAAATGCCAAGACTGTGTATAAGAAAAGAGAGTTGTTATGATTTGGCAGAATGAATTAATGAATGTACGGTGTAGTGAACGAGGATCGTAGCTGGGAATAAAGATATACTGTCCAAGTTCCGAGTGTTTGATTGAGTGTGTGGATATTCCCGAACACACTTTTTATATTACGCTCTGAGTGTTTCATAATGCCAGCAAGTCTAAGTTATTGACTTTATGAATTCATATGTTCAACTTTTCTACAAACTGTCTTTGTCCTGTTTGTCCTATTCGCTTCGCAACTAACGGCAGCACTTCCCTTCTCAATGAGAACTTCTAGGTCTAAAAATAGACAAAATAGGCAGCTGCTTTCAATTTCAAAAAGTAGAGGTACGTTACCTCCGAAAATAAGATCTGCAATCAAGTTGTAACCCTCTTATCACATAATGTGCAAGTATATCATACAATGGAAACTGAGTATTTAGACAGAGCAAACAACAAAAAGTTGATGTGGTCCTCTTGAATTTTGAAACTGTAGGTTCAATACTTGTGCTTTAAGAGATTTTTGGTGTAATCTTGTGCAAGTTAGCATAAAATATAATAATTAAAATTTCTTGGTGGTTTTGAGATGATGTCATACAGCATCAGACTGTATCATCAGTGTTATAAATAACAATGTATGTTGGCATCATCATCTGGTCAATCTACCTACCTGAACACATAGTTTGTTAAGTGGTTATAGGTCAAAGATATTTTTGTCATACAGTAACTAATGATGCTTTGATTCAGTTGAAGTTACCTGCAAACTTTTCTGACAAATTACGATATTTGTTTCAGGAAACACGGCTCTGCTGGCTCACATCAAGAGATGTTAATATCCTTTATTTGGAGTTTAGCCATGTTTCTGCAAGTTACTCAAATTTTCCCTTATATCAATGCCTCCTAGCTGAACTCTAAAGTGCTTAAAGTTAAGGACAGGCTGTGTGCAGCAGGTCTAATTTATGTAACCTGGGCCTACTATGTGCATTAGCAGAGGGGTATACATGCGTTACCAAAGTCAATTTAGGTCAAGGTTAGGGTTTGTGTACTCCTTAAATGTGACTCGGTACATTTTGTTGGTTCCATGAACTTAAGTTTCTGGCCAAAGTGTTTACACCTGGTAAATCAATATTTCCTCTAGCCTGACTGACTCAGCTGTGTGCAGGATAAATGCTTTGATTCCTCCATACACCCTCCATAACTCAACAATAATTGCAAGATATCAATCAATACAGAACAGAAAATGTGCTTATGTCTCCTTTTTCTTAAATTCATCTGCTAAGAGGCTTTAATTTTTTTTCTACTTTAAACTTTAATTTGCTTCCCTCAGCCATTGTTTATTTTGTTCATCTTTGTTCAATATCATGATCGAACACACTGTTTAATCATTTTGTCCGTTATTCCTGTCCACTATTGCCATTCTTGAATGTTTCCATTTACAGTCATGAGAAGGATGGAGAAAATTAATAGCACAAGACTCCCAAATGGGATACATTCGGGTATTTTCCCACTGCAGGAGGAGGTAGGGAGGGGAAACAATGTTCAAATTTGTATTTCCAAACTACACACTATGAAATATCTGACTCTTTACCCTCTGTGTGGGATTCTGTCAGGAAAGTGTGGCATATGTGATAACACTCCCCTCATTTACCATGAAAAAATATCAAAAATAAAAAACACACACACATCAGTGCAATTTCTAGCTCCTGTACTCTGTTGCAGACTGACTTACTACTGTCAGAGCAAAGGAGGATATTAATTACTGACAAAACATAAAATAAATTGAAAGTCACTGTTGTAGACATAACATCAATAAAAACAAAAGAAGTGCAGAAGTTGGTGCTGGGACAGAAATATGAGACAGACACAAGACAGGATCAGCAATCATGAAAACATCCAACCTTGTTCCCAGGGAAATTCCATTATCCTCACCTGCATGACATAGAATTATTTTCTTGACAGAGTGGGGAGATGAGGGAATAGGAGCATAAAGTGATTGAATACTAATGTACATTGGCTCAGCCTGACAGATATTCTAAGAAGCACTTACCTAGGCAATTTTTATCTTCTGCCCATCAATTAAAAAACATTTTCATGAAAGTAGTTTCAATACGTTTGCCAAAATTTCCCACTGCTATTTAGAGAACATAGATGAAGGTAGCCTAATGAAATATCATGTACAGCACTTATTTAAGATATAAAAAGCTTTGCATTCAATATCAATATGGCACTGTCAGTACTGTTCCGGCTGAGGTTGATTTTACCAACTGTTCAAGCTCAGTGTGCTAATAAAATTATGTAATCTTTATATAACATGCAGTTACTGCTGCAAAGACGGAACTAGACGCCACATCTGTAATGTCAGTCTTTAGACCAGCTGATACAGAAGGTGAGCAAGGTACACTTTTGCAGGTATAGTGCAAGAAACACTCATTCCACAGATGTATGTATGCACTGGTACAGCTGATATACTGCTGATTCTCTTGTAAGTAGGGACAATATTTTAATCTGTGAGGAAAGAAAAACATTATTAATGACTCTCTGGCATATCAACACAAACATGACAATGAAAGTAGGGGCAGGCAATGCATAGCTTTGTGGCCTTTTTAAATACTTAACTGAAATTTGCCTATGCAGAATCTGCCAGGAGTAAGGGATGGAGGGGGGAAAGGGGAGTAACTGAGTCAGATGTTATAGGTCATGAGCAGTTGGCCTCTCAAAAACCTTACCCTATTACAGTCTAGTTTGTGTCCAAAGCACAGACACAATTCTAGTTACTTTTGGGCAAAAGCATTTTCAGAATCCTAGCCTGTGTACAGTGCCGTAGCCAGACCAAACGGCCAACCGAGGCAGGCGGGAGTTGCTAGGGGGGTTCGGGGGCATGCCCCTCCCCCCGAGAAACTTTGAACTTTAGTTTCTCGGAAATGCGATTTGCAGCGTTTTGTGGGCCTTTCGGTAACTTTTTTTCGAGTTAATTTAAGTGGAATTTTTAAAAGCAATAATCAGAAACAAGCTACATAATCTGGGTGACCGTTAACCTCGCCAATGGTTTTGATCAGTATTTGTTCAAAAAAAATTTGAGTTAACGTACGTAGCCCCTTGAGATCGATGATATGGTAATTTTTTCATAGTATATTGACTGAATTGCTGAATTCTTTGTAATATCATGATGCGTTAAAAATATCCGATGATCGCTTATGTAAAATAAAAATGATCGGCGAAATTCGTCAAAATTTTACCGAGGCGAGTGCCTCGGTTGGCCTCATACTAGCTACGGCGCTGGTGTAGCAGTGCTAAGGGCAGGAAAGGGGAAATTCCTAACATGTAACAACAAGAAATGGGACTGGGGAGAGGGGAGGGAAGTGCCTGCCCTAAAGGCCCTCCTTTTTATATTTCTACATTGGCCAGCCCATGTAAAAATCTGATTGGTTTATACAGCGTTGTGGAATCCCAGCATGTATGTTAAATATTGTTGTATTTCAGTATGTTATTGTTTGGTAATTATGAGAATGGTGATCTGAAATAAACTTTGCAAGGTGCCCCTGTCATGTGCAGCAGGGACTGGAGCAAGACATTGTAAACAAATTTTATAGTTTTCTGTGAAAAAAAAGCATGCATACTAGCTATGACGGAAAGCGTTCTGAGCGAATAAATTCTATTTGGTGATCAATACCAAAACTTGTGAGTTTTATTGTCGGGGGAACAGTTCCCGACATCGTCATGTTCATTCAAAACTGTTCTGCCTCATTAGCCATGGTCATAGTACCAGAGAAATGGATCTCAAAGTAATGTTTTGTTGCTGGCCCAATTGGGATGCACAACCCCATTCAAGTGCAAGGTTGTTTGCTTTACTGTAGATTTCAATACATGGGCAGGATACAAAAAGGTGGGACTTAAGGGCAGGTGCAAAGACTGACTGTAATGTCAGTCTTTAGACCAGCTGATACAGAAGGTTAGGCAAACTCATTATGCACCTATCAATGTAAATCCCGGGGGGGAGGGGGTGCAGGCAAGGGGCGGGGATTTGATGCCTGAGACTATCCTCCCTGCAGGCCCGTAACCAGGGGGGGTGCACGGGGTGCATTCGCACCCCCCCACAGGCCTCAAAGGTCCGCATTTTGATACTCAATATCCAGTTTAAGGAGTGCAGTCGGTTAAACTGAAGTTTCAAACTTAACAGTGATATTTAAACAAAATCAAAGAATGGAAAAAGCAGTAGTGTATTCACTGGGAAAATAAAACCAGCTGCACTCTAGTAGCCCGAGCCATTCAGAACATTTCAATGAGCGCACAGATGTCCCAGCGTATCTATATGAAAGATGAGATTAACGTGCGCACACTTTTGCACAGGCCAAATACAGCAGCCAAAGCTCTTAAGGAGTGCGATGATGATCTCTTTCCAAAGAGGGTCTAGAAGAGGGATAGGCGTAAAGCGGCCAAAAATTTAGTACATAGCCGTAAAAACTGACAAATTTTAACCGTTAGCCGTAAACAGGGTAAAAAAGAGTTAACCGTAAAAGAAATTGTTTCCTAGATTTGTTTATTTTAAGGAAGGTGCTAAACTCGATTATGGTTGCATATTATACACCCTCTTTTTTTTTTTATTTCCGGCTACCTTTGACGCCGTACGCACGTTAGGCCAAGCGCCTTTAGGTGTTGACCTAGACCTAGGCTCCATTTCCGCCGCTCTCTCAAATAATGTTTCCTCTACCCATTTTTGAAAGGGTCAAAGGAGGGCTTTTGTGGGGTAAGCCTGTGACCACACCACAAAGAAACAAAAAAACATATTTAATTTTATTGAGGTAGGGTTGAAAGTTTTTTCCTGAAAATAGCTTGCTTCTTGCTGGCGATTACTATTTGTGATTTTCAGGAGGTCATGCCCTCGAAATACTAGTGAAACAACACGCAGAGATGTCACTGTTTGTAAAACATGTTGTCGATAAACAACAATTCCCTGTTTTTCTCTGATGCTACGGTAGACATTGCCATGCCTAGTCCCTGTACGGCGTCTTCCCACGCAATCTCGGTCAAGGCAATTTGGTGGCGTATCTATCCCTGCAAGGAGCTGTAAATGCGAAAGAAGTGCGAGTTCTTTAAGGCGGCTGCATACATATAACAGGGCATGCGTGGGCCAGGAAAGGCTGTCATCCCTCGCACTAATGCACTTACATTATCAAGTTAAAATTGTGTTGGATGAGGTGATAAATCTGTTTGCCACCAAACACCCACGGAGGGTGGAGCTCGCGAT